AGTCAAACCGTGGTGGGGTTGCCTCCCCACAAGCACTTCTTTACCGTCTTTTAGCTGGACGCCCATGGTGGATACTCAGGGAGGTGCAGGAACAGGTGCCTCCAAGAGCGGATCCACGTCGCTCTTGAGGTACAGCTTCAGGTTGTGGCCATGCACCCGACGGGTGCAACCACCAGCATTGGTCAGCTCGACCTGGCCATCCGGCAAGATGCAGGCGAGTGAGTACTCGGATGGCCAGGGTGGTCGTGGTGCAGGAGGTGGGACCAGCTCGTAGTGGTCTCTACCCTTCTTCCGTGCAGGCTTAGCAACCTGCTGCTTCGGCCGCCACTCCTCCTTGATCTTTTTGTTCGGAGGCGAGACTGGATGGAGTGGCGGCGGAGGAATGATGGGAGGGTCCTGCAAAATGAGAGGTGCAGAAGGATACACGACAGGCTCTTGTACCTGATCAGAAATGGCATGCACAGGTGTGACAGCAATCATAGCACAGTGATGACTCGATATTTGCACATGTTTTCCCCTTTGTTTCTTGATTGTTTGAGCTTTAATTATTGCGTCTTTGGCCTATTTTACGCTAGGTTGTGTTCCTTTGTCACATTTCAGGTCCTAGCACATAAAGTGAAGCATAGGCGAGAGTTTCATCAGAGATCAATTGGCGATTAGGGAGAAGAAACTCGGGCATGACCTGAAGAAGAATGAATTTCTACCTCACTTTATGGAAAAAGAATCATGCAAGCTTGTCATGAAAAGAAAGAGGACGAGACTACGAGCGTCTGGGATCAAACGGCGACTGATTCGGAGTCCGGACGAGGGAGAAACGAAGCATTGAATATAGGGGAACAGGTTCGGCAGTAAAAACACGGGCGCGCCTAAATCAAAACACGGCCGTGCCCATATTTAGGCACGACCGTGTTTTAGCTGACGCGCGCGAGCGTGTTTTTAACACAGGGCAAAACACGGGCGGTCAAAAGCAAAGCACGGCCGTGCCCTCGACCGTGTTTTGCCCAGAATCAGGTTTTTCTAACGCAAATTCGAGCCAAAGGAGAGAGAGAGATGGGTTTTGGATCCCAAAACACCCAAGGGACGAACCAAAGAGAGAGAGGGCGATTTGAGGGCATTCTTGGAGTGGAATTGGAGAATTTATTTGCCTTGGAAGCTCGAGGAACAAGCCCGGACTTGAAGACTGATCATCTGAAGATTCTTACTGCAGTCTCTCTCTTCTCTATGGAGTAAATTCCCTTCACTTAGGTTTTGAGGAACCCTAGCTATATTTGTTTGATTGGATGATTGTATGAGTACTCTGAATTGATAATCTTGAGTTCATATTCAATCTATGCATTTTTTCATGATTCAATTCTGCTTTAGTCGAGATTATTGATTATGCTTTGATCCTATGAGAGGGAATACCTGATTAGGTCAATAGAGCACCATAGATTGATAGTAGTGGATCGATTGCTTTAGTCGAGGGCTGATTCACTGCTTTGTATCGATTGAGAACCTCTTTCGATAGAGGGAGTCTAGTTCAGAATGCCTTGATCAGTTGTTCTAGAGAAGGATACGTCCCTCTAGGCAATTGACTCAAGAGGGCCTTGTTCCTTTAGTCGAGACTCAAGGTCTAGTCAAGGATTCTCCGCATTGTGAATGAAAGTGAAACAAGCTAGAAATCATCAATCGTTAGTCTGGCTAGTGGCTAGGGGGAATCATACCTAAGTGAGTTCCCAACCTGTAATTAGATTAACTTTAACTGTAGTTTGCTAGAGTAGTTTTAGTTCTTTCATCTTAATCTGGTTTGCTAAATAATAAACTGAAGCTGAGTAATAGTAACTCTAGAGACCCGTGGATTCGATATTTATCACTTGAGCCACTATACTGCATCCCTTCCATTGGTTACACTTGGTCATTGTTAGGTGTTGTGTCGTAGCGAGTCAAGTTTTTGGCGCCGTTGCCGGGGACTTTCTAGAGTATTAGGAAAGGCAGAAGTTTGTTACTTTAGCGTTTTTCTTTTCTTTTCTTTTCCACCCTTGATTTTCACTTGGGTGTTTTTGTTTTTGTTGGTGCAGATCTGAATCATGGATCCTCATGGCTTCTCCAACAATTGGGGGTATCCACCACCACCCGAGTGGTATTACCCCGAGACTCCCTGGAGCAATCAAGGAGGAGAAGACTATGGATTCGGGTTCCAGTACCAACCCCCTTACTACGGAGAACAACCGGACCCCTGGGCATATCAAGAACAACCTCATTACCAAGAAGAATTTTTCCCACAACCAGAGGGGCCATTGGAGCTGGAGTTGCCCATGGCGGCCTTCACGGGCCATTCTGCAGAGCCATGCTACACTCCACAGCCAGATCCACACTATGAATTGAGACTTCTCATGGAGCAGTTTGCTCGAGACTGTGATAGAACATGCTCCAGGATGGATCATTGTGTCCAGGCCTATCGTGAAACAGAGGAGATCCTTCTGAGCCTTAAGAAGAGCGTCGATGATCTTGAGCGATCTTGGGCACAACATGCTCCAGATCACCCTTCTGCTACCATACTAGAAGAGGAGGAGGAAGAAGAAGGCTACAAGGACATTGTGGAACACACAGAATTTGTCACGGAGAGCTCCCGTGATGATCATGATCAGGAATATCCTGTCGTAGCCGAACACACCTTCCCACATCCCAAACTGAGCTTTGAAGAGGCGGGCATGAGTGTGGAGATGCAAGAAGATCTCATGAAAGAAATTGCTTGGCAACTTGCTCTCCAATCCGTGCTAGAAGAAGAAGAGCAAGAAAGGGTGCAGAAAGAAGTTGTGGATGATGACGAAAGTGAAGCAGGAGGAGTTCTTGATCATTTCCCAGGGGTGATACCACATGAAGAAGAAAGGGGGGTCGAAGAAGCAATTGGCGTCCAGGCTGAGGACGGAGTTAAGGTGGAAGAGGCCTGCACCGGCCATGAGTTACATGTGATATCTCCACCAAACTTCGAGGAACTGCTTAGCAAGGACCCATTTGCAGTGTCTCTTTGCCAGACCAAGGCCACATCGACATCGGTCCCTCTTGGTGGACGCGATGGTGGTCAATCGATGCTGTCATATCTGGTTTGGGGCAATGAGACGAGAGAAAAGAAGAAGAGGTCTCGAGGATGGAGACGTTATCTGCATCAAGTGCACGAGCTTCCATCACCTGTCGTACCACATGCTCGTGACTTGAGACTCCACCTCATTGACGAGAACCTCAACTTCAAGGAGGTTTTGGGGTGGACCGAAACTTAGGAGCCATCGTCCGGCTCACGACGTGAAAGAAGCGCTTGTTGGGAGGCAACCCAACCAGTCGGTTTGCATTTCTTTCTCTATTTCTCTTCGGTTGAGTCAGTTTTGTTCTTTGATTTCAGAGTCAATAATTCAACCTTTGTGAGATTTTGTGTGGTGTTTGTGTTCCGACTACTTTGTCCTCCTGGAATGCACCGCCTTCCCCGTCCACCATCATTCACCGTTGATATGGTAACTTCGTTCTACCCTCCTTATCTTTCCTCCATTGAGGACAATGTCGTGCTTAAGTGTGGGGGATGTTCGATTATGTATGTGTGTGAATGTTTGACTGTTTATGTGCTTGGAGCCTAGTCCACTGTCCAAATTTCGATTTGAGGGCTCCAAGTACGTGTTCCTTGCAATTGCCTGCTCAGTATGCTTTGAATTGACAGTCTTTATAGTAATATGCAACCTAGGGAGGTAGTGTAGCACTATGGAGGATGTTGATGCATTTAAGAAGTCTCATTTCTTCTTCATATTGTGTTGGTTGATTGAGTGAATTAGTGATCTTACGACCCCTGAATTGTGTTGTGTTGTGGACTCTCTACCTGTCATGGACTCTTGTTTCATGTTTTGAGTTTAACAGGTGCTCGAAAATGTGCTTTAAAATAACGTCTCCCGTGCGAATAGGGCGAAAGTGTGTAAGGGGAGACGGGAATTCGTTCCCAATTTTCACCTACTACCTCCAGCCCCCTTACATGTCTTTCCCCCGCACGAGGTTCGAGACACCCGCTCCTGGCATGGACGGTAAGAGCCGGGCTCCCGCAAAACCTCTGCTAGGTGGGAGCCCCCATTTTCTGAAAAGCAGGTTGGGACCCTTGAAAAAAAAAAAGGAAAAATAACAGAAAATAAGCAAAACAGAAAGAAAAGGGGTTCCAACCGTCTTCAAAAAGAAAATAAGAGCACCTTGAAAAATGTGAGTCCATGATCCTTTGTTTTTGAGAATCTCTTCATCCACGATTCATTTGTCCTCTGTTCACTATTTGCCATGATGCCGACTCGATACTAGTGCTCTCGCCGAAGAAGCTATGAGATGACTTGTCCGGCGGTTGACCTCGTAAGCTGCTAAATGATCTAGGAAGTCCTCTATCAACGATCGAGGGTGCATGTTGCTATAGAGGTCTGGAGAGCTGCATTGGTCTGAGTTAGGTTTGCTTGGGGACAAGCAAACGGTTAAGTGTGGGGGGATTTGATGACTCGATATTTGCATATGTTTTCCCCTTTGTTTCTTGATTGTTTGAGCTTTAATTATTGCGTCTTTGGCCTATTTTACGCTAGGTTGTGTTCCTTTGTCACATTTCAGGTCCTAGCACATAAAGTGAAGCATAGGCGCAAGTTTCAAGTCAATCAGAGATCAATTGGCGATTAGGGAGAAGAAACTCGGACATGACCTGAAGAAGAATGAATTTCTACCTCACTTTATGGAAAAAGAATCATGCAAGCTTGTCATGAAAAGAAAGAGGACGAGACTACGAGCTTCTGGGATCAAACGGCGACTGATTCGGAGTCCGGACGAGGGAGAAACGAAGCATTGAATATAGGGGAACATGTTCGGCAGTAAAAACACGGGCGCGCCTAAATCAAAACACGGCCGTGCCCATATTTAGGCACGACCGTGTTTTGCCCGACGTGCGCGAGCGTGTTTTTAACACGGGGCAAAACACGGGCGGTCAAAAGCAAAGCACGGTCGTGCCCTCGATCGTGTTTTGCCCAGAATCAGGTTTTTTAACGCAAATTCGAGCCAAAGGAGAGGGAGAGATGGGTTTTGGATCCCAAAACACCCAAGGGACGAACCAAAGAGAGAGAGGGCGATTTGAGGGCATTCTTGGAGTGGAATTGGAGGATTTCTTTGCCTTGGAAGCTCGAGGAACAAGCCCGGACTTGAAGACTAATCATCTGGAGATTCTTACTGCAGTCTCTCTCTTCTCTATGGAGTAACTTCCCTTCACTTAGGTTTTGAGGAACCCTAGCTATAGTTGTTTGATTGGATGATTGTATGAGTACTCTGAATTGATAATCTTGAGTTCATATTCAATCTATGCATTTTTTCATGATTCAATTATGCTTTAGTCGAGATTATTGATTATGCTTTGATCCTATGAGAGGGAATACCTGATTAGGTTAATAGAGCACCATAGATTGATAGTAGTGGATCGATTGCTTTAGTCGAGGGTTGATGGTCCTGGAGCTGCTGGTCAAAGAGCTGCTAGTTCCGGATACGCAGCTGCTCGAACTGGTGAGTGAAGTAGTCCTGACCGGGGAAAGCGAGGCTTCCACCCCCGTACTCGAAGGTGGTGGGGCGGGGGCAGCAGCATCATCCACATCCTCGGGCTGCACATCATCAGCAGTCGCAGCCTCATCCTCCAGATCCTCGGGCTGTTCCTCCTCTGGGATCTGAGGTTCCGGAAACCCCTTGATCCACATGATGCCTCGGTTCTCTCGCAGCAGGTGCATGCGATGAATCGTATCTCTGCCAAAGACACTGGTGCTCCCCTGCTCTGTGCACCCCTGCAGTGATAACCCGAAGTAGGTGGCCAGGCGGGTGATGAGGGGAGTGCAGTGGAGGCTCTTCAATTCCGAAGCACTCTTCTCAAAGGTTCTGGCCACCACAGAACCCAAGTGGAGAGGATGGTCGGCCTGGCGGATGGACTGGATGAAGTACAAGGCGCGCCTGGTGATGGCGTTGGCACTGTCCGAAGCTGGGGTGTAGGACTTCGCCAGCAGGTGGTGGAGGAGGCGGTTGTCGAGCTGCAGGGTGCTAGCCTTCGTCTTCCCTGCCACGAAGGGACGCTGCTGGCCTGGCTGAGCTAGGCGGGTGTACAGCATCTTGAAGTTCACGCCCACCGGATCGTTGAGCTCGGTGACGTAGTCCTCACCATCGGCCAGGCCGAGGTCGAGAGCGGTGGCCAGCTCGTGGTAGCTCATGGACCGGGGTGCACCGCCGAGCCTGAATTTGACGGCTGCACCGTTTGTCCAATCCTCTGTGGATGTGTGCTTGAAGGTCGTATAGAACTCCAGCACGGGCTCGTGGTAAACCTTCTCGCGGATGGAGAGCAGACGGCGCCACGGGCGGTTGGTGACGATGGCGGAAAAGTGCTCGTAGCAGTGCAGCTTCTCAAACTCCCACCTGGACCAGCAATGATGCTGCCCAAACGAGCAGGCCAGGACGTGTTTGAAACGATCCTGGTAGGGGCCCCTCTTCAAATCCCGGATGAACGGGTGCTTGGGGTCAGGTTTCGTCATGGTCCTGCAAAAGAACAACCCAAAGTGGAACCAAAAGAGCCAAAGAAAAGGTTAATCACACCCCCCACACTTAAGAACAGAAAACAACCTAACCATGGGTTCATCCATAGTTCGGGGATCAAAAATTCGATCAATCAAGCATAATCTGAGTCGGGGTGCACATTCACGATAAAGTAGGCAACTTAAGGTTCACATCCATAGCAAATACACCCTCAAAGCACATCATTAAGGGCCCCAACCGGAGCGCACAACACGGCATGAAAAACAGGCATTTCATCGAACACCTTGTGTGCACTATTAAGGTAAACATGAAATTGACAAAATTCTAGCACACAAGGGCTCAAACAATCAAGGGGGACATTGCCCAACACAATTCACACATAGTCCAAGCATTCCCATCAATCAATTGCACATAATTCACATGATTCAAAGTGGTTCTCTAAACATGCACCCTAACACCCAATTCTCCATAAATCACATAGTTAAAGTAAAAAATCAAACCTGGAGACTCAAGTAGAGGTGTAGGGGATGATGAGGGGAAGGCAATGGAAGCGACGAAAGGCCGAAAAACTGCCCGAAAGTGCTCGTCGCAGTCTCGCCGGAAATCGCCTCCGGCGACTCAAAATCGATCCAAATCAGCTCAAAATCGAGGGATATGCCGATGATGGAGAGGAAAGGGTGGGTGTGGTGTTGGATTTGTGAAAAACCGACCAAAAATGGCCGAAAATCGCCAAAGAGGGCGAAAAGTCGCGGTTTTCCGGCGAGGGGGAGAGGATTCCGGCGAGTGAAGTTTGAATTTCTGACCACTCGGCCTTGTCGGCCGAATTTATAGCCCGTGGCTCGGCCACATGGCCGTGTGAGGTGCAGGAGGTGCCCGTGTGGGCCGACACGGCCAGGCAGAGGCAAGCCACACGGCCGTGTGACTTGCACAACTGGCCAAGTGGAAAATGTCAAGCCCTCACACGGCCAAGGGGTCGATTCCACACGGCCGTGTGAGGATCAGTGTCGCCCGTGTGGGCCACACGGCCTGGCTGAGGGAATCCACACGGCCGTGTGTGTTTCACATTTGGCCGTGTGGAAAATGCCGAGCCTTCACACGGCCAAGGGCTCAAAACCACACGGCCGTGTGTGTTTCAGGCATGGCCGTGTGGCTTGCTGGAGCCCCGAATTCAACCTGTTTTCACTCAAAACGACGTTCGACTCTGGAACAACATCTCAAGACTCAAAAACACAAAAAAAAAATTAAAAGGAAAAAGGTAAGAAAATGCAAACCTAGGTGGGGTTGCCTCCCCACAAGCACTTCTTTACCGTCTTTTAGCTGGACGTCAGTAGAGGAACTAAGGGTCCTCGAGCTTGATCAGCAGCTCTGCGCGCTCGACAGCACCTCCCAAATACAACTTTAGGAGGTGGCCATTCACCTTGAATGGCTCGGTTTGAGCATTGCTGATCTCCATCGCACCGTGCGGGAAAACTTGGGTGACCGTGAATGGTCCTGACCACCTCGAACAGAGCTTGCCCGGAAAGAGTTTCATGCATGCATTGAAGAGTAGAACGCGATCACCTACCTGAAACTCCTTCGGGCCCCTTAACCAAGCGCCGTGGAGACGCTTGGTTTGCTCTTTGTAGAGCAGGGTGTTCTCGTAGGCGTGGTAACGCCACTCCTCCAACTCCAGCAGCTGCAACTTACGTTCAGTACCTGCAACACTCAAATCCAGTTTTAGCAGCTTAATGGCCCAGAAGGCCTTGTGCTCTAGCTCTACCGGCAAATGGCACGCCTTCCCATAGACAAGCCTATAGGGAGAAGTGCCAATCGGGTTTTTATAGGCCATCCTATACGCCCAAAGAGCATCATCGAGCTTGGTGGACCAATCCTTGCGGGACTGATCCACCATCTTTTCAATTATTCGTTTTAGCTCCCGGTTCGTCAGCTCGGCCTGCCCATTTGACTGGGGATGGTAGGCCACCGACACCTGATGCTTAACGCCATAGCGAGAGAGAAGTTTAGTGAATTGCCCTTGAAAATGGGTTCCTCTATCACTAATGATGGCGCGAGGTGTCCCGAACCGGGAGAACAACTGCTTCAGAAATGAGCAGACCTGTCTTGCATCATTGGTGGGCATGGCTTGAGCTTCTGCCCACCTCAAGACGTAGTCCACTGCAACCAATATGTACAGATTGCCAAAAGATGGAGGGAATGGGCCCATGAAATCGATGCCCCAAACATCAAAAATTTCACAAATAATAGAGATATGTTGGGGCATCTCATCCCGGGAAGAAATGTTACCTGACCTTTGACAGCGGTCGCACTGTCGTGCGAAGGTGTCTGCATCCTTGAAGAGTGAGGGCCAATAGAAGCCCGACTGTAGCACCTTCCGCGACATGCGGTTTCCTCCATGGTGACCTCCAGTAGGTCCCTCGTGGAATTGAGACAGGATGTCTCTCATCTCGTGCTCCATGACACAGCGCCGGATCATGCCATCTGCTCCGATCCTGAAGAGGTAAGGATCCTCCCTGAAGTAGTGCTTCAGGTCGGAGAAGAACTTGCGCTTCGCATGAGTGGCCATCCCCTTGGGTAACTGCTTGCCCACCAGATAATTGGCAAAGTCAGAATACCAAGGGGCCACGCTGTTCACCAGTGTCATCGCCAGCAATCGCTCACCCGGGAAGGAATCATCGATCTCCTCTACGAAGTTGTCCACCGGAGGGGCTTCCAACCATGAAAGATGATCTGCAACAACATTCTCAGCTCCCTTCTTGTCCCGGATCTCTATGTCGAATTCCTGCAGAAGCAAGATCCAGTGGATGAACCGAGGCTTTGCATCAGCCTTGCTCATCAAGTAGCGAATTGCCGAGTGATCTGTGTAGACCACTACATGGGAGAGCACCGGATATGGCTGGAACTTGTCAAATGCATACACCACAGCGAGGAGCTCCTTCTCAGTGGTGGTGTAATTCTCCTGTGCATCGTCCAAGGTCTTCGACGCGTAGTAGATGGGCTGGAAGTGCTTCCCGCGTCTCTGACCCAGATCAGCTCCGACTGCATAGTCACTCGCATCGCACATCAGCTCAAAGGGTAGAGACCAATCAGGAGTCACCATGATGGGAGCGTGGGTGAGCTTCTCCTTCAAAGTCTCGAATGCTGTTGTGCACTCAGGAGTGAACTGAATGGTGCATCCTTCTCCAGCAACTTGGTCAGAGGCAGGGCAATCTTCGAGAAATCTTTAATGAAGTGCCGGTAAAAGCCTGCATGAACCAGAAAGCTGCAAATCCCCTTCACAGAAACGGGAGGAGGTAGCTGACTGATCGTCTCAATCTTCGCGCGATCCACCTCAATCCCCTGCTTGGAGATCTTGTGCCCGAGCACAATACCCTCACGAACCATAAAATGGCACTTCTCCCAGCTGAGTGCCAGATTGGTCTCCTCGCACCTCTTCAGAACGAGCTCCAGGTTATGGAGACAGTGAGTGAAGGAGTCTCCATACACCGAGAAGTCGTCCATGAAGACTTTCATGATCTCTCCAACTAGTCGGTCGAAGATCGCCAGCATGCATCTCTGGAAGGTCGCCGGTGCATTACACAGCCCAAATGGAATCCTTCGGTAAGCAAAGGTATGGAAGGGGCAAGTAAATGTGGTCTTCGCCTGATCCTCTGGTGCAATAGGAATCTGGAAATAACCAGACATGCCATCCAGGAAGCAATAAAACTCATGGCCAACCAACCTATCCAGCATCTGATCAATGAAAGGTAGGGGAAAATGATCTTTCCCGGTGGCGCCGTTCAGGCGCCGATAATCGATGCAGACTCTCCAGCCGGTCACGGTCCGCATCAGGATCAACTCTTTCTTCTCATTCGGGACCACATTCATCCCGCCTTTCTTCGGGACCACCTGAGTGGGGCTGACCCACTTGCTATCAGATATAGAAAAGATGATCCCTGCATCCATGAGCTTCACAATCTCTCCCTGGACCACTGCCTCCAAGTTAGGAGACAATCTCCGCTGTGGCTGCCTGACTGGCTTAACCTCATCCTCCATCAAAATTCTGTGGGAGCAGAAGGATGGGCTAATGCCTCTGATATCAGTGATCTTCCAAGCCATGGCCCGGGCATACTTCTGCAGCAGAGCCACCAGGCTGCTCTTCTGCTCGGGTGTCAGATCCGAGCTTATAATGACCGGGAGCTTATTCCCCTCCTGGATAAATGCATACTCCAGGTGAGAAGGGAGGGGTTTAAGCTCCAACTCTGGCGGCTCCTCCAATGATGTAGCGATCCGGGGCAAGATAGGGATCGGCTTGAATGGTATCTCTCGCCCCTCTATAGCTGCCTCGTCCAGCTCCGCGAGCTGCTCCTCCAGCTGCACATCTTGTGATGCATGTTCCCCTAGCAAAAGACAACGCTCAAGGAAATCATCAGTACCCGCACTCGTGATGGCGTGTGCGGTTTCAAAATCATCAACAACATCACAATAGTCTAAATCATCATGGAGCTGGGGGTGTTTCATATTTTCAGAAACAGAGAAGGTGATTTGTTCACCCCCAGCTCGCAAAATCAGTTTTCCATCATTCACATCAATGAGCGCCTTGGCGGTGGCGAGAAAAGGTCTACCCAATATCAATGGCACATCAACATCCTCATTTATGTCCAAAATCACAAAATCAACAGGATATGAAAATGGCCCTACTGCGACTATCAAGTCCTTAGCTATACCCCTAGGATGCACAATGGATCTATCAGCAAGTTGAATGCTCATCCTAGTATCACTGGGTTCACCTAGGCCTAGCTTTTTAAACAGTTTATATGGCATGACATTTATGCTAGCGCCTAAATCCGCCAAGGACTTCCCTACATGCAAACTACCAATCATGCAAGGGATAGTAAAACTCCCTGGGTCTTTTCGCTTCTCTGGTAATTTGTTCTGCAGGATGGCAGAACACTCCTCGTTGAGCATCACCGTTGACACCTCCCCAAGCTTCCTCTTGTTGGTGAGGAGATCCTTCATGAACTTGGCATACTTGGGCATCTTCGATAATGCCTCCACGAAGGGCATGCTTTTGTTTACCTGCTTCAGCATTGCCATGAATTTGGCAAACTCAGTCTCCAGTCGGTCCTTGTGCAACCGAGTAAGAAAGGGAAGCTGTGGTACATACTCCTTCACTACTTGTTGCGGTTTAGGAGCAGGCACCTCAACCTCCTTCTCCATTTCCTCCTCATTAGCTGGAAGTGCTGAAGCAAGAGACTCTCTCTCCTGTGCCTGCACAGGTGGATCAGCAGTCATCTTGCCACTCCTGGTAGTGATGGCCTTGCAGTGCTCATTTGGGTCCTACGGATGAGGGATGGTCTGACCAGGTAAAGTACCAGGAGTCCTCTAAGCTACAGCCTGGGCAACACTTCCAAGATGGGTCTGTATATCCCGCAGCACAGCCTGTGTGTTTCTCTGACCAGCTTCTAGCTCCAAGAATTTACCTGAAGCTTTCTCCATGAACTGCTCGATGTTATTGAGCTTGTTTGCACTGGAGGTGGCCAGAGAACCCACCAAATCTCTCAATTCCGCCATCGAGTCACTCTGTACTGGGGCTGCAAGTGCTGCCCCTGTCTGATGAAATGGTCGCACCTGTGACTGAGGTGGAACTTGCCCCTGTCTGGGCAGGTAGAGCGGCTGTTGCGGCAGCTGAAATTGCCCTTGTCTGGGCTGGTAAGGAGGCTTCTGGAAGCCAGGTGGTCCCTGGGGGACTGGTCTAGAATTTGCCCCACCCCGGGAGAAGTTAGGATGCTGGCGCCACCCCTCGTTGTAAGTGTTGCTGGGTCAAAGCGCCTGGCATTAATGATGAATTCCACCTGCTCCTGGGGAGTAGACGACTCCCTCATCGCCTGACAGTCCTCCACGGTGTGATGGGAGCTCTCACACCACTGGCAGTGCATCGCTTGCGGCTGTCCTGTACCTGCAATCAATCCAGAGCGATCGATAGCTGAAACCAGCTTCGATACCACCTGCACCAAATCAGATGACTGGGTGGCTACAGCATGCACACCCCGCCCTGGTGCTCTTCTCAATCTCCTGGCAGTTCCCCAGTCATAGCCCTGCTCTTCCATCTCTTCAAAGAGTTGTTTCAGCTGTGGCGGTGTTTTGGTAAGCATATTCCCGCCACAGACCGAGTCAATCGGCTGCTTATCCTCCGGGAAGAGAGCATGGTAGAAGGTGCCCACCTTGAAGGCGTCGGTGAAACCATGGTTGGAAAACTTGAGGAAGAGACTGGTGTATCTCTCCCAAGCATCCCGGATGGTCTCATCTTCATCTTGAGTGAAGTGGGTGATTTGCTTCTGCAGGTCCGCCGTCTTGGACGGGGGATGGTAGCGAGTGAGGAACTTGTTCGCCAAGTTGGCGAACGTAGTGGTCAAGCCTGGAGGTCGAGTGTCTAACCACTCCTTGGCCTGCCCCTCCAGAGTAAATGGGAAGTACCTCAGCTGGATGGCATCGGCTGGGACCCCATTTATCTTGATTCCATCGATCAGCTCATGGAATCGCCTCAGATGTGATCGGGGCACTCCCCCTCCTTGCCACGGAACACCACCGAACCGCGCAACATCGTGATGACCGAGGTGCTCACCTCAAAGTTGTTCGCTGGCACATGAGGGTGCTTAATGGGTGACCTCATGTCCGTGGCTCTGGCAGTCCAGTAGTATCCCATGGTCTGCTCCTCAGGAATGTCCACCTCATGGTTCTGTGGATCCCCCATCTCTTCTTCGTCGGCGATTTGCAGCTGTGCTAGCGCCTCCTCCGCAGCCAGTCGCGCCTTTAAAGCCCGCTTGAAGTTCCTATAGTTCCGTTCAAGCTCCTGGTCTAATGGTAGTAGTTCTCCCGACTGGCCACGGGTCATGCACTACCTGCACACAACCAGCAAAAGCAACCCGTGAAGGCACACAGGTGGAAGAGAGAAAAATGCAGTAAAGAAAAAGCTAGAGTAACAAACTTTCCATTTCTACAATAACCTAGAGGGTCCCCGGCAACGGCGCCAAAAACTTGACACGCTAAAACACAACACCAAACTGCGACCAAGTATAATCGCAGTCCGGGAATGCAGTAAAGTGGCAAGTTCTATTATCAACCCGGGGTCTAGATCTACTGCCTACTCCGTGAATATCTATTATCTAGCCAACTAAGTCGAGTGATTGTGGTTTTAACTAAAAGCAGTAAGAAAATAGGAATTGGTTCGGTTTTCTAAAGCAAAGGAAGAGTCACTCGGGAATGAGTCCCCCTAGCTCCTTAGTTAGGTCTCAATTGTAATTACCCTGGGTTGATTTACTGTTGTTTGAATTGCGGAAGATCCGACAGTAGCTTGGAATCTCTTAAGCTGACCAAGCCCTCTCAGTCAAACTACCCGGCAGACGACTAGTCTTCACCGGGATAGAAAGCTGAGGCTATGAACACAGAACTCCACTACTGGAATTGGATTCCAGTACAAAGCAGCAGATTGACTAACTCTCGTATAACCAATCTACTACTACCGAATGATGAAGCTCTAACAACCTAATCAGATTTTATCTATCTCAGGTTGCAGCAGAAATCAAGAAAAGCTGATCATACTTCAATTAATTCAATGAAGCATGCATCATTCGATTATAATCAAACAGTATAACAATCCCAAGTCATTACAATCAAGATCCCTAACACATGGAACTAGGGTTCTTCATACCCAAGTGAGAGAGAGTTCTACTCCATAGAGAGAGAGGGGAAAACAGAATACCAAGCAGTCATACTCATAACAATGGGAAGAATCTGCTCTGGGATGATGATTTTCACTCCTATGATGATCTCCAAGCTTGATTGATGAAACCCAGCTCCAAAAACCACTCTTAGGATGAGTTCTTCGCACTTTCTCTCTCTAGGGCTCTGTTTTTGCTCCAAAAAGTCGATTCTCTCACTTGTGGCTCGAAATTGGGTTAAAACCCAGATTTTCCCGATTCACACGGGCAGGCCACACGGCCGTGTGGCTTACCCAGATGCCCGTGTGAGTTCCAAAATGCTACATCTCGAATAATTGAACTTCAGGTCACGGCCGTGTGGAATTTCCATCATGCCCGTGTGAGGCCTCGCTAAATCCCACACGGCCACATGGGTGACTTGCACGGCCGTGTGGGTTTTAGCGTGAAATCAGCCTAAAACACGAGAATCCACATCTCAAACGGTGTAAGAATAGGAGTAAAAACATGTGCAATTAATGGTCTATCATGAGCCCGAAGGGCGAAGGAACGGGCGAGTGGCTCACCTTCACATATTATTCGTGATTGGGAGTGATAGAATAGAACTTTTTTTTCCCAAGCCAAGCCGCTGGAATACCTGAATTCCTAAATTGCCCATAAATACGTTAAATTGGGAGAAACTTGCGGTTGGTTCTCCTTCCCTCTGCCACCAGCAGTTGATCACCAGCAACTTTCACGGGCTTAGCTTTGACACGTGCCCCCTTGCTTTTAGGAATTAAAGACCCGTGCATTAAAGATATATGGGATGAGGCTTTCGATCAAAAAAGCTGGGACTCCCAGAAGGAGAACTGATTTACTTCGGGAGTTGAGCTCTTGCCACCAGTTCTTCACTCCGGCCTAGGAAAAGCAGCGAACTGTAGAAGCTAAGGCCTTGTTCACCTTTGGACACGAGGACTATTGCGTTATCAGCGACGAGCTTTCCTTCGTCTCCCTCTCCCTATCGGTCGAGTGACTTCGTTCCTCTCCCTATCGGTCGATTTCAATTAACCAGTCTTCTGTTTGCAATTGAATGTGTATCAGCTGTGATTGAATAAGTAAACACTGCAGATAAGGCCACTCATTCGTCCTGACTAAATAGTATAATCTATCTCTCAGCGATTCTTTTCTCCGCTAATAACCCCTTCCCAACCAGCCCGCCCGATCTATTTTGTAAGATCGTTTAATTCAAGGGGTTAATCTGATCCAAAGTTGTCGGAACGAATTGGTTGCTTTATCGAACAAAGCTTTTTTAGGAGGTCTTGGTTGGCCCGAGCTTTAAGGCAGTCCTATCTTTACGACCTATGATTACCTCTATGCTGATGGCATCCCTTTACTTATGCGGTCAAGGATCATCCCCTGGACTTAGTTCACATGTTCTTGCTTAGTTTGCATTCCGGGTATGTGGCAAGCAAGAAAAATGTATTCGCCATAGTTACTATATCCTTTGCTGCCATAGAGTGAAAGCCAGGTGCTAGCTAGGTGTGGTCTCCTGCCATTGGCTTAGCCTTAGCCGATCCTAGTTAGCCGAGTAGCTGCATTCCTTGAAAGAAAGCTTTAACCCCAGACCTTTCAGTCGAATCTTCTTATCCAGATTCAGTTTGTGATCCTAAACCTTCTGCCCTACCTTCTTCAAGGGACTAAACCAAGGGAATCAACTGAAATAGATGTTGAGCTACCCCTAAGAGCGGGGGATTTTGTGAGATTTCTGATTGGCTATCTTGTGTTTCTAATAAGTTGTTTAATAGTTGGCATGTTGAATTGTATGTATAGTAAGTCCTTTTTTGGTCTATCCGTGTTAATAAAATAAATCCCGTGAAACAAAGGATGGGAGTGGCGTTCTGCTCTAATGGTGAAGGTCCTGGGAAGGACATACCCTTACCCTGTAGTAGCGAAGTGTCTGCAAGCACTTCACAGAGTACACCCCATCTCTAGTGCCACTCCAAATCTGGCGATCAAGGGGACGGCGCCAGCTCAATGGTATGCTACTAATAGCCGCCACATTGGCAGGAAAAATAGATGAAATCAACTCCTCATTCCAACCTTCGGTTGGACATTCATCTCAATCTTCCTCCAGCTCCAGAACCTGAGCCTGAAGAAACAAGGACGCTTGCTCGTTGTCCCTTTGGCTTACGTTTAGCCTTATTTTCCACTCGTCGATATTCCTTTCGCAGCACGTACTCCACGGGAGCTTTGCTTTCCCTTGAATGCCCGACTGATGAACAGCGAATGCCCGACTGATGATCTTGATTCATTAGAAATTGGACAAGTAAGGAAATTTCTCGTTGAGTTACGGACCTATGTAAAAACCAATAAACCGCAGTTCCTAGAAATAATTTCTTCTACCAAAACATTCACCGAAGAAGCGGAAGCCCTTTTGAAAGAAGCTATTCAGGAACAGATGGAACGCTTTTTGCTGGCGGATTGATCGAGTGGAGAGAAAGAAAAAAATTGCCCGCCTAATCCTGTATCAAAGGATGTAGGTTTGTCTCGCCTACCAATATCATAGAAGTGCTAGTTTTATGTGGAGTGAGCTCTCTTCGTTCCTGGAGCGACCATCGGTAACCCAGGGAGAGTAGACGCCACAAGGGAAAATGCGATGAAAGGTAAATTCGCAAGACTTTGTGTGGAGGTCAATTTCAACAAACTGCTTCGATTTTTTTCATTGGGAGAGAAGAAGAAATTAAGTCTTAAAGGCCCTAGAGGAGCTATAGACAAGAGGCGTCGTCTTAGCCTTCCCTGACCAGGATCGCTCCCACACCTGTAGCGTTCATGATCTCCCTATTGAAGTTGAAGACAAAGAAAGTCCTTTTTATAGCGGCTCTGCCTGGCACTGAGGAAAGCTTGGGCAAAGATGGGGATAAGGAATAAGGATTGAAGCCCTTTAGCTCTGCCAGGCACTGGGCTTGGCTTGCTGATAGTGAGGAAGCCATAATCTATCGGATATCGGATTTCCTATTTTTCTGTACAAAAGAGGTTACGGAAACGCCGGCAAATAGGGCCCCGGCATCGGTGCCGGAGAAGGGGGTTCAAGTTTCTCAATCCTTACCGAGGGAAAACCGTATAACGGCTCCAAGGGACGGAAGGGCAGAGGCCTTTGGTGCCGTCCGGATAAAAGAATCCAATCCGAAGTTAGTCTTGGCGGGCGAAGGAACAAAGTTGCTCGACTGAAAGGAGAGGGAGGGAATATGTGAGCCCGAAGGTTTATCATATGTTCAGTCCTTTGCTCTAACCAGTTGAGCTACCTGAACAACTTTCCTAAAGTATGTTTTCTTCATCGAATAGCGCGTTCCCTAAACCAGTGCTTTCCTTCTTGCTTGGCCCGTCCAACGGAGATTTGTTCGTTGCATTTCATGTCAACTCTAATTAGTTATCACTAAGCCTACTGGTGGACGCGGAGCCAACGAGTGAAGTCGAAGAAACATCTTAGTAACCAGAGGAAAAGAAAGACTTAACCAATCGCTTGTAGGCGGCGAAGGGCAATAAATTCGGGGATTTGGCTTTTTGGTTTTTTGGGCCGACTTCTCAGTCACTTAATAAAATAGTAATCCAAGAAAGAGCTCTTGGGAGTCATCAGCCTGTTATCCCCGGCGTACCTTTGATCCGTTGAGAGAGAGCCCTTCCACACGGGACTCGCCTTTCCCTACCTTGCCATGTTGACTTCCTTGCTTTCCATGAGGCTGGAAGCGTGGCACCTCACACCTTTGTACACGTAACAACTACTCATGTTATCCTTGAACGTCTCCCTATAATACTAAACATTGACACAACGTGGAATCTTGATGGGAAGAGGATCAAGTTGCCCCTTGCGAACAGCTTGATGCACTATCTCCATTCAACCCTTTGGCAATCGTTCTGGTAGACAAAGAATTGTTAGCAAAGCTACCCTTTTCATGGTTAGGGGAAATACACCAGCCGCACCCACGAATGATATAAATACTACCGTTACTTTAGCTTTACTTACGTCAGTGGCATATTTTTATGCGGGCTTGGGGAGCCTGGGTGCATCGCCCGTAGCGAGAAAGGTTCATTCCGAATCACAAGAGCAATCTCTCTTTTTTCTTTTCGTTATGATAATGCAATGCAAGAGGTCGGATGGCAAAGATCAGATATGTTTCTAAACTCTCGAAAGAGCATGCAAAGAGTTCATCCCATAATAGCAAAATCCCACCCGCTCGTCCATTGGCAAGCTATAGCACTTGCTAAAGCAGAGTTATTTTTAGGTTCATAGGGGACGATTTTCATGCCTCCTTCCTCTCCTTTAGAGTCGCCGACCTTGTTCCCTTCATACTTGACTAAGTAGTAATTCTTATTTATTACATCTTTTCTTTCAGTGGGGTCAGAAGAAGCTCACTGCCGGATAGAGCTTCAGTTTTTAATCCCTAGAAGGCAGATTAAAAAGGTGAGATGATCTGTCACAGGGAAAACTGCGATTCATTCCACTGCACCTGACTCATTAAACTCAAAGCCACCAGCGACCAGCGCTCCTTCTCCTCCTACGGCTGAGCTCTTGTCTTGAAGAAGATTCATGATCCAATTTACTTCAGCGGCTGTGGAGGCAGCTTCTTCTATCCCAGCCAATGAGTGCGCAAGAGCTGATAGGCCAATAATTGAATCAATTGCAGCGCTTACTGTAAGAAGAAGACCGGTTACAAGAAGCACTATGGTTCCGGGCCTACTTTCCAACCCTTTATCACGCCCCACGCCCAAGAGCTTCCGATGTCCGCTATGAGAGTGTGAGAAGAAGGCAGTCGACCCCAAGCCGACCATTTTCCGTATTCTGAAACACGGAAAAAAATCATTGGCTTATCAAATTATCTATCGGGCCGTGAAAAAGATTCAACAAAAGACATAAACAAATCCACGCCCTGAAAGATGTTCTACCTTACCTTTCATGAATGGCATTTCCCGATGGTTGCCCAGAGCAGAGGTTTATGGCTGCAGATCATCTAATCAATTCTCCAATCCGGTTGAAAGGACGAAAGGAGGTTAGGAAAGGAGATGAGTCTTTCTTTATTATGAAAAAACACATAACTGAAAGACCTTACCTCTATCGAGAGTAACCTGGGGACCCAATATAGCTTTCTCTTGTTGGGTACGTACGGCTGTTCCTGCATAACCTTCCCCCTATCCCTTACGTAAAGGGGGCAGGATCCGTCCAAGAACGACCAATCTTGTGATGGTACGGAAGGCCTTCCACTTCCAACCCTAATGCTCCGCTAACGTCGCGCGGGGCGGCTATCTGCATGTGTCACAAAGTGACGTCCATTTTTGGTAATGGGTATACTCATTAGAATATGCTCGAACAACGGGGAGAGGAGAGAAAAGTTTGGAATTCTTCCTCTCCCTCCCTTCGGTCGAGTATATTGCATAACCTCTCCCGACTTCTGCGCATGCATGTTTTACAACACAGTCTTCTTCGGGGCCTGGCAGTGGCACTAGCGGGGGTACAGGAACCGTTGGCCGAGAGCCCTTAATGGTACATTGGGGTTGGAGGCTTATACACAGCAAGGACATTATTCTAAGTTCGAGAGAGGTTATTTATACCAGCCCGTCATCGTTTAAGTCAACGGGAAGCGGGGCACATAAATCTGACCTAAGTTGCTTAATCCCTTTCTTCTTGCTTTCGAGCCCAAGCCTACGTTTGCTTAGTAGGGGATACCATAGTGACTTGGCTTTGGGGTGGTTTCTCCGTGGACAATGCCACCTTAAATCATTTTTTTAGTCTTCATCAACAGAACCTCACTGTAGAGAGGGAGACCCCCGGAAGCGTAAGAACGACTATTTTGGAGCAGTAAATACTGGTTCCAGCTCGTGCAAAGCGGTAACTATCTGAAGGAAGGGTACGGAGTTGATTCTCGCACCGGTAACGCGCTGACTACCCAACTGATCCAATAACCTGCTACCAGACTAGGAATCTCTCCTTAGCAGTCTGAGATATTTAACCTGAACAACTTTCCTAAAGTATGTTTTCTTCATTGAATAGCGCGCTACCTTACAACAATTGAAATAGGTAATCCGAATTGGTATCCAATCTTTAATTACATATTACGAGAATGTCGTTGAAGTATGATCGCTAGTGGGATAGTCCTTATAGAGGTTGTATCAGAATCTCTATGGGATGCTTGGGTCTCTCTCTTGGGCGGGGCATCAAGTACATGTATCTTTACCAATTAACCAATTTATAAATGCTGGAGCGGAAAGAGAGGGTATGTATGAAAGGTCAGTGGTTCGAATCCACTTCTAAGCGGGCGAAGGGTCAAAAGAACAGGTAGTCGGGCCTACCTGCCCTAACTTTTTGTTTGTTTGCCGATAGTACCGGCACTTCAACGGCGTAAATAGATTAAGAAGATGCAACCCTTTTTCAAGTAGTGTTCGATCAATTATGTATTAATCAATATTCTATTGATTGGTCTGAGGTTATCAACAAAAAAGATTTGGCTAAGTCACTTCGTTTCTTTTTGTTCAAGTTACTTATTTTTTTGTATCGAGTATATTGATGAGGTTTCTTTATCCGATTGCGACCCTCTCTATCAAGAAGCGGTTGCTTGCAAGTTAGACTTCAACAGTGTTCAGGTTCATTATCGACGAATCCAATTTTCTAGGGAAGAAAGACCGGATGAATCTTCAAATGCGATGGCATGATCGGATGGTTATTCCTCAAGTGGATCCTTTGCCTCTTACCTCCATTATCGCATAGCACCGTTTGGTGAGAGATATGAGCAAGATTGTTATAATTATTTTTAATTAATCTATATACTAATTAATCTATATTGTTGTTATGCTATCGTAGGTTAGTGAAGATGTATATATATACAATCAAAGATATTATCTTGATCAAGTACCGATTGATGCAAGCGTGTCATACGACCAACCTAACCATCATTCAAGAGATGTATAGAAGGATCACGATGTACATATAATTCTTCATCTTTTGTCATTTTTTATTTTTTTAATGTAATCAGTGATTTATAAAATAAATTTATTAATTGTTAATCGTATTGATTATTTTCAATGATTTAGGCTAATACAATGTGGCACTTACTTTGACTCTTTATAAAGAGATGCATGCCTAAGAAAATGGGGTCTTAAGCGATTATCATGAATTCATGATCCTCCCATTTCCTGGGAAAATCGGGTTTTAAGCGATCTTTGGATTCTCCTTAATCTGTCAAAAAGGTTGTGTTTCTAAGGAGATGTATACCTCTCGTAAGAGTCTAACGAGTGTACTTGTATTGGATTAAATTATTAAAAACAGCTAATACAATTTACAAAATAATATAATAGATTTATATGTATGTGTGAAAAACTAATTATGTTAATTTTTATTATTTAGTTAGTTGATTTATGTGTATATCTTTTGAATGCTATACATTTTAGTTAATTGAATATGTTTGCTTTACAAAATTATGTATATATCCTGGAAATGGTATTCATTTTGTTAATTTCAATTGTTTGTTATAATATGTTTATGTATTTATAATCATAAACCTATGGTTGTAATTTTCTTCGCTAGGATGCACTGTCATATTGTCCGCTAAAGGGGTACAGACAATGTGCTCTGATATAGCCCCACTATCTTGCCCTATCTCAAAATGACAAAGTTGGATTTGATGAGGCACTTTGTTGGCATAAAGATCGACCGTCAACTTATCACAGCATTGGTGGAGACATGGCGAAAGGAGACACACAACCACAACTTTTGTGAAGGAGCGTGCACCATCACACTAAAGGATATCGCCATCCTAACTCATTTGCCTATCGATGGCGATGTAGTCTGTGTGAACGATCATCCACCATCTTCAAGTGTTGACGAGATGAGCGATTGAGAATATTTGCTCTACACCACTTTGGGGTTGTTCATGCCAGACTAGGCAGAAGATGATGTGGAGGATGGCAACCCACCATTGAGGAAGAACCAAGTATCAACCACTTGGTTGACATTGGCGATCAAGAGTAAGCACAACCCTGATGAAAATGGCATTCCCTTCTCCGAGGAAATTGAGGAGGTGGACAAGAAAATTGAAGAAGAATAAGGAGAGGGGTAAAGAGCTGAAGTTTTCGGGGTTGCCTTTTATAGGCAAAATGTCAAGTGAACCCCCCCCCCCCCCCCACCCACCCACCCACCCACCCCACACCCTGCGTTCCACTGAAAATCGATGGGGAGGCGGTTTTCACCTGACATGCAACCCCACGTCTACACCCCTGCATGCCGGCATGTAAGCTGTCGGGGGATGGGGACTACTTACAAACCGCTCCCCCCCACCCCCACCCCACCTCCCCCAAGCGGTTTGTCGTTTGTGTGTTGTTAACTCAAACCACCCGATATTGGAGCAGTTTCTATTGTCGACCAAGAACCGTCCTGTTAAAAAGCCATCTTCATCTAGGTCAGCCATAGAACCACCCCTAGAGGGTGTGGTTTGTGTTGAAAATACAAACCGTATGTTTACCACACGTTCGTCGACAAATCGCCTTCCCATGTGGCAGTTTTCATGAAATGGTGGTGTTTTTGGAAATTTTCTGTAAAGGGTAATGTTTTTTGAATTTTATAGTTTAATGTTGGTATTTCTGGAAAAATTATTATTTTGGTGGTATAGTATTGAGAGATATTGGGGATAAGTTAGTAACTTTGTGGATTAGGAACTTTGTATGTGAATCATGATGGTATATAAAACTCACATGTAATATGGTGATATAAAATTGAATGATATTGGTATGGTTAAGTAACTTTGTGAAATATGAATGTGAGTGAATACGTGATCATGTTTATGTCTTTCGAAGTTTGAAATGAAAAAAATACGAGTTGATTAGGAATAGTAGAACTAAAAAAAGAGAGAAAAATGTGCTAGGGGTTTCATTATTGAGACTTGCAAGAATCACCAGTGGTGGAAGAGCAAGTATGAGTAGAGAAGGATTCGATAAAGAGAATGTGAGTGGTTCAGGCGGAACCGAGATTTCGGGTTCATCTGACATAGTAGCTACAATGGGAGATTTTGAATTCGGGAGTGTAACTTCTTCTACACGAACCAGTCGGCGAGATAAGTGGACCCAGGACGGTTCATGGGTAACTTAATAATCTCAATCCGCTTTTCCTATTTACTAGTACATTGCACGCTACTACTTGCAGCACCTTTACTAGTAAGGGAAAAGGCTAGTGCGCAACGGTGGAAAAGCCAGCTGTTAAGAGTAGGTTTTGGTTTTGGCTTGCCCCTTTCTTATTACTTATTATTAGTAAGAAATGTTGGAAACCCTATTCTTCGCGGTTGCTTGCTTTTCGCCTCTATCTCGTTAAGGGGCTTATGAAAAGCAATACGGTATGCTGCTTCTACGCAGTTAAACAAACACAAATGCACTTCGTGCTCAGCTCGAATATTGCCTCTTGTCTCCCTCCTTCATTCTATATCGTAGAGACAATAGGTTAAACTCCTCCAAGTACTCTCTCGCCACTCGACTCTAAAGGAGAGGAGAGGCATTATATCTTGATTTTTTCTTCCCTGGAATAAGGATGTAGGGGACACGACAATATTTGCTTAGGAGATTGGGGAGCACCTCCTTCAAAGACCTACTAACTTTCGATTGCGGGAGATTAGGCAGCGCTAACAGATTAAATGCAAGGGCTCAATGCTCCTCTAATAAGCACTTTCTCTCTAACTTGGCTTGGTTAGCTTGCTTGTATGGGCTGACTAACTTAGTGAATGGTACTACTTCCTTTCTTTCTAGTTTGGAATAGATCAAAGCATTGTATCATGCATTCCGGTGGTGTCCCAATGGACCTGCATAATGTGCAATTGTAAAGCAACGAGAAAGTGGTCATCAACGGGTAAATCAGGTGACAAGAAGGTGGTCATTGACACGAGATATGTATGGCCGGGTCACTTTGGAGGATGCTTGTCAAATGCGTTGGCGTAATTAAGATTTGGGGTTTGGTTTGTGAGTAGGATTAGCAATACGGCAGTGGTGGTTAATAATGCTCTCTTTTTGTTTCCAACGGGTGTGTTGACTTGTGACTTTCGTGATTAGCTTTGGTCAATCTCGTGATTGATTCTATTGTTATGCAAGTAATCTAATGGTACAAAAAATGCAATCCCAATTTCTTTCTTTTCACTTTTATCTTTGGACATAATTCTTTTATTTATTTTATCTTGTGCATGAAGATAGACAATGTTGAGCCAAATTCAAATATATAACCTCAAAATTATGAAAACTTTATAATCAAATCTCAAACTCTTGGATCAATCTAATGATTGAGATTTAAATAACTTTTTTATGTCATACTTTAGTTAATTGGGAATTGTATGTTTTTCCTTTTTAACTTGAATTTCAAAAAAAAATTACATATAAAAAATTATCGACAAAATTATATTCATTTTTATATATTTTGAATCTTACGATCATATATACCGTCATGGTATCCTTTTGATACCACCATGATATATTTTGAATATCACCATGGCGCTAAGCAACACGTAGGACTAAATTTGTATTACTTACATTGATGTAACACCCTATAAACGCTACATAAGGAGAGTTTTTCACAGTGATAGTGATGCACCAACTTTATAAGAGAAAGCAACACGCCGAGACTCAACCTCAATCAACTTTGAATCTTATGAGCAAGATGGTTGGCCAAAACATTCCATTATGATAAGCTTGCTGTTTGCTTACCACTTCACATCATGTATCTGATAAGCATTGTTGGGTTACATTTTCTCAGAATGCTATAACTTAGAAAAACACATCCAGCTTACCAGCGGGGGACAACACACAAAACAAAGACCAGATATTTCTGGGGTCATCCAAAACTTCCCCCCAATGACTCAGACTTTCCACGTAGACACAAATGTTCTACGACAGATGGAAGATCTGTGCAGGCCAGGCACGTTTCCGGCCACCAGCGTCAACTCCAGAAGCCTCCATGGAGATGTCAATGCTGCGATGCTCTACACCTCGTGCAATGCTGATTCTCAGACTGAGTCTCGTCACTGGACATTTCTCGCTCCCAACCACTGCAGAGTTATCACCAGGTTGCTGCCCCATGGAGGCAATAGCTATTGGGTCCCTCAAGGTGAGCAGGGTCTGGCACCAGTGTGTCTTGGGAGTGTATGGTGATGTGGATAGAAGAGCTGGCATTTCTTTGCAGAACCTGGAGGTAAAACCTGTGTCGAACCATACTACAATCCCATAACACAATGCTGCTTTGGATTCGGTGAGATTGGCTACTGCATTGTCTGACTTTGGTTCTAACTCGATTGTAGCAGTGAAATCCACATCGTCAGGGCTCATAGTTGCCAGATCAAATTTCTGAAACAAGAAACATTGATTTACAACGGTCAAATCAGAACTCACAAACTCATCTTAACCAAACTTACATGAACCCACCAACCCGACCCGTTTGGCAATTGACTGGGAAGTTATCACGCGAGAAAACGAACCTGGAGAACCGAGGCATGTGTCACCAAATCTGAATCTTGCACGACATCAACAATGGGGATTCGAGCTGCATCCTGAACAAGTTCATTCCCCACACATGACATGTTGAAACCGTACACATCTTCCCAGAATGGGAGACTGGTGCAACTTCTTCCAAATCCAGCAGCATACTAGAGAAGAAGCCATTGTACATAAAAGAGAGAAATAAATCATGATTTAACAACAACAACAACAACAACAACAAAACTAGTTAGTTGCCATTCGGCAAGGATGCTAGAGGGAAGAGGGGGGGAGTGGGAGCAAGGGAACCAACCATAATTGCTGTATCTGGAAGGATTGCGCCGCCTGGCTTCAACCATTTGTCCCTTGCAAATAGCACTGAGCCAAGCATAGACTCGTAAAGTAGGCAATATCCCATCCATTCACTTACTAGTACATCAAGACTGTGAGGCTCAATTTTTATGGATTTATCAAGCTCTTCAACCATACTCTTAACCACCTCCATAACACCAGTGGATTTGCTATTGTTCCCGTCACTTTGAACAGTAGTTCTTAGAAGATTATTGTCTTTAGCAATCTAGCATGATAAAAATGGGGTTAAAAAGAGAATAAAATGAAGGGATAAAGAAAGCTTGAATTAAGTGACATCTAGGGAACTATACCTGTGTTGCAACAGCAGCCATCTTCTCACTGGCTTCAACTGCAATTACTCTTGTAGCCCCTGCTTGTGCTGCAAAGAGACTGTGACAAAGAACTGGAATGAGAATTCCTCAGATATCTATTAATGATATCCATAAACATGCAAAAACAGCAAAAGTATGAGAGATGAGACATCTCAAGGTCCTTATAATTGGAAAAAAAGAAAAACACTATGGCCCTGGTAAGTAATGTACAGAAACAAGGTTCAGTAACGTGTCAATGATAAATCATGTTGTGATGACTCGCCTTAAAATGCCAGTTCCACAGCCAACGTCCATTACAACAGCGCCTGTTAAGAGCGAAGGATTTTTCATGAGGGCTTGCCTATAAGAGTCGGTCCGTACCTGCACATCAGTCCTTACTATAAGCTTTTACTGCGTGGAGGGTAAAAATTATATATAAACATAAAATAAATTGCACTACAAATTCTAATGTCTGTACCACATACTTACTAAATGAATAAGTTCACATTCTACAGAGGAAAAATCCTTTAACAAGGACTAAACTAAGGAAAAACCATTACCTTATCACTTATCATCTCTCTATGAATGCCAAAAGAGCTGTAGGATCCAAAATAGTTGTCATTCACTGTCTTGATTTTGTTTGCAGAAAGGTTAACAATATTTGTGGGTTCTGTATCACCCGATACACCATTGGTTATTAAAGGCTGCAGAGATTTGTAGACGACCTGGCCATTTGAAGAAGAGGCGGGCTCTTTGGTTCCATTTTGTTTAAAACTTTCAGAATGATGCTCAGAAGTTTTAACTTCATTGATGTTCAGCACTCCAATATCCCCCAGATGCCTCATGAGTTCATCTTTATCAAATGATGCTTTATAATCATCTTCATCATCTTCTTCCTCCTCTTCACTGAAACTGTGCAGGAGCATATCATCTTGCATAAAAGGTTTCAAGTACTTGTCATCATCCCACAGAAGCCTAACATTTTCCAGATTGGCGGTTTCATGTAAATGGTTCTGCAATTCCTCCTTGGACTGACAGGTGACCCCACAACTCCAGCATCCATTTTGTGCTACCTAGAAAATGAAAGCAAAATAACTGATACAAATAGATACTCTCGAAAGTCCACGTTACTTGGATGAGCCTGCAAGCATATAACAGTAGCAAAGCAAATTTGAGTTTCCTCCGTCTTTTCAAGCCAGTTTTTCATTGGAATTTCTCGTTCAGATCATATATGAAGCGGAATGGGATACAGCTAAACTTCAGGTTTTAGGAGCTCCACATTTAAAATTATTCATCATTAAACAAAGGAAAAATGGCAGATTTTGTGAGAGAACAGTCATGAAAACCACAACTTCCAAACTTCAACAATTTCCTTCCCCTACTTTCCTCATAGCCAGACAAACAAATCAAAAAACTTTGCACAAAGAGCATTCGAAAAGCAACAAGGATACCCAACTAACCTGAGAGCGGACATAGTTGATGAGCTTGAACGAACCATAGAAATCCAAGCCCAACCGTTTCCTTATCCCTTGGAAATCGAACTTGTGAGCCAAACGACAGTGCTCGAACAACTCGTTGCAGGAAGTGTAATTGGAGTCGCAGAATAAACAAACGAAGTTCGAGTCGAGTTCTTCATCGCCATCTTCTCCCCAATCGTTCCAGTCTTCCTCCTCCTCGTCCTCAAGCTCTTCTTCTTCTCCCTCAGACTCCCCGTCCATGATAACCCTTTTCTGAATGAGTTTGATTTCCTCCGCAGACTGACTCTCTGTGTCGGCCATGGCTGTGGAGCGGAAAGTTGAGCAGAGAGAGCAAGACTCACAATAGCGTAGTCTGCTGAACTCAATTTACTAAAACCTCTCGAAAACCCTAATCACTAAAAACGTTTTTTTGTATTCCGAGAAAACTTTTTTCTTATGGACGAGAACTAGCCGCCTGCTGAGGAAGAAAGTGTTAATAAACACTTACTACGAGGACCGATTTGGAATAGGGATGAATTGGAATTTGGAAGCAAGGTTGTCAACCCGAGCGTTAACCAGGACCTGGTGGAGCTAGTGGGTCAAAGGTTAATGGTCACCCGTTTTAGTCCGGTTTAACTCGAAAATATGTAAAGAGTCATTATATTGTATTTATCCTGATAAATTATATCAAATTTCATCTAACATATGAGTTATAACATATAATATTTCACCAATGCCATCGTTTTTTGTGATGCAACTGAGGATGCTGCCTTCAATCTAACAGCGGCCTTGATCACCTTCCAAACAATTACCGGCCTCAAAGTGAACATGACAAAGAGTATGTTGTTTCCGGTGGATGATGTCGATAATATTGATAGACTTGCTGAAATTTTAGGTTGCAACTGGAAATTCTTAGTTTGCGAGTATCTGGGTCTTCCTCTTGGTGCCTCGCCCTCATCCCCTTCAGTCTGGAATTCGGTTATCTGCAAAGTGGAGAAAAGGTTGGATGGGTGGAAGGGAAAACTTTTGTCTCTTGAGGAAAGAATAACGTTGTGCAAGGCTGTTCTTTGTTTAATGGGCCGTGTTCAGTGGTTGAGGCTCTCGATAAGGCTCAAAAAAACTTTATTTGGTCCGAAAACCAGCCCGAGAAGAAATTCCATCTCGTCTCGTGGGAGAGATGTAAGGCTCCTTTGAAACCGGGGGGGGGGGGGGGGACTTGGGATCGCGGATATGCGAAGTCGCAATCAAGCGTTGCTTTGCAAATGGTGGTGGAGGTTTGCTCGGGAAAGGGATTCCTGGTGGCGCGAGTTGATTAGTTACAAGTTTCCCAACGATGTATCAGAATGGATGAAGGATAAAATCGATGGCCCCTTAGGATTGAGTACTTGGATGCATATTTTGAAACTCAAGAATCTTTTCTGGAGGTTCACACGGATTGATCCTGGTGCTGGAGCTGATACCTCTTTCTGGTTCGACAGATGGGTGACTGGAGGGCCTCTCGATGTGGAGTTCCCGCGGATTGTCACTGCCGCCGAGGAGCCTTGCTGTCGGGTTGCTGACGTCTTCCAGAATGCTGATGGGAATGTAACCTGGGATATTCCTCTTAAATTTACTCTTAGAGGAGGGGCCGAGAGAGAGAGAATCAAACTGCTTGACATTCTTCACAATTTGCCTTCTGATTTTCTGTGCGCAGGTCCCTCGCGTCTCGTGTGGGAGCCTTCGATCAACTCTGGTTTCACAGCAAATTCCATGTACAAAGAGCTTATTAAGGAGCGCTATCCCAGTTCACCGGACTTCCCCTTCAAGTTTGTGTGGCGGGCTGCGGTTCCGTTCAAAGTGTGTGTTTTCATGTGGATTGTTGTTCAGAAGAAGGTCCTTACCCATGATGCTCTGGAAAAAAGAGGATGAGCCTTCCCAAGCCGGTGTGTTTTGTGCGGTGCTAGTGAAGAAAGTCTCGATCACATCATGCTTTCCTGCAGCTTCTCCATGGAGATTTGGAGGATCATGGAGGCCTTTGTGGCGCTGCCGGCTAGGGCGACCGATCTTCCTTCTACCATTTCCTCCTGGCCTTGTAGCCAACCTGCTAGTTCCATGAAGTGGTGTTCCAAAGTCTTCCTCCATGCTCTCTGCTGGCGTATTTGGTTAGAGCGAAATGCTAGGATCTTCAAGAACAGGATGGAGCTCACTCGGGTTGTTTGCTTAAGAATCGGCAAGGCGATCTCTGACTGGTTGATTGTAGCTAATCATGTAGATCGCGCCTCCTTCCCAGTAGCAGCAACCAACATCAACTCGCAGACCCAGGCGGTGGCTAAAACGTGGCTAAGCACGTTAAGGTCGCGCCTCCTTCCCAGTAGCAGCAACTAGCATCAACTCGCAGACCCAGGCTGATCATCATCTTCTTCGGGTGGACCATGGGCTTCAGAGTTTCTCCTGTTTGAGCCTTCCTCTGCCTGTTGTACCATTTTTCCTTTCCTGGACTGGCTGCTGCTTCTTGCCGCTTGTTGTTTGTGGCAGGTGGCGTGCGCCTGTTCCCCCTTCTTCTTTCATGTTTGTTGTTCTTCTTCTAAACTCTTTGTTAATTTATTGCACCATTATAAAAAAAAAAAAAAACATGTCGTACATAGATTCAACATATAGTGAAAATTGACACACACTTATATAACATATTAGGGGTGGGCATTCGGTCGGTTCGGTTTCGACCGAACCGAAATTATGAATACCGGGTCCCCGAATTCTCCCGAACCAAATTATAATTCGGTTCGGTCGGTTTAAACCGAATTATAATTCAGTTCGGTTTGGTTTTTCACACAAAACCGAATTTGTGAAGCTACTTGTATTTTCTCACTTTTAAATTATTTTTCACTCCTAATATAAACAATAAATATCAATTATATGCATCATCAATGATAAACCAAACTTTTCAACACATAAGTGTTAAAACATTTCAAATATTTAAGTCTAAAAACAACTACAAACATAAAAATCCATAATTTGGAACTTGCAATTATAGAATTTCGGTTTTTCGGTCGGAAATTCGGAAATTCGGTTCGGTTGAAAGAGCCCTGATTTCCGAACTATCCATATTTTCCTTCCGAATTCCGAACCGAATAGCATTAATTCGTTTTTGGTTCGGTTTAATTCGGTTTCGGTTCGGGTTTACCGAACCGTTTGCCCACCCCTGTAACATATATATTCAAATGTTCAATTTAGGATTTCAAAGATGAAGTCAGGCGAAAAGAAAAATCGAAAAATAGGCGTATTTCGCAAACCACCGAAAAAATGACACAATTTGACCTCCAACCCGAAACCTTGTAGCGGTCGACCCGACGGATGCGTGCGTCCCTTTTTTTCACCGGGTCAGGGTCAAAGCGGGTCTACCCGCAGATTGACAACCTTGATTGATTGGAAGGCATGGAATGATTCCGCCATTCCGGAGTCCGAGTCGCATACATTAACAAACAGTGGGTAGAATAGGAAGGGAAAACTGAAGGTAAGTGAATCAGAGATGGAGAAACAACGAGAGAGAATTGAGGGAGAGAAGATATGCCGGAGATGCAAGCAGAGCTTCACATCCTCGTCCAATAACTCCGCCGCCTGCCGCTTCCACCCTTCCTTCTTCGTCTGCCGCCGCCACGACGACCAGAAAAGGTAAAAATCCGCCGGAAAACTTTGTCCCCTTTCCTCCCAAAAAAATTCCCATCAACAATTTCCCACTTTGCGCCGCCCGATTCTCATCAATTGAATCGGGAAAATCAGAGGGTTGGGTCCAAATGATCCCCTTCGATTGATTTTTCCCTAAAGTTCGTTGCTTGATATGGAATTCGTAGCTTATGCAAATCCAATAGCCAAGAACATAGTGGAAAGCAGAGCACTGAAATTTCACAAGATAAATTTAGTTTAGATTAGATCCAATGCTCTTACGTTTTGTGCTAATTATAATCAAACCCTTTCTTCCTTTGTACTCAAATTGAATGAAGGTACTACGAGCTAGGGCCAAATGATCCGCCATATGCAGCTAAATTCTACGACTGCTGCGGAGCAGAGCAACCTGACGCGCCTGGCTGTTCCACTGCTTTCCATCTCTCTTACGATGATGATTGAACATTAATGATGCCACTCACAGTCTAGTATTCCATCATGATCCCGGCAACTTTTCAGACCCTGCTGCAATTAGTATTATGTGTAATGTAAGGATTGAGTGATGTTTACTCGTTTCGTGGAATCTATAACTCACTCAAGTTTGTTTGCTGCTATTTGTGTATTTACTTAGTTCCTTGGTAATAGCTAGTTATAGTTCAGGGCACAACAAGAAACCCCGCTACTAAACTTGCAAGACCTAAGACGATATATAAACGGGGGAAGAGATTGTGGATTAGGGTTAGCGATATCGAAATCGAGGGCTTCCTATCCGTCCATATTGTGCTGACGATGGCCCGAGGTCGTCATAAGAAGCGGCCGGCGGCGAGGGATGACAAATATCAGAATTGGAGAGGTAAGAAACTTTACCTGAGGTGTCTGCATAGTACTCGGATTTTGGGGATCAAGGCTTTCGAGGCGATCGATGAAAAATAGGCCGGCGGTGAGCTGAAACCTCCATTACCAGCCGTGGTTTGTGATTGGGATTACCTTGAAACCGATTTCCCACGGGAAATGGGGGTCTTCACGTTTGCTGGTAAAGCATACATGGTCGGCGGAGACACTACAGGGGGCGTACATCAGAAAACCATTTGGTGCAGGATGGAAGCTTGGGCAAAGTCTATGAATTTCGTCCTTCTTCTAAGGGTAAGGGTTATCCCCTCCATGATCGCCCTGATCGCGTTCCTCGTTTGCCTATCCCTATGCCGTCTCCAATCGTCGCAGAGATCGATGGCAGAGTAAATGTCCTTAGCGGAGATCATTGCTCTGGAAGGAAAGCAATCCCCGAGGACACCGCCAATTGCTTTCTGGATTTGGAACCGCCCAAGATCAGTAGCGTCGACTGGTGTTGTCGGTGGAGGCCGCTTCCCCCACCTCCCTTCTACGTGCCGGGCACCGATGACTACGCAAATTACTCTCATTGTCTCAAGTTCAAACAGGGTGTCATCGGCAACAAGTTGTATGTGGTTATCGGCGGACGTACGTATTCTTTTGATGCTAGCACCGAAACCTGGGATGAAGGGAGGGAGTGAGGCCGGACGAATGGAGGGGTCGGTGGTGGGAGCAACGGTGAAGGGATCGAAGGAATGAAGTGGCCGGCGATGGCTGTTGTGGACTGTGGGAGGAGGGAGGAGGTTGTGAGGAGATGGGTTAGTTGAAAGAAGGACAAAATCGTCTTATATTTTAGAACTATAGACGGTAAATAGTAAATATTAGGGCGGCAAATAGCGATTCATTTAGTTTATACTTGTAGGCTTAAGTATGAGATCTGACCCTAACAAAACGGTAATGGAATGGCAGAATTGTAAATGATAAAACAATTTTCTGGTTTTCATGTCACTTTGGACGCGTGTCCAGACCACAGCCATTTTTCATTTGGAACCTTACTTTTATATGCAGAGTAAATGAGTGCACACACTATACATCAAACTCTAAAAGTAACACATTGAATTTTGAATTTTAATTGATAACAGTAATATAATATGATTATATAATATAGGATCGAGACTAATATATGCATCACCATAAGCTCTAAACCTTAAATTTTATATGCCGATGAAAACAATTTCAAACGCCTTGACAAGTGAAATATTTCTTCCAACCAAAAAAAGTTAAATATTTCTTAGTACATTGGTTGTTGTGGTTAGGGATGGCACTCAAACCCATAATCGCGGATATCCGACCACCCCCGACCCAGTCAACACGGAGAATTCCCGCTTTGACTCGGTATGGGTAAAACTCGCAAAACGCTTGATGGGTATGAGATGGATATGGTTTTAGCATCCCCGCACCATACTCATACCCGCCCCACCAAAAGCATTTTTTCATATATAAAAAACAGTGAGGGTAATTCAACAAAGCAATTACTAGAAATCCAATTGACTAGCCACCCAAATCAAAACCTAATTCCTTTTTCTCAACTCTTCTTTCACTCTTTCACTTTTTTCCCTGCGTTAGCAAGATTAAGTTAATTAGTTAATGTTTAGTAGATGTATCAAAGCCAGAAAATAATGATTTGGATTACATTGTACTCTATCTTATGAATTAATGGATGTTTTTGCATAAGATGCTTTGAACCATATTAAGAATTGTTGTCTCTTTTTCGACTTCATGATATAGTAGGTATGTTTAATGTCATAATTGAAAATTTACATGTAAAATTTTAGGTATTATAATGTTGGATGTACGGGGCGGGTATTACCCATTAGTACCCGAAACCCACGGGTATGGGGATGAGTTTGCAAAACCTTCCCCCGCATAGGTGTGGGACGGATATGAGTTTGGATATTTAAAAACGGGGATGTGGATAGTTTAGACTTTACCATCATACTTGTGGGTTAGTTTTGGCATCTCTTCCATTTTTGTTGCTTGGTTCTCTAATTATGCATCTCGTTTAGTAATTTTGTAGATTAATAAAAAAATTGGTGGGCTTCTAGCCCATAAATTGGAGTGGGAGTAAATCAGTGGGCAACCAATCCCTCAACAAAGGAACTTTAGAGGTTGTTTGCTTGAGGGATTCGATGATGACTTTGGATCCATCATGGACTTTGTTCCAATTCCATTGTTTGTTTGATGTATTTATGGGCAACAAATCTATGCACCCTAAGGGTCTAAATTCGTGGGGTCCATGTACTTAAAAGTTCCACAACTTTACGTGAGAATTGATCATGGACTTTCAAGTCCATCATTTATGACCAATTTGCCCTTCGTATTTCCTTTCTCTTTGCATACTACTGAGCAATATAAGTCAATTTCACTATATTCATACAAATCTAATTAATCGAATCCAACATGAAATCTGTGAAATAAACAATGTTATTTTTCAATTCCATAATGAACCCAAAAACCTCACATACCCATGGTTTACAAAATCCAAGTTTTAATAAAACCTATATTTTTAAACCCCACTTAGCAAACGACCCTTTATTGTGGAAAAAATTGAAAGCGGGAGTGCGCCCGTACCATACAAAGTATAATATAATGTATAAAAGGATTTAAGTATATTTAATGTATAAAATATAAACTAGTATGCATGCTAATGTTAAATCTTCAAGAATTACAACTTTTTTCACTCACTCTCAAGTTGTTGTACTGCAGACCTTTGGCTTCAATCCAACCACAGAGGTGAACTTCACTAGTCCCTTGAAAGTCTTCCATCGCATCATGATCATAGTCAAATGTGTGATATTTATGTGTATCCACCGAATAGTACACAATACTTCCTTTGACAGATACTCTAGGAAAATATATTTTGTTTCCCATTCCAAGAAATGTTGCCACCATGGAGAAATATGAAGTGTTGCTCAGAAATACCATGTGTGATCCCAAGCTCTTGATTCTCCACCAACCTTTCTTCTGTTGATCGAACTTGTAAATTAGAATCGACTTACCGAGATTACCTACACTGATAGACAGAATTTGGCCTCCACATTCCACTAGATACTAACTCTTGGATTTATAACCATCATAAGGATTCACCACTATAGTCTCGACATGATTGGGTAGGAGCTTCCGAGGATACACGTCGCGTTCCCATTCATACTGTCCCTCAACGCCACGATGACAGCTGAAAACACCTAGTGTTCTTTTCTTATCCAGGAAGTAGAACTTACTGTCTAGAAAGGTTGGGGTTATGGTCGCTTGGTTGAAAATTCGCCTCCTTATCCTCCATATAATACCACTACCCCTCATCCATTTTCATGAAAATGGAACATCATACCACCATATTTTGTGGTATCTGGCGCTACTCCCATGATGGAAAAATTTGGAGAAGTAGGTGCAGTTGAGACCCCAATGCTTAAGGGAGGGGGAGGGGCATTATCCCAGGAATGCTGCAAACTTTCTCCTCGAAAGGGTCCCAAAACTTAAATTCTTGTACATCATGAGGTAGTGCATCCACACCGGGGTCAAAAATGGTCTCATTCATGCAAGTCAGTAACCAAAGGTTCTTTGAGAAGAAAATGCACGTGGTGTCATTCGATGATGGAGATTTGGGAAGGTGGTGTTGACTATTGGTGAATGTGTTTCTGCATCGCAAGTCGTGGAGATGAAGGCTTCTCGTGTGGTGTTGAAAGTAGAAAACCATGGATATGAGGAGGGAGACTGGAGTGCTAGACTTCAAGGAGTTGCAGACGTTATCAACGGTGTTGTCGATTTGAATGTCTTACAAGAAGCGTGCAAGTTTCTGTATTCAGCCACCACCACCAATCGTGTCGTTATGTTGTGAAGAAATTCTAGAGGAAGGTCCAACAACGATATGATCTTGGAAGACAATGTAGCTTCATCCTTGTCGCTGCATCCAAAAACTTTTTGCGTGCTAGCATTGTCAATAGGAGGATAGACTTCTCTAGCAACCGCAAAGCTGCTGCAATGGCGAGTAGTAGCTGTAGTTTGGCCGCGATCGTAGCTGAGGAAGGCAATGGAAAACCAGATAGAGCCATGGTAGAGGTGTATTCCAGGAGGAGTGAGCATGACACATGACGATTGTCTTGTTTCCACATCAAAGAAATTGTTCGGTAGCGATATAGAAAGAAGTAAATACAATAGGGTTTTGTTCCTTTTTGGCATCCTGGGGGGGGGGGGGGGGGGGGGGGGGGGGGGGGGGCTTGAGGAGAATGCGGTGACTTGGTTGACAAAGATTGTCCATCCCTCCAACCTCTTGACTTGAATCCATAAATTAGATGGCCTTTACAGCTTGAAAACTTGTAAGAAGTCGAGATCATTGTCACTAGTCCTACAATCACAAAAGAGTAACTGAAGTAGTTCTCCGTCGAATTCTACCAAGTGACACCAAAATGACATGTTGGTGAGCATAGGCTGCGGCCCATTTTACGTTACCAAGCTTGCCACCGGATGCAGGCGGTTGCTTGTGCTTGTTAAATTTTCCTCGATAGCAAACAACTGGATGCCTAAGTTTTACTATTTGTCGCCCATTTTTTAAATTAAAATGTCATTTTTGCCCTCTAATTTGGGATCTTTCATACCAATCAACACTGATTCAAACACCCTCACACCACCGACAAACCACCACCGCCAGCGCCAAACCACCATCGTCGGACTAAACGCAGGAAGACCACCACCACCACTGTCAAACCAGCAAACCACAATTTTCGGAGCCATGGCCGGACCATCTCTGCCCAAAAGGTGTCGAGGGCCGTCCAACTCCGAGAAGGAAATTAAGGTTTTTTCCTCCATTAACTAGAATTTTCAATTCTTGGAAGGAGAGCCACGAAAGCTATTTTGGAGGAGAATAACTTAAGGGGTCGTTTGGAACCTTTTATTCCGAAAATGGTGTATTACAAGAATGTGTGTACTAAGATTATGTGTATACTAGGTTTTAAGAATGCTTTGTTTGGAAAACATAGAAGAATGCATGGATTATACATGAAATGGACTATAGACACTAAATCTCACAAAAAAAGGCGAGATTAAATATACATAATTTTCTATGTATTATGAATACATCATGCATTCTCTATACATGCATTTTGTGATTAAAACAAGTTAAAAAACATTGTATTCTGCAGAATACATGTATACTCTGAGTACAACGTTTAGAAGCGGAGGTTCCACATCAAACTATCATATTGAATTGCAAAATGATGTGACAATCGAAATGCAATTGCATGGATGTAAATCTCAATTGCAATATTGCAAGCTTTCATTTTATACAATTCAATATGCAATTGCCACATAAGTATTTTTTCTTTTTATTAAAAAATAATAAACATACAAACTTTTATTTTATTAAAAAAATAAGTTAGGCTTACATATGCAATTTCAAGGTAATTGCATTGATGTAGGTGATAAGTGAATGTGATGGGATTGCAAAAAAATTGAGTTGACAATAAAAAACACAAATGCAATTGCTTTTGTAATTTTATTGATGTGGATGCTCTATCAATAGGTACTCTCCGCCACTTGTCCTCCAATCATTGGTTACACAATTTTCTATTTTTAATAATTACAATAAGATCATTATGTTTCCAAAATTTGTAGTTAGCTACCAGAGAATTCAAAATTAATATACAAAATCTAAAATACCAATAAAATATAAATAAGTATCCAAAAAATGAATTTAATTTAAATTCAATTTAATACTGCCATTTTCCCCCGAAATACTGCCATTTAAAATATATGTATTTGAAGCCAAACACACCTTTAAGTGTAGAAAGAAGCCTCACAAGTGGACAACCATGAGTTGGGGTGGACATCGATCAGGTCCGGACCGAATATGACCAAATTCAGGAGAATCGGGATTCAATAGATAAAGATAACTTAGGATCAAGGACCGGACCAATAGTGAATTCGGTCTGTTTGGTTCGTTTTGGGCCAGTCCAAATGTCAATTCAGTCCATTTGTCTTCAGTATTTATAAAATTTATGAAATCAATGATCAAACTATACTATATTCAATTCAGTGTGGTACGATCCAAACATCATTTTGGACCAACCCATTGCCCATTGACCATAGGACAAAATTATGTCTAAAATGACCCTGTGCCTTTTAATCCTGAACCCTTTGAACTTCCTCAACTGCAATGCCCTGACTGTAGACGAACCGTTGTCGTTTCGTCATTTGACCACCAAGTGCACTTGATTGAGCCCGTCCAGTCAATAAGTCTAGACATGTTTGCTCCCGAAACCAGTTTCTCCGCTACCAGCCATCGTTTCTCGTCCAGAGAATCAACACCGTCGCGTGAACTGAGAGAGGTAGCAAATATTACCGGGATCAGAGTGCTTGAAGAAACAATTCGGCGAAATGGGGGAGAGGGCAGCAGCTGCTTCGTTAAAGTTTGTGACGGTACAGGCGAACTCGGCAAGCCTCGCAGAGGCGAGGGCTCGGGTGTTCGAATTCTTCAAAACCACCTGCCGATCCATCCCTACCGTCATGGAAATCTACAATCTCCAGGACGTCGTCAACGAATCCCAGCTCCGTTCGGCCGTCTCCTCCGAGATCCGCAGGCACGCTCACATCACCAATCCCAAGGTTCTCCTTCCCCTTTCTTCTCATTTCTATCTTATGGCTCCGAATTCGTTTTGCCCTAATTGAGGACCGCGATTATGGAGCCCTTCACTATCTCGCCTATCGTTTCCTAGGTGTTAGATTGCCTTGGTGAAGCGGCCTTCCTATCACATAATTCTTCTGAAATGCACATGCTTTTCCTGTGAATTGACTGACTCTCGACTTTAGTTCAGTATTCTCTCAGTAATGGACTTCCAGAGTTCCAGTGTATGCGCAAAGGTTATGGCTCCCTTATTTTGTTAAGTTTTATGCTATGCGTTAGGGAAAGAGGGAGGCTTGAGGCAGCTTGATTGTTCCTACTGCCTGTTACCCTTTCTAGTATTGGTTTATGTACATCTAGTCATTCAATTCCCAATCCCTACTTTTATGAGGGTTTCCTTGTAATAGAATGCATTTGTTCTACTGTTATTTCCTTCTGAAGACAGTAGCAATTCCGGATTTAGAGTATTAGTTTATCTATTAACTAGGAAGATAGGCCACGGTAGTGAAGAAGGTTTTGTCTTTTTATCGTATTAATCAGATGGTAGATGTAGCTAGATTGAGGTTGGTGCGCAAGTAATATTTACACACTGTCAAAGTTAGACTGCTTAACAGAATTCCCTTGATAGAAGTAAGATGGCGAAGGAAGTTGTTAAGTGATGGTGCCCAAGTAAAAACTTCTGTTATGTTGTCTAAAATTCCTTACCAGAATGCTTAATTCACAATTGGTAAGTTGTGTGGGTTGTGCATTTTGTATTGTAAGTTTTCCGAAGTGTCGATTAGAAAAGCATGATCGGACCTTCCATTGTTTTAGACAAGATGAGCATTATTCATAATGAGAAAAAGGAGACCTATGGTCTGAACTTACATTTCAAAGTGAACTATGAATCATGTTAGATGAATTTAGCTGTGATAAAGCAGAGGTTGGTGCCCCTGCTCAGGCGTACTCTCCCGGCATGTGTAATGGAGGATGCTCTTTCTCACTGTCCATGAGCCGTTGGCAAGTAGAACTGAATCCTCTAAATCTTTGAACTTTATGTCATCTGAGTTACGTTTATTGGCTTGCTCAATCGGTTTACATAACTGGCAGCACAAAACCATTCTGCAATTCTCGCATGTTATCTGTTGCACTTGTACCATACTTGTCTTACTCAATCAAGTGTGTGTCTGAACTGTGCCTGTTAGTTTGCCTGTGCAATCTCTGAGAATCTGCTCTTTAGAGTCCATAGATGGATTGAAGTAGGGAGGAGTCACTAGCCTGGTTGTCATCAATCTTTCTGAAAATTCATATCTGGGAACACTCACTACATTATGCTGTATGGTTTCACTGATGAGAAAGAACCTGCAGGTGATCGACATGCTGCTTCAGAAGGGGACAGAAGAGTTGCACAACATTGTGCAGCACTCAAAGCAGCGGCACCATATTATTGGGCAATATGTAGTGGGCCAGCGAGGACTGGTGCATGATTTGGGAACTAAGGATGAAGGGACTTCCGATTTTCTCAAGAACTTCTACAGAAGCAACTACTTCTAAGTGTTCAGAAAATAAAGGAGTTGCTTATCATTTTGAGTCTTGTTTTCCCCCAGCGATATATATGGCTTCTCCAAGCGAAATAAGGACCATTATTGTATCTCCATTTTGCTGGAAGAATCAATCATCGTGTAAACCTTCTTTTCTCTGAAATGCAATGATTTTGTGACTTTCATGAATCATTTTAAGTGCCTATTGTCGAGCTTCCTTGATTAGTAATTTACACAGTCTGTATCCCATGTTGTACGGACTGGTTGTATTGGTTGAAAAGCTGACGCATTGCTATGGTTTTGTCACAAAATTATAGCGGTTTAGTCTTGCTATTGTACTAGTCTCTTGAATCGCAAACATCGTTAATTTGATATTTGGATTTGGTATCCTCACAAAAATCACTTCTAATAGAGTTTACTATCCTTTATTTTCAAAGTATCGCATATACAATTTCACCGTCAGATCACCTAAAATAAATGTTCAAGACTTGGATGATTTTTTTTTATTACCATTGGCATATTCTCACAATTTCAAACAAAGCCAATAAATATGCAAAATTAATCAATATAATTATACTCTCCTTTTTTTCAAATTAGTCTTCACCATTTCAAAATTTCTGAAGGCTCAAGTATCCACAATAACTTGATTTTCCAAGCCATTTTTATTATTTTAATTTTTTTAATTCCTTAAATTTCATTCTAGCTAAAATTAAATAAACAATACTACCAGTCTACCACTTGTGAACTTGTAAACTACGAGAAGATTGTAAGTTAAAGTAGTAGTATAGTATTGTCGTCTAGTTAAAAAAATTTACCCGTGAAAAACTTAACTGGCCACTAACAATAAAACATTAAGAAAAGGCAACCTTACACCTCTTGCAAGTTTTATGTCAATCAGAAATATAGTTTTTTCTCTCGTCTAGCGAGAGTTTCGGAGCGACGGAACCTAGGTTTTTTCTAGGTTTTCTGAGGAGAGCTTGGTGTTTTTGATTTCAAGTCGACAAAGGTTTATCTCTTCGCTAAGGACTACTGTTCTTTGAAGGAGTCTTGACCCCAATTGTGGTTTTGGTCATACATATATAAAGAAATATTGGTAGAGATACTTCTGAAGGTAGAAACAACAGTTTTTTGCGAAATACTAAACCCTAAGAGGTTTAGTGCTCTGCAACTCATCTGATTTTCTGCTTGAGATCCCCGTGAATCAATGGCGGACAAGGAACCTGCTGCAAACGAGAAAGAGGGGTTAAATATGGAGCCCATAGAACTGCGCAGTACCGCTGAGAGTTTGGAGCGAGATATGAATAACATCACCCTGGATGATGAAGACGACACACCCTTGGATGTGGAAGATGGTGATGTCGATGTTGTTCGGATGAAAGCTGTAAGGCAGCTGGGTTTGATTGGTAGGTTGTTGTCTGACAAGCAACCAAACATCAGATCAATGAAAATCGCCTTGGCAAAGGCTTGGAATATGAAGAAAGGTTTTCAGATCACTAACCTGGGAGACACGTTATTTGCTTTCCAGTTCTTAGATCTCGATGACAGGAACAAAGTCTGCTTCGGAGGTCCCTGGCATTACGAGAACAACGTTATGGTGTTCATATCTAGTCTCCTTATAAAAAAAACCAACCCCTGAAGCACTACACATGATTGATATATGGATCCAAATCAAAGAATTCCCCGCGGAGCTCAGGACTCAAAATTTGGTTCCTTAGTATAGTTTGATGACAGCTCAGGAACTATGTGGGATACTTACATGCGTATGCGAGTCAGTATCTTTATCAACAACCCTCTGAAGAAAAAAATCAAGCTAAATATAGGAGGGAAGTTGGTGGATTACCTGGTGAAATACGTGAAACTCCCATGTTTTGTTACTCTTGCGGGAGAATAGGACACCCAAAGCTGAGGTTCCCTAAGCCATCTGGCCTGGTGCCTGACCCTTTCGGCATGGATCTTAGAACCAGCCCTCCTGGACCTCGAAATTGGATGTCATATACCTCGAAAAAAGAGGATGCGGAGTTGTGGGCATCCCCGAAGAAAAAATTTGATATGGAAAGCGTTAGTTCTAAATCTTGTGGTGACAGAGCACCTTCTGAAGAACTAGCGGAGCCTGAAATTGCACCTAATGGCATAAGGGAAAAGCCAACCGATCAGGGCAGAACTATCTTACAGAAACAAGGAGTGCAAAAGGAAGGCTACAAAGAAGCAGAACATTACTTATTGGCAGAGATGACTAATGGAGAGAAGGTGAAGAATTCCCCAAAAGTAATAGAGAGCCAACAGGAACACAGAGAAGTTGGAGTACAACTCCAGAATCAAGAGAAAGGAGGAGAAGCTCATAACCCTACACCATGTAAACTGGGATATGGTGGAGCGTTGCAACAGTTTGTTCTTGGTACTAATAACACATGGCCAAGCAAAAAGACCACAAGCAGAGTATGGAGGAGACAAGAGCAATCAATGCCACGATACAAAACAAAGATTCAGATCACTCCCCAAAAGAGGATGGAAAAGGAAAACTTGGAAGCTGACCTAAGAGAAGGGGAGACTCCAACCCAAAACAAGAAAGCTAGAGTTCTCAATTTTGAGGAGGACACAACCCCGATTCATAGTGATCTCAAACAAAACAATATGGATGGCGAAGTGGCGGACCCTGCTACAGAGCAGCCGCCCAGCCCAATGAGCATTATCAGTTACAATTGTCGTGGGCTGGAGAAAACCACGACAGTTGCTAGAGTAGCTCAGCTGCTCAAAGATCAAGACCCCAACATTGTTTTCCTAATGGAAACGAAGAAGAAAGAGTATGAATGGGAGGAAACAATAAAGAAATTAGGAAGGACTAAAGGAAGAGGAGTTGGATCAAGAAACAGAGCAGGGGGACTCCTAATGCTATGGAAAGATGAGATATCGATGCAAGTTGAAGTTAAGTCAGCAACACAGAACTATATAGATATCTGGATTACTGAGGGTCCAGAAGAGAAAGAAAACAAGCCCCAAACGTGGGAAATGATAAGGCGGTTGCATGGTCAGGCCAATCTACCATGGATCCTATGTGGGGACTTTAATCAGGTCCTAAGTTATGAGGAAAAGAATGGAAGGAACCCACCTGACATTCAGAATATGGAGGAATTCCAAGCCACTTTGGATGAATGTCATTTAGAGGATATGGGATATTATGGAAACATGTTTACGTGGGATAATGGGAAGATAGATGAGGATTTCTTAGAACAGCGCCTGGATAGGGTTGTGGCCAGCATGGAATGGAAGGCTGAATTCCCATAGGCCCGTGTTTATCACCTGGACCGATGGGTATCAGACCATATTCCCATTAAGATTGAACTAAACTTTCAAGATGAACAAATTAAGTGGGGATGGCACTTCAAGTTCGAAGCCTTCTAGCAGCAACATGAAGAGTGTGCATCCATCATTGAGACTATGGGTAAAATCCTTGGCATGAAAAGAGTAATGTTCCACGACAAATACCTAGGCCTGCCAACAGTAATTGGTCAAGACAAAAAAGCTATGTTTGCACAGCTTATTGATCGAGTTAGAGAGAAGATCAAAATGTGGAAAGGAAAACTTTTATCTATGGCAGCAAAGGAGGTGCTTATCAAGGCAGTGGCTTATCAAGGATTCAACATTGCTCTCTTGGGGAGGCAAGTTTGGAATCTTTTGAATAAACCTGAATCACTAGTAGCCAGAGTCCTAAAGGCACGTTATCATCCACATTGTGATATTCTGGAAGCAGCTGTGGGTTCTAACCCAAGCTATATTTGGAGAAGCCTTATGCAGGCCCAATCTCTGGTGAAAGAAGGCACGAGATTGAGAGTGGGAAATGGAGAGAGCATTAGAATCTGGTGGGATCGTTGGATCCCAGAAGCAAGAAATTTCAAAGTCCAATCTCAAGCGACATGGCTGGGAATTACGGAGAAGGTGTCTAGTTTGATTGATTGGGGAACAAGGTCATGGAAAAGCAACATATTGCAGACTCATTTCCAACCAAATGACAGAGCCCGAATCAAACAGATCCCAATACCTTCCCAACCTAAGCCTTATATACATATTTGGGGAAGAGATAAGACTGGAAAATACTAAGTTAGATCTGGTTACAAGGAGTGGAGAAAGAGACAAGCTTCGAACCAAGTGGAAAGCTATGTTCCTATAGAGTGGAAGAAACTATGGATGCTGGAACTGCCACCTAAAGTTCGTCTCTTTGTGTGGAGGTGGGGTAGCAATATACTACCAACAGGGGTGAATTTAAGTCACAGAATCAAGGAGGCTCATGACGAATGCCCTTTCTGTGGTATGTTTGAAACCCAAGAACACATCACGAGAGAATGTGACTGGGCAGGGAGAGTATGGAGACCTAGTGAGCTAGCTGACTTCTTCAAGATGGGTGAAGGGAAAAATTGTGAAGCTTGGCTCTGTGACCTAATTGAGGGAGTGAGCTCGGAGGAGTTAACAAAGGTGCTAATCACGCTTTGGTTTTTATGGAAGGAGCGAAACAATCATCTCTTTAACAATCCAAAGCTCGAGGAATGGGAAATTGTGGCAAAAGCCCAGAATTACCTGGAGGAGTATATTGAGCAGCAGAATCGAAGAAACCCAGGACCGCCGTTGTCACGAGCTCGAGCCAGGACCAGATGTCCTCTAGAAAGAACCCTCAAATTAAACACCGACGCGACAATTCTAGGAGAAGAGGGAACGGGTTATGGCATGATCTTAAGAGATAGTGCTGGGAATTTTCTAATGGGAGCTACTCACCGGACGAAGACGAGATGGCCGATTGAGATGGCAGAAGCCCAGGCAATGGTGTGGGGCTTGAAGCTAACCCGAGAGCACTACTCCCTGCTACTGCTGATGGAGACGGATTGTCAAACCCTGATCCAGAAACTAAATCGACGGGAAGCCACTAAGCTGGAAGTGGGGTTATTTGTGACGAGATCCGTGAGATTGCAGAGGAGGATGGAAGTGTGAACTGGAGATTGTGGAAAATAGAAGGAAATGTTTGTGCACACGAAATGGCCCGAGTGAGATGTAGATCAGAGGAGACGGAAACCTGGTTCTCAAGACCACCTATCATTTTAGTCCCTCTAATTTTGCAAGATAGCAATGTAGTCCCTGAACTTTAATTTATGGATTACAAATGAATTGTCAAAAAAAAAAAAGGCAACCTTTGGTCTCAACTTGTGTGATTCTCTTTGTCATTATTGCAAGTTTCATGCTGGTGTGGAACGGTTGATGCAACAATCCTCGCTCCGGTGGACTTGCAAAAGAAGCCCCCACCTTAAATTGTATCCTTGGTCGACCCTCTAACTCTCAAGTGAGTATTGAATAAAAAATTCGAGAGGATTGGATCGTGTGTGAACACGATCGAGAGCTTTAACGGATGATAATCTGCATTAATGGCGAGTGTGTAAGATGACTATAGAGGAGCCAATAATGTCAATAGGAATCTGCCAACTTGCGAGTACGTTGGTTGAAAACAAGTATGTTGGGTGGCTATCAACGACTCGTCAAGTAGCTTCACCGATCTTCCTTGTGGGGCTCTCGCAGTGATAGTTCGTTAGAGTGACGAGGATTTTGTTGTGTGTGCTTATAACCACAGTCTCTTGTGGAGAAGGGAGTCGAGTCAGAGCTTAAAGAGAGGGTGTGATCTCGTAAATATCTCCATTTGGACCGAATCAAGATCATCAAGTCGAGGACAAGATTTCTATTAAGATATTAACACTACATTTTTTGGGCTAATGCAGTGCAAAGGTCCTCCCTTAGTCTTAAATGGCTCCACCCTAGATAAAAAAATGAGTGGAAATATATTTATTCCGATTCGATTTGATCCAAATATCTACTCTTTTGATGCCGTGTGGACCGATCATTGCACTTAACCGAATCTGAAGCCGAATTTAAATATGCACACCTTACATTTCTTACTTGGGCCTGGCTCAATCAGCCAGCCTTTTTTTTTATGAATCAGCCCATCCTTATTCCTTCTTGGCATAAGGGGGAAAAAAAAAGAGGCAAAGGCAAGCAGCAGCAACCGACAAATAAAATCCGAATTACGAACCTAGGGCCCAGAAGCCCGGTGGGAAAGAGAGAAAAGCCAAAGTGGGGGAAAACCGCCAAACCGATTGCTTTCCAGTTGCCAGTTTACGATTCCTTCCCACCCTAGCGATCTATCTTTATTGCCATTGTCTCTCTCTCCCCGTTCTAAGTCGCCGACGTCGCGCAAGAACAGGTTTCTCCCCGAAAATCTATTCGGGTTCTCTAATTCCGGTCACAAGAGTCTGATCAGAATCCTTGAACGTCATGTACGGATCCAGAGGGTAAGTATTCCGCGAAACACCGTCTGCTTTTTCCCCTAGTTTATTTCCTATCTTACTCTGATTGAATTGCTCTCTTGCTCCCTTCGAACCCTAATTCGTAATCAATCTGTCGACCGCCTTGTTGAAAGATGCATCACTTGTCCAAATTAACGTGGTCCATGTTAGGATTGTTAGATTTTTGTGGGATTAGACTGATTTGGGCGCATGGATTCTCTTTACAATTTCTGCTATCTGAATCTCATTACAGCTTCGGATAACCATTGTTGGCTGCTTAACCTGGGATCATCATTAATGATTGATTTGCTTCTTCAATGTGCACTTGTTGTTCATCTGCTATTTGCTTTCGGTGGGTTCAAATTTCATGACGATGGTTTTCTTATTGTGGACTAGTATAGCCTAATAGGTATGAGGGCAATGTGGGTTGGGTATGGTTTATATTAACAGGGTGGGAATTTTCTTTTCTATTTCCCCCTCTTTTGGGTATTTGGATAATTGAAGGGCAATGTTGGGAAGCGGGGGGGTTTCGGATGGGTACGAGATGGTGGGCTCAAAGAGACAGAGAATGATCGAATCCAATCCCTACTTTGCTGCAGTGACCGCCAATGCTGCGGCCGTGACCGGCTTCCAAGTTCAGCCATACGCCTATGCCTCCTCCGCTGCTGCTGCTGCTGGAATCCAGGCGCCTCCTTTCCCTGTGGTCCGCCTTAGGGGCCTGCCGTTCAACTGCACTGATATCGACATCTTCAAGTTCTTCGTCGGGCTTGACATTGTTGATGTGCTCTTGGCCAACAAGAACGGACGATTCACGGGTGAGGCGTTCGTTGTGTTTGCAAACTCGATCCAGGTCGAATTTGCCCTGCAGAAGGACCGCCAGAACATGGGTCGGAGATACGTCGAGGTCTTCAGGTGCAAGCGACAGGACTACTACAATGCAGTTGCTGCTGAGGTGAACTATGAGGGGATCTATGATAATGACTACCATGGAAGCAGCCCGCCTCCAACTCGAGGAAAGAGGTTCGAAGATAAGGAGCAGATGGAGTACACCGAGATTTTGAAGATGCGAGGTTTGCCCTTCTCTGTAAAGAAACCTGAGATTGTCGAGTTCTTCAGGGACTACCAGCTGGTGGAAGAGAGGGTTCATATAGCTTGCCGCCCTGATGGGAAGGCTACCGGTGAAGCATTTGTGGAGTTCGTATCGGCAGAGGAGGCAAAAAGAGCAATGAACAAAGACAAGATGACGATTGGGAAGAGGTATGTGGAGTTGTTTCCTTCAACCCCGGATGAAGCCAGACGAGCCGAGTCGAGGTCTAGACAGTGATTGAATGAGCGAAGGTTAGGAGGGAGTTTATCTGCTAGTCTGGAAGTTAAGCGGGGGATGTTTGCTTTTATTCCTAGTAGCTTTTGTTTGATTGGGAACTGGATACTAATGTAATATTGTAACTTATGGATGTTCTGGATTCTTGTCTTTCTATGGATGATCCTGTTTCTCATAAACTGATCGAAAACGAACCGACATCTTTGAAGAAAAACACACAAAAGTTCACAATGGAAGAAAGGGTTCGATACCCATGTCGTCTGCTCGACTCTTGCTTGCTTGGGTTTGTTTAGTATAACTTGCCAATAGAATTCTTTCATCTCGAGGAAAAGTGAAAAATCAAATCCGTTTCAACAAGTCTTAGGCTAGAGGTCGATTTGTTCATGTTCCGTGTGAGTTAGATTTTACAGGGCTCCTTTCTAATTTCTCTCGAAGTATAAGGTCGAAGGTTCTAGCGGACTTAGATTATATAATATGATCCGAGTCGAGCTGAACTTTGCATTGGTCGGGCTCGATTTGTTAAAATATTTCCAAGCTCGAGCTCGTTATGAAAATGAAAGCTCGAGTTCGGCTCGCCAAATAAGTTTAACGAGCCCAAAATCAAATTTAACTCATCAAATGTTAATGATAACTCAAGATTGAGCTAGAATTGAGCACAAAATTGCATTTAAACCTATAGCAAAGTTTCTAACAAAATAAAACACGATATTTATCTCAATTTCAAAACAAAAAGTTCATGAATTTCAATCCTTTATGATGCCAAACCGTTAAATGAGCTTGTACACGAGCTTTCGAGTTGAACATGATATAGCTTGAGTTCGACTCGTTTAGTTAACGAGCATGTTCGCGAGTCAGCTAGACTAACGCGAATCGAGTGTCGAACAAGTTTTTCTCGAATCGCACACCAAGTCGTTCATGAGTGGCTTGATTCATTAACAACCATACCAGGAGGGCTATATCCCCACTTAACTTCAAAATACAAGTAAATTTATATGTTACAAATTTAGGAGATAACTAATCGCTAAAGCCTTGGCCTCCCTCTCAAATCATCACGATTGAAAGTCAGCCCCCTCATATAGATTTCTAGCTCCTCCACCGATCGAAGGTAAGAATACTACGTGGAATTTCAGGAGTTGTCCTCAACTTGTTTCAAGTATGGTCTTATGGCTCTATACCGAAGATATGCTCCTGTCGTACCCCTGCTGTCCTCCTTAACGAGAAATCCAGTAAGGTGCCTGAGCTGGAGAAATTATAGGAGAAAGAGCGCAGAGCAGCAGACCAAGAGAGGTGACGAAGGCCAATGGCCACGAAATTAAAAAAAAAAAAAAAAATCCATTGGCTGAAGCACCAAGGAGCAAGCACCCGCTGCACGCCCAGAATAGACAGCAAACAGCAAAAAGAACTCATAAACAGGACTTGGGAAACTGCAGAAGGCGCAAACAAGTGTTGTCAAACATGCATCTAGCGTTCTTCTGGTATTTGAGCCGACATTTTGGAAATATCTTCTACAAGTCAGAACTCAGAACCAGAAAGCAATCAACCAAATCAAGATCCACACTAAACAACAAAATCGAGCGAGTGCCTGATCAAGAATGCAGCAGTTATAACTCCGATCCTTAGAAAAGGAAAACAGCAGAGTGGCACCCAAATCTTGCATTAAGGTACATAGTTGTTAGCATGAAGTTTGTACTATAGTAAAAGGAATACTTGCAAGAACCACTATTTTGGGATAACTATATACCAAAACTTTAATATACAAGTTCAACAAGGAAAAAACGAAAGAAAGAAATGACCTCTATTGATTCTGATACAAGGGAACAGGGTTCTCGACTCCCTCATCTCTGTTTGCTTACACAGGAATCGAAGATTAGCGATCGTTTTTTGTTTTTGTTTCAACAAAGGTATAGTATGATTAGTTATCCTCGTATTGAAGGGGAGGCAGTAACTCATCAAGTAACTTGTTCTACTTGAGGATCCGAGCAACGAATTTACTGACCCTGGTGGATAATATCAACCAAGGTATAACCCCAACCTGCAGCAACATCAATACAATGTCAAACACAGTCCGATAGCTTAAGCTTTAAAATAAAAAAGCCTCTTGTAAATTCATAATACTCCATAGACTACAAAGGAATAAGCGACTTGCAGATTCATCAAACATGCAACGAGGGATACGAAGGAAAAAGATTAGATTCATCACTCTCTAAACTGAATATAAGAATTCAATGAAGAAACCTGTTAGCAAAGAAACATTTGATTCATCACTCTCTGAACTGATAAGAAGATCACAAAACCTGATAGCAAAGAAACAATCATGTTGAATCTGAACACTACAAGGAGGCCCCTTTCTGTTGGCGATAACTCTAATACACCGATTAAGAGAAACAAATAATAGGGTGACCGAACACAAAAGTGAAGCTCGAATGCACGAGGCTCACACTTACTCAGAACATGTGACTTTTGCAGTCAAAAGAGTTAACAAAGAATTACCGTAACATTGTTAGTTAAGTGGCTACCAGCACTCCAGGAGAGTAGCTTTCCTGTAAATAGATAAAAGAATTAAAATGAAACCTAGGAATAGAGTCATTGAAGAGAGCTTAATGCAGGAGGTTAAGGAAGAGTCGGATAAAAAGAAGAAAAATCCTTACCAAATGGCTGCACAAGTTGCTGAGATACGACAGCAACTGGAGCCTTCCAATACCAGCAAACAAAAAGAGAATAAGTAATAACCTGTGCACCAAATAAAAATCTTCTCAGTTCATCAAGATTAGGTTAAAGTATCTGCTACAGCAAATCAATCTAGCAACTATGACGATACAACTTATAGCGCACAATCACCTTTAAGAGAAACAAAATCTTTATGTACAAATCATAAGACATTTTCACCTCCTTGCCCTGTGACTCTTGATCTACAAGGGGACAACCAAAAATGGAATTAATCCTTGATAACCATTCATTCGCATAGAACCCCAAACTGCAATTTGTCTTAATCGGGGAATAGAGACATATGCATCCAGTAATATGCCGTTCTGCATATCAACGATTCTGCATTGAATATGACAAACTAAACCATCAATTTCGAGCAGAGACATCCAATCCAGGGAGCAGCTAAATACATGGATTGAAGAATCATTGAATATAAGTTTCTCAAACAACACAAAATAAAAATAACAAAATACTGATTCAATAGCCTTATTACAGTTTGCAAGTTCCTTCTCTTTGGCAGCTGCGGACCTCCTAAGTTTGGCTGCTTGAGCAAATGTCGATGGCCTGTCGATAGTCATTAGTATTGAATAAGTTTGGCACCCCAAATAAAAAGTAACTAGGGGAGCTGAAGAAGCACAATATGCCATAATTGAAACTCAGGACTTGGGATATGCATTGATAAGATGGATGCAGATCAGCAGGAAGGTTACGAATGCATAGTAGTACTCTAAGGAACCTAATAGCCTAATTTGATTTCAGTAATCATCTACGAAACCCGATGAAGAAGGAATCACTCACTGCGAGAAGGTGCTGGCCTCTTTGTAGAGTCGCTTTATTTCTGCACGCAGTTGAACTTCCTTCTCGCTCTTAGATGCGTTCTGTAACACAACGAGTGCAGCCTCAACCAATGAGTTCGTCGATCGAATTAAGAGGTCAAGACATTTAACCCATCTAATTCCTGGCAAATTGATTAAGCATACACGAACACGAAAGACAAAATTACGAGACACGCAAAGTATCTATAACTAACGCAGCGCTCCACAGAAAGGCATAGGGAAAATTTATACAAATGTCCCATTCCAGAAATGATAGCCACTTCATTAACGAATTTTGGATAGAACCAGAATTTCGATTCAATTGCAGTTGGAGGAGAAAGGAGATGGATAATTTACCCTCTTCAGGAGCTCCAACCTTCTCGAGGCCAACTGGAATAATACGACAATGGAGAAGATCAGAGGAGCCACGATAGACCTCTGGTGTTGCAGCGGAGCCTCGTCGCCTTCCATGGTTCAATATCGGAAACGGGAAATCTCCAGGTCCGCGCCTTCTCCTTCTTCGGAATCTTTTCGTTTTCGTGCGTTGTTTCTGTTTTTTCTTCTTCCTCTTCTTTTCTTTTTTTTTTTTGGTTCAGACGACGCATCGCAACGGATATGACCACGTAATTGGGCTTCTCTTCTTTCGGGCCTGTTCTTCTATTCTGCAGATTTAAGAAGTTTAGGCTCATTCCTCTGATTCCTCCGGCCCAGTCGCTAATAGTTTTTTTTTCCATAAAAAATGATTTTAATTTCAATAACACGTGTCGACCATCCGTTTCCCCCACCATGGATCGAACTTGAGCCCGCTGTCACTAGGCAAACGCACGAAGTGGATGGAGACTGGGGAGGATATCGGTTAGCGAACCCCAACTGCACATTCGGTGCACAACTATGGGCCCCATGTAAATCTAAAATATCTTCCCGATCCGACGCGCCCGAGTGGCAACTCACTCTCGACTCATCTCAAACAGCAAAAAATACCCGGATCGCTGACGTGGCCAAATTCTAAATTTCTTTTTTTTGAAATCCCGCCCGAGCCCGCGGCTTCCAGTGTGCTTCCCGGGATTTCAATTTTTTTTAGCTTTCCAATTCTTCAGTGTTTACTAAAAAGACCTTTGCCCTCTTTTTACCCTTTTCCTTCCCCTTCTTATCTCCCCTCACCCCTCTTGGCTCTTTGCTCTTTTCCTCAAAACAACATCTCCTCTCCCAAACAACTCACAACTCCCCTGCCGCCGATTCGCTCTCGCTCACTCGTTTGCTTTGCTTCTCGTCCGCCTCCTTCTCTAATCCTCTACAGCTGAAGCAGGTAAGCTCTGACTCCTCGCGGTGGTGCCGGTCGCCGTTTCTCACTCGGTCGTCGTATTTTCCTGCTCTCGCTGACTCCTGATTCATCCGTTTTCCTCCCCCACTTCTGCAGGAATCGAATCGCAATGAAAGGAGGAAAATCCAAGGCTGATGGCAAGAGTACTGATGCCGCGTGAGTTACCTCTATTTATCTCTCTGCTTATTGTATCTCGTTTGTGGCTTCGTTGCGATTCCAGATCTAGGACCTTCTTAGTTCAATTGATTTCGTTCTTCTGTTCTCCTTTTGGCGGTGGAACTTATTCCGATGTCCGTTTGACTTCTGCTGTGCAGGCTAAAGCCGAGAGCGGCTGGAAGATCGAAGAAGGCAGTCAAGGATCCAAACAAGCCTAAGAGGCCTCCCAGTGCTTTCTTCGTCTTCATGTATGCGATTTGCTTTTCGTATTCTAAATCTTCGATTGATTCTCCAACTTCCTTCCGCCTGTTGATTGAATCGCCTTCAAAATCTGTGCTCTCGCCCTGACATCTGTTACTGCGTTTTACCAGGGAGGAGTTCAGGAAGGTGTTCAAGGAGAAGAATCCTAACAACAAATCTGTTGCTGCTGTAAGTTTCATGAACGCTCTGTGGCCTGTGTGTGGATCTATCTGAATAAGAGCTATTCCGATCCGTGAATTCGGATTTATGGCTGTCTGATTGTTTAATTCCAATGATTGCTTCCCTGGTGCGTCGTGGTAATTCTGTTTGCTTCTCTCAATCCGGTTTAGGTCGGGAAAGCTGCCGGCGAGAAGTGGAAAGCTATGTCTGAGGCAGTGAGTATTCCTCCGGCTCCGTCGTTTGTTCATGCGTGTGCTCTCCGTTTTCATTCCGTCGCTTATTTCGTTTGCGTATTGTTCAAATAAGGACAAGGCTACTTACAAGGCAAAAGCAGACAAAAGGAAGGCTGAATACGAGAAGACCATGGATGCTTACAACAAGAAACAGGTGCAGACTAATCCTTCACTTCTTCTGTTTCAGCTTCCTGTTTATAGTTCAGAACTCGGTTCTTACAGTTCCTTTCCTGAATTCATTTGGGAATGAATAATAGGCTGGAGGTCATGGTGATGATGACTCTGACAAGTCCAAATCTGAAGTAAATGATAATGAAGATGACAGTGGAGAGGTGAGGCCGAATCCAATTGTTAGATATCTCATTTTAGATCTGTAAATGCAGGAATTCCATATTCTAAATCCTGCTGTATGGCCATTTGGTTTCCTTTCACAGGAGGAAGATGATGACGAGTAAGGTCCGGCTGTAGAAAGCTTTTGGAGGATCAACTGGTACACTGCCAGTATGAAGTGGAAGTTGCTTCTTCGTCTTCTCCTTGTTTAACTTCGTGAGTTATAATGTGACTGGGGTAATGGATATTTCTAGTTTGCTGTTTAGATTGTAGGGTTGTAGGAAACACATCTGTAAGGGGGGAAGCCTTCCCCTCTCCTATCCTAGTGCTCACGGTGCTCGTTTTTTTATGTACTTAAAATGCTTATCTTTGACCTGATATGATGAGTAAGTTGTTGAACTACTGATCTCTTGTGTTGGTATTGACCATATCCAGCCTCTTCTTTTTCTGTCAAATATGTCATCTCCCTATGATGGTGGGGTGAAGTTTCTCGACATTGTGGAAGTTTGTGATTGCTGCTTTCACTGCCTGTTGGTTTTGTGTCAGTGTGACGTATCAATGTTTTTTTTTTTTTTTTTGCGGCCGCTGGCCAAGAATCTGTGGCCTGTTATCTAGAGGTCAAATATGAAATATGTGTCTTGAACCTTACGGATTTTGGAGTCGAATGGAAATGTATATTACTGTCTTGAATCATTTAGGACAAAGTTTGAATTCGTTCCATTTGAATTTTGTCTCTCCTTGATCAGTAGTGTGCGACATTGCTTAGTAAAAACCTTCTGAATCCGATACTCAGCCAGTCAGTAGTAACAAGTCATGTACTGTGACGGTGTGTTTTAACTTTTAACTGAAGCTAATTTCAAACTTCATATTGGCACTAGAAGTATTAGGTAAGACACGATTTTAACTTGCTAAAAACTACAATATTCCTGGCATTTCTACTCGCACCGCAGCGGAATACACATAATAGATCACTGATCATATTAGTACGGATGATAATGGAGTCCTAAATATGACCTAGTTGGTCCAGCTTCACGCCTATGCCACGAGCAGCAGATTGTTGCAGTAGCCAGTGGCCATGGCAAAAAGATCCTCTGGCCAAGTATATGACCCCAGTCCCCAACAGAATCAGTGGTCATGCATCACGGGTCCTGGGCTCCTGGCCATCCCGACCAAACAATTAGCATAATCGGTCGGCTAATTAAATCTCGTCCCGAGAAATAATAATAAAATACCAACTAATTAATAAAAATAAATGAGTCCAAAAATTTCAAATTCATCACGATGGCTCGTATGGTTACATTTTGCCATATAAAACATGATGTTTCGCTCTTAATAAGAAAACACGAGCCTTTTTAACCCATTCATGGTGGTCATATCCACCAAGTTGCTGAGAAGTGGGAATACCTAAATGAAAGTACAGTTCCATGTAAACCCATGGTCGTGGGTATTCGACCGCCCCGACCCAGTTAACACGGGGAATCCTCGCTTTGACCGGGTATGGGGCGGGTATGGGTAAAACCCGCAAAAAGTTTGATGGGTATGGGGCGGGTATGGTTTTAGCCTCCCTACCCGCCCCACTAAGACAATTTCTTCATATATAAAAAAAATATGTATATCAAATTATAATCTATCAATGATGATGAGGATAACTTGAGAAAATAAATAGTAGAAATGCAATTGAGTGACCACCTTAATCAAAATCTAATTCATTTCTCTCAATTCTCATTTCACTCTTTCACTTTCCCCCTTGTCAACAAGATTATGTTAGTTAATTATTATTTAGTAGATGTATCAGAGTTAGAACATAATAATTTGAAAAATATTATACTCTATATTATGTATTAATAGATATTTTAGGATCATAATCTTTGAACCATATTAAAAAAAGACCGTGTTTTGTCGACTTCGTGATATAATATGTTCGTTTGGAGTTATAATTAGAACTTTTCTTGTAAGTTTTAGGTATAATAATGTTGGATGTACGGGTATGGGTATTACCTATGGGTACCCGAAACCCACGGGTATGGGGATGGGTTTGCAAAACATTCCCCCGCATGGGTATGGGGCGGGTATGGATTTGGGTATTTCAAGATGGGTATGGGGATGGTTTAAGCAAACCCGCCCCATTGCCATCCCTATTCCCATGTAGGTCATATGTTACTTCCATTTGCCCAATATCAGTTCCATTAACTTCAATTGGCGTGCTAATCGGTTCGGTTAATCACAATGATATGACACTTGGTAATTGATCAATAAATAAAAAACTCATATCAATAACCGAACTGATAAGCCTTATAAATTAATCTCTTACCGATCCAATTAGTGGTTATTTTAATGGTTAACCAATAATAACTAACAAGCAAACATGATGTTAGTTCCCAATAACTTACAAGATGCCCACTCAGCGCATCCGCCTCATGGGAGTGAAGAGCTTTTTTTTTTGCCAAAGATATTCCGAAGGGAATACAACAGATACAACATAATAAAAGGACCTTTACAGGTCAATTACAAAGAGGAATTAAGGAAGAGCCGCTGGTCGACCAACCGACGATCCAACGATGAGTGGGCTATTTTGCCACGATATGGGCAGCCCTATTGTACTTACGCAAAGCAAAGTGGAACGATACTCGCTGCATGGAGACACGAAGCACCTGGATCTCTGCAAGGAGGCTACCACCCAAAACATGGCTTGAATCCTTACGATTTATCATTTGAATGATCACATGCGCGTCAGCACAGAATGAGACATTAGAAATTGAATTAGAGAGACACCACCCGAGAGCATCCCGGAGGGCCAACATCTCAATGATGAATGCGTCAATCATATAGTCGTAAAATTTCCCAAATGCAAAAAGAATAGTCGTTGGTCCTGAAAACCCAACGAAACCAACTCCTCCCCCAATACTGGTTTTTGTAGCGCCATCAAAATGGACGAGGACAGTCCCCGGCGAAATTGGTGGTGGAGTGTGACCGCGAATCCCAGGAGGAACAGAAGCACGTCGATCATTGGATGAGGCCAAAGCTGCTTGAGTCGAGGACCATTCCTCTACTTGAGTTTGGAAACGTAGCACCATGGTGGTTGGGAGGAATTGAACGTGATCATAAGTGGTCGAACACCGAGCTTTCCAATTGCCCCAGTACACAAAGACTAGCCGGCTGATCACATCCTTGGATATACCTGCATGAAAAAAGAACCACCGCCAACCCACATAAACATGCATATTGTAAACCTGTAAGCGAAAATTATTAAGACCAACAAGGTTCCAAAAGTCCACAGCCACCCTACAGTGCATAAAGGAATGCAATAGGGTCTCTGGAGCTTCGCCACAAACAGGGCACTTAACCACCTCCAAATCCTCATCATCAATTAGTTCTTTCTCTCTAAGGATATCTCTCAAGGGAAGATATCCTTTAATGACACGCCAGAGAAAAAAAACGTAATTTAGGAGGAACATTCAAGGACCACAACAAATTCCAAGCCGAAGAATCAAAGATCGGGGGAATAGTGGAAGGGTTATGAATATAATCAGCAGAGGCCACTCTATATCCTGATTTAACTGAGAACTCACCTGATTTCTCATAGTGCCACACAAGATGATTGGACACGGGGAAAATAGGAAGAGGAATAGATCCGATAATTCTTACCGTTTCCCCATCAAATAGCGAGGTGATGAGAGGTACCTTCCAACTACCGGATCCAATGATTGATCAAAGAAGATACATGGGGCCCAGGTAAGGAGACGTTGGGCAGGATAACAGGCCGAGATGGAGGAGTCGTTGGCAGCCATGAGTCTTCCAATATCCGAACTGAAGCACCCAAACCAATGCGCCAACAAAGCCCGGATTGCAGAAGAGAGCTACCCACAAGGATACCTTGCCAAGCCCAGGAAAGCCTAGAACCCTGAGGAGCAAGCAAAAAGGAAGAGTGAGGGAAATACCTGGCTTTATAGTTGATAGCTAAGAGACCATCCAGATTTTGGACAATCCGCCAAGCTTGCTTAGCTAGGAGGGCAAAATTGTGACTATCAAGGCCGGGCAGCGACGATGAATCCTAAAACCATGAAGAACATTGTTCTTGATGGCTTGATTAATTAATGCAGATAATCCTTCAGTAAAAAGAGCAAAGAGTAAAGGGGAAAGGGGGTCACCCTGACGGATGCCACGTTGAGGCTGGAAGTATCCATGTGGCGAGCCGTTGAGAAGAACAGAAAAGGAGACAGTCAAAACACAAGCCCAAATCCATTGTATCCACCGCTCTGCAAAACCCAGTTTCTGCAAAATGGCAAAAAGAATTTCCCATTCCACCCTATCATAAGCCTTTTCCATGTCTAATTTAAGAGCCATCCATTTCTCATGTCCCTGAACTTTTATTTTGAAAGATTGCATAACATCCTGACCTAACAGAATATTGTCAAAAATGAGCCGACCCTTGACAAAACCATTTTGGTAAGGGCCAATCATATGGGGTAAGAAATCCCCGAGCCGAGCAATCAGAATCTTAGAAATAATTTTGTATGGGACTTGACACAAACTAATCGCCCGCATTTGCTTCATGGTATCCGCATTTGGGACCTTAGGAAGCAAAGAAATCCAGGTATGGTTCAAATTGTGGAGAAGATGCCAAGAGCTAAAAAAACTCCAAGACATCTGCTACAACCAAATCACCCACCAAATTCCAATAAGATTGAAAGAACAAACCAGTAAAACCATCGGAACCCGGTGCTTGGAGACGACCAATACTGAACGCAACATCACGCACTTCATCACTTGTTACCAAACGGATGAGTGAGGAATTCATTTGGGAGGTGACCATAGCCGGAAGCATCAACTGGTCCACAAAGGAGCTAACCTGCACCGCTTCAGAGGTGAATTGATGGACAAAGTAATGGATCGCAATCATACCTTTGGAATCCTCGTCATGGAAAGGAGTGCCTGCCTCATCCCAGAAGACCAAAATACAATTCGAGCGGCGCCTCTGAAGAGTAGTAAGATGAAAGAAACGAGTGTTGGAATCACCCTGAGTGAGCCACAAGACGCGTGATTTCTGTAGCCAATACCGTTCCTCCTGGACATATGCTTCAGAGATTTGACTTTCTAGAAATGTAACTTTGGCCCAATCCATGTGAGGGAGATTACGTTCTGACTCGATCGCATCCTGGAATTCACGAATGGCACGAGCAGAATTAGACGTGCCCTTTGAAGCCCATGAGAACAGATGATGTCTAGACGTTTTTAGTACGGAATGCATGGTGGGGTTGTTTATGCTCTCAGTTTGGGAATAGAATACGTGTAAATCCATGGAGAACTGATGAGAGGTTACTTTTTTTTATGCATGCCGTAACCCGCTACCCACATAGAAGGTGAAGCGGCAAGAGTGGGTTTGGCAAGAAAGCCACTGAAAATGGACCACAAGCAGGGTCCTTTCTACCACACATTGGCTAATAAGTAATAAGGGTTAATTGTATGGTCACTGAGATTACAAAAAAAGTTTATGTTTGGTCGCTAGAAATATTTAAATCCAATTTTGGTCACTTAAATTAGTTAAATGGTTCGAATTTGGTCACTCTCCGTCCAACTACGTTAAATTTGTCTGATGTGGCAGTCATCCCTCAAAGTTGACCGTTAAGTCAGTGACGTGGCAATTAAAAAATAATAAATACAATTAATTTTAATCTTCTACCATATCCAACTGATTTTAACAATAAAGTAAAATAAATAAATAAAAATTATTATAGTTACACCATAGATCTGGGTTTACTGAAAACATAGATCTGGATCTTGAAGAGGAACTCACCCTGTCTGGATCTGCTTGTTGACTCGAGTTCCTTCTGGGGCTACATGATGGTGGTGAAACGCACCTCAGCTCCCACCAGTGCCTAGCCTATGCAGCTTTAATTTCAGAACCGGGAGCATGGCGTCGGTGAACCGGACTCCACCGGTGACCTGCTGAACCATCAGTAGGGAGTTGGGCGGATCCGCCGTGATGTACGTGGTCTAGGACTTCTTTGAGGAGGCGCGCGGCTTTCACTTGGTGACCTTTCTGGTGCGCCGGGGGTCGCGGAAAGAATCTGATCCAGCCCTAATCAGGAAAGGTAGGATGGACAAACACGTTGAGATCTTGTACTGCATCTTCGAAGCATTCAGAGTGTTGGCCAAGAATTGCCACCTGCTGGATGACCACCAACTGTTCGACAAAATTCGCAAGTTACTACAACAAACTAAGATGACCACGGTTGACGTTGCAGAGCATTTGATGCCGAAGACCGTCCCGCCGAATGCAGATGTTTGCTTGAGTAGTCCGGAGCAAGGCCTTGAAGTCGCGGAAGAGGAGGCGACGACGAGATCGAAAGTAGAGGAAGAAAGAATGAATAAGGAGGAGAAAGGGATTAGTGTCGTTCAACACCCCATTTTCAATTTGTAATTATAATATTTTTTTGTTTTATTTATTTTATTTTATTGTGAAAATGAGTTGGAAATGGTAGAAGATTAAAATTTATTTTATTTATTGTTTTTTAATTGCCACATCATTGACTTAACGGTCAACTTTGAGGGTTGACTGTCACATCAGACAAATTCAACGGAGTTGGACGGAGAGTGATCAAACTCGAACTATTTAACTAATTTGAGTAATCAAGATTGGATTTAAATATTTTCAATGACCAAACATGGACGTTTTTTGTAATCCCAGTGACCAACCATGCAATTAACCATAAGTAATAAGTAATAACAAAATATTTGATTGTTTTTCAAGGTTATAGATTGAAGTGGCTGGTCGAACAGTTAGATAAGTGAAGGTGAAGTACAATAAGTACTTGAGCCTTCTTAGGCTGGGCCCAAAAATGGGTTTGTTTTTTGTCTTAGATTTTGGCCTAAGTGGGCAGAGTAAGAGTTTTGCAATAGGTCCGGATAGAATAACAACCCCTTTAGTGTTGTTATTGTAACAATAAATACAAAAAGGTAAAAGTAACCAAATATAACAAATTAAAATTAATAAATAAAATTTCAATCCCTACCTGTCTCTTTGGATCTACTCCGATACCATTCCCCAGCGACCGCTTCTGCTCCCGTTTGCTCGTCTCAATCACAGGCAGGAACACCCCTGCTATCGTCTACGACGGTAGAGGCGTCAACCTGTCACTGATCTCAGGCAAACAATCATATCGGAACCGCGATTTATCCGACAGCTAGGATTGAGGCCTCTATCCCCCGCCGTTCCTTCTTTCTTTCTCCGTCGGGGTTGCAAGTCGTCCTCTCGTTTCTTCATTCTTCCGACGCCGGCGCCGAATCGAACGAGTCTACAGCCACTTTTTCGTCGGTGTGAGATCTCAATAACGGTGTGTGAGGTTTCTGAGGTCGTAGATGGTTAAGTGGAAAGAAACCGTGATGTTTTTTGTCGGAGAGGAAGAGCTCGATGATAGAGTCAATGTCGGTGAAGGCGAAGGAATCGGGCCAGTGGAATGGAGCATTGCACTCACGCTTATGTACAATATCGAATATGTGTGAGATTCATTATTGGCACCTGATTTTGAAATTTTTCCTCTACTGTCTCAACTCTTAGGTTGATGTGAAATCGGTTGGTTCAGTATAAGCTAGCATGAGCATATCAAGTGTTCAGACCATTGGTTTCTAGTTGAATCTCTCGTCGACCTGTACCATACGGTGCTTGTCTTAGTCTCTCATCGAGGGTCCATTTGTCGGCAGCGCAGTATGGCGTGAAAGATGGAAGGTGCTCTCAAGCCCAAATTTGGACGATGGATATGGCACCACCCACTTGATTTGTTCTCGGATCCGAACACTTCCATAGCTCCCAGTACACCATCGCCAAACAAGCCACTCTCTAGCTTTTTCCGTCTCATCTCGTCCCAATCACCCAATAGTAGCGAGAGCCACATGCAATGCATATACTTATTGGACTTGTTGGGAATCAACACTTGCCCAACCAGCTCAATAAGGTATATGCGAGCATACCTCGTGACCTGCTCCACTATGGCTTCCTCCCCCTAATGAACCAATGCGGTTCACTAGTCATGGGATTGACAGCATAGACCTATATAGCGGTGATTTATGGCGGCCTTCTGCTTCCATGGGGATGTCGATGCCCAAGTTGGCACGTATGAATGGCCCCCAACCACCTTGTGGTTTTTTCGAATTCCCAATTATCGCTTCAACATTGATTGGCAGCTCGGTGAGCAAGACGACATCCTTCAATGTGATTGCTGCCTCTTCCCGAGAAGGTGAAAGATGTGTGACTCTCTCATCCACCTTTCTACCAACATCGTGAGGAGATTGTTGTCAATTTCTATCCATCTAAAGAATCGTGCCCTCGCCAACCCTACTCTTTCAATGAAAAGCTCGATTCGTACATCCCATGGGGGCAAGGCAGATGTTCCCCTATGGATGATGGCACCAAGTTGTTCACACGAAGAAAAAATCCATAATTATTTTTTGAAAAAATGAACACTATTATAATTAAAAATAGAGGAGGTATATGATCCAGTGTTTACGGGATCTTCAATCCAAACACTTTTTGGATCAATGAAAAGGTTGCACATCCAACAATTGGAAATTTCTTGGCTGGGATGATAATAAATTCTAGGATCGTAAATCATTCTCATCTCCCATCTGTATGAAATAAAAATAAAATCAATTCAAATGGGCAAAGAAAAGAGTTCAAATGCACAATAAATGATTTCCAACGATCAATCATGGTTAAACTACTAAGACATTATTGGTTTTATAACAACCCACACATGATTCTCATGGGTAAATCATAGCAATATAGATTAAAATTGGACAAAATAGGAAGATACCTTATGGGCTTCTTCCATTTTTTACAAATGTCGAGCAAAAGTTGATTAAAAGTATTTGTTGGTAGGGTAACCAACTAAAGAAAAATTAATCTGGTTTGAAAGGTCAGCGTTAGCTGCAGCCAAAGAGCATGGTGGAAGGGAGAATGAGAATAGAAGGGCGGAGTAGTGTGTTTGGGGTGGAAGTTAGGAGAGGGTATTTATAGGATTTTGAGGGGAAGTGAGTTGCTTCCAAGGCATGCAAACGAATCAAAATGCTGCAAGACATAGCGATACAACGGTCGTCCACTTGCTAACACAGTGATTCATGTCGACATTAATGCACCAATGAGACTAGTTCACCTAACCAGCAAGGCGATCTGCACCACATATATATCATGCATCCGCATTGTCTCCAGTATCGCAAACCATGTGGCTCGCTTGGAAAGCAAGCAGTCAGGATAGGGTTCACTTCCCTACCACATGAACAACTTTCTAGTTCGCTTCACTATGCAACAAACAACGTAAAGTTAGATATTTTGGAAAAAAATTGTGAAGCGCGGTATTGTGAGAATTTATTTTTGTAACTTTTTTATTTAAGGATTTTTCCCCCTTTTTTCCTTGTGAGTAGTCCCGCTTTCATGGCTATGCACCTCTTTATCGGAAGGCAGTTCAAAGTTCATTGGAGCTTGATGGCGGAGATACTTTGTTTCGCCGAGTAGGAAACTCATGGTGTTATGGTAGAGAAGTCAGACCTGAGATGTGGGACCAACAAGAAGCTCCAAGAGTTAGGTTTGATATGAAATTTTCTTTCTTATAAGGATCCAAATATGACTACCTTGACCAAACTCATGTCACAAGCATGGAATACGAAGCAGGGATTCGAGCTACAATGAGTGGCACCGAGGATATATGCGGTGCAATACACTGGGTTTGTCGTTTAATAGACGCTGATAGGAAGATTTTATTAATTGGAAAAGAATCGTTACATTATCCCATTACATTTATCATATGTATATAGTAAACTAAAGTTCTATTCAGTACTGAAAGTAAATAAATATTACATATCAATCTACAAACTATACAACATTATTTACATTTGGGTCCTTGTCTCTATTCTCCACGACCCCCCCCCCCCCCCCCCCCCCCCCCCCCGAAGTTGGTGCGTATATGTCGAGACGAACCAACTTGGGCTGCAACTGTTGAAATACATGAACTAGCAGTGACTTTGTAAACATATTAGAAAGTTGGTTGGCTGAGGAGACATGAAATACCTTACTCACACCATCTAGAATATGATCCCTAATAACATGACAATCTATCTCTATATGCTTAGTACGTTCATGATTAACTGGATTATATGCTAACTTAATAGCATACATGCTATCACAAAATATAGGAGTGGGAGAAGTGAGACAAATTTGTAGATCATTCAAGACATATCTAAGCCAAATCAATTCACATGTTAAGGCATTAAGCTAGCCATTGTTCTATATTCAGCCTCGGCTGAAGAGCGAGAAACAGTTTTATGTTTCTTTGAACGCAAACTAATCAATGAACTAGATAAAAGAACATAAAAACTTGTGGTGGATCTTCGTGTATCCGGACAGCCAGGAGGTACCACTAGTCCCGGATTTGTTAAGTCGAAAAACTTGATTCTTAAAGCCAGGAGGTACCACTAGTCCCGGAGGAATCTTCATATAGACCTCTTTATAAAGGTCGCCATGTGAAAATGCAGTATTGACATCAAGTTAATGTAAATACCAATTGTTTATTGCAGCTAATGAAAGAACAAGTCTAACAATTCTATGTTTTACAACAGATGCAAATGTTTCTAAATAATCCAAACCTAGTGTTTGTGTGTATCCTTTTGCTACTAGACGAGCTTTGAAACGCCCTATGTCGCAATTAGCAAGAAACTTAACTTTAAAGATCCACATATTTCCTATGGCGATTTTACCAATAGACAATTCAAAAATGGTCCAAGTATTAGTTTTATCTAGAGAAGAAACTCAGAATTACATGCTTCCAACTACCTAGGATCCTTAATAGCTTCCTTATATGATCTAGTGTAACACCCTACCCTATACGTTTTTCCTAATCATATTGTTCATAAAATTGCAGCGGAATTAATCTCGGGTGTTACATTAAATATCAAAATTTACCCAAATAAAATTTCGACATGAATTACTTGCGTAATGGGCTAACAGTTCTTGCAACTTATCCTGCAAAATAATTCATCACAAACATATATACTCAACCATATGCATTGGCTTTTCTTAGCCATAGTCACACTTTTCATACTCCACAACTGTATACCATACTTATACATACCATAATCATTACAACTTACACAGTTACACAACATATACACATATCATCAACTTTCCACACCTGTGGATATTCCACACTACATCAGAAGCTAGTATGCACATGAAAAACGTTCTCAAAACATTTTTACAAAAAGGTGTGGATCACTGGCCAAAATCTCGAGTAGTCATCCAAGCACAGAATAGTTGAAGACCATACCTCATCCTGGCTTCAACTCTAGCTCCTCTCCCACCTAACACTTATCTACTCTGAAGCTGATGATCTGCTTACACATAGCATAAGCAGAGAAGAAGAATAAAAGGGGGTCAGCTCATAGCTGAGTGAGATAATCATAGCATCGTGAGTTCATAACAGAGCATACCCCTATCATACATCTAACAATCAAGCCAAAACACTAGGATCAGACCTCAACCATCCTCATATCCCAATAGGCAAAAGACTCAACCACCTTGACTTATGCATATGCATCTTATCATGTTTTAATCATAGGCGCCTAGCTACTCCCATGTTAATTACTATCCCGGGAATACAGACCAAACATCTCGTGGATGTGGTCATATCGGACCCACCACTGCCGGTGTAGTCATATCGAACCTGACACCACGCTGGGTGTGGTCATATCGGACTAAACACCACTCTGGGTGTGGTCATATCTCATGATGAATCAACGTTCAACACCACATCAGGGGTGTGACATAACATATCACAATGGAGTAATAGCATGGGGAGCCCTGATTACTATGTAATTGACCATGAGACCAAAGTACTCTTACTTGATATCCTTATCCATGATCCATATCTCATCTTGCTTAATCATAATTCGCTACTTGCACATGTACTTGACCTGGCCACAATTGACTCAACATAGGTAAATCAGGAGTCGTATAATTGCACTTCCTCGGGATAAACCCTCGTGCAAGTCATCCTCCTTAAACGTCATAATATCACCAGGGAATATATATTTTCCCACATGTGCATCCAAATACCACAATCATGAAAAATCATACCCAATCACCTTTTCGAACCATCATAAGGTTTATTAATAGTCAAGCCCACAATTTGCAACATATACAAAATCATCAGCATAAACAAGGTCCATCTCGATTAGGGCAAGTCAATAATATCATACAGTAGTCCATGGTTCATCATATAGCACAAAAGTTCATACACCCTTAATCATGCCATTCTAGTTCACCTAGGTCAATTCTAAGCATCAATATAATTATCGTGATACGACAAACCTAGTATACCGTGCTAATCCCTCACCAGTTCTGGTCGTTCAAACACCGGTTTAACCTTCCCGTACTAAAACGTCAATTTCACGAACGAACCCCGAATTAAAATCCGAGACCGTCCTAATATCCCCTGCAGTATCCCCGTCAATATTAGTTCTAGGCTCCCGGTCAAATTCTTGATAAAAACACATCAAACCCTGGCTGGAGCTAAATTCAGCGATTTGGACCCCGACCTAAATAATTGCCGAAATTCAAGGATTAGAACTAGAGGATTGATTACCTCGCCGCAGGAAGCTCGTATATGAAATTTGGGCTCAATCCGGCTTTCGGATACTCCGAAACCCTAATTTGGCTTATTGGGAATTCTAGAAATTCCTGAACCAAAAACTCATTTTAAAGCTATAAATCGATAAATCACGATGTATGGATGAATTAGGCATTACTTACAGGATTTTTGGATCACTAGGGCTCAAGATTGGAGCTTTAGAATTTTTCCCTAGTCGCTCCCTGAACTCTCCGCGTTGCCTCTGCTCTCGGTCCGGAAATGGGAAAAAGGAAGATGAAATGGTTTCTGGAAAAGTAATGAGACGGGGGAGGGAATTAAATGGACCAAGATATAATATATATATATAATTAATACGTATACTTATCCGATCGATAATCCGATTTTCGTCGAAATACTGCCAAAATGCTCGATTTCAAATCGTGAAATTTTCTAGTGACAATAATACAATTTTAGCTGAAACGGGATGTTACATTTAGGTTCGAGAATAGTGGAGCTGACTAGAATATAAGCTTTATATTATCACTCAGATTGTCAAAAGTCATTACATCAGATAGAGGGAATGAGACATCATAACAATTGACTGAGCAAACATAGTCATCTAATTTCTTAGAACGAGCCTTAATATGAGCAGGCCTGGCATAATGATTTGGTTTGACAGCTTGAATGATACCAATCTGATCAAGAGGTTCCTCCTCGGGAGGTGAAGGTGAAATTGGTTCGATGCTAGAAGAAGAGTTAGGAGGACTACGATGAACTACAGACTGTAGTATCCGTAACTTGAATACATGGGAAGCAAAAATCAAAATCAGATTGGGACAAAGAATCACGGAGAGGGAAAACATGTTCGTGAAACACAGTATCTCGCAAAAATCAAAATCAATATATGTTGTTGTTTCTTGTTAACATGAACATTTTGTTGAGAGGAAGCCACACAAGTGGTTTGATGAAGAATACCAAATGAGTTGTAAAACAAATGTATGTTAAATTCTTGACCGTTATCTGTCCTATTAGTCTCAATTTTTGAAGAAAATTGAGTATTTACAAAGGCTGGCAGATCTAATAAAATCTGTCAAGCTTCACTTTTAGATTTCATAAGGTAAACCCATGTATGTTGTGAGAAATCATCAACACAAGTGAGAAAGTAACAGAAACCATCAATAGTAGGAACCTGATATGGACCCCCATATGGTGATATGAAGTAATTCAAAAGGAATATGAGAATGAGATGTATTTTGTGGAAAAGGAAGACCCCTTTGTATAGCTAAAGAACATATAGTACATGGCATTTTATTATGAGCTACAGAAGGCTTGGCAGTTTTATCTAAGTTATGAGATAAGGGGATGACAGTATGACCAAGTCTATAGTGCTAGATATCAAAAGGAATAAGTGTGGAATTAAAGCAAACATTACAGGAGGATGTATGTGACATAGGCTACGTCATGTTGAGATGATATAAGCCAGATTCTTGTTTAGCTATATCAATCGTCTCGTTGGACGAAAGATCCTGAATTAAACAAGAATCGGCAGTAAATTTGAGTAAACGTTTTGATGACTTGACTAGTTTAGACACTGAAATGAGATTAAATGTGAATGTTGGAATGTATAGACATCATATAGGGTAAGCATAAGAGTGATTTGAATGTTCCATACATGTGTAACATTAACTTTTACACCATTTGGTAAAGATACAAACACGTTATTTATAGTTTTATAGGTTTGAAATAGGTGCAAGACTAGGGGTGGCTATTTGGTCCGGGATTTTTGGTTTTACCCGAAATCGGACTGTATAACCCAGACCGAGACCAGACCGGATAACAAACAATCCAATTCCATTTTGGGCTTAGATTTGAGGTAAAGAACCGTTCGGGACCATATCGAAAACTGGATAAATAGCGGATAAGAGAGCCCAACACCCAAAATTTAACCAACTCCTCACCCTTTCAGGCCTCAGGCCACACAAATCCCCACAAGCTCAATCTAAAATCAAAACCAAATTGGGACTGGACCGGTTCAATATTTGGTCCTTATATTCCCGAAAAGACCAGAATGGGACCATATCAATTCGGGCCAATATAACCAGACTAGACCGTATAACCACCCCTATGCAAGACAGACACAACGTGGTCAATTGCACTTGCACCATTATCTACTATCCATTCCATAGAGTTTAAAGATGAGTTTATGGAGGAAAGAATAGTACCAGTGTCTTCTGCTATGACAATGTTGGTCCCAATTTCCCAACTGGTTGAGGAACATAGCTTGAATTACCAGAACCACCAGTAGAAAAGATAGGAGCAGCCGATGTAGAAGTCTCTTGTCAAGTAGAGATGACCAGATTGGCCACTAGAGTAGCATTTGACACTACCCTTGCTGTGGTTGAGGCTGATTAAATAAGGGCTGATGCAATAAGGGATGATATTGGGATTTGTTAAGAACAACAGACTCATCACCATCAAGTCCTTCAGTAGTATTCGGAGGATTGATCTCTGAAGTGGCTGCATTGGCTCGACAATGTTTGTATCCAGGTGGATACTCGTGAAGCTGGTAGCAACGATCAACTGTGTGCTCATAGCCTTCACAGCGAGTACAGAATGACATCTTCTTACCCCAACATAGAAGTCTTGAACCTTAGAAGTAGCCCCCTAGCCAGAATGTTGTCCCTTTGAAGCTCCATGACTGTACGGAGCTAGGGAAGTGGGGAGTAAAGAAGGATTGACAAACTGTCGTTCCTGCTGATCTAAGCTAGAAAACACCTTGTTGATAGAAGGCAATAGATCAATCAACAAAAAATGAGACCTAATGTGACCAAATATCTCATTCCCCTTTAGAAAACGAATCACTTGATCTCTACGCATATATTCTCGTGGAATCGACGTAGCAGCACAATTGCATAATACTCGGAACTTAGTGAAGTAAGAACTGATAGACAGTGAACCTTACTTGAGGGCAGAGATTTCGTAATAGAGATCCAAAATCCGTACTCATTCCCTTCATTGAAGCATTCTCCGATATCCTCCCAAGCTTCCACAGCCATGTTGAACCACAAGATGTTCTAGGCAATTTCTATTGAAACAGAACGTTGAATCCCTCCTAGAACAATGATGTTGGCTTGATCCCAAGCACTCCACAAAGGCTCGTGTGACGAAGGAACTAGTGTGTGAGAATCTATCAGCAGGAACTTATTTCGTGCATGCACATCGATCTCACCCAGCAATACTAATTGTAGCCCGAAAGTAGCACAGTGAAGATCTGATGAGTAGAGAGATCACCCATTGCAGAAAAAAATGGATGCGCCGGTGAATGAGTAGCGCCGATCGACGAAGGTCCGCGCTAACTGAAGGAGGCATCATATTGAACGGAGAAGGAACATCGCCTGATGGGCACCGACTGGCGGTGAACTAGTCGTCGCACTGATTGTGGAGAAAGTTGCCATATTGATAGATTTGAAAGTGTGATGAAGAACTCGAAGCGATTAAGAAAAGTAGTCAAATCGATCGGAACAAAGAAACATGATCGGCGAGGAGAATCAATCGAATCAGAGAGCGGAGTGAGCGGAGATTAGATCGAAGTCGATCAATGGAACGATCAAGAAGCAGAGGTAGAGAATCAAACGCGTTGTTCGTCTCTCTACAAAACCTCGAGAAAATGAAAGAAAATGCAATAAAACGAAGAAAAAAAACGAAGGTCAAGAAAGGGGAAAGTCACCCTCTAGTACCATGTCGTTTAGCAGAAGCCGATAAGCAGATTTCATTAATTGGAAAAGAATCGTTACATCATCCCATTACATTTATCATATATATAGGAGAGCATACTGATATTAGAAGGTTAATAGAGCATATACTGATATTATAGAGAGATATTTTACGAAGAAGTCTTAGATAACTTTGAATGCTCAGGGGTGAAGTTAGCAGATTGAATTTGATAACACCTGAACATAATTCTAATTCTACTTACATCTACGTCGTCAGTGTCGTAACCTTTCTCAACTAATCACTTTAATCCTAGAGCAATACATCTGGAAATTAACATTCTCATGTTCAAGAAATTGTTATGATGCACTATATTTAAAATGTGTTTGCCAAAATGATAATGATTTTCCAATCGTATTTTTTGTCGCCCAAGAGGGGTTGATTTGAATTGTTTATGCTATTAGGCCAATGCTTTCTGATTTCTATGTTAGTCTTCTCATATTTCTTATGTTTCACACCATGAGAATGACCAGTTCTCTAGGAAGTCTTGTGATACCTAGATGAATTGAGAAGTTCTCATAGTTTGTTGAGGTTAGCCTACATATTAGCTAAAAAGTTAGTACTGAAGTGTTTCTCCTTACACATTGCTTCAGGTGTCTTTCTTTGAGTTTTGATTTTTTTTATCTTTTCATGATAGATTCTTGGTGGAGAGGACTAGTAAATAGGTAGTTTGTTGAATTATTTTCTATCATTATAGGTGTTTAGCTTGTGTATGGGTTGCAATGTTGGGCATTTTGCTAGTTTGAGCACAATGCACTTAGCACACTGAATTGTTGGAGGTTGACAAAGCTTTTAGAATATCGTTGTTATAGTACTTTCGGACACCATCCATACCAATCAATTCCATCCATCAATTATACGGTAAATGTCACGCATTTACCATTATTTTCTGTTACCATCTTTTTATATTTTATCGGAATAATCCCAATAATGATAGTCTAAAATTCAAATGATTTATAAACAAGTGTGAACCAATTTTGCTAATGGATCCAAAACCATATTCTCAAAAGAATTCAATAATACAATATTATCTCTCAACAATATTAGATTAGTACATGCTAACATCATTGCACAATTAAGTCCACCACTATAATAATAATAATAATAAAAATAGTGAACCATCATACAAATAATCATCTAAATATTAAAAAAAAACAATACTTAAACAAGAACTACCTCATCCATAAAGTATTGAGTAGTAGTAGGTAAAAGGTATAACATCTCTTATCTTTTTACAGAAATGTCAATCTAGAAAAAAAAAAAAGAAAGATAAATAGTATCACATATGGTATCTCTAGAATATCTCGATAATAAACCCCACGGTGGATGACAAAAAAGAACAAAAATGAAATATAAGAAGTTGAAAGATTATCGACAGTACATTAGTTGAGTTTCACTTACTAACCTTTATAGCTCAAGGACTATGAAAAATTGAATATTATTAAATGAAAACTAGAAAAACGAATATAAGTCAATGGTTACCCCAATTAATCAACCATCATAACCTAGATATACACAAAAAAACTGAGTTAAGTTAATTATCAATATGACAAAATACTTTTTTGACATTTTGCAAGTATATGAACAATTTTGAATAAAAAATGTTATTACTTACCATATGAAATCGTGTATGCGATTTATAATCTTTACAAGACCAACAAAATATTATTGCATTATTTTTGTTACACAAATCCATATTTCAAAACTCATCATTGATCTTAGTTGAACTCAATCCGTAATACAATATGCTTTTAAACCTCTCACAGAATTGGCCAGCTCATCAATTCATATAAGTATTTTATTATTATCCAAATTCAAAAATATTTAAAACAAATAATGAGTTGATTTCAATTAATAACTTTATAACTCAATTATATAACTTTTACTCTCTACTAAATTTTCATGTATTCCATCAAAAGAATATGACCAAAAGTTATACAACATCCTTCATTGAACAAGGATCAGAACTTGTTGATCTATTGATCCAAATCTCTCATAATTAAGAGAGTTGTCTTCTTCGTAATCACAATTTTTCATTGATAGTGTAGGAAGTCATGCGACTCATTCTACAATTGTGAAATTTATTCAAAGCACAAAATGTTAATCCATGATGACAATTTGTCTAACAAAAAAAAAACATAAAATTTATGGTTACCATGTTAAACATCCATCACAGTCTAGACTAGGGATGGCAACAAAACCCGAACCCACGGGTACCCACCCGACCCAACCCGGTCAACACGGGTAAAATCCGTGTTGACGGGTTTTGGGTTTAAACCCGTTCACTATTCACCGGGTTGGGTTGGGTTTGGGTTTAGGTAAACCCGACCCATGGGTACCCTCCCACACCCATATAATTAATTTTCTCGGCCTATTTAATATTCTAAACAACTAATCTTATTTATGTTGGTGGAGACATGCCTAATTTTTTCTTTCTAGTTATGTAGTATGAAGTTGATGTTATCGAGTGGAGAGTGAAAAACTTAATTGAAAGGAAGAAGCTTTCAATTAATCATGTTATTTATGGATAATTTGTGATTTGCTTCAATTTCTTGAATTTTCTAGATTGGTCTTGAACAATTTGTATAGTTAATTTGTGCTTTGCTTGAATTTTCTAGAATGATGTTTTATATATGGATAATTTGTATTGGGAGATTGATATTTGACTTTAATTTTGATAGGAATTTGTTAGTAAATTTTTTACGACAAAAACCCGTGGGTACCCATGAACCCGTGGATACCCAGCGGGTTGGGTTGGGTTTGAGTTTTTCAAACCCAGTGGGTTTTACCCCGGGTTTTTTTCACGGATAAACCCATGGATTTGGGTTTCGCAAAACCCGACCCAACCAGACCCATTGCCATCCCTAGTCTAGACATACAAAAACAAATTCAAAAGTTAATAATCAATGAAATATATATTTATTTACATTTTGCAAGTATATCAAAAAATTTGAAACGAATATGAACATCTATTACTTATAATAGAAAATAGTGTATGTGATGTGTATTTCAAAACTAATCCTCTATCTTAGTTGAACTCATTGCATAAACGTCTCTGAGAATTGGTCAGCTCATCAACCATATAAATGTTTTACTAATTCAAAAATTATGAGTAATGAAAATTTGGTTGCAAATTCTTAGAAATTTTACCACTTTTGCTCAAATATTTGATCTTCTGTTAAGATCCAACAAATTGGAGAGAGTTTAGCATTTTCAAGTGGATTACAATGGATGACACAAAAGAGTAGAAAGAAAAAGAATCAGATTCTGATTAATAATCTATGAGACAAGGAAGAGCATAAAACACAAATTAGATGAAAATTTTGTATTAAGAAAATTTTGTTGCTCAATTTTAATCTTTTTATCTTTCCTGTTTAAATATTTAATATTTTGTTGAATTTTAAAAAACTTGTGAGGGTTTTGTGCGTTTCATATTTTGTTCAACCTGAAAATATTTGATCTCATGTTAAGCTCCAAGACACTTGAGAGAGTTGTGCATGGTTCCGGAAATTTTTTTTTTATAATACAACCGATGTATGAGTTGAGTCATAATTAATAACATTTATAACTTAAAAAATATAGATAACTAATTTCTCATGCAGGCAGTCAAAGAAACTTGACCAAATTTTATACAATTTGGCTCATTGAACAGCCAAGACAGCTTGTCGATCTGTTCATCATAAGAATGCTGGATATCCAAAAACAAACTCAAAGTTAATAATCAATGAGACAAAATGTTTATTGACATTTTATAAGTATATAAATCATTTATAAACAAAAGAATCTCATTGCATTTGAAGAATCATATATCTCTCGATTAAACTCATTTCATTGTACAATATGCTTTTGAAAATTCTCCATAATTGGTCACATCATTAATTCACGTAATTGTTTAAGTATCATCCAAAAATTCTCCATAGTACAATATGCTAATTTTTAAACTCTTTACTAGACTTATTTCAATTTTTATCTTGTGTTAATGTCCATCAAAGTTAAGATGGTTGTGCATGTTTCACATTTTGTTCAACTTGAAAATTTCCAATTCAGGACTGTTTTTTAAAGATATGGAATCTGACTTATCACGTAATTGACAAAATTATGAAAACATGATTAATTACACATCCAAAAAAACTAAAATCAACCTATGATATTTTTTTGTTAGAAGCGATACATACAATAGAAAAGTATAAAATCATCCACATTGATAACTGAAAGAGATTTTGTTGGTTGCTCATTCTTAACCTCATTACTAGACTTACTTCAATTTTTATCTTGTGTTTATGTCCATCAAAGTTAAGATGGTTGTGCATGTTTCACATTTTGTTCAACCTGAAAATTTCCAATTCAAGACTGATTCTTAAAGATATGGAATCTGACTTATCACGTAATTGACAAAATTATGAAAACATGATTAATTACACATCCAAAAAACTAAAATTAACCTATGCTATTTTTTGTTGGAAGCGATACTTTCAAAAGGAAAGTATAAAATCATCCACATTGATAACTGAAAGAGATTTTGTTGTAGCAAAATAAAACAACACTACGAAGAAGAGAATCTTATCTTTTATCCCTACTATTAACTAATATAAATTTTTTCCTTCGAACAATACGATGCCCCAAGAAATCTCTCAACTACATATATTCTTAGTTTACATGGCGCAACACGATAGCTATTATATTTTTTATCGACATATCGCGAGCCTCATCCACAAAATGAAAAAAACATCATCGATGACACTTATGATTTCCTTGGTTATTTTAGTTGCAATTGCATGTATATTATCCATTTGTATGTCTTGAGAAATCAATTGAAGGTTTTTGGGAGCATTTCTCAACAAAACACTTTCCACTTTCCTATCTATCATTAGCACAATATTTCAAAAGTTCAAAATCTTTATTCTTTGAAAATGTTGTTTTGTCATGCCCATGAAGTGAATGACATTGGCGTATACAATGCTTGATTAAGCCAATTAAACTTGCAAGCGAGTTTTATAATCTATCTTTGCGATCTGTCTGTTTGCATAAAGAAACTCAAATTTTATGTGATTGTTTCAACAAGTCCTCACATTTTCTCATAATCTTGTTTTCTCACTTTTGATATGACTAAAATGTTTCTCAAGACCTTCATCTCTCCAATTTGAAGCTTTAAAACCCTTAGAAATAAAAGAAATACATCTACAATTCTTATTATCATCGCTCTTAAACAAATAACAACACAAGCAATATGATCTTTCACAATATTATGTTCCATCCAATGCTTTTTTTTTGTACCAAGAAGGCTTAAAGCTCTGATATGTTTGTCCAATATCTTTTTATGGAAAATCATGATCAGATTAGCAAACTCCTTTTTGAAGATGGTGCCTTCTAATCATATCTTGAACACTAGGATAAAATAATAATAGATGTTCACTTAAGCCCATATAAGCTTTCAAAGAGTTCATGTCAAATTCATTTTCTCCTATGTTAGCGGTAAAGTGATTTATCGAGAGAGGTTGTGACACTGATGGTGTAGATGGAGTCGAATTCATATCATGTTGAGATTATATAGAATTCAATCCACTAACTCACGTCGCCGAGCATTCAGGGTTTATCCACTACTTCTTTGTTAAGTATCTCCACATCATAATATTCTTCAATGTTTGATGACACTTTATTTGTTGTATTTTTCACTCCCATTCTTGATGCATTTTCCTCTTCTATCAATGCTTCTTTAGTAATTTCAATGATATTTCTTGTCTAAATCACAATTGTTTGATCAATGAGCTTATAATAGACCAAGGCAATGTTCTTGTACTCTTTGATGCCTTTTTGGTATTTTTTTTATGGTTTTGAAGGTACAAAGCAACTTAAGGATGATTGGATCAAGCAATGAAGAACTCTAGAAGACCAAATGAGCTATAAAGAGAAGATTAAGGAACTTTCGTGAGAAAGAAGTGGTCTATATGCATTGTGCTTAGTTTGGCATAGGTTGTTAATAAATTACTATCTAGGGATACCCCATTGATGTTATAAGAGTATGGGAGGCTAGATCAACCATCTATGCTTTGAGTAGTACCAATGCTTGATTGTTAGATCTTCGATGCTATAGACTATAGTGATGGTTCGTAGAAGCCCAAAATTAACTATATGCTATCCTAACTTCCTTGTTCATTAATTAGGTAATGACATGAGGTAAAAGCACGCATTAGCTGGTTAAATGTGTATAGCAAGAGATGCATGCACGGGTCGAGAGTGGCCTTAGAGGAAGGGATAAGCTGTTTCAATAGATGAACCATCGATACATGATATGAATGAGACCTAGTATGCATGATAGTTCTCGAGTTCACTACCTTTTACAATAACGTATATTTACTTTTATGCATCTATAAAAAATCTCTAAACAACTTTACTCTTCTTGCTTTGCTTGTTTGTCTAATGAAAACCCTTAAATGTCTTTTATGTTTCTCGTGTAGGTCATGATGGTTGTTGTGAGTAGTTGTGCATTAGAAGACCTCGAGGAATATGACCCTAAGACATCCTAGGATTTTATCACTTATATTACATGATCGATGCTCCATTTCAACAATACCCATAATAGTACTTTTATGTTTTTGTTGGCTGTCCAAGATGATACGGACACTCGAAACTCACTCACACGATCAAAAGAAACCCGCCACGAGTTCAGTCATTACACAAGGTATTATCTAATACGCCGTAAGCTCTATGAGCTTGTGTGAGTAGGGAACATTTACATCCTTTCTCACTTTACCTTCCACCACCATATGAATTGACGCTCTAACATATGATTGACCAGCATCTTCGTCAAAGGAAACCATGGGAAAAGAGATTTAGACTTATAGAGGACTATCCCATCTTTGAAAGTAATTCCACAAATAAATAAGGAGTGTGTTAATAAATCATATGTTTTATCATCTTTGCTCCATCGGAATGATGTGGCTCCGCTACTTCATGTCCCTTAAAGAAATTTACTCTATGCTTTTGACTAGGGATGGCAACCCTACCCGACCCGCCGGATACCCAACCGAAACCCGTTCCGACGGGGTTCAAAATAACCGGCCGTGGTGGGTAAAGGGCGGATTCGGGTATGCCCGAAATCCGACAATAGTGGGCAATGGGTGGGGATGGACCTCCTAGTATCCGCCCCGTCACTACAAAAAAAGAAGGTCAGTTATGACCAACGGTTTGGCGTTGTATATGATATTTTTTCGTTGCAAATGACTTGTTATGACGACATACAGTCGTTGGTCGTCATCGAAAAAAGTCCCATCGCAAAAAATGGAAATTGGTTAGGTCGTCATAAAAAGAATATTTGTGACACATGGTTGGATGTCATAACATAAATTATCGTGGTCATAAATAAATTATACTTGATGCTAAGAAAATGAAGAAGTTTATTTTTGACGAAATTTTGTTTTTTTTAACAACCAAATGTTGTTAGCAATAAATAGTTAATGACTCAAATACCCTTCGAATATATTTACGATGACTGTGACTCATTGAAAAATTGTACAATTTGGATCGATATTTTAATTCCCAAAATACCCTTTTTAATTTTCGACAAATAGTGTTGGTCAGAAAAAAAATTGTCACAATTATATTATTTGTGATGGAACTAGATTTGTTGTTGTTCAATTTTAGAAAAGATATCATTTTTATTTTGTGACTAATAATATTGGTTGGGAAAAATATTTTGTCATAAATATCATTATTTGTGATGACATTTCATTCGTTGATGATGGCTATTCCAAAAATACTCTTTCAAATTTGCATCGAATAAGTTTGGTCGGAAATAAAAAATTTGATACTTAAATTAATTGTGATGAAAATTTCTTGGTCACTAATATGTTTTACGAGGTCCTTTTGTCCTAACAAATTAAATATGAAGCGTTGGAAATGATGTTACATATCGTCAAAATTATTATCATAAATTGTCACAAACAATTATTAAGCGTTGGAAATGATGTTACATATCGTCAAAATTATTATCAATGCAATTGTAATATTATATTTAAATGCAATTTCATAAATAATTAAAAATATTCGAAATAGCTAAAAGACAATTACTTGGATATAAAGAAAGGTGCCATACGATCACCATTATCTTACATACTGGATAGTTAAGACATGTTGTGTACACACCAATGTCTTATATGCACTAAACGAGTGCACAAACAAAACATTAAACATCATCTTTCTTGCACTAAACGAGTGCACCCAAAAAACATTAAACACCACCGTCTTTCTTGCATTAAACTAGCGATGCTAAAATCGAACAAAGGAAAAAACACAACGAATAAACACCACTCCTAACTGCAGACCTCCATTGCATGTCGACCACTGCATCATCAGTTTGTCCCGTCACCCTCCTCGTCATCTTCACTGTCGGCATCTTCTTCCTCACCATCAACTTCTTCATCATCATCCATGCCATTGCTGTTTGCAGCCTACATCATCGCATAGAACAGAAAAAGTGGGAATTACTCATTCATTACATACATAAATTTAATAATACATAAGAAAAATGGAATCAGACTTACATTGGACGACTCTGGCAGCTGGATTCCAACTTCCAAGCCTCTTCAGCGTCGCCTCGACAACCAGAGGCATATTACAGTTCACCTGCTCGATCTGTTCTTCCATCATTCTCATCTTCTCATCGCTCTTCTCCTTCTCTATCCTTTGATCGTCTTTGCATTTTTTGCTGCAGTCTTGGTTTGAAGTAGAGCCAAACACATCCAAGCCACTGACCCCACAACCCATCCCAAGCACTCGCTTCCTTCGCTGCTGGCCTACCACCTCTCCATAAATAGCAAACTTGTTCACATCCTCCCCTTTGCTCAACTTCTCTGCCTCCTTGGCCTTCATTCCAGCCTAAACAGATCAAGATAAAAACTATTGTTAGTATTTCTGGTTCCCCTATGCACTTAAACACTACAATAACACCAAGCAATATGATTGGAATTCAGAATGTGTTTACTTACATGTAGATCCTGAGCCTTGGGAGTGGTGAAATTATCCTTTGTTGAATGAAAATTCCTGAAAGTCTCAATAGGATCAGGTTCTCTGCCCATCTTCTTGATCTGCAAAGACACAAGCAATCAACATGAGAGCACACTCATACATACAAAAAGCGGGAATCAAACAATAAAAGAAATAGGTACTTGGTTTTGTAACACACCTCTTCCAATCTGTACTTTGCCAAGGGAGAAGAACAACAAGTTGACTTCAGCTCACACTTCTCACGGTCCTCCTTGTTCTTGTCACTTGTACCCTGCAGGTTTTGGAAAAATCAGAAGCACAACTAAGTTGCTAATGTATATAGCACAATAAACTACTCGACATAGGATAAAAGCAGAAGGTCTTACCACCCAGGTAGGTTTTTGCGAACCATTTCCTGCCAAATATGTGGAGGTATTTTATTTGGTGGATTTTTCATCCTGCCAGCCTCAGTCGCATTCGCCTTGAACACAGGATTGCGGAATGAGTACATCCACTACGGGAAATTTCTTTTGATTTGTTCATTGAGTTGAACATTCATCTCTTCCTCCGGGAGGGTGCAAGCAAATCCAGACTCCTTGAAACGAGCAATCACGGTCTCCAACTCAGCTGTTGGATACTCACTGAAAGTGATCCACGATCCACTTATGCTCCTCTTGAAAATGGCCGACATTTCACGGGCTGCTGCTGTTGTCACAATCCTGCAAAAAAGTTATCACACATACAAAACCACACACTATTTGTCAATTGCACCTACAGATTGTTATGCAGTAAACGAAAACCGAGCATGTCATATCACACATACAAAACCACACACTATTTGTCAATTGCACCTACACATTGTTATGCAGTAAATGAAAACCGAGCATGTCATACCTATTGTCATGGAATTCAAGTACAATTCCATGACCTAGCTTCACCCCTTTTCCAGGTCCTCGTCCTTTACTCTTCTTACCATAACCTTATTCAGAATACATTGGTCCTTAATTAGACCTTTTACACAGTAAACGTGAAAAAACAAAAATTAACTTAAGAAAATTGACATGCTAAAACACAACACCTAACAATGGCCAAGTGTAACCAATGAAAGGGACTGCAGTATAGTGGCACAAGTAATAAATATCGAATCCACGGGTCTCTAGAGTTACTATTACTCAGCTTCAGTTCATTATCTAGCAAACTAGATTAAGGATTGATTTATAAACTACTCTACTAACTACTCTACTAGTTACAAGTTGGGAACTCACTTAGGTATGATTCCCCCTAGCTCCTCAATTAGGTCCAAGTTGCAATTACTTTTGGTTGGTCTACTGTTGATTAAACTGCGGAAGATCCTAAATTAGCTTGGAATCTCTTAAGCTGACCAAGCCCTCTTAGACAGAATACCCGGCAGGCGACTAGCCTTCACCGGGATAGACTGCTAAGGCGATTCACACAGATCTCCACTACTGGAATGAATTCCAGTACAAAGCAGTGAATTGGTTGACTCTCGCACAACCAATTCACCACTATCAACCAAGGAAGCTCTCTTAACCTAATCAGATTCTATCTATCATAGGTTAAAGCAGAAATCAAGAGAAGATGATCAGGCTTCAATTGAGTCTATAAATCATGCCTCAATCGATTATAATCAAACAATATAGCATCCAAAACTTCATACAAGAAAGATCCTAACACATGGAACTAGGGTTCCTCAAAACCCAAGTGAAGGGAAGTTACTCCATAGAGAAGTGAGAGACTGCAGAAATCTGATCTAGATCTTCAATCTCCATCTCCAAGCTTGATTCCCGAGCTCCAATGGCGAAGAAATCCTCCAAAATAGCTCCAAGAATGTTCCCAAGTCTCTCTCTCTCTAGGGTCCGTCCCTTGGGTGTTTGGGAACCAAAACCCAGCTCTCCCTCTCCTTTGGCTCAAAATTGGGCTAAAACCCAGGATTTCCCGACTCACACGGCCAGGCCACACGGCCGTGTGGCTTACCCAGCTGCCTGTGTGAGTGCCAAAACGCGGAGTTTCGATTAATGGGCAACCAGGAAAGCTACACGGACAGGGGCCACACGGCCGTGTGGCTCCCCAGGATGCCCGTTTCAGTGCTCGGTAAATCCCACACGGCCACATGGCCAAGTCACACGGCCGTGTGGGTTTTTAGGTGTGCCCGTGTGGCTTGCTCAGCCTCTGTTTAATGCTTCGTTTCTCCCTCGTGCGGACTCCGAATCAGTCGCCGTTTGATCCCAGACGCTCGTAGTCTCGCCCTCTTTCTTTTCATGACAAAATTCCATGATTATTTGTCCATAATATGAGGTAGAAGTCCATTATTCCTTAGGTCATGCTCGTGTTTCTTCTCCCGAATTGCCAAATGATCTCCGATTGACTTGAAACTTGCGCCTATGCTTCAATTCACATGCTAGGACCTGAAATGTGACAAAGGAACACAACCTAGCATAAAATAGTCCAAGAAAGCAGAAAATCAAGCCAAAATGATCAAGAATAGAGGGTGCAAACATGTGCAAGTACGATGTTATCAAAAATCAAGTGCTTACTCTGGTTCCCTGCTTCTCCATCTGTGCTCCTAACCGTTTCATCAATCTCCATTGCATTGTCATAGAAAGGAAGATCCACATGCTGATTTTCTGGCACATTTACAAATTCAGATGTTTGGTCAGTGTCATGATGAGCAACATGAACACTTTCTGCAGGTCCAGGTATTTCTTGTTCCTCTGTAGGAGTTGCAGGCGCCTTCTTCTTCAGATTTTTGCGTGTCCTTGAATTTCCCATCTAACATATACATGTAAAGGTCTGTTAGAAAAGGGGAAGATGAACATATCCTACAAAAATGGTTAAACACACATAAACAAAGGCATACTTCGTCTCTTGGTTGTGGTTTGCTGGAGAAAGGTTTATGGCTTAGGTAAACGGTGAAGGGAGGGAGTATACACGAGAGTGGTACTTATGCAGAGTGAGAGAGAGTTTAAGTTTTAGATAGATGGAATTGTGGCTTGCTGGGGAAAGGTTTATGGCTTAGGTAAACGGTGAAGGGAGGGAGTATACCCGTTATTTTATTGGGTTAGTGCAACAACACATCAACGAATGATCTGGGAATTAACTCAGTGTATTGCAATTAATTGATGAACCAGGTTAATTGTGATTCAATTGAAGGCATGAACAATAAGACGAAACAACTAGCATGCATCTCAACGGGAGGATTAAATCATCACGACATTTAATTCAACGCGTGAATCTATGGGAAAATTCCAAAATTGAACACTCGATAAGGGGAAAGAATTTAACTTGCTATGCAGAACCCAAGCAAATCCCTATTGGGAGAAGACGAAACAACTGGAGATTCATCTTCAACTACCACTTACTCCTGTCCTTCGACCGGCGACATGCAACTCCTCCATCCTGGGTCTCGTTCGTACGGTTCCTATGAACGAGACGGAGTTCGCGGCATGCACCGATCTCGTTTCTTGGTTGTCCATGATTCCAAAAGCTGAAGCGCCTCTGCAAACAACACCGCCTTTGATTTTGGGGTTATAGACTTTCCGGCGCAGAGCGACGTTCAATATAGGTGATTTTGAGGTTTTGGTAAAGTGAAAAGCAGGATTAATTGTCCCCTTCACTAAATTGTTATTTCCTTTCCGAGAATGAAACCCCCAAAATGGCATCGTATTCTTCCTTTACAGCAGTGGTACGGTACGTATTGGGGTAATTAATTAACTAAATGAAATTGCAATCTCCCATTAGCATTTGAACTTAACAAAATAAAAGATAAGTATTAAACAAATTGCAATTCTCTATTATTAATTGAACTTAACGAAATAAGAGTAAGTATAAAACAAAATGTCATTGTATAATTGCAACAAAAATCTAAATAAAATCTTCATAACCCAGTCTAGTCAAGTTCAAGTTATCATCGTCTCCGTCATCCTAGATTATTCGAGGATCATCAAAAATTGTGTCTTCTTGGTACGCTTGTTCTTCGAGAATTTCTTCTTCCTCGGCTAGATTATAGAAATTTCTCAGTCTTCTCAATCACCGTGTACCAATCTCGATTTCTGACGCACTGCACATAATAAACTTGAAGTGTTTGACATGCCATAACATATGGTTCATCGGCATGCCGCTTACATGTCCTATTAGGGGTCACCACGCCGTGGCCATCCCTCCTGTAGCCTAAACCTTCTCGCGTCGTGTCATACCACTCGGATTCAAATAGCACCACACGAAGGCCTTCGGTATAGCGAAGCTCTATGATATCTTCGATGACGCCATAGCAAGGAATTCCAACACCATCTTCACGTTGCACCATTACTATGTTATTTTGACCTGTCTTGGTCGCCTCATGCTTTTGCGTGTGGAATCTAAAACAATTAATGCAATATCATGTGAAGTGCAAGACTCGTTTGTCTGGTTCTTGAGATAAAGTCAACATAGAAGGATGCAATGTTGCAACCTTTTCTTCATGCATTTTTCCTACCTATAAAATTAAATTAAATTTTAAAAAAAGGATACAAAATTTTTGTATTTAAATTTATATAAATAATTAACCATATTTTAAGTACCTTCGTTGCGAACCACTTTTGAAATTCTTCCCTATGTACTCTTTCAACCATTCGAACTCCTCGACTACTTAGCACTAGTTTGTGCTCTCTGTATATGTATGGAAAATAAATTATTACTGTGTTTCTAATAATTATATTAAAATAAAGAAAGACATTATTTTGGCAAACAACTAAAACATACCGGATAAATTCCTCCACTTCGTCACAGTTTTGCATGACATAAAACGTGGCCGCCTTGAACTTAACTGCTCCGAGGTCTTCCATTGTAGATGAACCAATGCTACGACCGACACATGACACGATGGACAATTTGTGTTGGTCAATGGGCTTTCCCTCACAACTATCATCATTTTTTTCCGCACGATTAAATCTTGTCTCAACATCCGTTAGATGTTGGGAGCAAAATGTAACGCACTCGTCAATCACATATGCTACAGCAATAGATCCCTCTGGTCTGGCCTTGTTCCAAAAGTAACCCTTGAGCTTCTTCAAATATTTAAATTGTACCAAAATGATAATTAAAATTGTTAAGGCCCGGGAAATTCATATAAAACCCAATAATGTGAAACAAATTAAACATGCTCATATATATACCTTTCCACTGGGTACATCCAACGATATTGGACTAGGTTCGGCAACTTTGGCTTCCCAAGAAAATGAACGGCCAAGTGGATCATGATACCAAAGAACGTCGATGGAAATATACGTTCCAGCTTACAGAGGGTTATGGCAATTTCAGATTCCATTCGAGTTAACTCTTGTACACTTAACTCCTTAGCACATATGTTCTTGAAGAAATTGTCAAACTCAATTAAGGGGTCAGCTATAGCCTTCGGCTAGAAGTCACGAGCAGCTAGTGGAAGTAACCGTTGTAAGAGAACATGACAGTCGTGAGTTTTCATACATGAATTCTTTCCTTCCTGGACGTTCATGCAATTCCCCAAATTAGAAGAATACCCATATGGAACCTTTAACTCTGATAGCCACTGACACAATTCCTTCCTCTCTACCAGAAGCAAACTGTATGAAGCTCGCGGTAACACAGTCCGCCCGTTTGTCTCAAGGGGATGAAGTTCTTTTTTGATTCCCAACTCCTCTAAATCTTTTCATGCATTTAGCCCATCCTTTGTTTTACCCTCGATACTCATCATGGTACCAATAAGACTATGACAGACGTTCTTCTCAATATGCATCACATCTAGATTGTGTCGGATTAGTAGTGAACTCGAATATGGCAATTCAAAGAAAATTGACTTCTTCTTCCGATTATGAGATTTTCCAAATCCGTCAATTTGTATACCCTTTCCTTTACTTTCAAAAGTTATTGCATCTAATGAGTTGAGCAGAGTGGATACCTCGAGTGACGACAAAATTCGTGGTAGGGGCCTCTTCTCTACTCTGCCATTAAATTCCTTCTTTTGCTTCCGCCACTTATGATCTGCTGGCAAAAACCAACGATGGTACATATAGCACTTCTTACGTCAATTCGTCAATCGCAAATGGCCTGTTTTCAGATCCACATGAAGGACAAGCCAATTTACTTTTGTTGCCCATCCAAAGAGATTAGCATAAGCCGGATAATCGTTGATGTTCCATATTATTGTTGCTCGCATGATAAAGTTCTCCTTCTTAAAAGCATCATAAGTCAACAAACTGTCAGCCCACAACTTCTTCAGATCGTCGATGGCTGGTCTCGAAATACGTCAATATTAATGCCCGTGCTTTTGGGCCAGGAATGAGTAATGTCAAGAAGGTGAAGGGTGTCTTCATGCACTTCCAGGGAGGGAGATTATATAGGAATAGAAGAACTGGCCACATACTATGAGTGCTCTTCATATTACCGAATGTGTTGAATCCATCGGTAGCTAGTCCTAACTTTACGTTTCGGGCTTCAGCACCAAAAGTTGGATCGTACTTGTCCAAAGTACTCCAAGACTCACCGTCAACAGGATGCCTTAATATCCCATCTTTAGAATGGTGTCCAGCATGCCAAACCACGTCTTCGACAGTTTTACAGGACATGAATAATCTCTGTAGTCGGGGCTTGATTGGAAAATACCGTAAATTTTGAACGGAATTTTTTGCACTCTTCCCTTCTTATCCTTATAAACTTTCTTGTACCTTGACCTCTTGCATGCTGGGCAAGATGTCGCCTTCCCTAGATCGCCGTAATATAATACGCAGTCATCCACACATGCATGTATTTCTTCACAGTATATCCCAAGACCCTTCATTAACTGCTTTGCTGCATAGTAATTTTTTGGCAATGACTCCGCCATAGGAAATGCTCTCTGAATGAATTTCAACAACTCCGTAAAGAAATGATCAGTCCAGTTGTTCAACCACTTCATGTTCATGAGCTTCACGATACATGAAAATCTTGACAACTGTGGATGTCAGGATCGGCCTGTGGAGGTAAGAGGTCATTCAGAACACCGAGCATGTCATCCAAGTCCATATCGACATCACCGGTTTCATTCTCATCTTCAATGTCATAATCTTCGTCTTCATTTTCATTTTCATCTTCATCTTCATCATCGCCCTCCCCATGGTATACCAACTTAGTGTAGTCACTTCGCATCCCTTTACGAAGAAGATGCATCTCTACCTCTCCAATCGTCAATCTGTAGACGTTAGAACAGACCGTGCAAGGACACCTAATTTTACCATCTTCGTCTTTAACATTGTCCTCTGCGTATTGTGCGAACTTTCTAACTCCGTCCAATAACTGCATAGTTGCCCGATTCTTCAATTGTATCCAGGATTTATCAATTGATGCCATACCTACACCAATGAACTAGATGCAATTAGGACGATAACATCAAAAAATAATTTTAATTAATTGTAAAAATTAATATTTAACCTATGTATTCCCATTCACCAACAAAAAATAATATAAAATTCAAATATAATTAGTTAAATATTAAATTGTAAATTGTCTCAAATATATATATAGATATTTTTTAAAGAAAAAGGAATATGTACGAAGAAAAGGGGAATGGTACCTCTTCCCATTCTTGCATATTTACAAAGGTAAAATAAATTTCGTCATAAATAATTACCATAGATCCCCCGAATATACCTAAAATATAATTTGTCACGCAATTTATTGTCATTTCCAACGCGATATTTTTTTTTCTCAGGGAAAATATTTACTTTTGCAACAATTTCGTTTTTTCGTTGGTAATGATGATAATTTGTAGTACGCCCCCGCCCGTCCCCAAAACGATGTAGTTTTGGACTATTGGTATACAACCTAAAAGAAGGATCCAGAAACCATAGGAACCCCATTTCCTTTCCTTTGTGTCTACCGACGACCGCGTTCAACATATCAATCACAGCTTGCCCTATTTACCATTTCAACTGCTCCTTCTGTTGCTGTAGCCATGACGCAAGTGGCGAGCTCACTCACGAAGTGCTAGCTAGGCAAGCGAGTCGAGGACGTCGATCAGCCTCTCGCAGACTACATCGTGAATGTTCTCACTGATGAGGACTTTGATTTCGGTGAGGAAGGTGAGAGCATTTTTGAAGCGCTCTACAAGTTCTTCGTCGACGCCGAGTGCATTTCTGATTCCCCGAGTGCTGCCTGGTAAAAATACTACTCATCTCGGCTTTTATCTATGGTCCCTCCCATCTCTTGTCGAGAAACCTGTTCAGTTTTGTTTCAAATTGAATCAGTGGAGATTTCTGGCAGGTTTTGATTGATCATTGAATACAAGGTTTGGGACTTTTGTGGGCAATCGTGGGTTGCCCAAACCCGTCGGCGGATGGGGACAGTAGTCAATCTCCCCCCATTTAGTCGCCGGAGATGGGGATGAGAAAATCCGTCGAGGTTGACGAGCGGGGATCGGGAGGCATGTACCCGCCCCCGATCCGCCCCGTTATAATCCCTACTTTTGAGATAAACATTAGATTTGAATACATTATGTATACTTTCATACTGACTTTTGGTTTTGCTATTAAAATGCACAATTACTTTCATATAAATATTTAGCTTTGTACTCTCAATAAAAAATTCTTTTAAAATTAATCTACTATTGACTATATATTTCTTTAAGATCAAAGATCGATACGAAAGGAATACCTGTTGAGAGTGTAAAACCAAATATTGACCTACGACTACTCATTTTAATGGTCAAAATGAAAATTTTGATAGGTAAATGTGCAAAATGTATCTAAATAAAATATATCTAAAATTCGAAATGGAAGGTTTTTTTAAGAAAGGAATGAAGATGATAATTAGCAATGAGTACTAAACTCTTTATATAGACTTTTCGAACATGACAATTTCATTTTTATTTTTAACAATGATTAGCAATGAGTACTTCCCGAGAAATGAGCTAACAATACATTTACATTCCTTATAAGAAACTGAGTTATCACATACCAACATGATGAGTTGGACGAGAGTGTGATTATTTAAATCGCAGGTTGGTTGTGTTGACCTCGGAGTGCACGACTTACTATGTTGTAATCTATATTATGACCTTTGAGGATGAACCCTAGGTCTTGAGTGTGAGAGTACATTCTTGGTGGGATGAACGGCCAGAATCGGCGATCTTGAGGAGAGTCTCCACTCAATCGGGGGAGTACATCTTACTGATGAAAATTGAAAAGTAGTGTTTAACATACCCTTTCTTCTCGATATTTACCCTATTTTCTCTTCATCTATAGTCATTTTAGAGTGGATTTTATAATTTCGATGCATTATGGAGATATTTCTTTATGTTTTTTCAGCCTTTGACATCATAGAAGACGAGTGAACACACACATGGAATCGAAAGGGATAAAATTTCAGAGTCGATTTTCGAGATAATATGCAAAATGGCGTTGCAATATAACTGGTCAAGTAGTCACGAGCACGACACGGGTTCAGATCACCATGCAATAAGAAAATATCACATTCTATAGCAGGCATAATATTGAAAAAATTGGATAAACCCAACCCATCTTTATGATGGTGACTAGGTACAAATTCAATTTGGGTCTTCCAATTGGTTACCCTAGGTGTCCCCTAATCCAACATTGACGTGGATGAATTTTCCGTTTGTATTCAGTTTTTTTTGTTGCTCTTGAATTTTGACCTTGATTTTGACCAATTGGAAGCCGTAAGGGGTTCATATATTTGGCTTTGAATTTCGTCCTATAATAATATGATCACTTTCAATGGTTTGGTTTTTGGTCGGATGGGTGGGTGTGTGGGTTATAACATTGTTGCAGGGTGCTGAAGTTGTCCTGATGTACAAAACCATCGAGTAATATGGTTACTAATGTATTGCTTGTGTGTGTTTTAAACTATTTTACAATGTTTTGCTTATGACTTATGATTATCCAGGACTACCAGAAACTAGAATGATGGTAAGTTGTTTGAAATCAGAGTAAGAAAAAGTTGAATGCTCTCTCAGTAATAAAAATGAAAGGTAAAAGTATTAAATATAAAAAGAAGAAAGAAAATTTATTCTATTAGAGAAAAAATTAGATTAGATACAAAACTTTTAGTGACATTTTGATATAGTGACAACATATTGTTTGTTATAAAAAAAGATAGACATCTAGTCACGAGGAATGATTTTTGTCACGGTTAATACCGTCTAGAAGCAAATTCTCTCTTTAAATGTTTTTCTTGGATATGTGTTAAAAATTTGACATTAGTTCAATTACACTAAACTAGAAGTTGAGTACATATTTATAAGCATAGAAATTTCTCATTTCTTCTACTCAAAATATGACTACTTCTCATATAAAGAAACAACAACCAATTCCTAAACAGCTGCTAAAAAGCAATTCAAATCCTACTTAAGAGAATTAAAACAATAAATAATACTAATATTCCAAATGATGGTGTTAGTGTTTCACTTTGACAGTCTGTTATGATGACTTATGAATTATGATTAACCGAGCTCTCCTTCCCCTCAAAGCAAAAACGAAAAACATCCTGAAAGCAAAAAAGAAAAATAAAGTCTAAAAAATAAATGATAATAATTCACACGAATAAACATAAAACTCAAATTTCCCCCTTCCTTTTTTTTCTAAAAAAAAAAAAAAATATTTCCCCCTTCCTCTGCACTTCTCCCGCGATCCTTTCCCTCATTCATCCTTTCTTCCTCTCTTGATCTATTGGTCTCTAACCAAGACGTGCATTCCCTCATTCTGTTCGCTCTCTCCCTCTATCTTCGTTGTGGCTACTGGCGATTTCTGCTCCTCTAGTGGATCCGTATGTGTATCGAACAGATCTAAGGTGCTTCCCTTTCGCTCTAGCTCTGTGCATTTTGTTCGCGTAGTGCTGATAGTGATGAATTTCGATTGACATGGAGAGGTCGAGTTTTGATACTACTGTGCGGCATTGGTGTTCGATTTGAATGGCGTAATATGGAATCGTGGCTAGGTTTTATATATGTGAATTCTGTTGCTTCCCGGTTGAAATTAGAGAATGAGTGCGGATTAATTAGTTTGGATTGATCTGGCGGGACCGTGGATCTGTTTAACACTGTGATTTTGTGTTTCTTCCTCTCAGGAACTTGATTTGGTCGGAGAACGATGCTGACAAAATTCGAAACAAAGAGTAATCGCGTGAAGGGACTGAGTTTCCATAATAAGAGGCCATGGATCCTGGCTAGTCTTCACAGTGGTGTGATCCAGCTATGGGACTACCGTATTGGCACTCTGATTGATCGGTTTGATGAGCATGAGGGCCCTGTCAGAGGTGTTCATTTCCACAAGTCTCAGCCTCTCTTTGTATCTGGAGGTACTCTCGTTTCAGTTGAACGTCCTTAAATTTATACATTGGTTGAAGTCATAGCGTTGCTGAAGTCTTAAATGGGAATATGCATCTGTGATTTCTCCTCATTGATTGGATTTGAATATCTTGTCATTGCATTGCATGTATTCTCTGTTAGTTTCAACATAGGGGATGTAAATTGGTTAATGTAGTTATAAGCATTGTAGGTATGTGAGTGATTGGCGGCAAAGTTTTGTCTGTGAAATTCGAGAATGAGGTTAGATACGACGATTTCCTCCTTCCCTATGTAGTAGTTGTGTTCACATATTATGGTTGGTGGCTTTGGATCGCTGGATGAAGTCCTTGATGATCTGCAGTGGGAGCAATTAACTGATCTAAATTACCTATGTTAAGGACTCTCCTACATTCTTCTTTTGTTGTATTCACATCTAGATTTTGTTAGGAAATTCTACTAAAGGTGTTCTTAGTGCTTGCCTTCATATTTTCATGATGTCTCTTTCAGTCATTGCATGCTCTTTGCCTCTATGGACTACGAAAAGAAGAGTAGACCCATAAAGTTAGGCACTCGGATATTTTGCAGTTGTGCCAACTTGTTTCAATGATTGGATTGTTTTTGCTTAAGTTCCAGTTCTTGCCCCGGATTGTTTCTCTGACCGTTGGACAATGCTTGGGTTTATACAAATTATTCCTTTTCAGGTGATGACTACAAGATCAAAGTTTGGAACTATAAGTTACATAGGTGTCTATTTACCCTTATGGGCCACCTTGATTACATCCGCACCGTGGAGTTTCATCATGAGTACCCATGGATTGTGAGTGCAAGTGATGATCAGACGATCCACATCTGGAATTGGCAGTCACGCACTTGCATTTCTGTGCTGACAGGCCATAATCACTATGTCATGTGCGCTTCATTCCATCCTAAGGAAGATCTTGTTGTGTCAGCTTCGCTGGACCAGACTGTTCGCGTTTGGGACACTGCTGCTCTGAGGAAAAAAACTGTATCTCCTGCTGATGATATCTTGCGTTTAAGTCAGTTGAATGGAGATATCTTCGGTGGCGTTGATGCAGTTGTTAAATATGTCCTAGAAGGTCACGACCGAGGGGTGAACTGGGCTGCATTCCACCCTAATCTTCCTTTGATTGTCTCAGGCGCCGATGATCGTCAAGTAAAGTTGTGGCGGATGAACGGTATGTTGTGTTTCTTTCTCTCCCTCTGACAAATGAATGTTATGTTGTACTGTTCTGTTGAAGCTACTTATGAAGTACTTCAATATTCGTGTTTCTTTCTGCACAATATGAGCTGTATATTGTGCAGAAAGATAGCATGTCAAGGGGTGATATGGTGCAGGAAGCAAAGAGAGGTGCTGGGGGTTCAGCTGTCTTCATTGCCCGAAACAGATTTGCTGTGCTCGACAGAAGTAGCAATCAGGTGTTGGTGAAGAACCTAAAAAATGAGGTGGTAAAAAAAAGCGGCCTTCCCATAGCTACAGATGCAATTTTCTACGCTGGGACTGGTAACGTGCTTTGCAGAGCTGATGATAAAGTGGTCATATTTGATCTTCAGCAAAGACTTGTTGTTGGGGAGCTCCCTACCACTTTTGTTAAGTATGTTGTTTGGTCTAGTGACATGGAGACTGTTGCCTTGTTGAGCAAGCATGCTGTTGTCATTGCAAACAAAAGGCTTGTGCATCAATGCACCCTTCACGAGACAATTCGGGTGAAGAGTGGAGCCTGGGATGACAATGGTGTTTTCATATACTCTACTCTGAATCATATGAAATACTGCCTTCCAAATGGAGATAGTGGCATAATCAAAACTCTTGATGCCCAAATATACATCACTAAGATTGCTGGTAATATAGTATTTTGTTTGGATAAGGATGGAAAGAATAGCGCTATGATCATTGATGCTACAGAATACATGTTTAAACTTTCTCTTCTGAAGAAGAGGTATGATCAGGTCATGAGCATGATCAGAAACTCTCAGCTTTGTGGACAGGCAATGATTGCTTATCTACAGCAGAAGGGATTCCCTGAAGTTGCCTTGCATTTTGTCAAAGATGAAAGAACGAGATTCAATTTGGCTCTTGAGAGTGGGAACATACAAATTGCCGTCGCATCAGCCAAGGAAATCAATGAGAAAGATCATTGGTACAGGCTAGGAGTGGAAGCCCTTCGCCAGGGCAATGCAGGTATTGTTGAGTACGCATATCAGCGAACAAAGAATTTTGAGAGATTATCTTTCTTGTATTTGATAACTGGAAACCTTGACAAGCTGTCGAAGATGTTGAAAATTGCTGAGGTCAAGAACGACGTCATGGGCCAGTTCCACAATGCCCTGTACTTAGGGGACATCCAGGAGAGAGTGAAGATACTGGAGACAACCGGTCATATTCCCCTGGCATACATCACAGCGAAGGTGCATGGGCTGGAGGATGTAGTTGCCCGCCTAGCAATCGATTTGGGAGATAATCTCCCATCTCTGCCAGATGGTAAAGTTCCATCCCTTCTCATGCCTCCTTCTCCCATATCTTGTTCTGGTGATTGGCCTCTGCTCAGAGTTATGAGAGGTGTATTCGAAGGTGGCCTTGAGAATATGGCCAGAGGGACAGGGGAGGAAGACGAGGAAGCTGGGGATGGTGATTGGGGCGAGGAACTTGAAATGGTTGACGCGGAGGACTTCCAGAATGGTGATGTTACTGCTGTTTTAGGGGATGGTGAGGCAGAGGGAGACAATGACGAGGAAGGAGGATGGGACCTCGAGGACTTGGATCTTCCTCAAGAGGCAGATACCCCTAGAGCTTCTCCGACTGGTCGCTCTACAGTTTTTGTAGCGCCAACTTCAGGAATGCCCGTGAGCCAGATATGGATGCAGAAGTCATCCCTTGCTGCCGAGCACGTGGCAGCTGGCAACTTTGACACTGCTATGAGATTGCTCCATAGGCAACTTGGAATAAAAAATTTCTCCCCATTGAAAGCTATGTTCCTCGATCTTCACTTTGGAAGCCAGTCCTATCTACGTGCAGTTTCTGCTGCTTCTGTCATATCACTAGCTGTCGAACGGTGGAATGAGTCGGCGAGCCCCAATGTACGAGCCCCTCCAGCACTGGTATTCAGTTTCAGTCAGCTGGAAGAGAAGCTCAAGGCTGGCTATAAAGCCACCACGGCTGGGAAGTTCACGGAGGCTCTTAAGCTCTTCCTCATGATTCTTCGCACGATCCCTCTCATTGTTGTGGAGACAAGGAGGGAGGTCGATGAGGTTAAAGAGTTGATTATCATAGTGAAGGAATATGTTCAGGGGCTACAGATGGAACTCAAGAGGAGGGATATGAAGAGCGACCCGGTTCGTCAGCAGGAGCTTGCTGCCTACTTCACCCATTTCAACCTTCAAACCCCTCACTTGAGACTTGCCTTGCTGACTGCAATGACAATCTGCTATAAGGCAAAGAACTTCGCTACGGCTGCTAATCTGGCCAAGCGCCTCTTGGAGACCAATCCGCAGGTTGAAGATCATGCGAGGAAGGCGAGACAAGTGCTGCAGGCTTCAGAGAGGAATATGAACGATGATACTCAACTGAGCTATGATTTCCGAAATCCGTTTGTGGTGTGTGGTGCTACTTATGTGCCGATATACCAAGGACAGAAGGACGGGTCTTGCCCTTATTGCTCTGCTCGGTTTGTTCCGGCCCTAGAGGGTCAGATATGTGCTGTTTGTGATCTTGCCGTTGTTGGGGCAGATGCTTCCGGCTTGCTGTGTTCCTCTTCTCAGATTCGATAATGGAAATGCTTCAGTCCACAACAAGTACCGGTTCTCTTGAATCGAAGATTTGGCGGAGTACGGTAAGGTTAGCCTACATAATGAGCTACCGCATCTTTTTTCCCCTTTATACATTTGCTTCCGTAGTTTTTTTTGGGCTTTTGTTTTTATATTCTTGTTGGTTTAGTTCAAATTATAAGAGCTTTAAAATTGAATGTAGTAAAAGAACCGAGATTTTGACCCTAGGCTGTGATGAAATACAACAATACTATATTGCACACATGCACGTTGAAAACCCATGCACAAGAGTTTGGTGGATCCAACTGTAGCTGAACCAAAGTTGTCAAACCTATATCCATCCGACCATATTCGGTCATCTAAACGATTGGAATACACTCTAATTCTAATTATATGGTTCTGGAAAAAGTCAAAATTAAGTTAAATCATTCATATTTGGGTTAAAGTAAACCAGTTAAAATCGCGTGGTCTGACCTGCAAAATCTAGATTGAAAATGTGGATTGATAATTTTGTAAGATATATTTCTTTGTTAATATATGAGTGTAGATTAGTGAAATTGTTCTAAAATATGATAAATATATGCATTCTATTTTGTATTAGATGTTCTCAAATATTATGTTAAAATATGATAAATATATGCATAATCTATTATATATTAGATGTTCTCTCACATATTATGTTAAAACTGACTTGAACAGGTTGAACATAATCCGACTATTAAATCTCAAACTAATTGTCAAACCACCTAATGGCAATCCGTTGACAACCTTGAACTTAGACCTGGCCAATCACGACCCGACTCGTTGATCCGAACCAAACCCGCCCGAAAAATAGAAAATGTGTTGAATTTTTTATAACCCAAAACAAATTACCCGAATCCGATTAGCCCGTATTTTTTGGGTCAGGTTGGGTGGGTTGCCGGGTCGACCTGCTAGACCCGTTCAATTCCATATGTCACTAGGCCTGTTAATCGGATCGGGTTGGCTAATTTCGGGTTGTGGCCTTCGGTTATGGGTTGGGTCATGTTGAGTTGGTTGATTTTGGGTCAAATATTGACCCAACCCATTCAGTTTTGGGTCGGGTTACAGGTAATTTCGGGTTATGAGCGCTCTCAGAAACAATATAAAAAATATTTCATAGTTTCTTAATGAAAACAAATTTTCACATATGCATGACAATAGTTTACTTAACACATGTCAACTAACATATTCTCAAATCCTCCCATGCTAATGAAATGAAATACAAATTGCGCACATCGTAAAAAAAAAAACAAACACAAGAGTAATACTACTGTAAGAAACACATGATATTTGATTATCCTTAATCTCCAAACATGTCATTCAAATCCTTGTGAATTTTTTTAAACATCTCACCAATTTATGAGTGTATTTATCATTTGGGAGTGATATATATAAAATTGAACGGGTCCAACGGGTTGATCCGCTAACCCACCCAACCCGACCCAAAAAATCATGGGTTATCGGGTTCGGGTCATTCGGGTTTCAGTTTATAAAAATTACTACTTTTCGGGCGGGTTCGGGTCGGGTTGGAATTTGCCAGGTCTATGTCACTCTCATCATTTATAAATTGATGAGATGTTTAAAAAAATTCATAAGGATTTGAAAGACAAGTATTGAGTATTAGGATAATCAAACATCCTTTGTTTCTTGTAGTAGTATTACTTTCGTGATTTTTTTTTGACGATTTATGGAGTTTGTTTTTCTTTTCATTAGCATAGAAGGATTTGAGCATTTGTTCATTGACATGTGCAAGATTAATTATTGTCATACATATGTGAAAATTTGTGTCCCTTAAAAATTTATGTCATATGTTTGATATTGTTTCTGAGAACGCTCATGACCCGAAATGATCCGAGACCCGATCCGAAACCCGATGGGTTGGGTCATTATCTGATCCGAAATTATCCGACCTATGATGACCCGACCTATGATGATCCTTAATTTGAGATTTTCAACCCGAAATTACCGAATCCGAAATTTTCAACACGGAATGTAATTCAGTCCCAAACTATCAAACTGACTTCTATCAGAAGAGTAAACCGTGGTCCAAATGGCCAAATCCATTTTATTCTACAAATTTAAAAATTAAGTAGAATTCATTCAGCTTTCAAATTCGGCATCCAGAAAAGTTGCCGCCAAGGTTGTTAAATCCCTATTGAACTGTCGATTGGACCCGGTCCGACCCGAATCGAGCTTCAAAACAGCCTCCAGAAGCCCCCGGTCTCACCCCTAAAGAGGGAGAAGAAGAGAGGAAGAGGAACGAAGGAAGAGAGATGGTGGGTAGTTTATGGAGGTTAGGTAGATTTATTTTGTGCAAAATAAGTTTTTAATAGATATATGTAAGATAAATTTGATTTTAGTCATTAGATCTTTAATTACTACTTTATTTGTATATGTATTTAGAAAATGTCTAAAATGACTCAAACCGGCCGGACCCCGATCAGACCATTAAACCTCAAACCCCTTGCTTGACCAGCTCAATGACTTAAACCGGTTTGACAACTTGGTTGCCGCGCATCAACTGCTACCTCAGTAGAGTAGGGAGGCGGCACGCGGCACATCTCATAATTATCGACCCCTTGTCTCCTTGTCATAATTTTGGCCGAAGAAATAGCGAGAAACTCTGGCGCCTAAGTTGTTCTCAAACCAGAAATCATGAAGGTGACTTGGGCAGTGACGCGGCAGCATCGATCTCTCAAAAGTATTATTGAACAGGTAACAACTGCATAATCCCCTAAAACGATTCCCTTCATAGTTTGTTGTAGCAGCAGGAGGAAAGGTCACCGCTACAAAGTCTTGCTTTGGAAACCAAACCGTTCCGGGAGCTCACTCTCTAGATACAAACGAGTACCCTGTGGCAGAGAATTTCAATTAATCAAGCACAAAGAAGAATAAAACACACTAGTTTTTTAACGTGGTATCATCAGTATGACACTAGTTCATGAATAAGATTTTCCTCTCAAGTTCTATATTTTTCTTAATTCTTAACTCATACAATGTTACAGCCGTATATATATAGGTTTGTTATCACAAATACTAATTACACAATGGTACCTAAGATAAATTGGGCTAATTCCATTTTAACACCCCAACTATCACAGAAATGTCGCTTTTATTTCTGAAGTATTCTTTAGGAAAATTCTAGCACGATGTATGCGAGTTTTGTGACATTTATATCTTGACCCCTTATGTTGACCGTTAGAAGTAATGGTTGATCGGATGGAAGTTAAACGTTATTGACTTTCGATGACGTGGAAGACACGTGACTTCCATGTAGATGCCACATCATTGACACATAAAAGTTTTCAGTATAGTTTTATAATTAAAAATACAAAATAGATAATAGAAAAGATCCATCATTTTCACTCACCCCCACCTCCCTCCTCATCCTCCATCCTACCACAGTACCACCGTCACACTTCCATCTTCTTCTATCGATTTCATTACCGCTATCCCCCTAATCATGGTGAATATAGCAACCCCATTTTCGTCATCTCCTCCCCTTAGCATTCCCAATAAATCCCAGTCAAACCGTAAAACCTAGTTTCGTCGATTGTCCAAAAGAACGCCGATAAAGTTGTTGCGCGTTGGTAATTGTGAGAAAGGGGATGGATGAAGAGAATTGAGGTCCTCGAGAGGGCATCTCATCCCTAAGACATGCCAGCTGCAAAGAGGAATGACATCAACTAGGCCGTTATTGGCCACTAACCACTCCCTCACTGGCTGCTCGGGCTTCACGTTTCAAATTCATTATCCTAACCGTCTCCTTCGCTCTAAGCCGGGGGGAGGGGGGGGGGGGGGGGGGGGGGGGGGGGTGTTTCATCCTATTAAGATATTCACGACTCAGAAGTACTTGATTCTCCTTCGAAAAGGAAAAGTAAGACGAGAATGGCAACATATTTCTATGATTGGGTAAGTCACCAATTCCTAAAACGAATTATGTAATGTACTCTATCATTTGATCTGTTGGATTACGGGAGAGCAGCTAACTAGAGGTTTCTATTGTATCATGTGTAACTCATCTAGACAATTCATTTATTCTCATGGACTATAGGCAGTTACTTACTTTCTTTTCGAACTATTTGTGATTTGGATAGAAAGGAAGTCTTTCATCTTGAAATATAAAGCTTGAAAATCACAACTCCTTATTAGTTCCTTCATCACTCATCTACTCTGGAAATTTAAAGAAAGGGCTTGAAAGTCACTTTTGGATTAGGGTTCAGATTTGAGAGATATGAGAATTTGGGGTTTTAATGGTATATCGACATGAAGAAAGGAGTTAAGCTGCAGGACGTTGGAGGGTAGATTTGGACAAACGAAAAGAATGGGGGTGAAGGGGATCCTAGAGGTTGATTGGGAGGCTTTAGAACCGCAGGTCATTTGTAGAAGCTTTGCTGCAGAAAAGGTTCTCAAGCATGATCGTATCCCAATAGAGATGTTGAGGACTGAGAGGTCGAGGGAGATCACTTGAGGGCAGGTTTTGTTTTCTTTTTTTGGCCGCTGGTGGCGACGGGGGAGAGAAGAGGGATAGTAAGGAGCGGCGGAGGGGTAGGGGTGAGAAGAAAAGAAAACATGAAACAGTGAAGGATCATTCTGACTTTGACAAAAAAAGTAGCTTGAAGGATGTACCATGGAACTTCTCAAACCACGTCCAAGGAGCCTACTTCAAACCATACAAGGAACGCAAGAGTTTGCACATCACGCCCGAACCCCTTTGGATACCCTTTGGGGCATTCCATGTAAATAGTTTCCTTCAAATTCCTATGAAAATGCATTATTAACGTCAAACTGAACAATCACCCATCGCTTCATAGTCGCGACGACAACAGTCTGTGGATAGTTTGCATCTTTTCAATAAGAGAAAAGGTTTGATCAAAATCAATCCCATACTTATGTTTAAATCCCTGTGTGACCAGTCATGCCTTGTATTGATAGATAGTGCCATCAAGAAGATTTTTAATTATAAAAACCCAATGATTACCTATGATTTGAGCACCAAGAAAACGAGGTACCACCTCCCACGTGTTTTGAGCTTCCAAGGGTTAAATTTGACCAGTCATAGTAGCCTCCCAACGTGGATTGTCCTTGGTAAAACAATAACGTGAAGGAACATAGGCTGAATAAGTAGAGTAACCAACATAATCATGCAAGTGTGAGTGAGACTGACCAATATTTGCACATCCAGAGTGCTGATGAGCAGTCACGAGAGGTGGAACAAAAAGTTCCATATTCGCTGCAGAGGAATCATATGAGTGATCAGTATAGGAGGAATCCTCCGCAACCGAAACATGTGATAAAGAGCTGGGTGAAGATGTTTGCTGTTGAGGTGGACATTGGAGTAGAGCTCAACGTCGATGAGGAATTGTTAAATTGCAATGTTTCTAAGATGACGAGAAGCTAAAAAGATTTCAGTAACGTTACCAAATGGTCACCAAGCTGAAGTAACACATGCATGAATTATTAAATTGCCATATGGAATCTTGCTTACAAATGTTTCTGTTAGTACCGTATTTTTCCAATAATCTCATTTCCATAAGCTAGCTAACCAAAACCAACTCAGTCTCACTACTTTTTCAATCCACATTTTGTTTCATTCGGGACCTCATCTCTCAACTAAGGATTGGTTTAATACCCGTAGCAAGATTTTTAAAATTTCAATATGGCCTTCCAACTATCATTAGGAGTCATTTTGTTCTTCTGACTACTTGCCTAAATGACTCCGGTTATGTTAATCCTATACTATCTTCTAATCATACCATCCATGAAATACTGGATCTAGACTTTATCCCTTATACACCATAAACTATCTCTCGTGATGATATTTTACCTTCTTCACCCTCCAGTCCTATTACTCCTTCACCTTCTTTTCACACTTCTTTCTTACCCATTATTCATCTACATTTGATGACAAGATGTTATACCCTTTTTCCCACAACCTTTCCTACCCCCATTCTCTTCATCATCAACACTTTGCTCTCCACATGCAGTTTGATATGAACATTGAAGTCGGTGGTTGTCCTGCCCGGCTTATTTCGTCCCAATCGGACCATAGTCATGAGGAATTACTTCAATAATTTCTTTTCTTCCATTATTTATTGTTTGAAATTGCTTAATGTCCTGTATTGATTGGCCACCAATACACTGATTTGTTGTTAATTAGGTAACAAGCGTCAGTAAAACTCTAATAATTATAACTTATGGATGTTTTGGATTTTGGATCTTCCCATCGATGACCCTTTCTCTCATTACTGGATTGAAAGGTGGGTGCAAAAATGGAGTTGCTCTTTCATTACTACAGGTAGGAATACATGGGATTCGTTTACACTTCAATTTCTTCTATTTAGGTGGGTGTAAAGCAAAAGTTATCAGAAAAAACTATCTAGAAAATAGACAATGATAAGATACGTAAATGAGTTATTTTAAACATTGGAGTGAAATTGTAGAAATAATACTCTATTCAAATGAAAATTATGGTTAATCATATGCTTCAGCCTCCATTGATGTCTTTAACACAAAGCCTTATTCCAAAAGTGTATCGAACAAGGGATGGAGCATGCAGTACAGAGGAAAATGCATCAAGGGATGAACACATAAACAACTAAACTACAAAAACTCAAAATCTTGATTACACATAACGGAAAACAAGAAAGGATCTACGGATGAACACATAAACAACTAAACTACAAATGCTTCAAATCTTTAATACATTAACTGAGCTCCTTATTCATGTCAATAATCATGCAATCTCATAATTGGTACGTAGTGCACCCTGTATAGGTGGTTCCACCACGCTCAAGAATATGAAGATTCCACTCTGCATTGTGTTTTTTGTGTAATCCACCATTAATCCAAAATTCATATTTATTTTTTCCTACAAAACACCGAGCAAGCTAACCTGTTGATGTTTTCAATATACTTTTTCTCTTTCACATATTCTATCACTTTCTCTCATAAAAAACATGTTCTCCTATAATTTTCCTCCCCCGCTCATTTTCTTTCCTTTATTTCTTTGGGAACAACATGTAAATTGGGATGTAGTCAAGAAAAAAAAAGAGTTTTGAAAGCGTAATTTTTTGGATGAAATAAATACGATAATTTTGAAGCGTAACAAAACTCAAACTCTTGTTAGTACTTCAAAACGTTCACAATTTAATGGAAGATGAGTAGTTTTTTTGTTTATCGGAACTTCGACATTGATTTTCGAGAGTTCTACTAAAGAAGGTTGTACATATGGAATATGAAGTGGTTTGGTCTACAAAAGAAAGATTATTGTACATATGAAATCAGGAGTGGATTGAGATAAAAAAATGTTTTCATTTGAAGAGCCACCAAATTGAACTCCGGTCAGTGCTAGAGTCATCCACGACTTTGTGAAAAATGAGTAGAGGTTCTTTATTCACCAGAACTTTGTAATGGATTTTCAACAGTTTACAAAAAATGTTTTTACATGGTTGTTGGACATGCATAGGATGATGTTTTCGATATTCTCAGGTACTAATAACTATCTACAAAAACTTTATGCTTTTTGTGTGATGTGTGCATCATGTGTTCTTTTCCAATGCAATTACTCAACAACTTTACTTATTCCTCTGCCAACATAATATATATTTCAATATTATTTTTCAATAAAAAACAAAAAATAATAAGCGCTATTGATAATTGAATCAAATATCGCACAAAAACATAAATACTTTTGGAGGTAGTTATGAGTGCTCGAGGAAATCAAAAACAGTATCAAGTGCATGCCCAACAATCATGTATAAACTTTTATTTGCAAAATTCTTTAAAATCATGACAAAAATTCGATAAATAAAAAACTTCTTAGAGATCATTCTCTCAACCAGGCGAAAAGCATCAACACACTCTATGGGTAATGAAGTCATTCACAATCATTTTCTAGATTCTCTTAGTGGCCGCAAACTTGTGCTTGATCTTGCAACTCGCAAAAGCTTATCAAGGACAAAACATTGGCGAAAGGTTTAGTATCACCAATTAAGGTCTGCATCTAGTCTTTACGGGTGCGATTTTTGTGATTTTGAAGTTAGAAACAAGAAAAAGACAAAGAGTATCACATATGGTATCTCAAGCATATGTCTAAAACAGCCCTATGGTGGATGACAAATAAGAGTGAAAAGTTATCAACAGTAGATGAGTTTAGTTTCATTTACTAACCTTCATAGCTTAAGGATTATAAATACATAAAAATTATTAAAAAAAATTCAAAAATGCATATATGTTGATGATTACCCCAATTGGACAACCATAATATCCAAGAAAAACACAAACAAACTCAAAGTTAATAAGCAAAGTGACAAAATATTTTTTGATATTTTGGAAATATATCCAAATTTTCAAACAAAGTTCGTGTATGCAATGTGTAATTTGTAAAAGACAAAAAATATTATTGTATTATTCTTGTTTCACAAATTCGTATGTAAAAACTTATCCTCTATCTCAATGGAACTCATTTCATAATATACTACACCTTTAAACATCTCATAGAATTGGTCATCTATATCCAAAAATTGTGAGTTATGAAACTCATATGGCAAATTCTTAAAATTCTTACTACTCCACTCAAATATCTTATCTTGTATTAAGTTTCAAGAAATTTAAGAGAGTTTGTCTTTCCAATGTATTGTATTGGATAGCACAAAAGAATAGAAATAAAAAATTATATTCTAAAATATTGCTGACAATACATGAGTTGAGTTTTAATTATTAACTATATAACTTAAATATATAGTTTTCACCCTCAACTAATTTTTCATGTAGGACATCAAAAAATATTGTTAAACATTATATAACTTACCTCATTGTACAACCATCACAGCCGACTGATCTATTGTTCCAAAACTCTAATAATCTTATAACTTTTTCATAACCACAATATTTAATTGATAGTGTAGAAAACCAAGTCATGCTACTCATTCTACCATTATGGAGTTCATTGAAAGCACAAAAGGTTTATTCACGTTGACAATAATCTTAAACGGAAAAAACATAAAATTGATGGTTACCCTGTTAAACATTCATTACAGTCTACATATACAAACAAACTCAAAGTTTATAATCAATTTTGAAAGTATATCAACAATTTTGAATTATTCTTGTTCCACAAATATGTATTTTAGAACTCATCCATTAATACAGACGTCTTTAAACATTTTACATAATTGATAAGCTAATCAATTCATATAATAGTTTTACTATTATCCAAAAAGTAAGAGTTGTGAAAATCAGGTTGCAAGTTCTTAAAATTTTTACCACTCTCACTCAAATATTTGATATTCTATTAAGCTCCTAAAACTTGAGAGAGTTGAGGATCTTTCGAATGGATTATCGTGGATGACATAGAATAGTAGAACGAAAAAATCAGATTATGAAATATTACAACCAATATATGAGTTGAATTTCAATTAATAACATTTAAAATTCAATGATATAGCTTTCAGTCGCAACTAATTTTTCATGTAAGGTATAAAAAAAACATGGCCAGAAGTTGTTCAACTCAACTAATTAAACAACTTTTACACCATGCTGATATGTTAATTAAAACCTCTCATAATCCAATAAGTTCAACTTTGAAATTAAGTTTTTCACAATCACAATATTTAATGGATAGTGTAGAAAGTTGTGTCACACACAGTACCATTATGAAGTTCATTGAATGCAAAAAATGTTCATCCACTTTGAAATAATGTCAAACAAAAAAAAACATAAAATTAATGGTTAATCCGTTGAACATCCATCGCAATTCGGATATACATAAACAAACTTAAAGTTAACAATCAATGAGACAATATTTATTGACATTTTGCAAGTATATCAATCACTTAGAAACAAAAAGTAGCTCAAATATGTACATGCTACTGCTCAAATATGTACATGCTACTGCACAAGTTGTACATGTGATGCATAATTTCTACAGAATAAAGAATCTCATTACATTATTCTTGTACAGTTATTTCGAGAATCATATTCAGGCTCATTACATATATATATTTTTTGTTTTTTGATAATGGTGATGATAATTTATTAACTATATATCAAATTAATTTATTGTTTTTATCATATTCGGGACGCAGCAAATGTGTACACTATTCATGTATGTTTGATATCTTTTCACACTTTATTGATATGTTGGTCCAAGTGTTTTTTAATCCAGCAATCTCCATTAACAATTTGGAAATTCATAAGACTAATTGTAATCACTTTGTAGTTTATCGAGCGCAAACAAATTTTGTTTCACGTTAAAAAGAATGAAAAAATGAAAACCGGAAAATTATAAAAAAACCTAACCACATATAAGTGGATTTCTACCCCCATTGAACATCCTTTAAGCCTAGATATAAAAAATAAACTCAAAGTTAGTAATCAAGAAGGAAAAAAATAATATTATTGATAGTTTGCAACTATATCGATTACTTAGAAAAATAGTGACATTATTACTTAGAAAAATAATGGTATACAATTTCTATAAAATCTGGCCAGAAGTTGTTCAACTCAACTAATTAAACAACTTTTACACCAAACTGATATGTTAATTAAAACCTCTAATAATCCAATAAGTTCAACTTTGAAATTGAGTTTTTCACAATCACAATATTTAATGGATAGTGTAGAAAGTTGTGTCACACACAGTACCATTATGAAGTTCATTGAATGCACAAAATGTTCATCCACTTTGAAATAATGTCAAACAAAAAAAAACATAAAATTAATGGTTAATCCGTTGAACATCCATCGCAATTCGGATATACATAAACAAACTTGAAGTTAACAATCAATGAGACAATATTTATTGACATTTTGCAAGTATATCAATCACTTAGAAACAAAAAGTAGCTCAAATATGTACATGCTACTGCACAAGTTGTGCATGTGATGCATAATTTCTACAGAATAAAGAATCTCATTACATTATTCTTGTACAGTTATTGCGAGAATCATATTCAGTCTCATTACATATATATTTTGTTTTTGTTTTTTGATAATGGTGATGATAATTTATTAACTATATCTCAAATTAATTTATTGTTTTATCATATTCGGGACGCAGCAAATGTGTACATTATTCATGTATGTTTGATATCTTTTCGCACTTTATTGATATGTTGGTCCAAGTTTTTTTTAATCCAGCAAGCTCCATTAACAATGTGGAAATTCATAAGACTAATTGTAATCACTTTGTAGTTTATCGAGCGCAAACAAATTTTGTTTCACGTTAAAAAGAATGAAAAAAATGAAAACCTAAAAATTATAAAAAAAAATAACCACATATAAGTGAATTTCTACCCCTATTGAACATCCTTTAAGTCTAGATATAAAAAATAAACTCAAAGTTAATAATCAAGAAGGAAAAAATAATGTTATTCGTAGTTTGCAACTATATCGATTACTTAGAGAAATAGTGACATTATTACTTTGAAAAATAGTGGTATACAATTTCTATAAAAACAAAGGAATCTCATTTGCATTATTCTTCTTCCACGGACATCCCCCCTAATTGTCAGCGTCAAATTCATGTAAGTCCTCTACGATCATCCGACAATTCCAAGTTTAGAAAATTTGTGTGCTTATTCTCAACCTTTTTACCAACTTCAGTTAAATATTTAATCCTTTGTTCAGCTCCGCGAAACTTGGAGAGTTGTGCATGTTTCACAATTTGGTTTTTACTTTTATGGTACAACTTAAAGTTGTATCTTTAACATTATGGTAAAACTTGAGATTGTATATGTACTCTTTTGTATTTAAATTCCCTTATGGTACAACTTCAATTTGTACTTTTAACGTTATGGTACAATTTTAAATTGTATTTTAAAGTACCAATTCTCTACGATAAGTAAAAGGGACGACGTCAACGTAGGCTCCTGTGGTGTTAATTCTCTTCAATAGCCTTTGATTTGGTGTCAGTGGCTGAACGAGGAATTTGAATAAAAGAGGGGGGGGGGGGAGCCTTGAACCATGATACTTGGGGGAGGGGGCTAAGACCTTACTGACTACTCTATTTCTTAAAAATTTTACGAATTTTACATGCGTTTTTACTTGCATTTCAAATTTGAGGGGGGCTATTGACCCTCCTGGCTTCAACCTAACTCCTCTACGGTTTGGTGTCCTTACATGATGATTACTGCGGAAAGAAAAAAAATAGAAAATAGAAGTAAGGAAACACATTCAAAGCCAGTAAGGAAATACCAAAATGTAGACACAGAACACAAAGGAGATGGCGGCACCGCAAGTATCCCAACTTCATGAACTTAGGGGTCATTTGTTTCGTGGAATTGGATGATGGATTTGGTACCCAACTCCAATCCATCAAGGATTTTAACCAACTTCATGTACTTGAGGGTCATTTGTTTGCCCACGGATTTAAAGAAAATCCATTGTTTTCTTGCACTTTTTAGGGACCAAATCTGTAGGGCCCACGGATTTTAAGGGTCCAAATTGGTGGACCCCACGGACTTGTAAATCTCATATATTGATGTGAGATTTGGAACATGCCATAAATCCATGATGAGATTTTGCTCATAGACCTTCATGAATTTTTACTATTTCAAGGTTGCCCTCACATTTACCTATTGTACATTATAATTAATTAACAACAAAAAAATAATATAAATATTCAATTTTTCTAACATTAATAACACTAATGGTAAACGACCGCTCTCCCTTCTCTCTTCTTTCTCTCTGTATCGAGTGAACCCTAGCTAGTTGATCGGCGGGGATGGCCGCTCCGGCCAATCCTCCCCCGGTGAATTGGGCTCAATTATTTGGAGTAGGCAAGGACAACAGACTGCGATATGTTGCTCCGACGCTGGACAAAGGAGATTTGGTCATTCCTCAAGCGGTTCAAGATGAGGGTGCGGCTCGTTGGCGTAATTCGCTGATGGGGCAGTTTTTGGCGAAGCCTCCAAGCTTGTTCAAAATCTGTCGATGGGCTCAGAGATTCTGGGGTCGTGATGGTAAGGTTCTGGTTACCCTTTTGGGGGATCTTCTGATAATGTTTCATCTCCCAAATAGTGATTCCTGTAATTGGGTTTTTGAGAATGGGCCGTGGCATTGTGAGGGTAATCCATTGTTTGTGTGAAAGTGGGCGCCGAGAATTCAGTCGATGGAATTGAATTTAGGGGTTTTGCCTATTTGGGTTAGTCTGCGAGGGTTACCTCTAGAGTATCTTACTGTGGAGGGGCTTAGCAGGGTTGCAAGTAGACTTGGCAAGCCTCTATGGATGGATCAGGATACTAAGATGAGTGCTTAGATGAGTTCAACTAAAGTATGCATTGAAATGGCAGCGGATTCTGAATTTCCAACGAATTTTCGTATCAGGCCAGAAGGAGGGGAAGCATTGAGGATCTCTGTAAGCTACAAGAGTGTTCCCCATCGTTGTGCATAGTGTGGCATTTTTGGGCATGAGGTTGGACAGGGAGATGATTGTCGTACTTTGGAAGTGTTGCAAGATAGAGAGCTGGTGGTGGCTGGATCAGTTGATTTAGAGGCATTACAAGTACAATGGGCCCCTAAACCAGGAGAGGTTGCCACGGAAGCTCCTTTAACTCAGGAAGAAGCTCCTTTTTCCTCAAGTGTTGGGGCTGCTGCTGTAGAGGCCTCCTCTAGTGCAGGGCCTACTACAATGCCTTCTCCAACAATTCCTTAGTCAGCAGTGGCTCAAACACCTCCTCAGACAATTGGGGACAGGAGTAAAGTGGTGCTGGATGATGAGGAGTTTCAGCTTGTGACTAGGAAAAATATTCAGTTTTCAGTGGGTGGGGGCATCAGGATTCCTCAGTTGGCAGTAGCTGCTAAAATTCCCTTGAATGCCAAAGGGAATGCTATGGTGGATAATATTACCCACCCCCCCCCCCCCCCCCCCCCCCCGGAAAAAGGGAAGGGGTAACGTAAAGGTAAATGAAGATGATGAGTTGGAATCTCAGGGGATTTAACACTCCTGAGAAGCATAGATACTTAAATAAAAGGTTATCTAGTAATGGTATAGATATGGTAGTTGTATTAGAAACAAGGGTGCTGGCTGCTAATGCCCCTATTATACTAAATAAACAGTTTAGTCAGTGGCTGCATTTGGATAACTATATTCACTCCCCCTTGGGGGAGGGTTTGGTTGTTACGGAGACTTGGCCTTCAGGTCACTGAAGTAAGTATGGGGGAACATTTCATACAAGTAAGGGTTTTTGGAGATATTCCATTTCTGGTAACTGCAATCTACAATCCTAACAAGGTTGCTGATAGGAAAAAGTTATATGAAGAGTTGTGCTTAAGGATGGTAGTGGGGGAACCCTGTCTTTATATAGCGAACTTCAATGCTATTGCTGAGGTTCCAGAGGCATCAAACACAAATGTAGTCACTCAAAGCACTTTGGATTTTAGAAGTTGGATTTCAAGAATGGGGTTGTTTGATCATAAGGTACTGGGTTCTTGGTACACCTGGTGGAATAAGCAGCAGGGGAACCCAATTGCTAAGCGCCTGGATAGATTTCTTGTTAATGGGGATTGGCTATCTAAGTTCTCTAATAGTGTTGCTAAACCTTTATCTCCGAGTGTTTCTGATCATTGTGGGCTTATGATGGAAACTGTGCCAAAGGTAACAACCCTCCCAAAACCATTTAAGTTCTTTAAATTCTGGAGGTCTCACCCAACTTATGTTACATTGCTAAATGAGGTGTGGCAAATGGGAGGTGAAGGTTCTCCCCATCAAATTTTGTATGGTAGGCTAAGAGAATTAAAGGTGAGACTGAAAAAGCTGAATAGAGCAAGTTATTCAGAGATATCTGAGAGAACTAGAGAAGCAGAAATGAAATTAGAGGAAGCTCAGAAGCTGGTTCTTGCATCTCCTAATGTTGCAACGATTGAGAATGAGTTAAAGCTTGCTGCTGAATGCCAGCAGCTACAGTCTGCAGAGGAAAGTTTTTATCGTCAAAAATCAAGGGTGCAATATGTATCACAGGGGGATATGAATACCAAATTCTTTTTATAAGGGATTGCTAGGTCATCCTGATCCTGTTGTGCAGAAGTTCCCTGATTCTTATTTTCTGGAGTTGGTGAAAATGAGGCTTACTGATGAAGATCATGAGGTACTAGGGACCCAAATCACTAGAGAGGAAATCAAGAAGGTCTTCAAATCTATGGTCAGGGATAAAGCCCCTGGTCCAGATGGCTATATAACTGAGTTTTTCACTGCTGATTAGGATTTTGTTGGGACAGATGTGGAAAACACAGTTATGGAATTCTTCTCAACTAGGATTATGCCAGGACAGGTAAAATCCACCACCCTTGCTCTCATCCTAAAGATTCCTAATGTAGGACAAATGAAAGACTTCAGACCTATATCCTGTTGCAATGTGGTATATAAAGGGATATATAAGCTTTTATCAAATAGGCTTTCTAGTGTGCTTCATAAGGTTATAGGCCTCTCCCAGTCTGCTTTTGTTAAGGGCAGGTCCATAAGTGATAATATCCTCTTAGCCACTGAACTAGTAAAAGACTACCACAAACAATCAATTACTCCTAGGTGTGCTTTGAAGATTGATCTAAAAAAAGCTTTTGACTCAGTAGACTGGCAGTTTCTGTTTCAAGCGATGCATGCTATGAATTTCCCAGATTGCTTCATTAATCTTGTTAGAGCTTGTATCACTACTCCTACGCTTAGTGTGGCCTTTAATGGTGGACTTTGTGGGTATTTCTCTGCGGGGAAAGGGCTTAGACAAGGAGACCCCCTCTCCCCATTTCTATTTACCATAGCCATAGAAATTTTTCTAGATTGCTTGAAAAGGCTGTTCATGATAATCAAATCCCTTATCATCCAAGGTGTAAAGCACTGGAGGTTACTCATCTGTGCTTTGCAGATGATTTACTTGTTTTACCAATGGTTCTGTTAGAGGTGTTGTTGGGATCAGAAGGTTGCTTGACCAGTTCTACACTATCTCTAGGCTTCAATGTAATATGGCTAAGTGTAATCTTTACTGTGCGGGGATATCTCAGGATGAGAAGGATTTTATTTCAAGAAAAACTGGGTTCCCACTGGATACTCTCCCTGTTAGATATCTACGGGTTCCTTTATTAACTGGCAAGCTGAGCTCACATGACTGTCAGGTGTTGGTGGATAAGATAACAACAAGGGGGAGAAGTTGGCAGTCAAGATTTCTTAGCTATGCAGGTCGCCTACAGTTAATCTCATCAGTAATTACAAGTGTCTTCCAATATTGGATGGCGATTTTCTTGCTGCCAATGAAAGTATTAAGGCTGATTGAAAAAATTTGTAATGACTTTCTCTGGAATGTGGGAGCAGGGGGCTCAAGGAAGAGGGCGCTAGTAGCATGGGGTTATGTAGCCTTGCCAACGAAGGAAGGTGGGTTGGGGATTCGTGATTTTAAGATATGGAATTAGGCCTGTGTCATCAGACATCTGTGGAATCTCCTGGCAGAAGCTGATTCTATATGGGTAGCTTGGATTTACAAGTACAGGGTAAAGCAGCGGAATGTCTGGGATATTCAGTCTTCTGCTAGTGGCTCTTGGGTATGGAGGAAGATCCTCAAATGCAGGCCCAAAGCACAGGCCTTTATGACAGGTAGTGGTGATAATTTGCAGTGGAATGGAGCCTCTCTTAAGAGGTATTCAGTCAAGGCAATCTGGAATTCTATACGTTCTCCTCAGCAGTTTGTTCGTTGGAGCAAAGTAGTTTGGGGCAAACCACTTTATCCTAAGCACTCTCTGTTATTAGGGCTTGTGGTACTGGGTCAAATCAATACTAAAGACAAAATGCTGGCTTGGAATTTGACTACTGACGATTTGTGTGTATTGTGCCCAGGACGATCAGAATCACGAGTACATCTCTTTTGTTCTTGTTCTTATACTTTGTGGCTTTTGCAGCACATTATGCAGCAAATCAACTGCTTTGTTCCTGTTTTCACTAGCTGGGAGGATCACCTCAAATGGGGGATGGATAGTTGGAGTGGACCAAGTGACAGGGCAATTGCAGGTCGCTTTCTATGGATCTTGACACTAAGCCATCTATGGCGCGAGAGATGCAGAAGAGTTGCAGGAGATGGGGATTGGTGCTCTCCTTTTACTTTGTTGAACAAAATTACAAGCGAAACTCGTTACTTTATAGCAGGGAATGTACAGCTTCAAAATAGTTTTGGATAAGTCTCACAAAGGTTTGGATAGTGTGTTTGCTGGAATGTATAGAGGTTAGGCTGTTTGGTTTGAACATTGAGAGGAGTTTAATGCCTATTGGCATCTCCTGTGCTTAATGACATTTTTGATTAACCATAAAAAAATATATAAATATTCAATTAATGTGCAAACATGAGTTAGATATTTTCCGATAATTAACATGAGTTAGATTTTCTATGCCCTTTCTTGTGTTCTAATTTTCATTGATATTTCCATGGACTGTGGAATTCTTTGGTCACCCGTTTCTAATATATGTTACTATATATTACTTTTGAAAAGAAGGACAAAGAATTGATAATTGATATATGTTACGTTAAATGTTAAACAAAATTTGTTCGTTTGTTATTATTATTATTATTATTATTATTGTCCTTGTGGCAAGATTATGCTTATTAGTATGCATTGTCCTTGTTTTGTGTACATATCTTAAACATGGAAAACAAAAAGAAAATGATAGTAAGTTAATTTTGGACTTTAAGTTCTAAATTCAAAACCCATAAATCCATGACAAAACATCTCAACAAATAAAGAATATTATAAATACATAATGAATAAAATCCTTGAATTTTTAAACTACAAAACCCTTATTTTTAAATTCATGAAGCAAACAACTTATGTTAGAGAAAGGAATTAATGAGTGATGTCAATTTTCACTTGAATAAGACTTGTACAAAATATAGGGTTTGGATTATGGGGAAAGAGTGTCCGCTTTCGTAAATATTTTGTTGGCAGAGAATAAAATACTCTCAGAATTCAAAAAATGTATTATTTTCATAATCCGTCGAAAACAACAACTTCAATTAAAATATATCTGTGTTGCCACTTTGAGATCAATGTTATCCATTAGTCTTCTATTCCACTCGAATTAGGTTTTCCGAAGACGATTTTCATGAGTTGTGTGTTTGTCTTAATTTTCTTAATGTTGTAGAGGAATTTCACTTTGAATAAATAAAATTTGTCTAGTAATTAAGTATTTTATTCAATAAATTTAACTCTCAATAATTAGTTTAGAGTTTGTCATTACTCTCGATAGAAGTACCAAAAGCCTCTCCCCAAATAAAGGTTATAACTAGATTTTTGGTCCGTGCTTTGCAGCGGTAAAAAACTAAATATTTAAACTTCTTCAACTCATTCAATGATTAGTTTACAAAAAAGTTTGGGTAAGATACATTCATAAGTTGTACGTAATTGATACATAATAAATATCTATCTAAAAGAGGTTTACGTAATGTATAAATAATATAAGTAACTATTTAGAATGGTGTTAATTCCTATATAAAATTTTCATAATGTGTGGTCTAATAATAAAATCAAGTCACGGAAAATTATCACATTTGATTAAACTACTATGTAAAAGTTAACATGCCTTATGGAACTTTTGCGTAATGCAATCTATGAGATGGTGAATATTAAAGAAATTTTAGTTAATAATAAATAATTAAATTTTAAAAAGTATCACATTTGATTAACAGTTATGTAAAAATAAGGGACCTTATAAAACCTTTTGTGTAATACAAATTGATGAGATGATCAACTATTTAGTTAATAGTAAATACATTTTCATTAATTGCTGAAGTTACATAATATGATTTTTTAATTTGTACATATAATAAATTACTATCCCTCCGTATGATTTACTTTATTATGAAGACTTCCCGTATTACTTTTTGTTTTATTGATACATTAAAAATCACTATCTCTATGTAAAATTGAGGATGTATTTGTAATTTACGTATTTTTTATAGAACAATGTTACGTTAATATTATTGGTCTAATAATATTAAACTACAATAATGGACTTTACAATTGGCATGGCAATGTGGTAGAATTTGGGAAGAGATCATGCAGAAAACTCCAAATGAACTTAAATAATGAAATAGAATTTGGGAAAAGATCATGCAGAAAACTTCAATTAGAAAGAAACCCTTTTGTGTGTAATTCAGTAGGATGCATCCGGCCGTAGGTTAGCATATGGATTAAAAAAACATAATAAATGTGATGAACAGTATTTTATGGGTTAAGAGTTTTTTTCGTAAGGAATAGTAAAATTAGTAACAGATAACTTATGCTTTTAATATATTAATTAATTAATTAATGTTGAGAATCATGTATACAGAGTGCTATTTAAGCATAATTTTAATCCCGTCTCTAACTAACAATCTTCAGTCTTAAACACTCTCAATATAAACTTTGAACCAGAAAATTAAGTTTCAATGGAAGCAGAGCAATGGAACAAAATACATAAAACTATTCATTCCATGTGGTCACCAAACATTAAACTATTCATTCCATGCGAGCTCTGCTCTTATGCGTTCTTATGGTGGAGTCTTGACTTTTGAATGAGTCTCTAATTATGAGGGTAAGAGAGAACCCAGAAACAAAAACTGATTGATTGTTTTGAATGGGTCTCTGTTACCCTAACAGAGAGTCCATTTTAACTTCGCAAACCCACCAAATTCCAATAGTAGTGATACAATGTGATGTTAAATCTGTGCTGGTTTTTGGCCTGGGATTTGGTATGCTCGACTCCCTGGTTTACCTCCAGTAAAGGGTATGTGGGGCGAGATGTTTTGTTTTCCTTTTTCTTCTTCAGTGCAGTGGTTTTTGATCGGCTGTTTGAGAGGGGGATGGGTAGTGAAGTCAATGAAATACAGTTACTGTATCTGGAATAACAATGGGAAGACAGATTCCTTCCTAGCTCCTAGTATTAGAAGAAGAAGAAGAAGAGGAATAATGGGGGGAAAAAGCTAAACATTCGAGCAAGTGGGAATGTGGGATGGCAACTCCTAGCCAGGAGCACTTGATGGCACTCACATTGATGTGAGACCACTGAAGGAAGAACAAACTAAGTATCGAGATAGGAATGGAACGATAAATTGTCTGGGAGTGTGCACGCCGAACTTGGAGTTCATTTATTGCCTAGCTGGTTGGGAAGGATATGCACATGATGCATGAGTGTTGAGGGATGCTTTGAACAAACCAAATGAACTTATTGTGCCTCAAGAAAAACTGAATTGATATTAACATAGTAAATAAGATAAGGTTGTTTTACTAGCTAAGCTAAAACATGCAAGAAAGAAGGGAGTGATGTGGCTTCTGCTTCAGCATGGTGAATGAGTAGAATCTATGAATGCTTGATTTATGTGAGCTTGCATAGGTTTGAGAATGTGTGTATATTTATCTTCCTTGTCATGCAGGTTAATGAGTTTCTCCCACAACTGATCCAATCTCGGCTGACGTTTTCTCATGCTTGTAATACGTAATAGAAGAACACTATTGTTTTCACCAAAGCCTACCATTGTTTGTTTTTTATTCACCAAATAAGTTAGTGATTTATGTTTCAAAGGCTAACTGTTACAGAATTATTGGTTAACTATTGATAGAACGGTTCATGCGATATAATATAAAAGATGTATATATAAATATAATACACTCATTTAGATATGAACTTATCAGTAATCATAAACAAATATTTCAAAAGCATATAATCCGGCTCAAGATAGAGTGCATAACCATGGGTTATGCATCCATCAATAACCAAATCTGGACCCTTCATTTAGAAAATACAGATCTAAGGATGGAGAATTAAAGATCATTTTTATTTTCTCTAGCTTTCTTAATCGGCTCATATCTTTTTCGTTTTAACTTGGATTTTTTTTTTTTTTTGCACAGGTGGAACGAGTTCATCGTGCTCTACAAAGTGAGATCAATTTTCAATATTTTTTTAGAACAAAAAATTATGGCCTCTTGGTACCAACTGCATACCATATGGTATTTTCTTCATTTTTAATTCGTTTTTGAAAACGTTTGCACAGAAGGGACGAGTTCATCATGATCTATTGGATCTACAAATTTATGGGTGAACAAATTACAGGACCAAAAAATACCACACAATACCATACAATACCACCCTGGTACGGGGTGGTATTGTATGGTATCTTCTTCATTTTTAATTCGTTTTTGAAAACGTTTGCATAGAAGGGACGAATTCATCATGATCTATTGGATCTACAAATTTATGGGTGAACAAATTACAGGACCAAAAAATACCACACAATACCACACTGGTACGGGGTGGTATCTTGTGGTATATAATGTTAAAAGTCGTAAATGACAATTAATATATTTCTAGTATCATGTATTCAACCATCCTACAGTCTTGGTTTGTTCATACCACCATTGTACTTTTTTCAAACCATAGGTATGCTTTTATTTCAATACCAGTAAATACCATATGGTATAGACTGGTACAAAATGACTCAATTTTTTTTGTTCAAAAAATATATTAAAGTGGATATCATTTTGAAGAGCACAATTAATCTGATCTAACTGTGCAAAAAAAAATTAAATTTCGACTTAAAATAAGTGAGAAATCGTCCGTCAAAGATTAAAGAGGGAAAAATTAAAGGCTTTCCAGGAGAGAGAGGATGCTGATGTCATGCTGATGTGGACCGGTTACTCATGGTTACTCACCAGATCTACTCCCCTGTTTGAGGGCTTAGGATATGGTAAGTAATCATTGGTTACTAACTTATGAGTAACAAAATTTGGACCTTTAGATCTAAATGGGCCCAGAAAATCCAGATCTAAGGGTTTTCAGTTAAAGACATTTTATTTTCCCTGGTTTTCATAATCGGCTCATATCTTCTTCGTTTTAACTCGGATTTCTTTTTTTTTTGCACACATGGAACGAGTTCGTTGTGCTCTAAAAAATGAGATCAATTTTCAATATATTTCGAAAAACTTTTTTTTACCAACTACATACCATATGGTAACTTCTTCGTTTTTAAGTCGTTTTTGAAAACGTTTGCTCAGAAGGAACGAGTTTATCATGATCTATTGGATCTACAAATTTCTGGTTGAAAAAAATACTGGACAAAAAATTACCATACTTTACCACTATGGTATGTGGGTGGTAACTTATGGTAAACAATGATGAAAGTCGTAAATGACAGTTAGTATACTTCCACTATCACTTATTCAACCTTCTTACCATATTGGTATGTTCATACCATCATGATACGTTTTCTTACCATATGGTATTAAATATGAGCATACCATATGGTAATGACTGGTAAAAAATTATTCAACTTTTTTGTACTAAAAATATATCAAAGTGGATATCATTTTAAAGAGCACATTTAATCTGATTTATCTGTGCAAAAAATATAAATTTCGACTTAAAACAAGAGAGAAATCGTCCGTTAAAGATTAAAGAGGAAAAGATAAAAGACTTTCCAGAAGAGAGGGGATGCTGATGTCATATGGATATGGAAAGGTTACTAATGGTTACACACAATAAGAGTTACTGACCTAATCTGCTCCGGGAGCAGATCTGGTGAGTAACCTTGTGGTGAGTAACCATGAGTAACCCGTCCACATCAGCATGACATCAGCATCCTCTCTCTCCTGTAAAGCCTTTAATTTTCCTCTCTTTAATCTTTGACGAACGATTTCTCACTCATTTTAAGTCGAAATTTAATTTTTTTGCACAGTTAGATCAGATTAATTGTGCTCTTCAAAATGATATCCACTTTAATATATTTTTCGAACAAAAAAAATTGAGTCATTTTTTACCAGTCTATACCATATGGTATTGACTAGTATTGAAATAAAAGCATACCTATGATTTGAAAAATGTACCATGGTGGTATGAACAAACCAAGACTGTAGGATGATTGAATACATGATAGTAGAAATATATTAATTGTCATTTACGACTTTTAACATTGTATACCACAAGATACCACCCCGTACCAGGGTGGTATTGTATGGTATTGTGTGGTATTTTTGGTCCTGTAATTTGTTCACCCATAAATTTGTAGATCCAATAGATCATGATGAACTCGTCCCTTCTGTGCAAACGTTTTCAAAAACGAATTAAAAACGAAGAAGATATCATACAATACCACCCCGTACCAGGGTGGTATTGTATGGTATTGTGTGGTATTTTTTGGTCCTGTAATTTGTTCACCTAGAAATTTGTAGATCCAATAAATCATGATGAACCCGTCCCTTCTATGCAAATGTTTTCAAAAACGAATTAAAAATGAAGAAAATACCATATGGTATGCAGTTGTTACCGAGAGGCCAGAATTTTTTGTTCTAAAAAAATATTGAAAATTGATCTCATTTTGTAGAGCACGATGAACTCGTTCCACTTGTGCAAAAAAAATTAAAATCCGAGTTAAAACGAAAAAGATATGAGCCGATTAAGAAAATAAAAATGATCTTTAATTCTCCATCCTTAGATCTGGATTTTCTAAATGAAGAGTTCATATTTGGTTATTGATGGATGCATAACCCATGGTTATGCACCCTATCTTGAGCCGATCCGCTCCCCTATTTGAGAGGCGGCTAGGAAATTTTCCCATGTCTACGTGTTCTTAATGAAATTTTTTATTTAACCATAAAAAGAAAAAAAAGTAATTATGAGGGATAAGTATAAAAGAAAATAAATAAATAATATTAATAATAAACAAGGTGAGAGCACTTGTCCGCTGTAACCGCCACCGACCCCGAAATGTAACCGCCACTGCCAACAGCGACTTCATCTTCCGTCGTGAGCCCTCCTCCTAGCGTCGTCGTCGTCATCGCTGTCCTGTTCTCGATCAAATCTTCTTGTCCGTAGAGGATTTCCTAACAACCCAGAGCAGAACATAATGCCACAGGCCACAGCGCCGCCAAGTCGGGGCCGCCGACGATCAATCTGATCGGGGATTTTCGTCGAGTTTCTCCAGCACACTGCAGAAATTTTGGTAATTTCCAGGTTTCCCATGTAACCTGAATTTGACCTCGTCCAAGAAGTCCATCGCTTGCCCTAATCGCTCGTCCGTGGTGGCTGCGGTGGAATTGTAGCTGTAGCTTTCTTCCCTTCTTCTATATTTTTTTCTCTTTTCTTTTCGCCTTTTGGACTTGCTCTGACTCTCCTTTTGTTTTTCCTTTTCGCTACTTTTCTCACCCTCTGACCATTTCTTGCTTTTTCTCTCAGACAGTTTTGGGCGGTTTTGATTTAATAAGCTAGATTTATACTTGCAGTTAGAACTTGGAAGTTTAAGGAGTGGCCAGCTCCAAATGGAAGTGTGGAACCCAGCGTTTGGATGGAGTTATGATATTTTTTTTCTTCTTTTGATTGTTTGTTGGGTTATGGTTTATTTAGATTTGATTTGGATTATTGTTAACTACTGGCGGCGACAAAACTAATTTGCAAGTGCACGGTGTCGTACAAGTAATAAAGTGTAAGTAAATTATCGTTCTCTTGGGGATTGGTGAAATTCAATAATTAACAAATTTAGTTCGAGAAACTATAGAAATTGCAGTGGTTGTAATTAAGTGATGAGTTGCAAAGATAAGCACAAATTAAGTAACTCGATAAATCAACTAGTTTGAAGAAATTGATATTGGAGAGTTCCGGGAGAAACATAAGTTTTTGCTATTTTACCTCAGTAAATTTAATTACCCTTGTCGATCAATTTAATCCATATTTCTACAGTCGATATACCTCAAAATTTATAGCTATCTCTATTGAGAATTACCACGTACTAACTAATTATGACAATTTCTAGTTTTCTACTATCGTAGTTAACTGAATTAATTAATTAGTTTGAAGAATGATATCCCTAAAATGACTGCATAATTCCCTATTTAATCAACTGTCGCTTTGATAGAAAATTATGGCGTGTGAAATACGTTCGGTTACTAGATTTTCACTGTTGTTATTAACCTAGAAAACTACAAATCATTGTGACGGTGTCCAATCAACACAAAGCATTATATAATTTCACACAATAGAAAATGGAGGAAAAACAAGTCGTGATTAAAACATCAAGGCTAGATAATGAAATCCATAAGTTTCCCCCAGAATTTGTGCGATTAGTTCATGATGAAAAGAAATAACATAAGCATGCTAATGTTCAACATGATAACTAATTACCTAAACAAAGGTGTAGAGAAAGTACTAAGTGTTGAAGTTAATCTCCAACTTACAAGAGTCTTCCTTTCTTCGAAATGCTCAACTCCAAAGTGTGTCAAAGCGAGATCTCTCCTTTGATTTTTCCCTCCAAAATTTGTCTCCAAAAGTGTCTACCCAGCCTCCTTAGTTGCTGCCCCTTTTAGATCCATTTTCTGCAGATTTAATCCCACAAAACAAGGCACTTGCATATCCCATTTCCAAGAGGAGGTTGCTGCCAGCTTAAGTCTCTTTCTTTGCAATAAATTCTTGCATCATTTTCTCTATTGGTGAGCCACCAAATCCATTTGCTCAGTTCAAGAAATCTAGTCCAATCCCAATAAATTATGTGGGCTGCTGACAGTTGAGTGAAGATTCCAACCAGCAATAATTAGATTTGGGTCTTTATCGATTTGGTGTCCTGCTAGATGTTTGTCACTCCACGTCCGCACTTTGCCACTGCGCCATCAATCTGCCACTGCACTTAGCTTCAATTCTGCGTTAAATTGCTAAAAGTCTTGGTACCGACACTAGGTCCATTTCACGGTCAATATGAACAAGTTCAAAACAATTTAATCATAAACATACACAAAGATCAACCATTTTTGCACAAAACACATGCATCTTTATGAAGCTTATCACAACCCCACACTTAGCATTTGCTTGTCCCTAAGCAAAAAAAGAAAGAAATAACAAAAGATAAGCGAATAAACATGAAACGAACAATCCTATGACTCTATTAAAATTAGTGTTATTAAAGCCGAACCGAGCCGCTCGGCCCGACCGATAAAACCGCCACCCGGTCATAAAACTGGCTCGGAACAGTCTAAAAGCTGCTCCGGTGTTATGTAGCGGTTGGCGAGCGGCCGAGGCGGTTAACCATTCGAGCCGATCGAGCCGCTCGTCCGATTTTTGTCATTCAACCACTAAATTTAATTAACAAAATTGTAGAAAATTAAAAATTGAAATAAACCAAAAACGTCGGGCTCTCAAATTGAATCCTTATTTCAATTTCACAATTTCGAAGAAAAGAGATGAGCTCTGATTAAGAAATGTCCACTATTTATACTAATAACGTTTATTAGATACCGGTTCTCTAACGATTTTTAAACGGTCTAATGCCGGTTGAACCGCTAAAGTGCGAGTCGTTCGCATTACCGGGTCTTGCTCCGGTTCGGTTTTGACAACATTGATGAATAGACACACTATGTTTGAGTAGTCAAAAGAGTTAAAGAAAATACCTGATGGGAGAAAGAAAGTGCAAATAATTTTTAAGTTTATTTTTCACTTTAGTTTATTGGATAAAGTGGTTAATGGATTTTTGAAAAAAGTGTGAACTATTTAATTTAACATATTAAATCTCACTACCTCTATTCCCCGTCTCAATCCCTAATACCCTTTTGACTTTTCCATAGAATTATCATCGACCTCTTCACAAACCACAGTTCCCACAGCCTCCTCAAAACCATTACTTTGCCGCAACTTTTCTGCTAGGGTTGTTGTCTTCGGCCTCTTGTGTAGTCTCTCTATCTATAATTCCTCCTCCACATTCCCACCGGTCACAAACAAATAACAAAGCACCGGTTGGTGGCATCCTTTTGCACGCTTGCAATTCGGATGCTCCTAGTGGCTGGTGAGTGCTCTTTGCCTATTTTGAATTTGACTTTCCTTATTATTTTCCTAGGAAAATGAATAGACGATAGATTGATGATTTATACAAGCGATCTAAAACCGGCAGTGAGTGAGAGGGGTGGAATTTATTGGTTCCTAATCTCTTCTTATTCAACTTTCGAAGGGTTGGATTTTTTGTTTTTTGTTTTTGTTTAGTGGAGCTAAAATTGAGAATTGTAAAATTGATAGAAATCCAATTTCTCCAGAATTTCGGAGAGAGCAAGCAACATAAAGCAATCAAAGAACAACTATTTGGTTTAATGTTTGGTTTCTCTATTGATAAGTTAGAAGGTTAATAGAGCATATTGATATTATAGAGAGATATTTTATAAAGAAGTCTTACATAAAGTAGAATGCTCAAGGGTGAAGTTAGCAGATTAAATTTAATAAAACCTGGACATAATTCTAATTCCACTTCATCTACGCCATCAGTACCGTAACCTCTCTCAACAAATCACTTTAAGCCTAGAGCAATACATCTGGAAATTAACATTCTCATGTTCAAGAAATTATTAGAATGAACTGTCTTTAAAATGTGTTTGCCAAAATGATCATGATTTGCCAATCGTATTTTTTTCGCCCAAGAGGGGTTGATTTGCACTGTTTATGCTATTAGGCAAATGCTTTCTGATTTCTATGTTAATCTTCTCATATTTGATATGTTTCACACCATGGGAAGGACCAGTTCTCTAGGAAGTCTTTTGATATCTAGATGAATTGAGGAGTTCGCATAGTTTGGTGAGGTTAGCCTACATATTAGCTAAAAAGCTAGTACTGAAGTGTTTCTCCTTACACATTTGCTTCGGTGCCTTTCTTGGACTTTTGATTTTTTTTATCTTTTGATGATAAATTCTTGGTGGAGAGGGACTAGTAAACATGTAGTTTGTTGAATTTTTTTATATCATTATAGGTGTTTAGTTTGTGTACAGGCTGTAATGTTAGACATCCTGCTAGTTTGAGAATAATACACTTATAGCACACTGAATTGCTGGAGGTAGACAAAGCTTTTAGACTATTATTGTTATAGTACTTTCAGACACCATACCAATCAATCGCATCCTTCAATAATACGGTAAATGTAACACATTTTCCATTATTTTCTATTACATTCTTTTTTATATTTTGCCAGAAGAATCCCAGTAATGATAGTCTAAAATTCAAATGATTTATAAACAAGTGTGAATTTTTTTGCTAATGGATCCAAAACCATATTCTCAAAAGAATTCAATGATACGATATTATCTGTCAATGATATATTAGATTAATACATGATAAAATCATTGCAAAATTAAGTACCCCACCATAATAATAATAATAATAATAATAATAATAATAATAATAATAATAATAATAATAATAATAATAATAATAATGGTGAACCATCATACAAATACTCATCCTAACATTACAAGAAAAAAAACAATACTACTTAAACACGAACTATCTCAACCGTACAGTATTGAGTAGTACAGAAGTGGCAATCTAGAAACAAAAAAAAAAGACAAATAGTATCACTTGTGGTATCTCTAGCATATCTCGATAATGAAACCCATGGTGGATGCAAAAAAAACAAGAATGAAATATAATATGTTTTAAGATTATCAGCAGACAGCAGTACATTAGTTGATTTCACCTACTAACCTTTATAGCTCAATGACTATAAAAACTTTAATATTATTAAATAAAAATTAGGAAAAGGCATATAAGTCGATGATTACGCCAATTAAATAACCATTGTAGCTTAGACATACACAAAAGGACTGAGTTAATAATCAATGTGACAATATGTTTTTTGACATTTTGCAAGTATATCAACAATTTTGAAACAAAGATGATATTACTTACTGTAGAAAATCGTATATGTGATTTATAATCTATATAAACATAAATAATATTATTGCATTATTTTAAGTACACAAATCCGTATTTCAAAACTCATTATTCATCTTAGTTGAACTCAATCCATAATACAATATGCCTTTAAACATCCCCAAGAATTGGTCAGCTCATCAATTCGTATAAGTATTTTATTATCATCCAAAAATTATGAGTTATGAGATTGCTAATTCTTAAAAACTTTACCGCCATATCTAGAATATTTGATCTTCTAGTAATTTCCAAGAAACTTGATAGGGTTGAATACAATGGATGACACAGAAGAGTAAAAACTTGAGTGGGTTGATTAATGAGTTGATTTTAATTAATAACATTATAACTCAATGATATAATTTTCACTCTCAACTAATTTTTCATGTATTTCATAAACACTACAATAAATTCGGCCTATTATGACGAGACAATTTTTTCATATTAGATACCTATTTTGTCATATTAGGTATACTATGACAAAAGGTGTTGTCACAAACGTTTGTTATTTTATCGCCATCAGGATAGGTCAAATATGACAAAAATTTAAAACTAGGTTGTCACATTTGCTTTCAGTATAGCTGAAGTTTTGGGTAGTCTATTGCGACAAACAGAGATGTTATGACGACATATTTTGCCATTACGGTTGTCATAATCTGGTGATTTTGGGAGAATTGTTCGTCATATTACACAGTTATATTTTGTCATAACTGTATATTGTGACGACAACATTTGGTCACAAGTGTTTATTGTGACAACATTATTTTGTCATAAATAAATATTATAACGAATATATTTTGTCATAACTGCATATTATAACGAGTATAGGTTGTCAGGAAAGGTGTCACAATTGACCTGCTTCAAAAATTTCATAATTCGAAAATGTTTACTGCATTGCAAGCGAATAATGGTAATATTACCAAAGATCCAAAATATTACAACCATTTCCATAGTAGTCTAACTTCTTGTCATCATAATCAAACATTCTAAGTTGTCCACCATGACACAAAACATTCCACCTTGTTCACCTCGACACAAACCATTCCACCTTTTTAGTTGCTCCTCCTGACTTTGTATCTTCTCCTCAAACTCCTTGGCCTTTCTCTCCACTTCAACTTTTGTTGCCTCCACTTCTGCTTGGAGTTGTTTCTCCTTTAGTAATCAACCACTATCATTCATCATCATCGTCATCTATATCAAGTAATCACTCATTTCTGGCATTTGTTTAAAACTAAACGCAAAACACATCATAAGAATACTCTCCACTCAAATTAGAAAGATAATTTAGAATACCTCAATTTTGTTTAAAGTAACCCACAAACAAAACGCATATTCATATCTAAACCCACCCTTCCCTTTTCAACAAAAATCAGAACCATAGCAACATACAACTTACAAGAGCTAAACACCATTATTACAAGTTGATTTCCATGAAGTTTGCCATAACCAAAGACCACTAATTCACCACCATAAGCACTCACCAGTTCCTTGATTCAAGTCCATCATAAATCACACACTGCCCATTTCCAAAATTAGAAATACCAACAATCAAAATCAATAATTTGCAAGATATAAGTAAAGCAACACTTTGTAGATTACCAACGTGCAAAGCTTCTTATGATGATTTGTAATACCACAAAGCAGCACCTCCCCTCTAAAGCATCATATCAAGACCATTTATTTGGCATACAAAGTTGCCACCACAAGCAGTGCACGCTCACAGACCCAAAGCGGAAATAAACAGAGCAAAGATTTGCATTGAAGTAAACCAGCTAGCTACTATATAGAAATCATATAAGTGCAGCAAAAGCAGTTATCAAGTGGCTGTAGCATTTATCAAGTGCAAGAGAGAGTAAAGGCCAAAATGAGTAGAGTACTGCAAGCTAGGGCTGCAAACGAGCCGAGTCGAGTCGAGTTTTTGCTTAGCTTGAGCTCGGCTCGTTTATTAATTTTTCAGCTCGAGCTCGGCTCGAACTCGAATTTTGATAATCCAGCTCGAGCTCGAGCTCGGCTTGAATAAAAATAATCTAGCTCGAGCTCGACTCGGTAGAGCTCGATAAATGCTCATTAACATAGCTTGTTAAGCTGAGTACAAGCTCGGCTCAAGATGAGCTCGATTTAAATCATTTTTGCTGGAAAAATGTATAAACATAAGAATTTAAATGATAGAAAGAACACTAGAAACTAGAAATAATATCTAAATTTCATACACATCTGTATTATAAGACAATGTTCATGTTTAAAAGAGTAATTCATCCTTCCACAAGCTCAAAACAAGGCAGCTCGCGAGCTTAGCTCGACAAGCCACCGAATCAAGCTAGCTCGCGAGCTTATCAAGCTGAGCATGGTCTAGCTCAGGCTTGGCTCGTTAACTAACGAGTTGGCTCGCGAGCCGGCTTGTTAAATAACGAGTCGAGTGTCGAACGAGTTTTTTCCGATTCGAACGCCGAGTTGCTCGCGAGCGGCTTGGCTCATTTGCAGCCCTACTGCAAGCCATACCTTCTCCGACAGCAATGAAAGACAATGCATGTCTTAGAGACAAAAAGAACTTCTCCCTTTACATCAGTACCTAGAATTATGAAAGCCAAACTGAGTGGAGCAGTGCAAGTCAAGGATCTATTGCTCCAAGGTAAAGTCAACAAGATCATATGTCACATAGACCTTTATCCAATCGTCTAAAGACAGTCACCCGCTAACAAACCATACTCATTTCAGGAAAATATAGTCCTAGGACATTAAAGCATCCAAGAGCATAGGAATGGTCATATATGTATTTAGGCGCAATAAGTAGAATTCCTGTGCATATTCTCTAACACACAAATTTTGGCCAGTTGGATGAAGTTAGTCATCAATAACTGACATTGGCAGCAATAATGAACCAATTAAGACACATTCTACAACTAGCAAGCCATATCTAACAATGAACCAATTAAGGAAACTGGTAAGTAACCTCATCTCCCCAGCTATTCTCGCAGCAACCAGTACCACAATCTCTGCTTTGTAATCTTCATCTCTAGTTGGCTTCAAGCTTTCTCTGATTCCTTTATATCAAACGAAATTATTAGCTAGGAAAAGAAACTTGTAATTAGTCAGACAATCACATAGCTAAACTGGTATATCAATCAATATAAGCTACGTGAGAACAAAAGTTGAGCTTCAAAGAGCGACACAACCGGTAAGCTCTTTGTCTCAAATCCAGTTAAGGGTAACTAACTGAGTTAGATCATAGATCTATTAGGCAGAAACCATAAAGTAATAAATTTGGACCCTCTCAAAGCCAGTTAAGGGTAAGAGGCACATCAACAATAGGAGAGAGGGCACCGAGAATGGTGATGAGTGAAGGCGGTGGTGGGATACCTAGAGGTTTAGTTTGAGGCGGCGAAGAGACATGTCCAGAGATGATCATGTTGCTCTGAGGGTTGAAATTGGCGCAGAGGATGTAATTTGTGTGGCCGGTGAGGGAGGTGATGGAGTATCTCATGGTGACGTCCTAGAGGCGGAGGGTTTTGTCATTGGAGGCGGAGACGAGGAAGCGGGAGTCGGAGGAGAAGGCGATATCGGAGACGCATTGCTAGTGGCCGGTTAAGTCGTGGATGTGGGTGAGTGGAGAGGAAGGAGGGTTGGACGGGGAGAAGGAGAGGGAGTAGGTACGGAGGGTTTTGTCGGCGGAGGAGACTAGGAGGCGACCGTACGGAGGAGAATGTTTTGGCGGCGGAGTGAAAAATAAAACCATCCGACCATATATATATATATATATATATATATATATATATGGGGAGTTCTACAGTACCTAGGGTGAAATCCGGGGTACCGCATACCTTGAGTAAGAAAACATTATCCAGAACTTGAATTGACTGATCTTTCGGACATGATACTACACTCTAACCCTTAAAAATCAAAATCTAGGTCTTAATTCTCTAAATCTTATACCCCAAGATCAATTTAATTAGAAACAATAATCGACGGTTATGATTCGTTCAAATATAGGCAAAAATATCAATGCACAATCTTAGGGTTTATAGTTTATGATTTAGATAATTAGAATCTAGGGTTCACTCATTAAGGGTTAGGATATAGTATCATGCCCAAAAATCCTGCTAATTCGAGGTTTAGATAGCGTTTTCATACTCAAGGTATGCGGTACCCCGGATTTCACCCGGGGTACGGTAGAAGGCACCATATATATATATATGGCAAAGGCTAGCATACACCTGGTGTACGCTGTACGCCTGTGTTCACACTTATAAACAATTTTTTATTATAATTAAATGAGTTTAGTGGAATTAATTACAAATGATAATTATAATTTCGACCACACCCATTAATTAATGTTTTGTACATTTTAGTCTCCCAATCTCGAGCTTAAACAATCAAATTACTATTTGTAGCATTCCATCAAATTACCCCAATCCCACTCCTCGCCCCTGCTAATTATCCTCTGATTTTTTGCGATCTTCTTCTACCTCCATTGCCCGCTAACTCCTAATCTTTTTTTATTCTCGTTACCTCCTCCTCCTCAATTCCTTTGCCTTTGCTCAAGAATGTCGCACAGTGGAGGAAAACCATAGCATCCCCTTTGAATGCCATCAATCGCTGCGAGAAACCTTCAACCTCTACCTTCCTCAATTTCTTCAAACCTGATAGCTCATCTGTAGGAAGTCTTTCCAAAGATGAGCAATTATACAAATGCAACTGTTCCAAGGATGGCGTCGTTGAAGCAATTAAAAATGTTATCCGTCACTGATGCTCCAAATATGCGAGAGATTGAGGACCTTGCTTGTTTGAAATCCTTGGAACAATTGCATCTGTATAACTGCACATCTCCAAATAGGCGCCATCTCCAAATAAAACTTGATGGACATTGCAAAAAAATGATTAAGGTCTACAACTGCAACAGTTAAAGTTCAGATGGGTAAATGACAAGGCAAGAAGAGATTATTATGCCCAGCAACCGAAGCGAAGGAAAGCAAGCAGAAGAAGCCCTAATCGACTAGCTCATTAATAATTGAGAACCTTCAATCATGGAATACTTAGCATTGATGCTAAATTTTCTCAACGGTGTTAAAATAGTGGAGCACTTTTACTATGCTATATAGTATTGGTGCTTTAATGTACAACTCAAAGTTGTACCATAACATTAAATGTATAAGTTTAGGTTGTACCATAAAGCTATTTGTACAATTATGTTATGGTACAACTTTACAACTTGAAGTTGTACCATCACATAAAGGTACAAGTTCAAGTTGTACCATAAAAGAATTTGTACAAAAAGTATAGGTACAATCTGAAGTTGTACCATAACGTAAATGTACAATTTTAAGTTGTACCATAAAGGCAAAACCCTATAGCACCAATACTATATAGCATTGTAAAATTTCTCAAAATAGTGTGCATTCTGTTTGTATTATGCATTTCAATTTCCAATTATTTTGTTGTTACGTTCCTGCTCTGTATTATGTATAGGATAAGGAAATCCAATAGAATCATCCAAGCAACTTTGCAGTTTTAAAATCTAGTAAGAGTGAATTGGTTTCATTTTTAAGTTTTTGGTTTTGTGTTCTGTGTTTGAACTGTTAATTGGTATCACTGCTCTTTTTTCTTGCACAACAAATCTGCAGGGGAGGTTTAGATCGAAAAATAGCAGTAATGATGACTACGGTGTGCTTTGGTTGGTTTTAATGGGTTCGTGATTTTGGGTCGTACTTATGGCGAACGCAAATAAGTGGGCTGTCTTTTTTAAATGAAATAAGTGGTCTTTTGATTAAATGGATGTAATTGTAGTTTGTTGTTTTCTATATGTTTTGGGATCACAACATATATAAATATAAATTAATGGATGTGATTGTAATATGTATTTTTAAAATAATTAGTTTAATCATAATTATTTTTAGTGTGAACACAGGCGTATAGCGTACGACAGGTGTATGCTAGCCTGATATATATATATATAATTCCAAAAATTAAAGGATGCGCCACTGGGCACTTAAAAATTTTCAATTGTCAAAAGTTTTTATGGAGAGCGATAATTTGAGTTTCCTTTTCCGCCCATAGATAAAATCATGGGACGCTAATCTAGGTGTCATATAACACCCAAGGGTAACGGGGTTTTAGTCCAAAACGAGGTTTCAATATAGCACAAGCAAATTTGACGAAAATGCCTTTTTGTCAAAAACGAATCCACTATATTATGACGAACATGTCTTTTGTCAAAGCCGAGACCACTATATTATGACGAACATGCACTTTTGTAAGCTCGCCGTGGGATTATTGCTATCTATTCTGACAAAATACTTTGTCATTTAAACAATCCAGGAAGGCATAATATGACAAAAGCTAATCTGATGATATAATTTGTCACTTTTGTGTCTCTTACATCCCGATATGGCATGCCCATTTTGACAAACTTAATTGTGACACGAAATATTTGTCACATTACTCACTTCAAATGACGAACTATTCTGACAACAAGAAATTTGTCACTGTTGAGTCTTTTACATCCCGATATGGGATGCCTATTTTGACAAAATTAATTGTGACACTAAACATTTATCAGATTACTCACTTTAAATGACGACATATTCTGAAAACAAATTTTATTTGTCACATTAGGCATACAAAATAGGACATATATTATTTTTGTCATATCATCGTACTTATTGCGACAGACAAAAAATGACAAAATAATTTTTTTGTCCTAATAGGCCAAATTTGTTGTCGTGAAAAAATATATAATCAAAAGTTATACAACACGTTTCGTTGAACATGCATCACAACCAGCTGATCTATTGATCAAAATTTCTCATAATTCAGCAGTTCAACTGTGAATATGAACTTTTTCACAATCATAATATTTAATTGATAGTGTAGGAATCCATGCGACTCATTCTACCATTATGAAGTTCATTCAAAGCACAAAAGGTTAATCCATGATGACAATAATGTCAAACAAAAAAACATAAATTTTATGGTTACGCCGTTAAACATCCATCACAGTATGGACATACAAAAACAAATTCAAAGTTAATAATCAACGAAACAATATATTTATTTACATTTTACAAGTATATCAACAATTTTAAAACAAATATTGACCTCTATTACTTACAGTGGTGTATGTGATGTGTAATTTCTACTAAACCAAAAAAAATTATTGCATTATTCTTGCTCCACAAATCCATATTTCGAAACTAATCCTCTATCTTAGTTGAACTCATTTCATAATACAATATGTCTATAAATATCTTCCAAAATTGATAAGCTCGTCAATTCATATAAGTGTTTTGCTAATCCAAAAATTATGAGTTATGAAAATCTAGTTGTAAATTCTTAAAAATTTTACCACCCTAGCTCAAATATTTGAGAGATTTTAGTGTCTTTCATTGGATTACAATGGATGACACAAAAGAGTAGAAAGAAAAAAATCATATTCTAAGTTAATAATCAATGAGATAAAAATGCATAAACCACAAATTAGATGATGAAAGATTACCAACAGTACATCATTTGAGTTTGAATTGCTAAATTTTATGGTTAAATAAATACTTGTATTATTGAATAATTTCTCATGTAGGAAATCCAAGAAATCGGGCTATTAAAGGCTGAACATAGAAAAAAAAATCAAACTTACTTTACGAGAAGAAGAAAAAATGTTTCTTGGTAGTTCGAAAGTATATGAATCACTTATAAACAATGAGGGTTCGCGTTACTTATTTTTAGAAGATTATCATATGATGTGTAAAATATACAAAAACAAAAGAATTATTTTGCATTATTCTTATTCCACAAATTCAAATTTTAAAACTTATATTCCATATCAGTTGAACTCATTTCAGAATATAGTATACCTTTGAATATCACCGAATTAGTCACCTCATCAATTCCTGTAATTGTTTTATGATTATTGGGAAATTTTGTATTAAGAAAATTGTGTTGCTCAATTTTAACCTTTTTACTTTTCTGTTTTAATTATTTAATATTTTGTTGAACTTTAATAAAATTGTGAGGATTTTGCGCGTTTCGTACTTGTCCAACCTAAAAAATATTTGATCTCATGTTAAGCTCCAAAAACTTGAAAGAGTTATGCGTGTTTCCAGTAGATTTGATGGATGACACATAAAAATAGAAAGAAAAAAAACCATATTCCGAAAGATTACTAATAAAACATGAATTGAGTTATAATAATTTATAACATTTATAATTTATGAACATAAACAAATAGTTTCTCATGCAGGCAATCAAAAAAAATTGGTCAAATGTTATACAATTCAGCTCATTGAACAGTTATCACAACTTGTTGATATGTTTATTATTAAATTAAGAACACAAACAACTAGTTTTTCATGCAGACAATTACTAAAACTTGGCCAAATGGTATACAATTTGGGTTATTCAATAGCCATCACAACTTATTGATATGTTCATCAATAAGTTGAATACATTAAAAAACAAGTTTATTGAGCAGGCAATCAAAGAAACTTGACCAAATGTTATACAACTGAGCTAATTGAACAACCATCACAGCTTGTTGATATGTTCATCAATAATTTAAATACATAAACAACTAATTTTTCATGGAGAGTGTCAAAAAAACTTGGCCAAATGTTATACAATTCTGCTCATTGAACAGCCATCATGGCTTGTTGATATGTTCATCAATAATTTAAATACATAAACAACTAATTTTTCATGGAGAGTGTCAAAAAAACTTGGCCAAATATTATACAATTCTGCTCATTGAACAGCCATCATGGCTTCTTGATATGTTCATCAATAATTTAAATACATAAACAACTAATTTTTCATGGAGAGTGTCAAAAAAACTTGGCCAAATGTTATACAATTCTGCTCATTGAACAGCCATCATGGCTTGTTGATATGTTCATCAATAATTTGAAAATATATAAACTAGTTTCTCATGCAGCCAATCAAAGAAATCTAGCCAAATGTTATATAATTCAGTTTATTGAACAACCATCACAGCTTGTTGATATGTTTATAAAAACCTCTCACAACCAAGAAGTTTAACTTTGAAAATGAGTTTTTTCACAACCACAATATTTAATTGATAGTGTAGGAATCCATTCGACTCATTCTACCATTATGAAGTTCATTCAAAGCACAAAAGGTTAATCCATGATGACAATAATGTCAAACAAAAAACCATAAATTTTATGATTACCCCGTTAAACATCCATCACAGTATGGACATACAAAAACAAATTCAAAGTTAATAATCAACGAAACAATATATTTATTTACATTTGCAAGTATATCAACAATTTTAAAACGAATATTGACCTCTATTACTTACAGTGGTGTATGTGATGTGTAATTTCTACTAAACCAAAACAATTTATTGCATTATTCTTGCTCCACAAATCCATATTTCAAAACTAATCCTCTATCTTAGTTGAACTCATTTCATAATACAATATGTCTATAAATATCTTCCAAAATTGATAAGCTCGTCAATTCATATAAGTGTTTTGCTAATCCAAAAATTATGAGTTATGAAAATTTAGTTGTAAATTCTTAAAAATTTTACCACCCTAGCTCAAATATTTGAGAGATTTTAGTGTCTTTCCATTGGATTACAATGGATGACACAAAAGAGTAGAAAGAATTGCTAACACATTAGATGATGAAAGATTACCAACAGCACATCATTTGAGTTTGAATTGCTAACATTTATGGTTAAATAAATACTTGTATTATTGAATAATTTTTCATGTAGGAAATCCAAGAAATCGGGCTATTGAAGGCTGATATAGAAAAAAAAAATCAAACTTACTTTACGAGAAAAAGAAAAAATGTTTCTTGGTAGTTCGAAAGTATATGAATCACTTATAAACAAAGAGGGTTCGTGTTACTTATTTTTAGAAGATTATCATATGATGTGTAAAATATGCAAAAACAAAAGAATTATTTTGCATTATTCATATTCCACAAATTCAAATTTTAAAACTTATATTCCATATCAGTTGAACTCATTTCAGAATATAGTATACCTTTGAATATCACCGAATTAGTCACCTCATCAATTCATGTAATTATTTTATGATTATTGGGAAATTTTGTATTAAGAAAATTGGGTTGCTCAATTTTAACTTTTTTACTTTTCTGGTTTAATTATTTAATATTTTGTTGAACTTTAATAAAATTGTGAGGATTTTGCCTGTTTCGTACTTTCTCCAACCTAAAAAAATATTTGATCTCATGTTAAGCTCCAAAAACTTGAACGAGTTGTGCGTGTTTCCGGTAGATTTGATGGATGATACATAAAAATAGAAAAAAAAACCATATTCCGAAAGATTACTAATAAAACATGAATTGAGTTATAATAATTTATAACATTTATAATTTATGAACATAAACAAATAGTTTTTCATGCAGGCAATCAAAAAAATTTGGTCAAATGTTATACAATTCAGCTCATTGAACAGTTATCACAACTTGTTGATATGTTTATTATTAAATTAAGAACACAAACAACTAGTTTTTCATGCAGACAATTACTGAAACTTGGCCAAATGGTACACAATTTGGGTTATTCAATAGCCATCACAACTTATTGATATGTTCATCAATAAGTTGAATACATTAAAAAACAAGTTTATTGAGCAGGCAATCAATGAAACTTGACCAAATGTTATACAACTGAGCTAATTGAACAACCATCACAGCTTGTTAATATGTTCATCAATAATTTAAATACATAAATAACTAATTTTTCATGGAGAGTGTCAAAAAAACTTGGCCAAATGTTATACAATTAAGCTCCAAGAACTTGAAAGAGTTGTGCGTGTTTCCAGTAGATTTGATGGATGACACATAAAAATAGAAAGAAAAAACCATATTTCGAAAGATTACTAATAAAAAATGCATTGAGTTATAATAATTTATAACATTTATAATTTATGAACATAAACAAATAGTTTCCCATGCAGACAATCAAAAAAATTTGGTCAAATGTTATACAATTCATCTCATTAAACAGTGATCACAACTTGTTGATATGTTTATTTGAAGAATCATGTTTGTCTCAATTAAACCCATCTCATAGTACAATATGCCTTTGAAATTTTCCCATAATTTGTCACATCATAAATTCACGTAATTGTTTTATGATTATTCACAAACTAAGAGTTAAGAAAATTAATTTGCTCATTCTTAATCTCTTTACTAGCCTTACTTACATTTTTATCTTGTGCATGTTTCACATTTTGTTCAACCTGAAAATTTCCAATGTAAGACTATTTCTTTAAGATAATGCCACAAATGAAATCTGATTTATCGCGTAATTGACAAAATTGTGAAAACATGATTAATTACACATCCAAAATATCAAAATCAACCTATAATATTTTCCGTTGGAAGCGATAAATCCAAGAGGAAAGTATAAAATCATCCACATTGATAACTGAAAGAGATTTTGTAGTAGCAAAATGAAACAATACTATGAAGAAGAGAATCTCATCCTTTATCCCTATTATTTTCTATAGAAAATTTTCCCTACGAACAATAAGATATCCTAAGAAATCTCTCAACTAAATATATTCTTCTTTTACATGGCGCAACATGATAGCTATTGTATTTTTTATCGACGTATCGTGAGCCTCATCCACAAAATGGAAAAAACATAATCATCGATGACATATGATTTTCTTGGTTATTTTAATGGAAATTGCATGTATATTATCCATTTGTATGTCTTGGGAAATCAATTGAAGGTTTTTGGGAGCATTTCTCAACACAACACATTTCACTTTCTTATATACCATGAGCACGATATTTCAGAAGTTCAGTAAAATCGTTAATATTTGAAAATGATATTTTTTTCATGCCCATAAAGTGAATGACCTTGGCGTATACAATGCTTGATTCAACCAATTTAAACTTGCAAACGAGTTTTATAATCCATATTTGCTTATTTGCCTGTTTACATAAAGAAACTCCAATTTTATGTGATTGTTTCAACAAGTCCTCAGATTTTCTCACATTCTTGTTTTGCTCACTTTTGACATGACTAACATGTTCCTCAAGAGTCAAGACCCTCGTCTCCCAATTTTCAAGCTTTAAAACCCTTAAAATTAAAAAAAAATACATCTACAATTCTTGTCATCGTTGGTCCTAAACATATAACAATACAAGCAATATGATCTTTCCAATATTATGTTCCAATCAATGCTATTTTTTTGTACTCAGGAGGCTTAAAGCTCCGAGATGTTCATCTAATATCTTTTGATGGAAAATCATGATCAGGTAAGCGAACTCCTTTTGAAGATGGTGCCTTCTAATCATATCTTGAATAGTAGGATAAAATAACAATAGTTGTTATGTTAAGCCCATATATGCTTTCAAAGAGTTCATGTCAAATTCATTTTCTCCATACGTAATGTTAGGGGTAAAATGATTTATCGAGAGAGGTTGTGACACTGATGGTGTAGACGGAGTCGAATTCAAATCATGTTGAGATTCTATTGAATTCAATCCACTAACTCACGTCGCTGAGCTTTTAGGGTATATCCACTACTCCTTCGCAAGGTATCTCCACATAATAATATTCATCGATGTTTGATGACACTTTATTTATAGTATTTTTCACTCCCATTCTTGTTGCATTTTCCTCTTCTATCAATGCATCTTTAGTCATTTCAATGCTATTTCTTGCCTAAATCGTTTGATCAATGAGCTTATAATAGACCTAGGCAATGTTCTTGTACTCTTTGATGCCTTCTGGGTATTTTTGATGATTTTGAAGGTACAAAGCAACCTAAGGATGAGTGGATCAAGCATTGAAGAACTCTATAGGACCAAATGAGCTATAAACAAAAGATTAATGAGCTTTCGTGAGAAAAAAGAGGTCTAATGATGGGGAAGTCAACTACAAGTTGCTACATTATCACAAGACGAGCCCATAGGAAGAAGATTCAGTCTATTTGGACAAAGGAATGAGCGACGACACAAGCAACATGCCCAACCACCGCTACGTGAAACATCATAAGTTGCAACCCACTCGCCAGAAGAAGTGCATGGACCAGGAAGCCCAACCCACAAAAAAAGAGCAACGGGTCATACCACCGCTCTATCGCCACTTCACCCTTGCCTGGTTGAAGAATTTTCCTTAGTCTCCAAGTTTGTTTTAGGCCGAGATCCTCCCTTATAAATAGAGAGCATGACTCATTAGGTTAGTAAGCTGCACAAACACACAAATTCTTAGTAACACTCCACTCGGGTGATAGACTAGTCGAACTAGAGGGGCCTGTAGCTAAGGAGATGCTATCATCATCAATGGTGGCACCCTCCTTCTCCTCTATGTAGCTAGTCAAATTTGATTGTATTAGCTTGTGATCTTGTTTATTGTTATGTGAATGAAAGCTATAATTTCATCTCATGCTTGTGCTTATCTATGGGATTTTTTTATGCTTATTACTATGTATGGATGCTTTTGTGGGAAAAAATCCCAAAGTACACATGTTCTTAAAAAAAATTCCCAAAATACATAAGTTATAAAATTTTTTCCCAAAATACACATGTTTGCCATTCACCGTTCTTGACAAACGCAGTGAATATAATCAGTGTGTTTGACAAAAGTGGTGAATAATTCACCGTTTAAAAAAAACGGTGACGTATTCACTGTCTTCATCTAAAACGGTGAAGTACCAGCGAGGCAATCACCGTTTTAGAGGGAAATGGTGAATCAATCACCGTTTTAATTAAAAGCGATGACATTTAAACCGCTGTGATTGGCCACGATGAAGCGAAGTGGATCGCTGACGTGGACAAACGGGGTGTATTCACCGCGTTAAACAAACACGGTGAATACCCCGTGTTTGTTTGCGTCAGCGATCCGCGTCGCTGCCGCGTTCACCGTCGCCGTCGGATGCGGTGAGGCGCGGATCATGGTTTTCTTCCCAGATCCAACGCCTCACGCTAAGCCACGTCACTCAATCCGCGCCCATTCACCGTCTTCGAGAAACGCGGTCACTTCACCGTTTCTGACTGACGCGGTGAATGCTCCCCAGTTTCACTCGGCAGATCCCTTCCCCCAACTATAAATAGACCCTTCCCCCACCACTTACAACTCACACCACAACCATTTCACTTCTTTCTCCCTCAATTTATCCGCTCTAGTCTCGTTCTAAGTATGCTCTGTGGTTGCAGATAAATCTGATCTTCCACATCAGAAAGAATTACTAGAGTTTGAACCTAAAGCACCCGTCCCGCTAAGGTCCCGTCCCTCACAAACCTGAACCCGTTGAACCTCTGTCCGGCTTCTACCAAAAAATGGACGAAGAGGCTCTTCGTGTAGGTTTTTTTGTTGTTCTTATTTTTAATCGTAACAATTTGATTTTGTGATTTTTTATCAAAACAATCTCTGATTTGATTACTTTTTTTATAGATGTGTGTCGAGATATACGATCCTCGATTGTATATCCATTATAAGCCAAGAGATATGAGACTCTTAACCGATCAAGAAGCTCATCGCTCCCGTGCTATTTGGGATAACAATCCGGTAATTTTATGATTTATTTGCTTTATTTTATTATTTTCTAAGGTTTTATTTTGCTTTATTTAAACTAACAAATTGATGTTTTTCCTATTTTTTTGAAGGAATCACTTATTCCCGTCGTTCATAAAGGGACCACAAACTTGCCCCCTTGGCATCCACGGTTGGCGCTCTATATAGAGAGGACTAGGTTGGGTATGTTGCGCCATTTCATGCGGATCGAAATCAACAACGATCTGCTTACGGCAATGGCGGAGCGATGGCGTCCCGAAGCCCATACGTTCCACCTTCCGGAGGGGGGAAATGAAGATCACCCTCAAAGACGTGGCGATCCTCACCGGGCTGCCGATTACTGGAGATGCCATCATTGGGCCCACTACCAAACCCGAAGGAGGTTGGGGGCCGCTCATTCTTGCTGAGTTGGGATTCGACATGCCGACCACCACTCCAATTCAAGGACGGGGCCATCCACCGTTGAATGCGGGACAAGTGTCGGTCCCGTGGCTGGTAGCTAACATCCAGAATGAGGTGCAAATCAATGACGAGACTCCGGAAGATCAAGTGGAGCGTTATGCACGCATCTACCTCATTGGTCTGGTGGGTGGATTTCTGTTCCCCGACAAGTCAAATCGGTGGATTCAAGGCATATGGTTGCCATTACTCACTGGTGACTGGGACGTAATTGGGGAAAGGAGCTGGGGATCGGCCGTGTTAGCTGACATATACCGGGAGCTGTGCACTTGCTCGAAAGTGGGAGCAAAACAAGCTGGTGCTGCGATGTTCATCCTACAGCTGTGGGTATGGGAGCATCTTCCAATGTTCGCACCTCAAGACCCACGTCCATACCGGAGAGCCGATGATGAGCTAAACTTTCTGCAAATCCCCCTTACGGTGTCAAGTAAGTTTATTCCGTACTTAGCTTAATTTAAAATTATTACATGATTAGCTAGATTTCAATTGAATTTATTCAGTACTTAGCTTAATTTAAAATTATTCCATGATTAGCTAGATTTCAATTGAATTTATTCCGTACTTAGCCTAATTTAAAATTATACCATGCTTAGCTAGATTTTAATTGAATTTAATCCGTACTTAGCCTAATGGTGGCTAATTTATACCATGCTTAGCTAGATTTAAATTGAATTTAATCCGTACTTAGTCTAATTTCAATTTATTCCATGCTTTTACTTACAAGGTGGATAGGAGCAAATACGAATGACCATCAACCTGAGCATTCGTTATTGTTTTATCGTTCTGAGTTAGATAAGCCTTGGTGGAATCAGGTAATCATGCTTTATCATATTTTAACAATTTTCATTTTTTCAAGGTAAATGGTCACTAATTGCATTATTTGAATGAATATAGGTTACTTGGGATCCATATCCACGTGAAGTGGTCGAACTGCATCATCTTAGAAACCCTCTGGATCACAAGACGTGGTTGTGCAAGGTGCCATTGATCTGTTGGCACATCGTGGAGTGGCACCTACCCGATCGATCCTTGAGGCAATATCGAATGGAGCAACCAATTCCACAAACCCCGCCTCAGGGTTTCAGAGAGCTACATGCCATCGACCTCCGACACGCCTCAAAGAATTGGATCCTAAAGCATCAAAACTACATCAGCATATGGGAGAATAGAAGGACATGGGTGGTCCAAGGGATGCCGGAGGCGAGACCGTTGGGCTACCACGATGGGTACATGCAGTGGTATCGGAAGTTCACCAATCGATGGGTGTCAAAGCAAGGTGCTGTGATGGGTTCGTTGGTAAGTCATCCTAATCTCTCGCGTGACTCTAATTATTTTGTTTTGAGGTTTAATTAATTTTGTTTTATTATGTGGATTTCTTAGGTTGATGGTTTGGAACACACCAAACACACCCTCGATAGTGCTCCAAGCATGGATGAGCCGAAAACTTCTTGGCTACGAAAACTTCTTGGCCCCGTTGTCCATATGGAACGTCCACATGGCCAATTCTTGACCTTCAGCCCATACTGCTCCAGCTCGGTGAGTCTGACGGATCGCCTTCATCTTCTGCTCGTACTTTTTTGGCTGATGTGCAACCGCTGCAAGGTGAACAATATAGAAATGGTCAATACATGATAAACAACAAATTATTAAACACATAGATAACTCGCATTAAAGTACATTAGTACCTGCATGCCACAATTGATTTTTTATGTCTTTCTTCTTTCCAAATTTGTGTTGGAAGTTGGCAAGCCCGTGTCGAATACACCAGCGCCATGTCCATCCCCACTCGTCAGGAAAACCACCCACGGAATTTCTAATCCCCGCATGTCTATCGGATATAATCGTAATACCCTCCCACTGTGTCACGTGCTCGTGTAGTTGGTCAAAGAACCATGCCCAACTTAAGTTGTTCTCCCCTTCCACTATTGCAAATGCAAGGGGGAAAATCCGCTTGTTTCCATCAACGCCAGTGGCAATGAGAAGAGTTCCTCTGTACTTCCCAGTAAGGAAGGTTCCATCAACCTAATTAAATATTAGGAAGTAATTAGTATGAAATTTACTTGGTCTACAAGAATAGAAACATTTCAAATAGTAAACACGTATTTAAATACTTGAATAACCGGTATGTAGAACCCAAACCCGTCAATGCATGGTTTGAAAGCCCAAAAAATACGGTCAAACATCAACTTCTCCTGTACTCGAACTTGATCCTCAGTGTATACATTGTTGTATACTGGCACGAAAACAGTCCCAGGGTTTGACACCTCCATTGCGGCCATAAGTCTAGGGAGTAAAGCATACGAATCCTCCCAATCACCATCAAGGTTCAAAAAGGCGCTAGGCGTAAGACAGGCGTTGAGCCTTTGACTAGCGTCTAGATCGCCTAGGCGTAAACTAAGCGTGTCTAGGCTTTGGGAGACAAATAGCTATTCACACTACATGATGAATGAAATGATAATCTACAACACTTTCTCACTCTAGTCAAAATGATTAATAACTTACTCAACACCTAATAGTAAGAATGTAGCTCGCGAATTCATAGAATCATAGCTCAATAGCTCACAAAATTCTTGAGTTATTGAAAATATTGATATGAAAAATTGATTTCGTAGCTGATGTTAATTTTCTCCTTTAATATTGACTTCCTAGATCCATCTAGTAATGTTTGGGAGAGACTTATATGTCGCCTTACTCCATTGACGTGTTCCAGTATCGAATTAGACGCGAAACCTCTAGGCAAGGTGTTTTGTCATTGCCTTGCGCCTAGGCGTGCCTAAGCGTAAGATTAAGCGTGCCTTTTTGAACCATGATCACCATACACCTCAGCCATGGCTTTCTGCTTTCCATGCCATGCTTTTTTGTACCTTATCGTGTAAGAATGTCGATCCTTCACCTCGGCCATGATAGCTTTGACTTTGATATCTGGTTGTGCTTCGATAAGGTGTTTAATAGTTCTCCCAATTTTCTTTGCTTTAAGTTGCCTGTGATCCTGGGAACGTATGGACGAGGAGCAAGTGTGGTTGGTCTCGGCTTTTCGAATCACCCAGGCACCCTTTCTCTTCATATTTGCAGCCCGCAGTTGCCACGTACAACCCTCCGCATCATTCTTGCATATGACATGTAATTGTTTACTGTCAGAATATTTTACCTTCCACTCGAAGTTGCGCCTAAAGGCCTCTTCGGTAAAGGCATCCTGTACAGCGTCCTTCGATGAGAACGTCATACCCACCTCCAAATCGGCCGTTGGATTATACACGGGCAGAGGGACAAAGTCGGGGGCATCATTTTGACTATGTAGAAATTGATTTGGAACCTGTGTGTATTATGGCGTGGGTGCCTCATGAAAAGTCGCCTCGTCATCGTTATCATCAGTATCTTCCTCCTCGCTCACTGATCTCAAATCTTCCTCAGTATCCTCGTCGCTTGAGTCAAATGGATAGCTCGGCCCAGAAGGATCAACATGACCACCATCACCAACATCGTCTTCTCGCTCAACTGAAGTACGCCCTGCTCGAATGGTATTCTCGATTTAAGCCCACTCAGGCCCCCAAGCAGGCCATTGAACGCCATCTGCAGGTTGATCCTGTTGTGAGTATTCTTCCGACGACACCCATCCTGCACTACTACCTCCACCGTAGTTGATTGAACTACCACCCTCTCCATAACCTCCTGTATAACCACCTCCTTCGTAGTTGCTCGAACTACCACCTCATCCGTACCCTCCTGCAAAACAATCATCATAAGAATACTGATGGGAATGAGTTTCACCGACCGCCTCAGTCTCAACATACACCTTTGCAAGCCGCATCCCGTTATCGCTTAGGAACTCCAACATCATCGTAACCGCGTCATCATCGTTTATGACAACTTCTTGGTACACAACCCCGCCAGCACTCATCTCTGGATAACGGTAACTAATTTTGCCAAGTCTCGTCTGTCCGCTCGTATAAACCCTGTCTGCACAAATATCACGGAGTTCTTGAAAATTGAATCGCGACTCAATTTTCAGCATAGTGGATTCACCGTTATCATAATCAATCCCTATGTCAGAGTTTGTCACCCTTCCATTCCACCGAATAATAAGCCGAAACTTCTTGAATTTACCCATATCTACAATTTACAACAAGTGTAACTATTAGTTTAAAGACAGTAAAATTAACCAAAACCATATTAAACGACTAATATTACTCCATCTCATAACTAACGTAACATAAATTCAACTAACTAACAACATCATAAATTCAAAAATTAAGTACTACAATTGCTACGATAAGTAATTCATAATAACATAACAATATAACTACTAAAAACCATATTGTACGACTAATATTACTCCATCTCATAACTAACGTAACATAAATTCAACTAACTAACAACAACATAAATTCAAAAATTAAGTACTACAATTGCTACGATAAGTAATTCATAATAACATAACAATATAACTACTAAAAACATTATTGTACGACTAATATTACTCCATCTCATAACTAACGTAACATAAATTCAACTAACTAACAACAGCATAAATTCAAAAATTAAGTACTACAATTGCTACGATAAGTAATTCATAATAACATAACAATATAACTACTAAAAACATAATTACGCTATAATACGAAAATTAAATCATACTATAACTACTAAAAACCCATCATTAACCTATAATACGGAAAATAAATCATACCGAAAATTCCCCGCCTGTGTATTATGCTCGGTTTTGGTTGCTGAAATTTGAAGAGGGGGGAGTGGTTGTGTTTCTGTAAGTGCTGGTGGGCTGGTATTTATACTAAAATCTGCCTAATGTTCACCGTTTTGGTCAAACACGGTGAAGACCATCACCGCGTTTGTCTCAAACGGTGAACATTAGGTAGCTCATACCTAATTTTCACCTAACAAGGGGTTGAAAACGTGCCTAATACTCACCGTTTTAACCTAGAACGGTGAAGGTATTCACCGTTTTGCCCTAAAACGGTGATACATTCACCGTTTCCTATTTAAACGGTGATATATTCACCGTTTTAGTTTAAGGCGGTGATTGGTTCACCGTTTTAGAGTAAAAGGATGAATACTTCACCGTTTTAGAGTAAAACGGTGAATACTTCACCGTTTTAGGTTTAAACGGTGAATTATTCACCGTTCTTGTAAAACGCGGTGATAGCCTTCACTGCGTTTGTCAAAAACGGTGAATACCAAACATGTGTAGTTTTGGAATTTTTTTTATAACTTATGTATTTTGGGAATTTTTTTTAAGAATATGTGTACTTTGGGAATTTTTCCTGCTTTTGTGATCAATGCTTATGTAATAGTAATTGATGTTTCTATTTATGAATGTTCTTTTATCATTAATGCTTATGATCCTATTGTATGCTACTATATACATTGTGCTTAGTGTTCCCTAGGTTGTTAAGAAATTACTATCTAAGGATGCACCATTGATGTTAAACGAGTATGAGAGGCTTGATCAACCATCTATGCTTCGAGTAGTACCGATGCTTGATTGTTAGATATTCGATGCTATAGACTATAGTTATGGTTCGTAGAAGCCCACAATTAACTATATGCTATCCTAAATTCCTTGTTCATTAATTAGGTAATGGCATGAAGAAAAAGCACGCTTTAGCTAGTTATATATTTATCGCAAGAGACGCATGCACAGATAGAGAGATGGCCTTAGAGGAAGGGATAGGGGGTTTCAATAGATGAACCATCGATGCATGATATGAAAGAGCTCTATTATCCATGATAGTTTTCAAGTTCACTATCTCTTACAATAAACGTATATTTACTTTTATGCGTCTATAAATAAAAAAAAAATCCCTAAACAATTTTACTCTTCTTGCTTTGCTTGTCTAATGAAAACCCCTAAATGTCTTTATGTTTCTCGTGTAGGTCATGATGGTTGTTGTGAGTAGTTGTGGATTAGAAGACCTCGAGAAATACTATCCTAGGACATCCTAGGCTTTTATCACTTATATTACATGATCAATGCTCCATTTCTGCAATACCCATAATAGTACTTTTATGTCTTTGTTGATTGTCCAAAATAATACAGTTTCTCGAAACTCACTCACACGATCAAAAGGAACCAGCCACGAGTTGAATCATTACATAAGGTATTGTCTAATACGTCGTAAGTTCTATGAGCTTATGTGAGTTGGAAAAAGGGATTCAAATTCAGCGAGGACTATCCCATCTTTGAATATAATTCCACAAATAAACAATTCCACAAATAAACAAGGAGTGTGTTAATAAATCATAGATTTTATCCTCTTTCCTCCATTGAAATGGTGTGACTCTGCTACTTCATGTCATTTAAAGAAACTTACACTATGCTTGAGATAAACATTAGATTTTGAAACACTGTGCATACTTTCATACTGAATTTTGGTTTTGCTCTTAAAATGCACAGTTACTTTCATAAATATTTAGCTTTGTACTCTCCATAAAAAAAAAATTCAGATTAATCTATTATTGACTAGATATTTCTTTATGACCAAAGATCGATATGAAAGGAATACCCGTTGAGGGTGTAAAACCAAATATTGACCTACGAATGCATTTTAATGGTAAAATGAAAATTTTGATACGTAAATGTGCAAAATGGATCTAAATAAAATAGGGTTAATGTCATGTTTAGTCATATTTAGTCACTAGAAAAAATTAATATCAATAATAATGGTCACTAAATTTAGTAAAAGATGTCATGTTTGGTAACTCTCCGATAGTCTCCAACTACGTTAATAGAGTTTGTTAAGTGATGACATGACGAACGAAATCGTCTATCAGTTGGATTTAACCCCACAAAATTAAAACCCGCCACGTCAAAAAACTATTCCAACCCATAACCCAACCCTTTATCTTCTTCTCTATTTGACCTGACCGACCGAACCTTCTTCCTCTCTCCGAAAATTTTCATCTTCCCCATCTTTCTTCTCTAAAGATCCGGCCGCCTTCAGTTCCACCGCCATCTCTGCCTGCTGACTCCTAGAGGAGGGTTGATAACCCTTCTCTATCAAGTATCAACTCTCATATTTGATATTTCCCTTTTAAGTTTGCTGGAAAACGATCTGGGCCAAGAGCCTTGTGCCCATCAGTGATTGGTGAATGAATTTACCACCGGATTTCCATTTAAAAATGAAATAGCTCCAAAATGCTCTTGAAGCCGGGGTCGCGGAGGTGCCGAAGCCTAACTAGCAACGTCCCTGCTCTAGATAACTTGTCCTTTTATGGACAGAGTAGCTATATGGGAATGGCTATTTATTTTATAAAGAACAGAAAAAACTTGGTAGCTGGTTAGTATTGCAACATCACCGGCTCTAGCAGTCGTTCTCACTCAAAGTGGAATGGGGAACCAGTCGGAAAATTGGGCAGAGAAGAATCGTCTACAAGGCGGCCCTGGGATAATTGAGGTTAATCCTAACCCCCGAAATGGATTGACTTCAAAAGTCATCGATTTGGCGGAGAAATTGGTGGGCAAGCTCGCCCACGATTCGCCTCAGCCTCTTCACTACCTCGCCAGCATTTTCTTTCCAGGTGGCAGCCGGCAGCGATGGCGGTGGAGCAGGAGGCGGCTGGATCCGGAGAGAAGAAAGATGGGGAAGATGAAAATTTTCGGAGAGAGGAAGAAGGTTCAGGTCGAACCGGTCAAATAGAGAAGAAGAGAATGGGTTGGGTCATGGGTTGGGTCATGGGTTGGATAGTTTTAATGACATGGCGGGTTTTAATGACATGATGGGTCGGGTTTTATTTTTTATGTGTTAAATCCGGCTGATTAGGTGATTCGGTTTGCTACGTCCCAACTTAACGAACTCTATTAATGTAATGGAGTTGGATGAAGATTAACGAAGAGTGACAAAAAATGACATGTATTACTAAACTTAGTGACTATTATATATATTAATTTTTAATTTTTTCTAGTGACTAAACACCACACATTTTAGTACAATCGGTGACCAAACATGACATTAACCCAAATAATATATATCTAAAAGTCGAATTGGATGGTTTTTTTAGAGAAGAGAATGAAGATGATAATTAGCAATGAGTACTAGACTCTTTATATAGACTTTAGAAAATAAAAATTGTATTTTTATTTATAACACTAATTAGCATTTAGTACTTCCCAAGAAATGAACTAACAATGCAAGTACATTCCATAGAAGAAACTGATTTATCACATACCAACACGATGAGTTGGACGAGAGTGTCATGATCTAAATCCCGAGTTTGGTTGTGTTGATCTCAGAGTGCACGACTTATTATGTCGTAATCTATATTATGACCTTATAAGATGAACTCTAGGTCTTGAGTGTGAGTACAATCTTGGTGGGATGAACGGTCAGAATCGGCAATCCATTGAGGAGTTAAGAGTCTCCACTCAATGTGGGGAGTACGTCTTACTGATGTCAATTGAAAAGTTGTGTTTATCATATCATTTCTTCTTGATATTTACCCTATTGATTATGCATTTAGAGTCGTTTTAGAGTGGATTTTATTACCGTTAGCTCCTTTGTGTATTTGATAGCCTCTAGGAGCTTTTTTTATAATTCCGATGCCTTATGAGATATTTCTTTATGTTTTTTCAGCCCTAGACATGATAGAAGACGAGTGTACTACAGTCTACAAACACATGGGGATCTAAAGGGATTAAATTTCATAGTCAAACAAGGGAGATGCAGATTTTTTAGATAATATGCAAAATGGTGGTGCATAGCAACGAGTCAGGTAGTAGTCACGATACAAGTTCAGATGCACAACCAGAAAATCTCAAATTCTATATCAGGCATACAATTAAAAAGTTGGATAAACACAACCCATCTTAATGATGGTGACTAGGTTCAAATTCAACTTCGTCTTCCGATTGGGTACCCTCGACGTCCCCTTCTCCAAAATTGACGTGGATGGATTTTTCGTACGTATACAGTTATGCTCTTAAATTTTGCCCTTGATTTTGACCTTTATTATAATATTTTTTGTCAAAAATGTGTATTATTAAAAGTAGGGGTGTTCAAATGGTTACCGTGGTTATAACCAACCAATTAAGTCTAAATTTCATTAACCATGGAATAATATGTCTTAACCAAACCGTCCAAATTAACAATAAAACCAAATTAACCAAACTAAAATTTTAATTTGTTTGGTTAATCGGATAATCGTATTAACCAAATATCATAACATTACAGGAAAACAAAAATAAACTATCATTTTATATAAGCAATAATAATAAGACTAACCATCCATGATTATCATTAATATTCGAGTTAATACATCATTCATCATCTCTGCATCTAATACAAGTAGCTTACAACAAACCCCTTAATATAAATACATACCAATACCCCTCATGAGGAAGTTAAAGCTCAATTATAAAAAACTTAAACTACATAGTTTGAGGTGCTTATTATGGTATTGTACGTAATCCTAAACACTTAAACTATAATTTTTGGCCCATAATGTTTTGGATTGTTGTGCACATGAAAATAAAATAGGAAATCACGAAAGTTTGGTTTGGTTGATTGCATGGAAGTATAAATAATTTTGTATATTAGGTGTATCATGTAATTGGTTAATTGATTTAATTGGTTAGAAGAGTTGAAACCAAACCAAACCACCTAAGCCAAATAAGCTAAATTATTTAACCAAACCAATTATCCAAATTAACCAAACCAAATTAAACGAATGCTACCAGTTAATACGGTAACCAATCCGTTTAAACACTCCTAATAAAAAGTGACAACATCCCCGGCCCCTGCACAACACCTGCAATTAACCCTACCACCCTCCCCCTTATATTTCCCCTTCCTTTGTTTTTTCAATTTCCCTTCAACTCTGCCGCTCCACCGCCATTTCCATCTCTTATATTTCTATTTATGTTTTCGCCAAGTTTGTCATTATGTTTCCAGTCCCGCCTTGAACTCCTCATGATAGTTTGTTACGAGATGAGCTATCGTGACAATTTAGTGATCTCTGGGCTAATATATTCTTAGTAGTTTTATTAATTAGTTTGTATTTCGTCATTATTTGGGATATTATTATTGTTCACTAGTCTTTGTAAGATTTGAGTTATCTTTTTGTGTTTGTTTATGATTTGGTTGAGGTGTCATTGTAGGAGAAGGTTACATATTGTGGGTAGGAATAGGGAAGAGTGGACCGGACCATAAGGGAAAATGAAAGGATTTTGTGCCTATAAATATATAATGTCTTATTCATTTAATGGTATGAAGAAGATTGGAACCCAAGTCTAGTTTATTGTCGTTCGTTTATCGCAACATACCGCGTTTTATCGTAGTTTAGTAGTTTTATCGCAGAGAAGTTACGAGGCAAGAATTCTCCAATCTCGTGTCTCTTAATATAGTTCTCCTTAAAAACCTCTATAGTTCTCCTAGACGGCACAAGGATTCAACAATGATGATTTGAAATGGAGGAAATCATAAGAGAATTTATTTCCTTGGATCTCATCAATGATAGTTTGGGTCGTGAATATCTGGTATTCCTTTAATTGGATAGTCTTCATATCTCATCGATGATGATTTGGAGTTGTCTGGATTTTTACAATAGTTTCATGTTCTTCTTTCACCAATTGAATAGGTGTAACTCTGCTACTTTTGCTCTTCTATAAATCCTTAGAGGAAGCTGGAATCATCATTGTCAATGGGCAACTATATCCGTTCTCTTCTCTTTTCTCTGACGGCTAATCATCCTAAAAAGTGTTGCTTTGATTTCATGTTCTCCTACATGCAGAAAAGACCGCGCACTCCAAAGTAATTGCCTTGGAACTGTCGCTGCAGGGGTGGGGTTTGATGTCTGGGGGGGGGGGGGGGGGGAGAGAACTTGACCCAATTGGAGCTATGAAGTTGGCCACCCAATTTGAGCCAGGGCCTGTGCTGGGCAATGGCCAGGGCCAGGGCCTGTGCTGGGCAAGGAAAATTACGTGGGACATATCAAAATGCAGCACGTCAATTAGTTGCAGTTACGTTAAATTACCACAACACCCTTCCGGAAATTAATCTGGAGACATCAAATTCAAAATGGGAGAAATCCAATCCATGAATCTGCTTTATGTACTAGCATGTACTGGCCGATTGGAGCTATGAAGTTGGCCACCCAATTTGAGCTCTGAAGTTGGGCCAGGGCTTGTGCTAGGCAAGGGAAATTACGCGGGACATATCAAAATGCAGCACGTCAATTAGTTGCAGTTACGTTAAATTACCACAACACCCTTCCGGAAATTAATCTGGAGACATCAAATTCAAAATGGGAGAAATCCAATCCATGAATCTGCTTTATGTACTAGCATGTACTGGCCGATTGGCCGAAATATTTGAGCTCATTATTTAATAAGCTATTTCAACTTAGATTGTCAATTAACATATTCTCAATTCCTCCCATGCTAATGAAATGAAATACAAATTGTGAAATCGTCAAAAAACAATCACAAGAATAATGCTACTACAAGAAACACATGATATTTGATGATCCTTAAACTCCAAACATGTCATTCATATCCTTGTAAATTTTCTTAAACATCTCACCAATTTATGAATGATTTATCATTTGGGGAGTAATATATAAAATGGAACGGGTCTAACGGGTCGACCCGCTAACCCACTCAAACCAAACCAACAAATCATGGGTCATCGGGTTTGGGTCATTCGAGTTTCGGGTTATAAAAACTTCTACTTTTGGCAAAGGTTCGGGTCAGGTCAATGGGTCCAGTTCTAATTTTCCAGGTCTAATAGCAATGACTCATCAAAAAAAATTTGTTATGATGGTGGTGAATTGTGAAACTGTACAAAAAATTCTATAAAAAAAAAGTTAGTGATAGAGTATTTTGTACTAAAATCATGATTCAACTGTTTAGTAGCGATAAAATAGCCTTTTTTGTTAAAGTGGATAACATTAAGAATGCAACGGGCCAAGGTCCTAAGGAAAAGATACAATAATAAACAACAAAGGCTGAAAAATTAGTAGATAACCAGGCCCAAACCAAGCTCGAAACTTAATAGAGCCCTAAGCGCAGGACCCAAAAACATATCCTCTAATCCTCCAACCCTAACCGCCATTTTTCCCCCTCTGTGATCGCCACCGCTGTGGCCAAAATTGATGCCGCTCACCGGAACCAAGCAACGCCGCCATGACGTAGCCACCATTTGTTGAGCCAAGGAACGGGTTCCTGCCATACTCGGTTGGTAGAGAGAAGGAGAAAGATCTCCAAACGCACCACCCCGAGCCAAACAAACCACATGCTTCCTGCCGAGCACAACCCAAGGGAAACCAAACAAACTCAGTCGGTCGCTGGTGGAGGAAATAGAGGGGAGACGATCTTCTGTCTCCAAGCTCTCCAAAACCGCATCCGTCGCCATGGGCTTCGTCTCCGAACCACCAAGATCTACAAGGTGAGAACAAGGAGGTAGACTATGGAAAAGGTGAGGAGAAGACAAGCCAGATCTAGCCTCCTTGCATCTTAGAAAGGACATGCATCTCCAATTCTGAAGCAACAAAACAGACGATCAAAAATCAACCCAATCGAAGGGGAAGAAACAAAGCCCACGAGGGGAAACCAAACAAGTAGAAAAAGCATGCCAAAGAGTGGCTGGAAAAAACAAGATAAAAGCAAAAAGAGCTGGAAACTTAAAACACAAAAAGAAAAAGCATGCGGGGGCGGCGGAGAGCTGCCACTATTCACCAAAACGGCGCCGGCAGCAACTCCCTCTATAGCCTGAAAGGATGGATTTGTTAGAGAGAGGTCCACCGACAAGTATGATTGGATTTTAAAACACTTATACATATCAGAATAATTAAAACCCTTAGTCATGTTGATGAACCAATTTAGAATTATTGAAGATCGATTAAAATTATAAAAAAAATAAAAATTAACCAAATAGGATTAGGAAGCAATAAAAAAGAAAGATTTTTAACTAAGAATCTACGTGACATTAAAAATGAATTTAATAAAAATTAATAACAAATTAAAAAGATAAAAACGAAAGCAGTTGAAACTTGAAACTAACTTATCAACACCACTCTCCTGCAATAACTAACCCCTTCTCCATAAAGCATATGAAGTAGGATCTTTTACTCTTTTTGTATGAGTTGAAAATAAAAATGAAAAAAATACTATTATGCCCTAGCAAAAATTAAGTAAGAGCCAGCAAATTCAAAATAAAGAAAATTTAATAAAACTATACTATATTGTATTGATGATTTAGTAGACAGATAACAGCAGCAAGCTGAGCATATCATGAAAGATAGTTGGTTGGGTGAGCTTTACCATTAGCTGGGATTGCTTGGAAGAGATAGAGATGGAGAAACACAGGGGAAGAACTAGCGCCAACAAACGTAGACGAACTGGTGGAGTCAGTGGTCATTTTGGCAGTGAGAAAGAAGAAGTAAGAGAAAAAATTACCAGCAAGAGAAGGAATAGACTTGTTGGAGTTTAATGAGTCTCTTGACTCGAGACGGTTCATGCGTCGAGTTTTTAGAACGAGAAAGAGGGAGAAAGCTAACGAAAACTGTTTTATTCTTATTCTGGTGAATAAAGCGTAGAAGTAAAGTACATATTTATAGGGCAAGTCACATAAACCTTCTCCCTTTCAAACAAGGAAACCCAATCCTAGACTAACTCCTAACCGATTACTTCCTTAACAGGAAATAATAATCCTAAATAACCCAAAGAATATCCTAAATAATAATAATAATAATAAAATAACAAAGCTGGCACCGATGCCTGAATGCATCAAACCTCCTCCCTTCGAAGAACTTCATCCCCGATGTTCAAGCGACGTCTCAACTTGGTTCAATGATAAAAAAAACTTCCTCGTAGCTTGTGGTGGACGACGGTGAGAGTGGGACCACAAAACTCGCGCTTTCGATATTTCCAATTGCGAGCGACAACCCAAACGAATCTACTGGTAACTCCAGTCCATACCAACTTTCCACCATGATTGTAACAGTTAAAACTCACCACACTAATATCTTCCTCATGCGTGCCATGAACGGAATGACACTCTCTCCAATTCCCTTCAAGTACAAGGTTACAAGCTAGCACCCCGTGCATAGTTGGCTCCTCGTTAACACCCACTTGTGGTCGTCCATCCTTGCATCGAAACTTCCAAGTCATGCACAAATCTTGGGATGAACCATCCTTGCGTCGAGGATCCCCCAAGCCCCTGCGGCACAACAACAAACCTGCTCACCCGATTTGGCCTTTGCTTCGGAACCCCATACTGTAATAAACCCTTCACTCCTATCGACGCTATTGCTCCACCATCTGTCAATGGGTTGGAAATCCCAACTTGTTTTCTGCCTTTGCTTTGCATTCCGCAAGGATTTCTGGATGCCATAATTGAAGGACCAACACCATAAAGTAAAACTCCAATCAATCCACCCATTTTTGGCCCAATACACCCCGGAATAGCTGACCCAACTCGTACATCCGAACCGGCACGATATGACCCAGATGCTGCGAAATTACCCAGCCCATCAGCATTGCGACTTCCTCCCTCTCCGTCGCGTTCCTAGCCACCATCCTCCCATTATCTTTTCCTTCTAAATTTCCATGACGCATCAAACTCAATGGGAATCTTTTTTTGCTCCTTCCATTCCTCTAATCTTGCCTCTCGAGGAATCATCTCCTTGACCGCCTGAGATGCAGTTTCGCTGGAGTTGGTGGTGATCGGTCGGGCTGCTCCGAAAGAAGCTATAACGACATCTGCAGAAAGGATCGGTGGGGGCGTGATAACGTGGTCGAGTAAGAGATTCACAATCCTCGTCCCACTTTTGAAGTTCGGTGTTGGAGGCTCAATCTCTAGCTTCGGCGAGTTCAGGGTGCGAGGTTGTCCTGATTTCGCTGAACCATAATGGAATGGCTCGATGGGATCAATAGAGGCGGCTTCAACACCTTGGGACCCATAGAGAGCTCTGCCAACCGGATTTCCCCGCTCGGCACCTTCTTGTTCCTAGTTGGCTCTGTTGCAGCAAGGGATGGCATAGTGACCGAGGCGGCGGCCGCATTTTCTTCGTCATCATTGCTACTTTCAACCTTGGTGGAAACTGAGGAGGTTGCAGCTCTATCACAAGTATCAACGGCGACAGTGGGTGCCATTGCTGATGTGCGGTAAGTCTGGGTGTCCTCGTAGGTAGGGCGCAAGCTCTCACGAATATGTCTGATCCCCTGTAACAATTGTTGTAGGAATTCTTCCGTGGAGAACTCTTCCAATTGTCATTCCTAGGTGAGTTTTTTGGACGGAATGACGACAGGATCTGCAGCTGGTTCCTTGATTATGCTTTTCTCCAGGATTTGCGGTCAAACTTCTGGAGCTACAGAATCTTCTTCGCTGGTAGCAGTGTATTGTTCCCAATAACCAACTCCAGCTCGATCGGCGACCTTCTCACCATGAGGGTCGTAATCTATTGATGGCCGTTGCCTTCGACTTTGATCAAAAGACCCGGAATTCATTTGGGATGCGCGGAACTCGTATGGAGGAAGCCCTTGATCAGAGAACTGCAGATATGAATATTGAAATTGGTTCCCATAACCCGTCGTACGTCGAGAATTATTTCTAGCGAGGCGAGCTTCCAGGCCGTGGTTGTTGATAGGATCTCTCCACTCCCACGGATCTCTCCTGTACGACGACTGATAGGGTGGCGGCGGTTGATAGAATGGGGATGGATATGATTGGGGCCGCGAGGACTATGGCGGGAATCATGACGGCTGGTTGGACGAAGATCGACTGCGAATGATATTTTCAAATCGTTCTTCTTCCTCGAGAAGATCAAGAAGCTCTTGCTCTTCCAGCATATCGCGTATAAACTGATATCGATCAGACATAGCGACTTTCTGCAATATCGGTGGCGTCGTGGTTGCTCGCGGGACCTCTTCTCAATGTTGGTGGTCGAACATTGGCAATGTCTTCTCTGGGAGCTGGTAAGAGCTCGGTTCTTTCGAACCAGGCTCTGATACCAAATAACGTGAGACGGTTCACGCGTCGAGTTTTTAGAACGAGAAATATGGATAAAGCTAACGAAAACTGCTTTATTCTTATTCTGGTGAATAAAACATAGAAGTAAAGTACATATTTATAGGCCAGTCCCATAAACCCTCTCCTTTCAAACAAGGAAACCCAATCATGGACCAAATCCTAACCGATTACTTCCTTAACAACAAATAATAATCCCAAATAACCAAAAGAATATCCTAAATAATAGTAATAATAATAATAATAAAATAACAAAGCCGACACCGATGCGTGAATGCATCATCTCTTATACACATGCACTACAAAACGGAATGGGATTGGGGACCAATATTAGGGGACAAATACCATATGTTTGTCTTCGGAAATATAGTTGTAAGTACTATTAGAGATCAAGCATATACATATCCCCATTGAATAGGGAACTAAAATTAATTAATTTGGGATTTTGATTAGCCTTACCCATGGTTGGATCTGACCATTGCCCGCTTCGGTTGGAAATTCATGGAGTCAAGAAGACTCGAAATGCTATCTTCCGTTTTGATCCAAGAGGGCTACAATACGAAAAATGTGGCACCATTATTAAAAAGATTTGGGCTAAGGGAGGTAATCATAAAGACTGCCTTTCAGAATGAAGAATGGAGCATCAAATTGGGCTAAAGTGAACATACATAATGTTGCAATTAGAATCAGAAGCATTAAAAGAAGGCTTGAAGAGATATCACACTTAACTCATGACCCTCTATTTGAGGAGGAGGTAAGAACCCTGGAAGTTGAGATCATCAAACTCTGGATCGAAGAGGAAATTTTCTGGAAACAAAGGTGTCAAATTCAATGGCTCCATACTGGGGACTGCAACTCCAAATTCTTTCACGCTACTACCATCCAGAGAAGCTTATGTAACAATGTAGCAAAGCAGATGGATGAGAACAATGATTGGATTGAATCTCATACATTGCTTCAACGACATGTGATGGACTTATATTCTGGAATGTTCACAAAAAGAGATGCAGTGAGCAATGATGAGTTAATTCACACCATCTCCTCGGTGGTTGATGACCTCATGAACTCGGCACTCTGCAGGCCGGTAGAAGATACTGAGATTAAATCTCCTGTCTTTGAGTTGGGATCAACTAAGTCTACTGGACCTGATGGTTTTCCAAGAATCTTCTATAAGAATTATTGGGAAACTGTTGGCAGCCAGCTTTGCACGGAAGTGAAGAACTTCTTTGAGAATAACTCAATGTCGCAAAATTGGAATGATACACATCTGATTCTCACACCAAAAGTGGCAAGCCCGGAAAGAATTTCCCAGTTCAGACCGATTAGTTGTTGTAACTTCCGTTACAAGGTCACCTCAAATGTTCTAACTTCAGGATTGCAACAATGGATGCCCACCATTATCTCGGAGATGCAAGCAGCCTTCGTGGTGGCAGGGCTATTCAGGACAATATCATCATTGTTCATGAAGTTCTGCAACATTTCAAGACCAGACCCAAAGGAGGCAACTGGGATATGATGATCAAGCTCGATATGAAAAAAACATTCGACATGGTCTAATGGGACTGTTTGGAGGTTATCCTAAGGGCAATGGGGTTTGCTAACCAATGGTGTGTCTGGATTAAGGAATGTGTGCGAATTGTGCTTTTCTCTATCATCTTCAACGGACATCCCTCCCCTTTCTTTCAGCCTACGAGAGGAATTCTCCAGGGAGACCCTCTTTCCCTTCTTCTCTTTAACATCCTCTCTAATGCTCTTGCTTGCCTGATGGATAAGAACGTCAATGTCGTTCTATTCAAGGGGATTACTCTCAACCCTCGTTGTCCTAGGCCTACGCATGTTCTTTTTGCATATGACAACATCATATTCGGCAAGGCTTCTATCAATGAAGCTGCCCTCATCAAGGATACTATTGAGAAATATGGGATCCTAACAGGCCAGATCATCAACAACGAGAAATCAGCAATCACTTTCAACAATAACACTCTGATTGCCCTACAAAACCTAATTGCCAGCTTCATGAACATCCCATCTTCAGAAGGGATGGGGAAATACTTGGGAGTCCCATCCGAATGGGGCCGCTCTAAAAAAGAAGTGTTCTCTACTATGATTTCAAGAATGGAAGGTCTTGGCCAATCTTGGAAAAGCTTTGCTCTCTCCCAAGTGGGGAAAGAAACCCTCCTAAAATCCATCTACCAAAGTTATCCGACGTACATGATGTCATGTTTACTCCTCTCAAAAGGAACCACGCGTATCATGGACTCTAAGCTTAAGGCCTTCTTCTGGGGAGGGAACATGGACAAAGGAACCATTCATTGGCGCACAGGAAGTGTCTTTACGGCAGTAAAGTAAGAGGGAGGAATGGGGTTCAAGGACTTTCATTAGTTCAACATGGCATTGCTGGCTAAACAAGGATGGAGAACTTCAACGAAAAGGAGGAGACATGGATTAAACTCCTCAAAGGTATCTATTTCCCTAACGCTGATTTTCTGGATGCAGGAAAAGACAGGAAACCTTCACTGGATTCTGTCGAGCATCTGTGAAGCCAAAGAATTCCTAAAACTGGGCGCTAGGAAGAATATGGGCAATAGGAGAAGCATTAACCTTGACAAAGACCCTTGGATCTCGGGCGTCCGGAATTTTTGTCTCCATCATAATCAAAGACAACAACTTAAAGCCTTCGAATGGGTTATGACTAACGTGAACGAATGGAACCTTGACATGATTCATCAAAGCTACTCTGTGCCGGAAGTTGAGGCGATCAGGCGCATCTCCTGTGGATCAACTGAGACCGAGGATTCCTATGTTTGGCATCACGAGAAATCCGGACGCTTCACAGTTAGATCAGCTTACCATATCTTTCAGAAAGCTGAGAAAGAGAGACTAGGAACCCCTGACCAAAATTATCCGGGTTGCTCAGAACAAGCTTGGAAATGGCTTTGGAGCCTGTCACTCCCTCCTAAGATCAAGAACTTCATTTTGAGGCTGACGCGGAATGCTGTTGCGTCAATGCGGAATCTCTGGTTCAGGAAATTCATTAGCTCTCCTTCATGTACAATGTGTCAGAATGATGTTGAAGATGTGAGGCACATTACTTTTGAATGCCCCCATGCCTCCCACGTCTGGCATTTGTACTTTTTAGGGCTCCAGCTCCCCTCCGAATCTGTGCCAATTCTTATGTGGCTCTACCAAATCTTCGTCAGGCCCCTCCTCATTCCCTGTGAAGGCTATAATCGCCTCCCTTTGGGCAATTTGGAATGCCCGAAACGAGTTCATTTTCAGAGGGACTTGTCCGAGGGGCTTCACTAACATCTCAAATGCTACCCGTCTGAACCTTAACCCATCGCCTGGTATGCTCCAACTGGAATTACACTGTGATGGAGCCTTTGTCTTGGAATCGCAGGTGGCGGCTAACGGCGTTGTTGTCTGCAACTCTGTTGGACAAGCGATCGATGAAAGGGCTGATACGTTGTTTTGTTCAGAAGCGATTGTGGCAGAAGCAAAGGCCTTACTTACTGCACTCAGAGTGGCAAATGACTCTGGGCTCTCAGCAAGAATATGCCCTGACTATAAAACTATCATTGATGTACTGCACTCTCTCTCTTTGAGAGGTCCCTGGCAAATCATGTCATGGATCCATTGAATGCACATTATCATTTCTCATAACGATAGAATTGGAGTTGATTGTGTTCCTCGTGCTTGTAACAAGATGGTTGATTGGGTGGCTAGAGAGGCTTGTAAAGGATCTCTTCCAACTAATTCGATCCACATTCTAGACATTGTTTCTCCTCTAGTGTAAAAGGCTCTGCTTGTAACACAATCTCTTTTGAATAAAGCTCACTCTTTGTAAAAAAAAATAGCTTTCCCCAAAACTGGAAGTGTGGGGAAAACGTAAAAGTCGAATGAGATTTGGGGAAATATTTTTTTGGTCTGATTCTTTTGTCCCTGAATTAAGGTTGGCAAGTTTAGTTTTTAGTCGCTAAACTTTGCAAACAAGTCGTGAACTTATCATTGGTTTTCAGCCTGAAACTCCCAAATTCAAATTTCAGGGACGACGCTCGTTTCCACCTTCCCTCACCCCTCTAGTAGCACCTTGTAACAGATCTCTGTAAAAAAAAAAAACTAAACTTTCTCTTTTTTTCTCAGCATTTTGCTTTTTCGTGTCCACCTTGATTTTTTTTTTATGTTTATGTACTTTTGGACTCTCGATTACTTTGATATGCTTAGTATTATTTTGAAGTGGTACTTTGTTGGCTCAATAATTAGGAGTGTACTAGTAATTAGTATATTATCTGTATTTCTTTGCATCTTTACATTGGCATAGATTGGCAATTCATTTTATTAATACTAATTAAAAATTATTTAAGAAGAATTTTACAATGGTTTAAAGTATTGGTTCTTTTGTTTTTTATTTTTTGTTTTTAGAGTACAATTTGAAGTTGTACTTTTAACGTTATTGTACAACTTCATGTTGTACCTATACTATCTTGTATAAATCCCTTTGTTGTACAAACTAGTACCTTTATGTTATGGTACAACATTATGGTACAAATTGAAGTTATACCATAACATAAATGTTCACTCAATTGAAGTTGTACCATAAATTGAAGTTGTACCATAACAAGCTGAAACCAAAATAAGGTTCTATGGTTTCGATTAGAGCCTTCTTCTACAAGCAATGGCCACTAGCATTGGTAAGAAACCAAACTTCCCTCAATTGCATTTTCCAACCAATCATCAATACATTCACAACAAAATTTATTGCTACATTTGCTATTCACTTTTCTAGATTAAGAATGAGGAAGGTAAACAAACATTTTTTAGAGAAACACATTTTGGTGGCCACTCTCTTTTCTTCTTTGCTCATTCATTACTTTCTTTTTCTTTCTTTTCTCTTTTCTTTGAGGGATAGTAGAGAGCTAGAACATACAAAAAAATTTCCACTTAAAGAACAATGCTCACTTTGAAGAACTACCTCCAACACTTATTTTTCATTCTTAGCAAAACCATGCACAAATCACTCATGTGGAATCTCATTTAAGCTCAAATGGTATGAATGGAGCTTCCAAACACAAGAGTGACTCGGTATGGTGTAGACACAAAGAAAGTAGGGTCGCTCTATCTAAATCAATCAAGATCAAGTAGCAAGAGCTACCTAACACAAGAGCGACCCTTAGACACACGAATCAAAAGGGTTGATTAAGAGATAATTCAATTGGGACAAGTCAAATTTTGGGTCGTGGACTAAACCTATGCCTCCATCTTCCTTACTAGTGACAACGTGAATGCTACACATCATAGTAAGAGAGATCTATCACACAAGAAGAAAATGAGCGACACAAATCTCACATGACTACCTAGATGCTCAATCATTCACTCCAACTTCCGAATTTCCATGCATGGAAATTGTGAGCAATGAGTAATCAATCCAAAACATCCATTAGCTTGATAACATATGAGAACTGAATGTTTACACAACCCTAATGCATATCTCAGTCATCATCATAGGTTGTTATGAATCACAAACAAGTCATCCATACATCAATGAAAATAGCCACATGATTCAAAAAAAATCACCAAAAGTGCCACTATGATCATACAAATGTAAAAGTTGTTATGCTTGGAGCCCTAAAATTTTAACATTTGGGCATAAAACTAGGCTTCAAGCACTCAAAATCACACCAATTATTCACACACAAGCATTATAGACTACCCCCACACTTAAACTCGACATTGCCCTTAATGGCATAAAATAAGGAGGTAGAATGATGTTACCGGATAAAGTGTGAATGTTGGTGATCGGGAGTGAAGGGCGGGTGAGATCCTGAAGAGCACGGCGATGGCCTAAATACCCAAAAGTTCCCTAAACATTGTCTTATGGAAAGAAAAGAAAACAAATTGATGGCGGTTGGGTTGCCTCCCACCAAGCGCTTCTTTAACGTCGTGAGCCGGATGGTTGCTCCTCAAGTTTGGGTCCATCCAAGAACCTACTTGAAGTTGAGATTCTCGTCGGTGAGTTAATGTCTCAAGTCACGAGCATTGGAAGAATCCATGATTGAGAGCTTGTAAACTTGAGCAGTCTTGAGGCTCCACCCACGAGACCTATTCTTCTTTCCTTATTCATTCTTCTCTTTGCCCCACACCATATAATGCATCATCGATTTGCCACCATCGCATCGACCAAAAGAGGTCGCTGATGGTTTGGTCTTGGCTTGGAAAAAGAGCCGCAAATGGGTCGTTCTCTAAAAGTGCATTGAGCTCGGGTGGAAAGCTTTGCTAGCACTTGTAACTTGTTGAAGCTTCATCCACCATGACCTCTTCCTCATGTTGGACACCATTTTCTTCTTCAACTTAAACCTCAACCTCCCTTTCTTCTTCCTCAATGTGTTCCTCCCCTTGGGAACAACCAAGATTTTCCTCTTCTTTGACGCTAACTTCCTCCTCCACAACCTTTTCTTTCTCCTTCCCATTCATGTCTTCAAGACAGTTTGGAGGGCAAGATGCCATGCAAGATCATAGAAAGGATTCTCTTACTCCTCTACTCTCTTAACTTGATCTTCGAAGTTGTTCTCGGAAAGGTGATAAATGCAACATTTTTGGTCATCCTCACCACGGAGCTGTCCGAGGTGAGTTTTTCTTGCTCTACACGATTGTCATTGATCACCCTTTCAACCTCCTCTTTCTCTTCCAATGATGAGAGGTGATAGCTTTCACAAGCACGTGCCACCTTCTCTTCTAATGTCAAACCTAGAGGAGGGAGGAGTTGGAAATCCTTGTTGGAGCATGCTCTTTCAAAATGTTTCTTGGCAAGCTCAATTTGGACTTCTCTTTGGGTTTTGGGAGATCCAAGTTCGAGCACTCTTCATTGGTCCCTCGAGCAAATCGCTCCACCATGAGCTCCAATTTGATTTTTGGCTCTGGTTGCGGAGTGGCAGATGCTCTTGAGGAATGCCCCATGAAGGCCTCCATTGCCAACTCCAACTTGGATTTCTCCTTGGTTTGTGGAGGGAAGTTCTCTTTGTATGGGGAAGCTTCTTGATATCCCCATTGATATGCTTGTTCTTCTTGGAAGGGGAATAGGTAATAGAACTCGAATCCTTGACTTCCACCATTTTGATCGTCCCATGAAGCTCTGAGGTAACCACTCTCGGGTGGTGGTGGATACCCCCACACTTGGGGTTAAATCATAAGGATCCATGATTCAACCTACACAAACAAACAAAAAACAAAAAGAAAATCATACAAACACAAACCACCCTTCAAATCGAAGAGTGGGTCAACAAAACACAAATGAAACACGAAACACAAAAAAAAAACGGCCAAAGTAACGACCTAAGCCTTTTTCTGATAAACTAGAATGTGTTCCCCGGAGTACAACAACGGGGAGTGAGAAAAACCCTAGGAGCACAAAATATTTAAAATTAAAAATGACAAAATAATGCAAAATATTGTATATGCATGCATAATCGGACGGGTTCCATTGGATAGTAAGAAACTCATACCCATCTATTATTCGTAATATTATATTTCTAATTTTAACCATACTATCAAATAATTTATTTAGTTCGAATTTTACCGCGATGATTTTGAATTTGAACAGATATCCTAACACTAATATAAAGAGGTTCTCTATGAAAATATGTTTAATTCTAAATTTCGAACTTTATGAGTAAATTTAGGAAGGACATTTTAGACAATTTAATTAATATAAACCTGAACTCTATTAAAAACCCGAGATTATGTTAATTATACTAATGGAGAAAGATTCCGCAGGAAACATGTTAAAACTAATAATAATAATTATTATTATTATTATTATTATTAGTAGTAGGAAAGATGGTTACGTTTGAGACATTCTTATCAGGTTTAGTTTGTTTATTTTATTTCCTTTAAGTGTTTGTGACAAATTCTTATATGTCTGAATTAACTAAATAATTAATTTTTAATAACATAAATCAAATCATTTTCATATATAAATTTCGATTGGAGGGTTGCCATAAAACATATACAAAATAAAATAATTCAACGCCATAATAGGAATTGATCAGAGGAGGTTTATGAATATAATTATAAGTGATTGTTTAATTAATTATAAGTTAATTCCTCAATTCTTTTTACAAGATTGGTTTTTTCTTAGACCGATGAAATGTATATTACAATCCCTATTTAGAGACTAAAAGTTCAAAGTTTAAAATGAGTAGTTAGATAATTTATTTCATATGTTCTTTTTCCGAAAAATGAAAAACAATTAAGAGATCATAGTCATCATACCGCCTTAGACCTAGGTTTTTTCTATATAGTTTTTTTTTACCATATGAAGAACTGCAAACTCCTTTTTCTTTCATTATTGATAACTTTGTTTGGTTTGATAAAATATTAGTGGAAATTTTAAATTAGTGCGATGATAATTCTTATAATAAATTCTTTTGGCACTGGCATATTACTTTGTTTTTCTATACCTATTTCAGTATTATTTCGATTTTTATGTTAATTCATATAGTTATTAAGTACTATATTTATTGATTCTATGGCTCAAAAAAATATTCACTTTGGAGAATCATCAAATTGACAAAACAGTGCTCCAAACTCCAATACGACCTTCAAACAATTCAGTAAAAGGAATGCAATTTTGGTGCATAACCTCCTTTAGTTACAATTGGCACAAATCCCGGGCTATAATTAGGAGATATCTAAATGTTCACAAATTCAGCAAATTATATCTCATTCGTATCAACTCTGATTTCAAAAGAATTTGGGTTAGAAAATATATTAATTGAAACATGCCAAAGAAAAGTTGAAGAAGACTACGATGAGTAATTTTATAAGAATTATACAACAACATCAAAACCAATATTAGTTAGGTAAACAATTTATCTTTACTCTTTTGTTGTTTTAAACTTCGTTCATTCATTCGAGAGAAAACAAAGTACCCACAAAAACAAAAAGTTTTCGACTAAATAGTGTATCCCAATTGTTGTTATTTTATAGATTAAGGACTAGATGCGTATTGTAGACAACATTGTTTAATCTAGCTTTATTTGTTTGTATCGCGAAGGAGCAAGATCTTTTGGAATGCGTGCGATGATAATTCTTATAAAAAATTCTTTTGGCACTAACATATTACTTTGTTTGCTATACCTATTTCAGTATTATTTTGATTTTTTAATTTAATTCATATGGTTATTAAGTAATGTATTTATTGATTCTATGTCTTGAAAAACATTCACATTGGAGAATCACCTATTTGACAAAACAATGCTCCAGACTCCAATACGACCTTCAAACAATTAAGTAAAAAGATGAAATTCTGGTGCATAACTTCCTTTAGTTACAACTAGCACAAATCACGAGCTATAATTAAGAGCTTTCCAAATGTTCACAAATTCTGCAAATTATATCTTCTTCGTCTCAACTCTGATTTCAAACGAATTTGGGTAAGAAAAACATATTAATTGAAACTTTCCAAAGAAAAGTTGAAGAAAACTATGATGAGTAATTTTATAAAAATTATACAACAACATCAAAGACAATAATACTTAGGTAAACAATTTACCTTTACTCTTTTTTTTTTCAACTTCAAGTTCATTCATTCGAGAGAAAAAAAAAGTACCAACTAAAACAAAAGGTTTTCGACCATATAGTGTATCTCATATGTTGTTATTTTATAGATTCAGGACAAGCTGCCTATTGGAGACAACATTGTTTAATCTAGCTTTATTTGTTTGTATCGCGAAGGAGCTAGATCTTTTGGAATGTGTTCAGAGAAACTACTCAAAGCTATTGACAAAACGAGAGAACTTTCACCTCCTTAACCCATCTAAACCAAGAGCATGAAGTTGATTTCAGCTCACGCTCACCAATTACAACATCCCCGAACCCCTAAGTGGGTACATATTTTGAAGATAATTGAGGATGAAAAAAAGCAATCTCAGAGAAAGTTCATGACATATACTTGGTAAATTTAAGTTCTTGAAAATAAAGTTTCACAATTCTGAAAATGTTGCCATTGGATTTTTGCATTCTATGAAATGCGGGAGTAGAAGGAAGAGTATGTTAACAACGGAGGTCGTGAATTCAGTGATGTAGATAATTACGTTATTGAGATAAAGGAAGATATTATTATGGTGGATATAGAAATTTCAAAGATGGGAGTATGGATTGAATGGTTAATATTTATGATTTAGATGAGGTGAAATTATACTATCGTGAAAGATGTTTCAGATTTTAAAATATTTTACCATTAAAATTTGATTTTTAATGTAATGTAGAAGAAGGAAGAAGAGATTATTTATGCTGAATATGAAGTTTCATTAATGATGATGAAATTGTGTGGATAAGATGCTTTTGATGTCGGAGCAATTAAAACGAAGTCCAAAAGGAAATTTTCAATAATTTCTAATATCAAAGACTGAACTGAAGTGCGTTTCAAATATTTAGTTTGTAGAAATGGAATCCCTGCGTGAGTTGTGGTGTTTACTTTTGATAAAGAATTTTGGATGTTGTAAAACTTATGATGTATGTTTTTTTTTATATGTTTGGTAACTGAATAATTTGTGTTTTTTCATGGTATTAAATAAATAATTCGAGTAATTACTATTATTTTGTATACTATTGATATAATTCATCCGACCAACGGACGGACCAAATCTAGTCCATTATTATGTTATTTCCCTAATCCGTACCCGCTTTACGTAGCAGTATACTTTAGCGATGAGGCCGAGCCCAAGCTCAGTTCAGATCCCAGACCTAGCCCATAGTTAAATTCTAAAATGGGCCGAGAGTGTGAGAGACGGACGCGTATGAGACTGAGGATCAAAATTCAAAGACGCCAAATGGTGTTGCCGTGACGATTGAATATTGACGAGACAGAGAATGGCAGCTGCTCTCATCGGGAAATCCCTCTTCCTCGTTACCGGACCTCCGGTAAGAGGCAGAAGTAACTTCTCTCTTGATTACTTTTAGTTTCCGTTGTTGAATTTCATTGAACGATCGAAGCTTTTTCTTTCTACCTCCCCAAAATTAACGTTCCCCTCTTTTCCTTGTATTTTTTTTTTATTTTTGGAAAATAGGGGGTGGGCAAAACCACTCTGATTATGAGATTGGTAGAGGCTCTGAAACTCTCTAGACCTAACTTGAACGTTCGGGGATTCTACACCCGTACTCTCTCTCTCTCTCTCTCCTTTTCATTTTGCGGTTTGCTTACTTCTGCGTTGATTAACAATGGCTTCCTTTTCCATTTTGATCAGGTGAGGTTAGACGAGGAAGTGAAAGGGTTGGATTCGAAATCGTTACTCTAGACGGCCGCGCGGCCACACTCTCTTCCATCTCCATTTCCACGTTCGTATCTTTGCTTTGCAAATTGTCATTCCCTTTTCTTTTTTATTCGTTCTCTTCCTCTAATTTCTCTCTCTTTCTCCATCTACCGGCAAATTATTCAGGCCAGAGTCGTCCAGATGGCCAACTGTGGGAAAGTACAAAGTCGACGTCTCATCCTTCGAGTCTCTCGCATTACCCGAGCTTCAGGTCGCACTTTCTTTTACTTGTAGACTTGTTCCCTTATTGTGTTGTGCAATTTGTACTACACATCGTCGCTCTCTTTACTTGTATGGATGACATGAATGTTGTTTGGTTTAGGCATGGGAAGATACTGATCTGTTTATTGTAGACGAAGTTGGCAAGATGGAGTTGTTTAGTTCACATTTCTTCCCAGCTGTGTTGAGGGTTTTGGAATCAAACATCCCGGTTGTGGCTTCAATTCCTGTTCCGAAGTTCGGTCGTGATATTCCTGCAGGTAAAACAGGAATGGGAATAGCCTCCTCTTGAACAAACTTAGCAAGTTAGGTGATTTCTTTTTCTTATCTGAAGTGCAATTCTGCTGGTGTTTGTTGTGATTGGGGTTGGATTGTTGTTGCATTTTGAATTTTGCAGTTGCAAGGTTGAGGGGTCAACCGGGTGCTACGATTTTCTCGTTAAGCCAGAGCAATCGGGATGCTCTAAAAGAAGAAATCTATACCCAATTGCTACAAGCATTAGATGTTGCAAGGCAGTGAGATCTGGGTTCATGGTGGAGTTACTCTCGGGCTTTTAAGGTTCTGCATATAGTTCGTATAGTTCAAAACAAAATTAGAAATTCATATCCCTTGTAAGGTTTTTGCAATCGCAGAGTAATGGTAGTCTTCCATCTTCATCTCATCTTGTGACAATACACATACATGCATATTTCAGTGTAATGCAAATGAGATCCTGTTTCTGATTTCCAAAATAGGAAAAACCTGTCCCTCAGTTTGTAATCCAATATATTTTTGCTCGAAATTAAATAGGAAAGCGAAATAAGTTATGGTGGAGGTAGTAGTGGAAGAGAAACCAGTATTTCTTCTTGATCTTCATGCTCCTCTAATTCCATGTTGTTCACACAACTAGTATGAGCCTTTTTGTTGATCTCCTTTACAACTGTACCTTCGAACTGTCGTAGCTTGCTTGCCATATCAAGCTTGCTGCTGCTTACTTCACCCATTACAACCTTCACACCCTTAACTTGAAGCTCGCCTTGTTGATGATTTGCTGCAAAACGAAAAACTTTGCTCCAGGATTCTGAGGGGAATATGACGGACGCTAGCTACTCAGCTTAGGTTTGATTTCCGAAATCCAATCCGTTGGTGGTTTTTGGTGCTCGACTTATGTTCCAATATGGCTATAATCTGCTGCTGCTAGATTGTTAATAGAGAGGGAACAGTCAAGGGACTCTGCGTTGGATGCTTTTTAATGAATTTAGGTGATATGTTTGTATATTGGGTGGTGGACAAGAATTATTGTACAAAAGTTAACCCGTGATGGCATAAAACGGTATCAATCTTGAGATACATGATATTTTCTTGTAACTAATAGTAAAAAGTCTATTTATGCTCAGTAATGCATAGGATTGAGTTCATTTTGTACTTGGTTGAATTTATCAATTAAGGTGTATGTACCAAAATACTTTTTGTCTACCGCATGTATTGATACATGTAATATTGAAATTTGTACAAAGTTACTTTTTGTAAGAATTGAGTTCAATTTGAGGCATTTTAGTGTGCTTTATAGTATTGGTGCTATAAAACGTTTACAGCCATTAGATCATGTTCAAAATATATCAGCAATTAGATCTTATTTAGATTATTAATATATTGTTTTATTTGTTTATGGTCAACCGGTACAACCGGTTGTACGTGAAAAAAGTTCGAAACCCATTCTCTTATCCTTCTCCTCTCCGAGCAGATCTGAGACCCTCTTCTCACCGCCGACTTCCAGAGAACATCCTCCGCCGCCGCCTTCGGTACACAGTTTCCCTTCGCCTGTTGCTCCGCTGCGGTGCTGCCTGTATCTTCCTCTAGGTAAGTTTTTTTTAATGCGGTCTCTGTTATTGAAACTCGTTTTCGGCACCGGCGAGGAGGTTGGCCGGCTACGGTCCTTCTCCAGCCAGCACCAGCTATCCTCCTTTCTGTTGTTACTCATTGATGTCGTTTCTTTTGTTAGAAATCATGAATGAGAATTGATTGATTGAGAAAGGGGAGTCGATTGTATAGAGTTTTGTAAACCCTAATTGAAAATTTGCGTTGGTATCTATTTTATAGGTAGAGACCTTTTTTTACTGGAAAATCGTGAAGCACTTCATATGCGAGCTGTGATGGATCTGGAAACAGAGAACATAATAGCTGCAATGCTTCTCAGAGAAGCTGCAGAATTGAGGCGGCAAGCTGAGAAAGAAGGCGTCCGTGCTTATCTTGAGAAACCTACTGTTAGGGCTCGGCCGAACTCACGATTCCTTACTGCAACTGTTCTTGGAGTACAGCAAGGTCAGTACAACTGCATTCTGATGATTCTATTGCAAAAGTTGGTGGAAGCACGAATATAGAAACTAATGCAGTCGGGAAATAATTCGGTTGTGCTTGGAGAATGCTTCGGATTCTATGGTGGGTTGCTTGCCCAGGTCGGAAGCGAGGGCGCTGCATACCGGGTGTTTTATGAGGTATTCTGATAGAGATTTTCTCAACAGTGAGGTTGCAGGAACTGGTAGTTCTGGAGGTGAGAGTTACTTTTTTTGGGTTTGTTCCTTTCTTTGGACAAAATGAGCACTTGTGTAGTTTCTCTGTTCTGTGAAATTATGGATACCCGAATGGAAAGAATTCATGTTGCTGTCTTTTCTTTTCCATTTTGCAGCAGTTCCGGTGATTGTGATAGTGGTTTCAGTTGTAAGCTGTATTCTGGTGTTGATTGTTGGTGGAGCTATTGGGGGTTATATATGGAAGCACAGATACATAGAGAAGAAACGAAGAGGTACAAATATTGGGGTTTGAATTTCAAGTACTCCACTCTTGAAAAGGCCACAGGATGTTTTGATGAAGCCAACAAGCTTGGACAGGGAGGGTTTGGCTCAGTTTACAAGGTGATATGGCATTTCATCCCTCTCTCTCGGCAAGCATAATATGATTTTTTAGTAGGGTTTTTAGGTACCAGATCTTAATCATGTCAAAAACTCTGCAGGGAGTTTTGGCTGATGGAAGAGAGATAGCTGTGAAGAGGCCGGAAGTTCGGTGGCCGGAATTCCAGCTTCAGATTGTGAACTTGGGAGTCGAAGCGAGGTTGCAGAATGTCTCGGATTTCTGGTTCTTGGGCATTGGACTCTACAGATATCGACGATTACTGCTTGATTTCGGTCAATCCGGAGCTATGGTGGAAGCAAAATTAATACTCGTCGAAGTTCAGAGGACCTTCGAAGAGCTGCACCTCGAATATAAGCCCTACCCTGGTGCTATTGCTACTTGTATGGCTTTATCATTGAGGTTTTGAGGTCTATCTGAATCTTGTCTTCCATTATCATTTGATACAGCTGCTCATCGTTGTCTTTCCCGGGCCAATTTTGTTTTGTGTATGATTGGCAGTTAACAAGTTGGCAACAATATCACGCTCGTGAAAGAAGTCGTGTTTTTGGATTTGAAATTCTGGAAATATCACGGCCATGAGAGAGGCCGTGGATGTAAAAATGCAGTTCTCAGTTTCCCATGAATTTTTACGGGTTGGGTTCGACAATATCACGGCCGTGAGATGAGCCGTGTTTATGGATTTGAAATGTTGGATTTCTCACGGCTCATTTGTAACTTCTCACGGGCGTGAGATTCACCCGTGCAATTTTCACATTGCTCGTTCAGACCCAGGGTGCCTTACGGCTTGTAATTAAACTCTCACGGGCGTGAGAATAAGCTGTGATATGGAAACCACTCCGATTTTCTCAGAGGATAGTTCAACAGGTGAAAGTCTCCTACTGGAAATCTGACACCTCATACTGGTAATCTCACGACCGTAAAATGCTCAAGTGAGATGTAAAAAGTAGTGCTTCATTCCTCAGGTAAATCTCACTGTCGTGAGATGTCCCGTGAGATGCAAAGAGCAGTTCTCACTATACCAGGAAATTTCACGGCTACTACTTGACATTGTCACGCCGGTCAAAATCTCACGTGAAATTGAAACACACAACTGCCACTCAAACGTTTTCACAGCTCATTCAGGTAAAATAACGGTTGTGGAATTAAGATGTACCTACACTTTCTAGAGTTGTACCTTTACACTAAACTTAAAGTTGTACCTACACTTTTCTAAAAATCTTCTATGGTACAATTCACAATTGTACTTATACACTATGGTACAACTTAATGTTGTACCTACACTTTCTAACAAATCCCTTTATGGTACAACTAAAAATTGTACATATACTAATGGTACAACCTTAAGTTGTACCTACACTTTCTCAAAATTCTTTTATGGTACAACCCAAATTTGTACCTATACCATGGTACAACTTTAATTTGTACCTACACTTTCTAAAAATCCTTCTATGGTACAACCCAAACTTGTACTTATACCATGGTACAACTTTAAGTTGTACCTACACTTTCTAATAAATCCCTTTATGGTACAACTCAAAATTGTACCTATACTAATGGTACAACTAAAAGTTGTACCTACACTTTCTCCAAATCCTTCTATGGTACAACCCAAACTTGTACCTATACCATGGTATAACTTTAAGTTGTACCTACACTTTCTAAAAAATCCCTTTATGGTACAACTAAAAATTGTACCTATACTAATGGTACAACCTTAAGTTGTACCTACACTTTCTCAAAATTCTTTTATGGTACAACCCAAACTTGTACCTATACCATGGTACAACTTTAAGTTGTACCTACACTTTCTAACAAATCCTTTTATGGTACAACTCAAAATTATACGTATACTAATGGTACAACTTTAAATTGTACCTACACTTTCTAATAAATCTCTTTATGGTACAACTCAAAATTGTACCTATACTAATGGTACAACCTTAAGTTGTACCTACACTTTCTCAAAATCCTTCTATGGTACAACCCAAACTTGTACCTATACCATGGTACAACGTTAAGTTGTACCTACACTTTCTAAAAATCCTTCTATGGTACAACCCAAACTTGTACCTATACCATGGTACAACTAAAAATTGTACCTATACTAATGGTACAACCTTAAGTTGTACCTACACTTTCTCAAAATTCTTTTATGGTACAACCCAAACTTGTACATATACCATGGTACAACTTTAAGTTGTACCTACACTTTCTAACAAATCCCTTTATGGTACAACTCAAAATTGTACCTATACTAATGGTACAACTTTAAGTTGTACCTACACTTTGTGAAACAAATTCTTCAATGGTATAGCTGAAACTTGTACCTATACGATATGGTACAACTCTAATTTGTACCTACACTTGTATACATTGATTTATTATTTACAAGATTGCCATTAATGATGTGGGACCAGTCATTTAGTGGGTTTACCTCCTCAACATGTCACCTTTTTGTTTTTGTTTTTTATAGCATGGGTGCTATAGAGTACACTAGAAGGGCTCGTTCAATTTGTGCCAATTACTTTTGCGGTACCAAATAAATACAAACAATTTGTGCCAAATCAACGAAGTAAGAATTATCGAGGAAGAAAAAGTTAAAAAAGTGATCACCCTATCATTTCAAGATATTAGAGTTTCTCGATTCCCAATTGACATGGTCAAACTTTTCTTGTCTTTGGTTGCCTAATCCACTTTCAAAGATCAAACTCAAGAATTATCGCTAGATTTTGAGTGAATTACACTATTTTGACCGATCTTTACTTAGTGACAAGAAAAAGCTAACCCGGGGATAATTGGATGATAATTGAGAATTAGTACTTGTTAATTATACCTCTTTTCAGTGGCGGATGCGGGTGGCCACAGTCCAACCCTCCTCTAGATCCGGAGTTAGTATGACCCTTATGAATTTATCGATTTTAGTCATTCGGCTCATTGTTATTTTATGATAAGATTGTTTGGACCGAACAACCCGCAACCCGATCTGTTCGTAATCAGAGTATCCCGCAATCCGATCAATCCGAACCCGATCAACCCACAATCTGATCAACCTGCAACCCAATTGTTCCATAACCCGACCAACCCGAACCCGTTTGACCCAAAACCCGATTGACCTGCAACTTGATCAACCCGCAACCCAATCAACTCAAACCCGCTTGACCCGCAACCCGTTTGAACCGGACCCGAACCCGCCCGATTCACACCTATAGTTTCAAGTAACTTACTTTGGAGGCTTGGTTCTCACAATTGGCTCACTGAAAATTGGGGATTAAGAGCTTGTTTTAAAGATAAAGTTTCCCTCTGTAAGATATCTTGGTTTGTGGATCCATAAGATGTCATTAAGGTTGTTTTCCAAAGTCTCAAAGTTGTTACCTCAAAACAGTAAAACTACCAGAAAACGGTTAAGTCTGGAAACATGTTTTTTAAGCCTACTTTGGAGCTCAATTCGAGGAGCATGGATCTTATTCGAGTCCAAAGGCTTCCACAACATGAAAATAGGTATGTTTGTCTACCAAGGGAATGAATTGGATGAAAGATTGGAGATCTGAAAGGCATATAACGAAAGACAAGAAGTTAGTACGAAAGCTGTTTTGCGATGTTTGCTGGCAGCTTACTTGTGCGTGAAGAAAGAGAGTTTGAGTCCGAATTTTGTAAGCTTTTTAGAGTATACTTTTATCTTATTTGTTTCCTTTTTCATTTAGGTTTGTATTAGGTTTTCTTGGCTATAAATAGCCTTCTATTTTCGTTATAAAAGGCAGAGAATTTGATGAATTAAAACCCTAGTGTTTACTAGTTGCAAGTTTGCGTATTTGTGTGAGTTTTGGTGGATACCAAACTCGTGAGCTCTTGTATCGATTGAATATTCACTTCAATCGTGGTTGGGCATCTATCCTTATATCAATCGAGCCTTTCCCCGGGGGTGGAATTGCACGTTTGATTATGTTTTATCCAAGTTCGTATTAAGAACGCTTCTTTCTTGATTCGAGTTCAATTGATCCGTCGATTGAATCGTTAGCTGCACATTCTGAACAAAAACACCCCCTGGGTGTTTATTAGTGGTACCAGAGGCTGGTTCAACCCATGGAAGAAGCAGAGCAAGCAATCCAATTGCTTGATTGTCGAAGGAAACCATGGAAAAACAAGGCCTTTTCTATTGCCGCTGTAAAGTCCAGGAGAAAATGTTGGTGACGGTGATTGACGAGGGCAACAAACACAACCTCAGGAGTGCTTATGCCATGTTCAAGCTAGGGCTGAGCACATGGAGACATCCTTCTCCTTATCCGCAAGAAGAACTCCCTTACAAGTTTCCATTGGTTCGCTTACAGATTCGATTTGTTGTGATGTTTTGCCTCTGCAAAGCGTCCATATGGTGCTTGGGCAACCTTGAAAAGACGAACGCCAGGTTGCAGTAACAAGAGTAGGCCCTAAAGCTTGAATCTACACTCAAGAGCGTAGCTATGCTTTGAAGGTTCTGCTTCCGGAAGACTCAGCTCGGGATCGATCTTCTATTCGACAAACACAGGCAGAGGAGGCTTCTAAGTCTTCCAGGAGCTGAACCCAAATTAAACCAAATCAATGCTCATCCTAATTCGACTTGATCAAAAGCAAGTTGAACCCGGTGTTCACGAAATTTGAGTTAGGAATGAGTTTTGCCTGCTTTTGTAATTGATGGGTTGGGCCAAGTGTAAATTTTGTTATATACTTGATTCGCTTTCCACCCGTCACACGCCTAACAAACAAAAAAATCGACCCCGACAAAGTGTGTTGAATCCTATGTTGATGAGTTTAAGTATATTTTTATGACAACTGCACCCAAATTGAACCCAAATCAATGCTCATCCTAATTTGACTTCGTCAAAACAAAGTTGAACCCGATATTCACGAAATTTGGGTAGAGAGCGAGTTTTGCCTACCAATTTAGGGTCACATCAGAGGAATGACCATATCAAAATCAATGGGTATTTGACCTAATTCAATCTGGTATTCACGAATTTGTGTCCGAAAATGAATTTTACACGCAAATTTATGGTCACATCAAAGGGATGACCATTTGGAAATTAAAGAAAAGTTTGGGAATCTTTTTGATTTTTTAGTTGCTTTTCCTTCTTCCCCTCTTCCCAGCCACCCAAACTTCTCTCTTTTTATGTCTTCTTCTCCCTGCCACACGAAGAAGAAAGAAAAAAAAGAACAAAGCAACTTGTTTCTTTCTTGAAGAAGAAGCGGCGACGCAGATGACCAGCGGAGCACCAAATTATTCCTTTTTCTCCTCCTTCCACAACAACCGGAGCCGACGACCATTGGCACGATGGTGGTCTGAAAGGGCGTCTTGGTGTTGAGAACGATGATGGTTGTTAGCAGAATTAGTTAATATCATGCCCCACAATCAATATTCCTCCATCATGCACCGTATCAACCAAATCACAAGGAGATTCACAATATAATTTGAGATTATGTAATTAATGTGTTTGTCTGTATAATCCTCTTGTATGATCTATAAATACTCTGTAAACTCTCAATACAAAACAAGAAGCTTGAGTTGCTTTTCTACACAAGAACCAGCGATCCCTCTAATTATCTAACATGGTATCAGAGCCTGAATCTAATTCCTGTAATGGAGAGACCAAGAAGAAGAAAAGAAAGAAAAGATTCCGCTGTTGAGTTTCTAAACCATTCTTGAGTTCTAACCTTTTGCCTTCCTCTGAATTTCTTCACTCTTCTGTCAACCTTCATCATTATGTTCTTTGAGTCCACTTCCCAGTACTTGTTTCTGCTTACTTGCTGCCTGTCATCATCGACTTTCACTCGCGGACTTTGTTCTTGCGCAACCGTTGATCTGAAGACTGCCACTGCCTAAACAACCTCAGCTTCAAGTATCGACAACATCTGTTTCTCATTGATGCCTTGTTGCATTAGTCTTGCCGTTCAATAGATCGGTGAGTCCCCGTCACCACTGTTGGTCCCGTTGCCGTTGTTGCCTCTAGCTTCCTGTCGTTGGTGTTGTTCTCGTCTGCCTCTAGCGTAAACCTGTTGCCTCTCTGCCCGCCTTTGATGTTGCTCTTTCCCGTCTGTTTTGTAGATCTGCCCCACCACAGCCTCTGTTTTTCCTCTGGTCTTCGCACAACCGCCAACCAGCAAGCTCGCCACCATCGACCAATCCACCTCTTGCATAGCTCCAATCGGCTTCTCCTGCTCCAACTCCCGAACCCAACCCTGCTGCTGATCAACCTGCCCGATCATCGATTCACTTCTCTATCGTCCCATAGTCGGGTCTGCTGGTAGTCCTCTAGACTCTCTCTGTTTCCCTAGTTCGTTTTAGATTCGGTCTATCACCACCAAGTACATCTCTCCGTTGAGAAAAACAATATCTTTACCTTTATAAAACCCACTACTCCACGCATCTTCTTCATGCCCTTTCTTTATTATTAGAAAAATAAACTCATAAAGAGCATTGTCCCACACATGTATCTTTCTTTCGGCCATCCATCTTCCTGCTTCCCTATACAGGTGACAAATCTTTTTGACTTATTATCATTAAATCCTTGAGTCAATTTTCCCATATGATACCTGAAATCTTGAAATTCTTCTGGAAAGATGCCCAAAATTTTCTTCAGTAAATTGTCACATCTTTAAGATGTTTGGCCTTGTTTCAACGCTCAAGTCTGCATACTATGTATGCCCCTTATCACCGGGGATGTGATCAGATTTACAGTCTGTTTCATGTCCTTCATCATGGCATCTTCATCGCTCCAATTTTTCACGCTCAGATTCATCATGGTTAATTGGCAAACTCTAGTTGGTGTCTTCGTCCCCACCTAGAGTTTGAGAGGGGGTGTTAGCAGAATTAGTTAATATCATGCCCCACAATCACTATTCCTCCATCATGCACCGAATCAACCAAATCACAAGGAGATTCACATGATATTTTGAGATTATGTAATTAATGTGTTTGTCTGTATAATCCTTTTGTATGATCTATAAATACTCTGTAAACTCTCAATATAAAACAAGAAGCTTGAGTTGCTTTTCTACACAAGAATCAGCGATCCTTCTAATTACCTAACAATGGCGATGTGACAGAGTTGGTCTAGGTGTGCAGCACTGGCAGGGGCAGACACACGAGGCTTTAGGGGTGTCCCGGGACACCCCTGAATTTTGGAAAAACGATTATTCAACCCACGGTGGTAATTTACGTATGGATAAAAAATTATAAATGATAGTGAGGGACACCCCTGAAATTTGTAAAAATGATTACTCTACTGTCATTTTTTTAATTTGTGTATGTGAATATAAGTGGCAGGTTGGGTAATTCAAACATGGAGGACTATTATTATTAACAAAATTAATTTCCACTAAACTACAACTCATTTGTAGTTCGATTTTGAACACTGTATCATAGTAAAATGCCATTCACTATTTCTAATTATTTTCAAAACCTAGCAATTAAACTAATTTCAACCTACCCTTAATTTGTATTGATTTTATGGTTGTACGCCAAGTGTTGAAAGATTATTTCACCTTTGGGTTACATCAAGAACAAGTTTACAAATCGAATATGCGATAAGTTCGTGAATGATTGTCTAGTAGGGTATATAGAGACAAAAAATTTTTAACACTATAGACACCAAGTGTATTCTACAATTATTTCAGAATATGAGAACAAATAATGAACTTTTTTAACCTGTACGAGTAAGGTATTTTCTAATTTACAATTTTATTTTTATTAATTATTTTATTTTTATTTTTATTAAATTTATTTTTTAAAAGAGGACACCCTATGAAAAATTCCTGGGTCCGCCACTGAGCGCCGGCGACACCTAGCAGAGGCGTGCACTTGGAGGGACGATGATAGCAGAGATGGAGATGGTCGCGAGGCACTGCGATGGCATGGACAACGATGATGATGGCGGATCAATTGCAAAAGTTTGAATGTGTAATATACTAATATCCCTCGTGTAGTGGTTTGAACTGTTGCTATCTGTGGGTGAGCTAACTGTGTCGTTGCTCTGCAATTCTCCCCACCTCATTCCTTTTGCCTCCCCTTTTCTCACTTCTTTGTTTCCTTGGTGTCATTCTACCTTCTGCATCCATTACCGGTTGACAAGTAGTCTTTCATTTTCATCATTAATGAGTGTATTATTTTGAACAGTAAGGTAAAAGTGAAAAGCTTAAGCCATAGCAGTGGTGGGAAAGGTCGAAAGAGGGAGATCCTTGAATCATTATGATTTGGGATGTAAAGGAAGTGGGTTTTTCCCAATAACTTCCGCAGAACTTCGAGTTTGAGCACAAGGAGTACGAAACGTGTTGGCTAGTAAGGGCAGAGCTCGATTGGCAAGCCATTTTTGTGGCTGTGGTCGTGGTCACAATTGGGTATGGTGAGCTGCCATTAGTCGCTTTCCGACCTGAAATGGATGTCATGCCTGTCCAGGTTATTCATTTTTGAGAGAAATAAATTTTTATTTTAAGCAATTAGGTCCACATACATTATATATTGTACTATATATATTAATTAGAGGTTTTTTATGTGACTCTAATAAATAGTAAGTGTCACATCAAATTATTTTTTTATTATTTTTCATCTTCTTTTTAGTTTTTAATGATTTATTATTTTATTTACAAGAATGTGGACATTTAAATATTAATTGTCATTAACGAAAAAATTACAATTTAGTGACTATAATGTACATTTTGTATTTTGATACCCCAATTTAATTATAATGTAATATCATTATTATTCTATTATAAAAAACATAATTGTTAGATTACTATTCGTTAAGAGGTTAAATTTTAAATAACTTCAACTTTAAGGGCAATAGTCTATTAGAGTGGATCCCATCTATTCATCTCCTTTCTTTTATTTTTCAATTATTTACTTTTTATTTCTACTTTTCCCCTTTTCTTTTATCCATAATTTCTTACCTCTTTATTCCTAAATCATTTTTCTTTTATTCCTAATTTTCTATCTCCTAATAATATTTTGATTTGTTGTGGTGCTTAAATCGATTTATTTGTTCGTATTTGACTATTTGATTTTACACCTTTAGTCTTCTCTAGCCCAAATTTTTTGTACATGAGTTACCATTCTTTGAACGTGTTTTTGTTGTTGTGTTGAAACCGATCTTTTTGTTCATATTTGGTTTTGCATTCCTACTTATCTCTTTCTCACTCTCCATTTAAATGGTGAAAGTGGAATCGGAACCAACCGTACTACCAAATGCTAAATTATTTCATTTTTTCCTATTTCTTATTTTTCATTTCAAATGCAGAAACTTCGTATTTTCTCTAATTAATCGTTGTGGTTCCAAATATGTAAATTGTCATCCGCTAATTTGTAACATCATTGGCCAGCGAGTACATATTATTATGAATTCTCTCCCACATCTTAGTGATTTTTCTTGCCGTTCTTGAAATAGTGTCATATGAGTTATATTTTATTAATGATTTCATACGATATAATTACAACGTCGTTCAGGTGAGACGGTAAAATCTTTCGATTCCGTATTTCAGTAGCCTTAGGAGTGTATTAGGGTTGTGAATCTGAAATGATAAATCTATTAAGCTAGGTCATGGCTGAATTCATTTGCTAGTCAAACTTTGTTCAGTTGGCCAGCAAATTAGACTAATCATCATTTGAACTTGCGTATGGAGCAATGGGAATTGTGTTACATAGGTTGTTCATTCAAATAGGAACGGCACTGGAAGTTCCTATAATGTGTTTAAAGAACCAAGATCTCTAGGCCTTCCTCCTCTTCCTCTATCTTTCTACGACTTGTCCGACCGCAATTCACTACTATACATCCATCTCCCGGAATGAAAACTCTACTCTCTCTTGCTCTCCCTTCCCCCCTGCCGTTTTAGGTTTAGGCTTTTCTCTCTAACTACGAGCTATTGCCCGAGTTCTCTTATATGGTTTAGGCCGGCTCAAACATTCTTTTGCTAAATATGCAAACCTGTCTTAAGTCTCCATTTGATTTCCTTCCAAGCAGTGGGATTGTTATTTGGTTTTGTAAATTCAATCGCCTTTAGATTTAAACTTATGGTTCTTACTTGGATATTTTTTATTTGGATTGGGATTGTTGCAGGTTATGGATAGGAGGAGCGGTCACGACTTGAACTTTATGATTCAGCTGACAGTACCTAGGGTAATCTCTTTTCTTAGAATCCTTAGATCAGTTACATACATATGAACTAATCTCGAAGAAGAATCTGGTAGACATACAATTATCAAGATTTTGATTTTTTTTAACTTCATGTTAGGTTCCAGCTGTCTTCATATGAGCTCTCTATGTCGTTGGTTTAATTCTTACTGGAATCCTGCTGTCATATAAGAGAGTTCAGTTCTTGGGGAATGATGGAAACTGTGAAGGTGGATTAGAAAAAATACACCAGAATTCTAAAGTCTCTCAAAAGTAAAATCAACGAAAAAGGTTAAGTCAGCAGCTAAATTGCCTCAAATTTTTGGTTTGTACGTTGTTTTGCTCCTATAATTATGAAAGAAACATCTAATTAGTAGTGTTATTGTACATTCTCTTACTATGTTTTGAATGTAGTTTCTTTTCGCTGCAGGATTGGACCTCTGATCTGTGGTATGTGGCTACAGTGAAGTCAAGCTGCATATTACAGATGTAGATGACAAACTCGGATTGGTCAAGGTTGCCCGATTTTAAGCTAGGCAATATGATAAGATACATAGGTGTAATTAGTACGATAGTTTATGTGGCCTAGCCGACATTGATCTATTCTCGTTGTTGGCCCAATCATTGTCGATTCCACACCCACATCCGCGAATCTGAGGGAAGATGGAAACGAATTGAAGAAAGGAAGATCCGATGATGCTTGTGCCTTTGAAATCGAGGGATCGACATCGGCGTCGGCGTCGAAACCAGAAGGAGGGAGAAACAGCTTGGATGGAGGAGGTTGAGTGGTGGCAGAGGAGATTGAGCGGTGGTTGCTGATGGTTCGGATATGCGGTGGGAAGAGCCTTACGAGTTCCGGCCGGTGAGGTTTCTGGACAGCAGCGTGGGAGATGGGATCAGGAGGAGGCCGCTCGATTTCACGGTAGCAACAGCGAGAAGAGATCGAGAGACGGAGAGGGGGTGGCTGGGGATTGAATTTTTTTTTTTAATTTTAATTTGTTATTTTGTGTTAGTTTATCCTTTTACCCTTAATGAATCTTGTTGTTATACTATCCACTCCATCCGCTCCCCTCCAACTTTTGTCTCCCCGAGAAAAATGTTTTTCACATGCAAAAGACATATTGGATTCGTTTCTGGCAACACTTTTGCAGCCGGAATTGGCGGTGGAGTTTGGTTGACATTAACGGTCTACCAACCATCATGGTATAGCTTTGTGAATATTGGCATCCAATAGTGACTTGCCACCGCTGGATCTAAGGTCCATATCGAGGAGCTGGGACTCGACGAAATTGACAGTTGTCAAAGGCTCAAAGCTTTCCCATTGTCGAACAAATTAGTTGATTGGACGAGAGTTCTCCCTCCATTTCTATGGCGCTTTGGTTTGAAACTGGACTTGGACTCGATGAAATCGACAATAAGCTTTCCCATCGTCGGACAAGGCTGATTGGACGAGCTCTCTCCCTCAATTTATATGGAGCTTTGGTTTGTAAATGGGACTTAGAGACGACTATTACGTAAATGGTGAATTTGGAGGGCTCCTGATTCCATTATTGGGAGGATCTATCGTGTCTATCACTCAATCTATTTTGCAGGATAAGAGACTGGAGGCTGAAGGTATTTGCTTGATCAGTTCCGATGGCTCGGAAACGATTAGGCATTGTATGTTCATTTTTCATGTGGCTAGGGACCCGTTGGGTGGGGACCTCTTAGATTGTGACTAACTAAATCTATAGAGTGACGTTTGTTAGAAATCTTTGTTTTTCACTACCCATTTGTTCATGTTGGATGTTGCAAAAGTAATCTTTCTTGTTAGTGCATTTGGAAGGCACGTTGTTGGGATATCCATGAGCACATTCTTTACTTAGCTCCGACTTTGCGTCGTCAATTGGACGCTCAAGTTTATGAGTGGCGGGCTGCTTCTCCCCCACTCAATTTAGTGTGTTGGCAGGATCTTGCTGATCCACCGATTGCGGGCGGCTGTCACGAAAAGTAGGATTTTCAAGATGGCTGGTGTCCCTCAGAAGACATTATTGTTCGCTTTGATGTAGCCATGCGACTTGATCTTGGAGGAGGTATTGGCTTGTAGGCTTCTCTCCTTTTGGTATTGTTATGTTGGCAATTACCAAGTATTACCCAGGTATGACAACCCTTTCCTCATGGAACTTCTTACTCTTCATCATGCTATTCGTTGGTACGTAACTCATGGTTTTCATGTGGTTAATTTTTTTGGGATTGTCAATCTCTTGCTTGACGGTGGTGCCGGCGGCGTGCGAGGAAGAGCATGAATTGGGAGGTGCTCTCTTAGAGGAAGTTTGACAATTATCTTTTGTCTTTTGGTCATTTTGCTTGTACTTATACTCCATGTCGGTTTAATAGGCCAGTCCATTTTGCTTGTACTTATACTCCATGTCGGTTTAATACTCCATTCTCGGCTGGCTTCTTCACGGAGTTCACGCCCAATGGCTCCATTTTTGTAGCTGCGAACTTGGGTACGTAGGCCGCGATCTTCGCTCCAATTTTTTGGTCTGTTGTCTCGGTCGGGATCTTACTCCTCCATGTCGTGATCATCGGCTTCGTGCCCATTTCACTATAGTTGTGTCCTTTTTGGTACCTAATTCACATGTATAGTCTAAAGCACTCTAAATTCACGACATAATCAAATAGGAACAACATATGGATGCAATCGATAATATTCTTCCAATTATGCACAAGAATTAGCACGAAACAAACCTAAATATGAAGAGTAAATAGCACCGATTTAGGTGTTATCAGCTAGCTGTTAGATTGATAACTTTACTTTGAGATGCTAAGTAATCATATCCTTAGCTTTACTTTTGAATTGCTTATGAGTCATATATGAGTAGAAAAGATAAACAAAAAAATTAGCAAATTAAAATACACAAAAGATTACCAGGATGGCAGGATATCCTAATTAGATTCCAAGTTTGTTACTTTTACTGTTCTGTTTAGTATGGCTGCCAGAAAGTGAGATTCCAACTTCTGATTTCCTCATTTCAGCAATTGCATGGTTAATGAATTGTGCTCAACTCACTTTTTCATTTTGGCGGAGAGAGTGAGGCACTATCTGCTTCTCTCCTAAACGTGGGGGGCGCTCTAAGAGTACCGACATTCCTTCTATACCTCCTGCATCATCTTTCGATCCTACTCCTCGTTCACCGTCTACTGGCACCACCAATGTACCACCTGCTCAAACAATAGGCGAGGAGACAACTTCAAGAAAAAGGAAAAGAAAATCTGACGTTTTGCCACACTTCAAGCGTTTTAAGAAGGATGGAGTGGACAAAGCTCGATCCAATTACTGCAATAGTGTTCTTATTTCTCCGACTATATTTGATTCTTCTACTCTCTGGCATCATAGAAATAGTTGTTTGGCAAATATAGAAAGGGGTGAGCTGATATTCGACCATCTATCATCTTTTAGAGGTTAGGTACACACTTTTGGCACTTGAAAATTTGATCAGATTGATGCTAGGAGGACTTTACCTGAGATGATTATCATAGATGAACTACCATTTAGGTACGTTAAACATGAAGGTTAAAAACGTTGTATGTCTCTTGTTTGTCATATGTTTGTATTACCTAGCCGTCAGACTATTAGAGAGGATTGTATCAAGGTGTTCGTTGAAAATAGAGACTTGTTGAAGGACTATTTCAAGACTAAGTGTTTAGGATCAAGAATACAAGTTTGTAGGATCCCTGATAGCATACTAAGGAAGTCAATCAGGTCACCATGAGGCTCAAGGCTCGAGAGGACATCTAGTATGCAGAATTTATTCCTATGAACTTACTATGTCATAAACTAGTTGGTCCTAATAACTCGAGTTGTTGGGAGAAGGTTATGCTGGATCTTATACAGGCCCGTGTATGGTGCTTAACCACTTTCTTACACGCCCCCTCAAACGAAAGCCGACTCATTGGCTTGAAGTTTGTACAGGCCCAGCCCTACCATGTGCTTGAAAGACAACAGTTAATATTGGGGGATGTGAGGACTTGAACACGTGACCTCAATGACAAACCAGCTCTGATACCATGTCATAAACCAGTTGGTCCCAATAACTCGAGTTGTTGGGAGAAGGTTATGCTGGATCTTATACATGCCTGTGTATGATGCTTAACCACTTCCTTATATAGTATAATTGAGACTCGATGCACAATTTTAAAGATACTTATAATTTCTGCTTGTGCAAGTATCAAGAAATTGTTATTAGATATTCAAGTATTTATTAATGATATTCAACGAAAAGATTTTCCTCAATTTTTCCAAGTCTTTCCGACTCTGATTATGGTGAACGGTTTAGCAAGCATATTTTTGTGGTAGCTAACCGGCTGGCCAAAAAAAGGAATATAAGTTACATGTGTTTGTGGTAGTTCTTCTATTAAAAGAACAAGCAGGATGTGTATTGTTTCATAGAGTCACATCCAAATACTGTTGCTTGTTTTCCTTTTTTGTGCACTCGTTTTCCTTTTTGTGCATTCATTCTAGACTCAACCCTGCTCTGACAAGTTCAGGAGGCTCCCGTCGCTTCTGTTCGCTTCGATGGAGGTGCCTTTTGCCGTCGTTCCATTAGCTTTCCTTTACTTTCCAAGTCTCGATATTTGCACCCCCTGATTTGCTTGGTTGAGAAAGGAGATTGTGCCCCTTTCCAGACTGTTACCGTCTCCCTATCTTACCATTGCTTGTTGTTACATCTGTGCTCCTCATTTCATTCCTTTGTTTCCCTTCTCTCTCTTCTTCTTCTCTCTGCTCCGGATTGGACAGACGACTTTTGCCCTGGTTTACAAGGACTTGTCTTGTGGGGTGTTATTCTTTTAAGCATGCAGTAATTAGTACAAAATCATTCACTAAGCAACACTAGATATTAGAGTGTTCCACTCTGTATTCCCAAAGGAAAATGAGTAGTACAGATATGAGCTTTCTTCCATTTGCTTCTAGTAATGTGATTTGTGTAATTTGCTTATGCAGATAATGATGCAACTCTGATACTGCCTCAGAAGATAATACTCTCAGATTGTGGAAGGTAACTGTATTAACATCTTCTCCTATTTTAAAGTTTTTTTTTTTTTTTTTTTTTTTTTTTGCTTTCAATGATCCAAGTCCTGATGTGAGTGTGACTACGCCAATTAACCAATTCCATTTGATTTTATAAACAGTTCTGCTCTGGTTCTTGCAATACAACAGTCAAGGTGTGGCAGACGTATGAAGCTGCCTCGAAAGTTTACTCAGGGTCGATTAAGAAGAGGAAAACTGAATCTGGAGCTAAAGAATCTCATTTGGAGGTGTAGGGTGTGTTTGTTTTATCTTTTGCTAAATGTGAAGTGGGTTCTTCATATCTGACAATATGTATATATATGGGTCATACTCGTATGCTCCATACGCATAGTATGTTCCAGATTTTCTGTGCCATTGATCGAATCTAACGTTCCTTATTAATCTTAATTAAATTAATTATTTATCAAAAATTAAAATTACTAACTACACCCCTTAAATAATTATATGTGCACTATAATCCTTCAAATAATTTTACCATCATATTTAGTTTATAATACATAATTTCTTTTAATCATATTATTTAACACTCACATTTTGTATTGTCTCCATCAAGATTTGTTTGATTTTTGCTACGATTAAAAGCTAACTCCTGTTCGAATGACCATACATTTTTACCTTCTCTAATTCATTTCTATTTCCACTCATGTGAAGACCCAAATGGGCCAATTTATGCTTTCATACTCAAACCACAAACAATTACCAATTATATGTTCATGCAAATGAACGACAGTCGAACTCCCCAGAATCGTTCCATCCCTTCATTCCGTCATTGTCGCCATTCCATCCACTTCAATATTGCACTCATACTCCTTCATTCCGTCACCGTGGATATATTTGCAGAGCGCGAGATCTAGGGTTGTGGCAGAGCATGCATGCCGCCGGGGGAGGTAAGGAAGCGAATCGATCGAAATTTTCAGGGACATTTCGATGGATACTTGAGTGCTTCGTTCATCGTTGTTTCCATGGGGATCCCACCACTGCGAAGCAAAATTGAATTTTTCGCTCAATTCTCAACGCCGCCTCTTCCATCGCTGCTGTCTCCTCCCCCTCAGCCATTTTCCAATCTCTTAGATAATCGATACCACATACCAGAAGTGGATCTTCGAAGCGGAATTCAATTCTTGGATACCGCAAGTCAGCTCCCATCGATACCAGGTCGCCAACGGCCTCCAAATTCAATCGCGATTCGCAAACAACGAATCGACCGACCTCTGTTGCTTCTGGTCTCGGAGAAGATGACGGTTCTGGGCACCATGGATGCTGCAATCGAAGATCTGGAGTCGGAATTAGGGGTTTCTAGCAAAAAATTTGTCGATTCTTGCCCAGCCGCTCTTTCACATCGTCGGAGAGGATTCTCATCACCGAAAAATTACCCAGCATGATAACCCGGCCGATGATAAATTCTAGTAAATACAGTTTTTATTCCAATATTTCACAAAGAATGGAAAGATAGAACTATCATCCGAATACATTGTAGGCGATAAATTCTAGGTTCAAAGTTTCCCTAAGGGAGCTTTTCTTGAGAATTCTGGGTACGCAATCAACCAATTTTCAATGGAGAATGAATAACCTGACATCAATACAAATTTTGGGTGTTCCGAATGATGATTGAAAAAACTATGGTATTATAATACCAAAATAAAGAAAAACATCGTTGGAGGACTATATTGCATGTTTAAAAAAATAATGAGTGTTGTTAGTAATTAAAATTGTTATTCAATAATTAATTTTATTAGAAATAATAGTGAGCGTTAGATTAGATCAACGGTGTAAAGGCCTGGAGCATCGTATGCGTCTGAAGCATACGAGTCGTATCCATATATACCTGGTGCAGGATAATTCTGTCTGTTCACTAGAGGGTCATGTGTCACTTGTATCATCAGTGGCCTGGCCAGTAGGCAATACGATTTATTCTGCATCTTGGGATGGTTTAATTAGAGAATGGGATGTTGAGAAATGCAGTCATGTGTCGTCCAAAGTATGTGGCAATTTATCATCTTGTATCTCCTCCTTTTCCCCGTTTGAAATCTGATCACACTGAGAATGTTCTTCCTTGCAGTTCTATGAAAAATCCTTCACCTGCGTTAGTGTAGGCGGATCGGGATCGAACATCCTGGCTGCAGGTGCATTTGATGGCAAACTTAAGATATATGATGCAAAACTACCAGGTATGCTTCTAGTGATACAACAACACACACATGTGTGTGCGTGGTTGTCTTGTCTCGGTTTTTTCGCTAAAATAATCGACTTTTCGTTCAGGTTTTAGCTTATTGCTTTGCTTTTAACATGCTCACTTTTTTTTCATTCGTGCAGCAAAGTCTCGCGCTGTGCACGATATTTTTTCGCATAATAATAGGATATCAGCATGCCAGTGGCACTGTAAAGATACAGTCTACTTACTGTCTGCATCCCGTGATGGCAGAGTCATGGTGTGGGATCTCAGAAATGTGGTATCATATTTCTCTTCTCAAGCAACTTCATTTTGACATTCTTTCATTGCATACAAGTGGAACAAGCTAATTGGATCGAGTATATAATATACTTTCGCTGTGCAGGGGCATACTGTTATTGGGTCGAGTGAACAAAGCGTGCTATGTGCTGATTGGTGGCAAGGGGACCGTGTAATCAGTGATGGTGCTGACGCGAAGCTTCGGATTTCTGCTAGAGTTCCCCTGCCTTGAAAGTGGGTCTACGTCAAAAGTCAAAGATCTTTCTCAAGTTTTGGGAGGAGCTAAGTTAACTGTAAATATATGAATGGGAAAATCTTTGTGATAGATCTCTTGGTTTATGGAAACAAGCATAACATTACATAGCAAGTAAACTTAAATTTATAATATATTTGTTTATGCAGGTAGTCTTATTATGATTAATCAGTACACTCACCATATTATTCTGATCCCCATGTATAAGAAGGCGAGAATCTCCATCAAAATAGAGTGTTGTCACAGGTATTCACTCTGTTCCACTTGAAGAGAAGTCATCTTCACTCTATTCCTTGAGTGACAAGATTGAGACAAACAAAAAACACCCCAGAATCTGTCCTTCCTCTCAGGTTTACACACGTTCGTTGTCTTCACAAAACCAACAAAGTTATCGTCAAGTTGCTTCCCTCCTTTCGCTTTCTCTCAAAAGAAAGTATAGGTGGAACATTTCTGGCCATTACAACAAAAATCACGTAAAACTTCAAGAATGTGATGCTTTACTTTGATTTTATCATGTCCAAACGACAGTAAATCTCAAAGAGTGTTTGTCAGATTATATCATCAGCCCGAATCGAGCAAAGACGATTCTTTCGTCGCAACATTTTCCACATAAATAATGGAAGCAATGTAGAGCAACTCAACCATGACTCGTTTTAGCGAGGAGAGCGAAGCTTTGGCATGGGACTAAATCGGATACTTCTGGATCAACCCATCAACATGCGTGTAAATGTGGCCTTGCTGCTAAACACAATATCCATCAAAGGCAAATGAATGCTCATTTGAGCAATACTTTAGTCCAAGAGGGGCATGCCCAACAGGCACAAGTTGGTTTCTTTGATACATAAGTGGTGGTGATGTTGTGACTGCAGCGACAAACCACATAGATCGGCTTTCTTGAATGCCTTAGCAGTAGGATAACTCCATCTTGGTCTACAATAAGGGACTGGAATTTTTGGGGAATTAGCGAGATAAATCGTGGGATCCAACATTTTAATAGGGATTTGGATGCATTACTACCGTAGAGAACAAGAAAGGTGGCTGAAAAGGGGGAAAATGACTGGTGAACTGAAAACAGCATATTGGACCGTGATCGTGATTTGTCCTCAGCACCTTTAGAGTCCACGGACGGCCCAACTACTCAACTTGTTATTGTTGGGCCTACTGCTTCTCACACGTCCAGGCAAGTGTGATTATGCAACACCCTTCTACATATCTTACAAGGATTTCTTGTCCAACCCTTAGCTAGTACGTTGATGGGTCTTTTGTTGTTGTTTTGTTCTCATAGTAGTTTTTACATCCATCCAAGATCCAACCATCGAAAAGTTATCATACACCATGAGTGATATCGACGACAAGGTCAGGAAGTTGGAAAGCATGGGCGTGAAGAAAGATAATAGAAAGTTTGTTAGCTCTACCTCTTTTGTTGGAATTTGATTTTGGTTTGAACAGTGGCGGACCCAGAATTTTCGGAGAGGTGTGTCGCCGATAAAATAAAATAATAATTAAATTAAAAATTAAGTTAAAATTAAAAGAAATTAATTCATAAAGTTCATAATGTCATGTTTACAACGAGCCACGACGACTTTTCATCTGCTGAAATGTCTCTAAAATACACTGCAAAGCAAATCTTTTTCAATATACACAACTAAACAATCATTCATAAATTGGTCACTCAACCGATTTCGAAGATCGTTCTTGATTATCTTCATAGCCGAAAATGCTCTTTCGCAGCTTGCAGTTGCCACAGGTAAGGTCAACACCAACTTTAAGAGCAAGTAAACTAAAGGATAAAGAGTGTCCTTTCCCCTTTCCACCAATTTCCTAGCTAGCTCGTCGATTCCTGGAAATCCATCAAAGCTCTTATCCTCCTTGACATGAGAAATGTAGCCCCCCAATTGTTGATGAAGTCGTCAGAGCACATTGGATGGAAACTCCTCGGGATAAAACTCAGTAAGACTTATCAACTTTGATTTATCAAAAGAAGCAAAAGATTTAGCTGGACTAAAACAAGAAATGCAGTCCAACAATCGAGTGTTCACCTCACCAAATCGAGTATTCAATTCTTGCAGCTGCAAATCTATAACTGCATAGAATAAATCGACTTGATAGTAATGTATATTGTATGGGCTAAGAGTGTTTTTTTAATAGGAAGGATAGGATTATGCTTTATGAGTTATTTTAAACAAAATTAAAAAGGATTATGATTAAAATTGATTCATTTGGATAATAATTTCTTCGAGTATAATGAAGGTGTGTCGGCTATAATTATTGAGGGTGTGTCGGCTATCCCAAAATAAAAAATTTTGTACCAAAAATATGTAGGTCCTTCGTAAAATTCTCGAGCGAGGGTGTGTCGGACGACACACCCTGGCATGCCTTAGGTCCGCCACTGGGTTTGAACTATTCGAACCAGATTGGTTCGGATCACGTTGCTGACCAGGAAAATCACATGAACCAAACTCTAGGTTTATGGGAAAGTGATTCCAAGCCTTTTAAATCCATGTCTTTTTTGGACTTTAATTAATACGTTGCATGGCAGTTACCACAAAACAATGCAACATTTCATTTGAAACTAATGAAATAATGCAATGTTTGGAATTTAGCAACGTGGCAGTTGGATCACTGAATGAAATAATGCCACATATTTAAATGAAGCAACGTGTTGCATGGCCAAAAGATTTTGGCGGTTGTAATTCCTTCCACTGGCCCAAAAATTGAAAGGTTGTAATCTTTCAATGGTAACCCTTCGGTATGTTATAAATATATGTGGTACGTGATAGATAGAACACACCAAAAATTCATTTTTCTTTCTACTAGATTTCTAACTAAGTATGTTTTAGCGTTCTTGAGCCTAATCTAAAGTAGTGATAGTTTTATCCTACGAAGAAATTTTTAGTAACCCAAGGCTTTATAGAGGGTGGAAATATTCTTTACGGAAAATGAACATGGTTGACGACTCAATCATAATCCTAGTCACCCGGTCTCGGGATATCGTACGTACACCCTCGTCCCGAAAAAGTCCCAACAATCGTAAGGAATAATCTCTGGTACGATGGCTCGAACCGCTCTTTATAAGACACCGGTTTCGATCTATGGAATTATGAGGATATTCGATTATGAGTTTTCATCGATGGTAGTAGAAGATGGGCTTTCTTCGAACTAGTCTAATGATGTATTCCATATCCGGAAGTTAACTTGGAAGAGGGATGATTCGAAGATGAGGAAGAAGGAGAATGATTCATAAAATGGAGAATAGAAGAATAACAATTGTCTTTGTGTAGGTCATATACACAATGGTTAATTTGTCTAATTCTCTATTCGACATTTACGAAGTTCTAGACAAATTTGGATTTGTCTAGTGGTTTGGTGGAGTGATTTTTGTCTAGTGGTTTATGTTATTTTAAACCAAGGAGACAAAAATGTATATACAATTTATGATGATTTTGGTAATAAAGTCGTCATACATTTGTATGCTTATCTTTGAGACCAATAAAAGATAAGTGAATTTTACTAAAAAGTTATTGTCATCTAAATTCTCCATGTAGGACATGGGGGAGGCAAATGTGATTTTGTGTATTGAATCAAGTAGAACGACAAAGAAGATTCCTTCTCTCAATTTTTCTGCATTAAGAAGGTACTTGCAAAAATTCCATAGTAGGCATTGTCATGAGTCAAGACCCCAATGGACCCAAGTATGGAACTTATGGTTAATACTGGAAACCAGTTTTACAAATGGAGTATTTCATGTTAAATTGGCGACTCGATGTATGTATGACTTGCATAATGCTAGATATCGCATATGCGATAGAACAATAAAGTTGGTACATGATGAATCCTAGTTCTCATCATTTGAAATTAAATGAGGCGTGTACTAGGATATGTCAAAGGCACATTGTATTGAGTTATAGTGGTTTTCCATATATTTTGGAAGGATTTGTTGATGTTAGTTGGATTTATCATGTTAAAAGTGATACTTCAACATCGAGATGGGTCCTCTTGCTTGGGGGAGGTGCCATATTTTGGGTCTCTAGAAAGCAAACTTACATCTCTAGTTCCACTATAGAGTCAAAGTTGTGACCTTGATTTCTCTTAGAAAAGAGGCATCATTGTTGAGTGGCCAAAACCAATCTCACCTATTACTAATCTTAGTGATGGTAATGCTACTTTGACTAAGACATATAGCCAAGTGAAAATGACCAGGGGCGGAGCTACAGCTACTCTCGGAGGGGCCCCGGCCCCCCCGAGAATTGTGGAAGTTACATATAAACTATATCGGTATTTTGAAAATTTCGTATAAACTAAAGCAAAATGGAAACAAGAATGCTTAGTGAGCATACTTGGGCAAAGAAACTGAATTTAGTCTAGCGGATGGGTAATTAACATAGTGGTAATGAGGTTCGGTGTTCGATACGCTGATCCTGCACTTTTGTTAAATTAATTTTAATTTCAGTTTTAGTATGTCTTTTCCAGTTCAATAGATCTATATAATTACCCATTCAAGTTTTCTATATGGATCTATATAATTACCCATTCAAGTTTCCTATATGGTTTCTTAATTTCGTTAATGTAAAAATTGTTTCTTGACTTCATTAATTTCAAATTTAGTTTTCTTTACCACATTTTAGTTTAATGTGGCTGGACATTTATTTGTTTTATTTATACTTTATTTTATTTTTGCAGTGATAGAATTGAAAAATCCCCTCTATCGAAAAGTAAAATCCTACCTCCATCCCCTAATCCTAGATAAAAAAATACACTTTAATATTGCAGTTACAATGGGTAAAATCAATTCTAACTTTAGAATCAAATAACCCATTTGATTAATGTAAAATAAATTGACAGATATGATATTTTCACTTTTGTCTACGCATGATAAATTATAGTATAAATCTTAGTTTGAGTGACTCTAATCATCTAAAAATTCAATTATAATAATATTGAAATAAATTTTCTTTCATCGTGTTGATTAATTTTTATCGCCTTTCCCAATAACAGGAAAAAAAATTCCGGCCCCCCCGAACGCCAAATCCTGGCTCCGCCCCTGAAAATGACAAGTATGGTCATGTGGGAGTTAGGCACTATAAAATCTATGTATTGATCACTCTTGGAGTTGTGTCTATGTAATGTGACCGGACTTGAGATAATTTAGTTGATCATTTAACGAAATGATTAACTAGTGACTTGGTAGTCAAATCTGTGAAAGGGATGGTTTAAAGTTAGGTCACCCAATTCGTGGGTTTAGGTTCCACGATCCCGCTCAAAAGCGGCAAAACGCGTTTTTTGGGTAATTCACAAAAAAATCGTGAATTATTTATACTTGGAGCGCGAATATGATTCAGGAGAGCGTGATTTCTTGAAGAACTGCCATATAAGAGGTGAGGAGGGCCAACGACAGTCGGCGATAGCTTTGGATCTGAGTTTTCGCTGCTTTGTTTTGCTGTACTTGAAAACAGAGATCAAACTTACGATTGATTCCTCGGTCCCCTAAGCTTCACAGCTGGAACTTTGTCGCGATTATGATTTATTTCAGTTGATGGAGAGGATTATAGTGCAGAAGCTGTTGACAGAGAGATGCAACGGCAACGAGGTTCCAAGGAGATGGGTAAAGTTCACAGTCGTCTCTGTTTTCTGGGTTCTTAGCGAAGAAGAACAGAGGTTTAACTCTGCCTCCCCTGTTGTTGCATTGGAGTTTGGACTAGGTTGTACACTTTAATTGTGGGCTTTAGTTGCGCTAAGCTTATATGAGATGTTCAGCCACATACTACCAAGAAGGGCCTCATCTTTCTCTTTTCAATTTTTACACTTTCCCTAGTTCTGTCATTTGAAACTTAATTCTTTCTAGTTTCTAGGTTTTCAATGGAATTTCAAGAAGGACAAAAGAGATAAAAATGCATTTGAGTTGTTGAAGAAAGAAATTATAAGAATGGAAAGCATAATTATATAGGAGAGAAGTATATTTATGATTTCTTTTATAATTTTCTTGCTTGTATTTCGTTATACTATATCATAAGAAACTAAATTTTTTGTTTAAGATATCTATAAAAATATTAATAATAAAATAATATTGACACTCTGTTCACGCTCTTAATATTGAGTTCTTTAAAAATTAACGGTTTAACACTCTTGCTCCCGCTCTCACTCCACGCTCTGGTTACCTTGGTTTAAAGTTCATATAATTTCTGGTAATGGGACACCCAATTCCCCTCTAATACAACGTTAGAGGCTAAATTCAATGTGGAAAGCTCATTATCAGAAATTAAAGCACAAATTTTTCATCCCGAGGTATGTGCTTGTTATCCTGCATGAAAGCAGAGAATGAAGTTTCATTGAATCTTTGAAAAAGTGTATTATGTGGGTACACGACTAAGAGATTCAACCTACGTAAGAGTTCCTTCAGCTCAACCAGGTCATTGGATAATTCAGCGAGTATTCTGGGCTAATAGACCTTGTATAGATGGATTCAAGAATTTTCCAGGTGTCATGGTTGTTGATGGAACATTTCTTACTGGGAAGCATAAAGGAGTGCTACTCATGGCGAGCTCATTTGATGGCCGGAAGAAGATTTTTCCAATTGCATTTTCCATAGTGGAGAGTGAGAATACTAATAGTTGGCCATGGTTCATAAGTCACGTTCAAGGTTTGACCGATCGAAATGATGTCTGCATCATCTCAGATTGATATGCGGGACACTATGAAGCCATGAATAACATCGGAAGAGGTTGGGAGTGGAGGTGGTGCATGCGACACTATGCAAGCAATTTGCAAAGGAAGACTAAAAGCAGGATTATGTATAAGAACATATTTCGAGTCGGTAAGCCTTCTTCATTTAATTTTGTTATTTATTTTAATATATTATTCATTTTCATGTAATTTTGTCATGAATTTATCTAACCCGTGTGGTTGTTTATTTTGTTAGTCGGAGAAAACGCTTGGAGAAGTTCGATCGTCAAGTTGAGCAATTTAAGAAGGTGGCCACTGATAAAAATATTTAATGTGATAACTAGGTGGACTAACATCAGATTCGTTGGAGTTTAGCACATGATAACTACAACGGTGGGCGTCGTTGGTCTATCATGACATCCAACATGGCATAGAGCATCAATAGTGTTTTCAAAGGTATTCATTCACTTCCTATAGCTTCTCTTATGCAACATACCTACAGGCGATTGTTAGAGAAATTCGATAAGATGAGGTTGGAGACGGAAGCACAAATTAGAAGTGGTCTTTCAAAGTACACCATCAAGTGCAAAGAGAAGATGAAGTCATGGTCACAAAAGGCAGTTGGACATTCCGTGACAGGGGTTGATCGACAGCAAGACATCTATGTAGTTCAGACTCCTCCCAACAATTTCAACATGACGGGTTCAAACACACTCACAATGCACTTCGACGACAAAAACCGGGTGGGATTTTGCACGTGTGGGAAATTTCAAATAAATAAAATTCCTTGCTCTCATGCCATTGCAGCTTGCAACCGAATGAGGGCTAATCCATATAGGTTGGTAAACGACGTCTACAAGCTTGAAACAGTGTTGGCTTGTTATGGGACAAGTTTTACACCTCTTGGTGAACCTAAGGGTTGGAAGAAGCATAATGGCCCTACTCTCCATGCTAATCTACACATGATTAGAAAGCCAGGGAGGCCAAGATCAACAAGAATTCACAACGAGATGGATTGGCCAAGGGAGGGTGCATCACACCAAGTGTGTAGCAACTATAACCAAGCGAGACATAATGCATCAACCTGTGGTGGCCAAGCAAGTGGGAGTGGGAGCAACCGAAGAGGGAGTAGTGGCCAACGAAGTGCGAGAGGTGGTAGAAGAGGAAGTAGAGGTAATAGACTGGTATGTAGTTTGGTCGAACGTTTATCTAATGTAGTAGTTGTTGTTTTTCTTTCGATTTGCCTTGCAGAAGTTGTTGTTGTTTGAAGTTGTTGTTTGGACTTTTATGATATAAACTAGTTGTTGTTGTTTGTTGGTTTTATATTTAAAGTTTTCATTTAGACAATAGCACTAACATGAATTAGTCCACATGAAATTAAAAATAGTCCACATAAATATACCAAAGAAGTACATAATAATAATATATATCCCAAAGAAGTACATAAATACTCCCACTAACGACCACCACGACGACCACCATGATCTGCCACTAGATGGCCGTCAATACCACACCTCGCTGCCCTCCTATTCCGTGGAGGCCTGCCATCATCGTGCTGGGGCTAATCTCCCCCATTATATCATCCTGATCCTGTGTACCGAACATCTCATCCACTTAAGACTGAATCTACTCATCTGGTCACCAAATGTTCTCGCTCGAAGCTGCTGCTCATAAGTCCACATCGATGTCCAAAAAACCTGATCACCATCTAGACGATCCCACTTGTCTGGGTCCAAATCTAGGGAACAAAACACCTCCCATCAGAGACAGAGCATAAGCTCGTGCAAACTGCTCTGTAGTCTCTGGTGATGCCAAAAGCGGTAGCTGATCGAAAGTTTCCCTAAGCTAAGCAATCCTAATGACGCCGCCGCCAAGATCACTAGGAGCTCGTCCTAATTGTCGAAGACACATAACCGACCAGTCCTGGTCTGGTATGTCTACTACGACGGCATCACCGTCGATCGCTAGATCGGTTAGTGTTGCAACGTCCTCTAAAGTGATCGTCACCTCACCGAACGACATGTGGAAGGTCGATGTCTCGGGTCACCAACGCTCTACGAGCGCAGTAATCAAACCCGGATCACCGGTAAGAGGGGCCAATGGCAGAACCCTAAACAAGCCCGCATCGGCGAGATACGGCTGGTAAAGTGGATGGTATCTGACTAAATTGCTCGTACCTCGAATGTGTTAAGGTCGATCACTAGCCTATAGTGCATAAAACTTATATTAGTTCAATTTCATGTGTACTTCTAAATTCAGTTCACCTAATATTTATATTTATATATCTAATCTAAACTTATTCTAATTATAATCGTAATTCTATTCTATTCTAATTTCAGTTCAGTTCAGCTAATAAAAAAACTAGAAATGGTTTGAAAACTTACCTCGTTTACCCAAACTGCGTCAATACGATGGTGACCATGCCCCCGAAGAAGTATCGGATCCACCGGAGCTGTATCAATTGTCGCAGGTGGTGGACTCATGGAATAACTATCCATAAGCCTATGAACTGGAAAAAAAACAATTAATCATAACATTAAAAAAAATTAAAAAAACTCGCCGCCGGCGAAAACCTCACCTCTGTAGCGTTCGCCGCCTTTGCCGCGACCTCGCCGCCCTCTACCGGCGCCGGCGAGTTGCTCCTCGTCGTCAGACATATCTCTCTCCAAAAAACCAGATCTGCTGAGGGAAGAAAAAAGCGACGGCGGACTCGTTCTGGGCAGGGCGCCTTCGACGGGAATCTGGCACGGTCGCCTGAGTCTGAGGCAGGGTCGTCTCTTTCCTCGACGCTACCGTCTTGGACTGGTGGGCGTGGGGTTGGGGGGACGACTCACTATTGTTGTAGTGTGTTCTTTCTTTCTCTCGGGCGAGAGTGGTGAGTGGTGGAGAAGAAGATAAGAAAAGAGGGATGCGAGGACGCCATAGTCTCAGGCGATGACGCCATTAACTCATTGGAAAAAATTCAAAACGCACTTGAGTCTCGGGCGGGCACGCTTCAGTCTCAGGCAATGGCGCCTTTAACTCGTTGGAAAAAACTCAAAATGCGCCAGCGCCTGAGCCTCGGACGGGCACGCTTTAACCCTACAAAAAAACACAATATATGTGTCAATAGTTTTTAAACCGCCGTATTGATGGTAAATTTAAATATTTATGTCATTAACCCCAATCCAAAGAGGTGGATGAGAAAAGGAAGAAAATAGACAAAGAAGGAAGGGAAAAAGAAAGTTGTTGCGGGTTTCATATTACAACAAAGGAAAGCCTAAAAAGCTTAAGGTTGTGGGGATTGATTCTAGTTCTGCATAGTAGTATTAAGGGGACACACATCTTTTGATAAGTCCAGTCATAATCTCCCATTTTGCTTGCTGATCTGATTATGTGCAGAGCTCCAATGTAAAAGAGTCATCCCCATCTTGTGAATGACAACCCTCCACGGCGTTGCAACATCTTGGAACACTCTTGCATTTCTTTCTTTCCAAATTTCTCAAGTAATAACATGTAGAAGTCGGTTTCGGAACCATTATCTTACAAATCCTTGTTGAATTTTCTTGAACAACTCATCCGGTTATGTTATTTTAGAGTTGAATATGATTTGAAATAGGTGGACCAGCTGACGTACCGATGTATTTAGGTGCAACAAATTCGTGGGGTCTCACGAATTTTAAAGGTCCAAATCTGTGGACCCCACGGACTTAAAAGTCTCACCTATTTAGGTTGGGAAATTGATCATGGATTTTGAAGTCCATCGTTTAAACCAAACTATCATTTATTTTATTTTTTCATTTCTCCTCTCATACCAATGAGTGCAATAAAATTAAATTTCACTTCAGACATACAAATCTAATTAACCAATTCTATCATAAAATCTATGAAAAAAATAGTATTTTTCAAGTATAACAACTTGAAAAATACCGAGTATAACAACCTCATGGCATTTGCTAGCTAGCCGCTATATAAAAAAGGGGGTGGGATCCATATCCCAGGCTTTCTTATTGTGCTGATTACGATGGCTGGAACTGGCGAATCGCCGGAGACGGCGACCGGCAGGAAAAACTTGCCGGCGGCGATGACGACGGATCAGAAGTGGAGAGGTGAGAATCTTTACTTGAAGTATAAGTACGGCAGTTGGATTTTTGGGATCAAGGCTTTCGAGGACATAGATAAGCTAGCGAGAAAAGTGGTGAATGGATGCGAGGTTTTAGTACCAACCGTGGTTTGTGAACGGAATTTCCTCGATGCCGATCCCGGTTTCCCAATCGGGAACGGCTTCTTCAAGTTGAATGGCAAAGCATACTTGGTCGGCGGAGAAACTGCAGAGGGGAAACCTTGGGGGGCAGAGGTTTGCGGATTACCTTATCAGCTCCTCGAGTCGAGCAAGAAATCAAGTGGAAATTTCTATGAATTCAGTCCCGATACCAATACCCTCCACCTGCTCGATAAACTTTCTTTGCCTCTCCCTATGCCGTCTCCAATAGTTGTTGAGATCAAGGGCAAAGTGTACGTCCTTTATGGAGATCACTGCTGCCAAAGAAGGCACGGATTCCCGAAAGACTCTGAAAATTGCTTCCAGGTGTTGGCACTGGATGATGATGGCAAGCCCCATTGGAAACCACTTCCTGCACCTCCCTTTTACGAGTACGCAACCCGCTCTCACTACTTCAAGGATATGGTGGCCGTCGTCGGCTACAAGCTGTACGTCGAAGTGGGCATCGAGTTGTATGCCTTTGACGTTGACACTCTAAAGTGGGAACTGGGCGGGCATTGGTTCCCTTCAGGTGCCAAAACATTGTCTTCAAGGTTAATGAAGGAAGGGAAAGACTGTTGTTTTGTGGTCCTTTATGCAATGACATATGGGGACGATCCAAATCAGGATGGTCTCTATGCTGCATTGGTCGACTGCAAGAACGGTGATTTGTTGCACCGACAGCATGTCCCTAAAGCATCGCCCTCTATGTCTTCTTCTTATCTTGTTACTTACCATGTGGTTGAACTAGAGCAGGATGGTAGTGCTGGCCACTCGTGCAGCCCATTTTGTTTCGTGTATACCACATGTGATGATCTTGTTGGGGTTTCAGTTTTGAGATTCTCCTTAGCGGCGGCCTCTCCAGATGAGAAGGACTCGAAGCGTTGGTTTCAGTGGGGAACTGATCGCCTTACCTTGAAGCCTGAAATTCTGGAGAGCCGTCTATATGAAAAGCCAAAGTCGGTGAACGACTTGTACACTGGTCATTTTGATGCCGTCTTCCTCAAGGCAGGGTAACCTTCTTTCTTTTTTCCTTTTACAGCTGAAGCATTTGTGTTCCCCTTGCTTGTTTCATTTGAAACTGGCGTTGCTTGTGGAACTTGCATTGTTGTTCTTGCACTGGAATTGGGATGAACATGCATCAATCAGTTAATGAATCTGGTTTGTTTCTTTCTGCAGATTCATCTTTCCTTTTATTCTGCTCTCTCTTGTTTTCCTTCTTTGCCCCATCGCACCTTGGCATTCATCGTGACTAGATAGGTAGTAATGAGAATAATAATGTGTATCACCACGAATCCGGCTAGTGTGCTAACTGCAGCATCTCTATTTTTGGTTATAGAATTGAAGTTCGAAACAGAATTTAGACTTGCTATGCTAGCCTTTATAAGGTTTTGCAGTCACGTAGTAATACTGTAGAGTCTTCAATCTTCATCCCATGTTGGGACGATACACGTATAAACCACATAGTCCCATTCACTTTCTATCAAACATCGATAGGCCCAAAAAAAAAACATTGCCTACAGGTGTGAACTTCAATATATATACTGCAATAAGAAACCAGGAACTGAAGAGGGAAAGAATAAACAAAAGGAGCAAGGTTTTTCATGCTTATGAAGAAGAGGCGGTCTTGCCATTCTTTTCAGACAATCGCAGGAGCTCTTTCGCCATGGAAGAGAATGACTTGGCAGTATCTTGCATGGCTGCGGCCTTCATGTTTATGCCCTGCAACTTGTTTGCGTTGTCTTGGAGTTTGCTTTCTGCCATTCTAGCAACACCGATAGTTTCCTATGGCATCCAAACCCACAAAAAACTGTCAAAATTTGCAACAATTTGCCATCATGCTCATATGAAACTAATTGAAGAGGGAGACAACTTACATAGGACGTAGTGGTGGAAGAAGCAAAACCATATTTCTTCTTAATTTGATCAACTCCTCCTCCTGCCCCGTTGTCACCTTGTTGTTCAACTAATTCCTTGCTGTTCACGCTACTGTTATGTGTCTTTTTATTTATCTCTTTCACAACTTTGCCTTTAAAAGCCAGCAACTTGCTGGCCATTACAAGCTTCTGCTTGTTGAGAGATGCCATGATGTTCTGGTCTTTAGCTGGTTTCTCCACTGGATCGTCATCAATCTCAATGTCATCTTCATCCAATCACGAATCGTGAGAAAGAAGTAAAGAATAAAAACAGAGCTCCCTATAGCATCAAGAAAGATTTACCAATATCTAAGTCGTCTGAATCACCAGTAGGCATCACGTCTCTCGTCTCTTGATGATGATCATCATCACATGCAAAGTTTGCTGATGAGAATATCACAGCTAATTCCTCAATACTCTCTTTCGTGTCTTCTGTTTCCATCTGATCAGGAACCTGTTTCGATTTACTTTTACTCAATGAGCTGAAGATGCCCTGTATTTTTGCAATTTCCCCACAGGCCATTCTTCAGTAAAAGTATGGGCGTAAACTTGATCATTTAATCAAGCAGTTAGAGTGGATCTTACCTTTTTCTTCTCCTTCTGCAGAGTTGCAGCAGGGCCTTCTAACGATGACATGGGATCATAGGTGTAAACTTGGCTGAAAGTGTCTACAAGTCTGAAAAGATGCATGCAGCCATTTTAGTATATCACCAAGCGTGCAAAGACATGAAGAGATACCAACATACCTGAAGTTGTCTTTCTGGAGACTAATTGACACGACGAACATTTCCTGATCGCCATTCACCTGTAACAAATACAACACAAATCAAAATCAGTTTGAAAATTGCTTCTTAAATTCAATAATTACAAGCAAGTCACTGTTCATGTTTTTACCAGGAAAATTTCTCCGTCAATTGAACAGGAGATTGAGTAGTCCGTTCGCTGTTCAAAATGTGTGAAATCTCTGATTGAGGACTCCCTCAACAATGATAGCTCTGGCAATGACCTACAAAACAATAATGATTAAGATCCACAAAAAATGAGAAGAGGGAGAAGACAGATAAGAGAAGAGAGAATGTTACACCAGCATCACCTTATTTCTAGTTTTCCAGAAGATAAAAGCAGTACAAGGCCAACATCAGAACCAAGCCAAAACGTTGAAGCCCACAAACAAGATGAAGAATTGAACTTTTTCTTGTAAATAACCTTTTTCACTCCCTGCCCAGTATAAAACAATCAAATCAAGTCGTCAAGTGAACCAGAAAAAGAAAAGCATCAAAGCAAAATGTTAAATGGTAATTACCTGAGCAATATGATTTAGGGAGTACACATACACAGCTTTCTCAGAACACATGAGCACAGAAGGTTGCTTCGATGCACCATCTTTGGTACCAGTTTCGTCATCTTGAACACTCTGTCCATCTAAACACAACAGTACATAGGAAGGATCAGCTCAACTGTTGTGTGTACAAATCTAGTAGATGGAAATGTACTTAACTTACCCAGGATCTCCATGTACAGAGCTCTAGATGGTTTGTTTGGATGCACAGTTTCAGTGCTCAACATGTTTCCAGAATCACAATCGAGAGCCAAAACCGAGGAGTCCCTCGTTGCAACCACTAGCGTCTTCTTCTCAAACCCATGTAAATTGCACGTTTCAAATTTCAGAGAAATTATGCCAGCTGAGAGCTCACTAGCAATGTGTTGTTGATAAAGCATGTTTGGCACTTGCCCTTCTATGTCAATAACTGACACCTGAAAAAAAACAAAAACCCCCATCATCATCATCATCGCCATCGTTGTCATCTGATAATTTCTCACGGACTCCGGAAAGCAAGCAACTTATATGACAAGGCTGCTTACGTTTCCTTGGTCAGACCCAACTGCCACACGTCCCGAGCTATGGCTTACAGTTATGGAGAGAATGGCGCCAGTAACCTTAATAAGTTTGAGACTCTGGATGACATGACTATTTCCCTTCCGCGAGCTTCCTGCGAAGAGAGTTTAAGTATTGGTTCAGCCAAAAATAATAATCACTTGACATTTATCAATCAATGTATCTGTACCTTGAAAGGACATGAAACCGTTCTCTGATGCATAAGGCTCCGGTTTTAACTTGAAAACTCGAACCTGCATACACACGGTCAGTTTATGAAAACAAACATTACATATCAAGTAAACATAATTGTGTACTTTTTATATGGGCTCATGTTATGATGAATCTGTACACTTACCATTCCACTCTGATCCCCAGATATAAGAAGGCGAGAATCTCCATCAAAGTAAAGTGCTGTCACAGGTATTCCACTTGAAGATAAGTCATCTTCACTCTGTTGCGTGAGAGACAAGACCGGGATAGGAAGTGGACAAGAAACATCCCAGAAGTTGATGGCACCGTCCTTGTGTCCAGTGATATACACGTTCTTTATCTTGGAAAACCCAGTAAACTTATGGACTGAGTTTATGTTACTTCCCTCCTTTAGCTTTCCCTCAAAAGGAAGTACTGATGGAACATTTCTAGCCAGTACAGCATAATCCTGTAAACCACAGCACCACTGCTTTAACTTTAATCACATCCAAAAGACAGCAATACTCTCAATAGTGTTCGTTGGATTACCTCATCAGCCGAATTCAGCAAAGATGGGTTGTTTGTGACAAATTTTGCAGCAGAAATGCTGGAATCGATGTATGGCAACTTGGCCATGACTTCCTTCGGTGAAGAGGGTACTGAACCTTTGGCTTGGGATTGAATCAGATACTTTTCAATCATACCATCATCATATGCATAAACATGGCCTGATTTCCCAAGCAGGACAAGAGAGACCAGCTTGCTACTGGAAATGATATCCATGTCAATGCAGGGCTCAGGCAAATGAAGAACCAACTTGATCGTGCGCGTCTCTGAATGCTCATTGAGTAACACAACCTGCACTGAGCTTGTAGGTGCAACCTCGGAAGAAGAACCACCCATGACATATAAGCGGCTCGCTTTATTATTGCCATCTAACTGAAGGAACCATTTGAGGGATGCTATAGCAACTTTGTCCAGTTTGTAGCCAAGATTGAGCTTAGAGGAAGGAGTAGGTGTTTCTGTTACAGATGCTTGAACGCTCCAAGTGAATATCTCTCCGTTACTGTATCCAACAATGAGTTTACTTCCATAAGGGCATCCCCAACATGCACAAGTTGCTTTCCTTACTGCTTCATGGTGATTCTGTGATGGCAGCAACGATGTACTTGTGCCTGTTGTGAAGATAGACCGGCTTTCTTGAATGTCCCACAGAATGATAACGCCATCTTGGTACACAACGAGAAGCCTAAAACGTTTGGTTAAAGCGAGATGAGTTGTGGTCTTCAACACTTTAATAGAGGGAAATGGGAAATCAGAAGGCAACAAACTAACAAAAATAAACCTCTTGGTTTCTGCTGATGGTACAGGCAATATGGTTACTACAGAAGCCGCTTGAGTTGGATTACCAGCAGAGAGAGGTATTGAATATTGCATGCGTGTTACATGACACGAATCGGGTTCGAGCTTCAAAACAGTTAGGTTACCTGCAGAATCCCCAACGTAGCTGCAGAAACGCATAGGAAAGCAAAGGTTCGGGATCATATACACAAGAAGAAACAAAGTCAATCCTTTTTCATCATGTAATGTAGGAGAAGCGGTTTTACATGAAGGGAGTGTGTCGGAGAGGAGTAAAAGTGGTAATGTCTCCTGGGAAGACATGGATATGGGACAATAGCCTTTTCTCCACGTCCCAAACCTCAATGTGGTTGCTGGAAGTCACATTGAGAAGGAACAGGGTGCTCCCGGTTTGAACAAACTGATGAGAGTGACAACTCAAACAGATAGCGGTGTAAGTAAGCAATTGTATATATGAACATCATGAACAGATTAATGAGGAACCATAATGAAAGAAAGGTTAAACCTTGAGAAACTTGGAGGGGAGGGCATCCGGTGAGTGGAGCAGGGCTTGAGTGTTATCTTTGCCAAATAGTTTAATCCTTCCATCTCTGAGAAAAACAAGGAACCAAAGTTAAAGCATAAGAAGTGAATCATTCGGATTCAAGGGTTACCTTGGAGAACAAGAAAGGTGGTACGACAAGGGAGAGCAGCAACCTGGTGGAAACAGCAAGACAAGAAGAGGAGGGATGAGAATGGGAAGCTAAGATGTTAGCTCCCGAAGGGATGCCATAATGGAAACTCAGGCGTGGCTCTATGTCATTGGCCTTCAATCCCTTCCCGTTCGCC